AAAAAAAAATACGTAAGAAAGTACCGTACTATAATATTTATACGACATATACAAAACTCGGAGTACAAGCTTATAAAGAATCACATTGTACAGTGTATTTAACAAGATCGTAATTATCTGATATGTTTTATTTATATCTATAAATTGTACAAACCCGGAAAATACTGCTGCTACTTCTCAAATAGTACATGAAAGAAATCTTTTGAATATGTAAAACATCTGTTTGACTGAATATAACTGGCCAGTTATGAATATATTAACAGCATAAAGTTAAAAACTTGCTCATAAAGTCATAATCGAAATTACTGAGACTTTGCTATACGATCGATCGTGTGTATATTTGATCATTTTTTGCTTCTGGGATCAGGAAATATTTCCAGTTACGGACATCCTTCTGTTCAATATTTCCTTAATTATTAACATATTAATCCTATTTTAACCTCCAACAAACTCCTTTTTCCACGGTGGAAGTTACAATCACGCAAAATCACGCAATACTAAAACACTCAGAGATTGAGTGTAAATAACATATACAATTTATAACACGATAGACTATATAATTATATTCGTCTTCTATTTTACTCTCACATCTTCCTATTTAGGGCTGTTATGACTGCATTGTTTCTATCTAAAGATTTATCTTTCTTTCCTGCAATATTAATCATTTTAATAAGCACATTCACACTACTTTGTGGGCTTAATAAAGTTTATAAAAGATCATAGCACATAATAATAGGTTTCTCTATATTAAATTAATTATCATTAGTAAGAAATAACATAAATAATATATAACAATATGTGCAAGTTATCGTTTAGTTCATATAGGATGATATACCATCACCATTTTTTTCTTTTAATTATAAATGTTAAAAGCCAAACATAAAATATATGGTAGTTGTTTTACTATTAAAGTGTTGGTAATTATGAATCTTTTAATTTATTTCATAAAATAATTGCAATATTTAGTGAAAGAGTATGCCTGTAGAAAAAATATTCGTAACAAATCACAATATCTTACAATATACTCCTTTTATGATGAGATCAGATTAAAATTTCGTCAAAGAAAGTAATGTTGTCAGAAAAAGTGGTTGATCATTCTATATGTGTATATGCTTATATACATATTAGTGATCACAAACATGTCTTCTTGACGTTATGATGGAGGAGGAGGATATATACATATATATACACACACAGTATTTATATCTATACCTATATGTTTCACATATATTGTCTTAGATCCGACGGCGGTAGTAGTGAGAGTCCGTTACTCGTGGAAGAAGGAGAGACGGTCGGCGCACCACACAGTCCACGCAATAAACATAGTCACAGCCATTCACATAGCAATCCCCATCGGTCTCACAGTTATCATCATGAGAAACCCAAACAATTAGTGAAGTACGGAGAACTAGTTATACTTGGGTAAGAATTTCTTACGAGTGAGAAAAATCTAAGAGAAGATAAAAGATATAGAAATATGAGCGAAATGTAAATCACGAACAATTTTCTTTCTCCCACATGACTTTGATAGATACAATGGTTACCTTCCACCTGGTGATAGGGGAAGGAGAAGAAGTAAATTCGTACTATACAAAAGACCAGTGCCAAATGGCGTTAAACGCAGTAAACACTACATCGTTAAAACGCCCCATAGCTCGCAAGCCATTCTCAATACGAAGCAACACTCGATCTCATATACACTATCCAGAACACAAGCTGTTATCGTTGAATACACGGAAGACGAAGAGACGGATATGTTTCAGGTAAGTTCAAGTATCAAACACTTCACGACTGATGAACAGTCATTTGCAGTTTGTCTTTGGGATTTATCAGTTCGCTATCTGTAATTAAATGAATTTCCTTTGTGAAATGATGTCGTGCACGAAATTAAGATAACGTATTCGTAGATCGGCCGTTCGTCCGAGTCGCCTATCGATTTCGTGGTAATGGATACGTGCGCGGGCGGTGGAGATGGTGGCCCCGCTAACGAAGGGCGCGTTGCCCAGAGCACCATCAGCAGATTTGCCTGTCGAATTCTAGCGGATCGATCGGATCCAAGAATCGCCAGAATTTATGCTGCAGGTTTCGACAGTTCAAGAAACATTTTTTTAGGGGTAAGATTCGGAATCTATGATTGATCGTATGTACCGAAGATAATATAACGTGTTAGGAGAAATGTTACGAGCAATATTATGCAGGAGAAAGCAACCAAATGGCAAGAGAATCGTGAGATTGATGGACTTACGACAAACGGAGTTTTAATAATGCATCCTCGAGGTCAGTTTTGCGGCGGTGAGGCGCAGTGCGGTTTCTGGCGAGAAGTTAGCGTGGGCGGTGGAGTCTTTTCACTCAGAGAAAGTCGAAGTGCTCAGCAGAAGGGCAACGTCGTAGAAGATGAGAATAATATTTTACAGGACGGCACTCTCATCGATCTTTGTGGCGCCACTTTGCTCTGGCGATCGGCAGAGGGTCTTGCTAAGTCTCCGGTAACTTATATTTTTTCGCACTTGTATCTTTACTTAGAATCATATAATTTTCGATCGACTGTCGTACCACCACATATTTTTTCCGTAGACCAAACAGGACCTAGAAGAATTAGTGGACGCTATAAATGCCGGGAGGCCGCAATGCCCGGTAGGCCTGAATACGTTGGTCATACCACGTAAAGCAGCTACAGACTCGACACAACAACAGCCATATGTTTATCTCAAGTGCGGTCACGTGCAGGGACATCATGATTGGGGTCAGGAGAAGGACAAGGTTACCAGAAGGTGTCCTATGTGTCTGGTTGCGGGTGCAGTGGTTAAATTATCTATGGGAATAGAACCTGCCTTCTACGTAGATTGTGGACCACCGACTTACGCGTTTAGCCCTTGCGGTCACATGGCTACGGAGAAAACCGTCAAGTTAGTATGGCGCAAGTCGTCCATCAATCACTCTTATGCATTCTTATCTAAAACATTCATTTAAGCGTTTGCCAGAGATTATTTCTTGCTTTATATTTCTTCTGTCTATAATACTCGGTATCATAAGTATACTTTATATGTTACTTGTTCTCACAACTTCTTATCATATTTTTTTTATTTGCAGATACTGGGAAAAAGTAGCCATACCACACGGCACGAACGGCTACATCGCAATTTGCCCCTTCTGTGCAGTCCCACTTGAGGGAACACCAGGATATGTAAAACTAATTTTTCAGGATAATGTAGATTGAAGTTATAAGATAATAAGATAATGGAAATATGTAGAAATTAATAACTTCTTAAGAAATATATAAGAACTATTAAACACAAAAACTTAAGAAAATTCGCAAAAGCAGTCATGTCGAATATAGCTGTAATTCATAACCCAAAAGTTTATTTTCTTGTATATGTACTTTTTTCAGTCACAGTGAAAACAATATAACAAATATACATTCATCTTATATTAAATATCAAAACAAAGTTTTATAGAATACAGAGATATCAGACATGTGCTAAGTAACCAAGTAGATTATATACTTTTTTAAATTAATTATACAAATGGCCTGAATATCCCAATTGTTCAAGCATTAAGAAATATTTATATAGAATATCTTAATATGTGTGCATATAATGTACATTTGCTGAGAAGAATCAAGAGATTTACAAAAAGAGATACAGACAATATGTTTTTAATATTTTATTGCCAAAATACATGAAAGCACGCTTATTCATTTTCTTCCGAACGCAAGCGTGCGCTAGCATTTGTCACACGTATTGAGAGCTGTCGAGCACGCTCTACAATGGATTTTCTTTTTTTACTGCTCACAGCGTGTGCAATCTCTGCACAAAACTTGCGGTTCTGCATCATTAAGACTTCCAATTCCTATGGAGAAATTAACTTTTATTCATATATCACAAAATATTTTCCAATTATCAATCTATAGAAAAATATCACCTATATAATATTACAAATTACAGTGAAAAAAGACAATTTTGCAAAAATAGTAAATTATTTTCACACAATAAAGATAATTCATGACATTTCATTCAAAAACTTGATATTTCTATATTTTTTATAGACTTTAATATTTTAAATAATTATTTTAATTTATGTACAATTAAAAAGTTATAAAAATGAAAATTACCTTTACATTATGTACAAGAACTTTTCGGAAGCCAGTTGGTAGCATATGACGCGTCTTCTTGTTGCTACCATAACCAATGTTAGGCATCAAATATTGACCCTTAAATCGCCTACGGACTCTGTTGTCAATACCTTTTGGTTTACGCCAGTTACGCTAAAAGATTAAACAATTGAAAATAATTAGTAATATAGAGTAATTATATCTATTATTTAAAATAATCTGTAAGAATTATGTGAATTATTAAAAATTAAAATGTCAATCAGTAACACAGGTAATATAACCTTATAAGTATGCCTACATAAGTAACAATATAAAGTGATTTACGTACCTTGAGTTTATCATATCTATCACTTTGATGTCTAATAAACTTCTTCGTCCTTTTCTTCACAATTTTCGGTCGATATACCGGTCGAATAGACATTTTAAGTCCTGTCTAGTATACCTGCAACAACAACCACAAAGTGGTTAGAAGGACTTTGACTACGAATTATCCTGCTTGTGTTTCATTCTCGAAAATATAATACTTTTATACTTTTAAAAATTATTAATGATTAATCGATTTGCATACAATGCTTGTTATATTACTGATTATTATAAAAATTGAAGATTCGCCGCGTGGTACGTACAAACCGTTAATACGTCTTCAGTACGAAAGGTTGGGTTCCGAAAGTTAACCTTCCTCAACTGATCATTGAATATGAGAACGTAGAATGGAAGCAATATCTTTAGAAAGTTTGAAAACATTATGGATTATTTACATTGCAAACATGTCCAATTCCCATGGAAGAATTGTAGAGACAAAATATCACTAATGTTACACACACTAGCTAGAATCACCATATAGAACAAAATCTCATTCCGTATTAGACATTTCCGAGAGAAAATCAAATGGAAATTTTTACATAAAAATATTACATTATGTGGCTGTTGGTTAAAATAAAAAATTAATTTTCTATTAGTTAATTTGATATGACGACATTTGTATTTATTTATCCTTCAATTTTATATTTAATACAAAATAAATGTCTATTTGTTTAGCTTTGTTGAAAATTATCTCTATTTTAAAAAATATTCGTTTAGACCTACAATTATGGCTGTGTTCCAATATTCACTGCCAGTACTGAAAATCTATAATATACGTGACACAAATTATGTATTTTCAGTATTGACAGCGAATTTTGGAATACAGCCTATAAAGCCAACGGCACACGGTGCTTGTTTTCGTGCTGGATTGCTTGCTGGATGAAAATACTGCGTTCTGATTGGTGCATTTCCGAAGATGGATGGAAATGCACCAATCAGAACGCAATATTTTCATCCAGCAAGCAATCCAGCACGAAAACAAGCACCGTGTGCCGCTGGCTTAAGTCTCATTTGCGGAAATCACTTGCAAAATACATGGAAATAAAAATTTGAATTCTCTCTATCTATCTATCTCTTTCTCTCATGATTAGTAATTATATCAGTGCTAAATTTAAAACGGATTACAATCAGTACGGATACGGGCAAGAAAGGAATGAAGAATAATAAGGAACTTCGACGTGCTTGAGTGTAAATAAACTGTTATCTCTTTGCGTTTATTATCTTTACGCGCCGTAATATTAGTCGTATATACATGTATTGGATAGCGTGGTTATTCATACATACATATACATTTTTGTGCAAACGCTTCAAGTGTGCTGTTATCTCTAGATACGCATATCCATCGTGCTAGATACGTACTAGATATGCAACATTTTCCACATTGAACATCTACCATTACGAATGAGGCGCGTATCGAAGACATCTGCGATACACACCTCGCGATATTCGTCGTTCGCGGCGCGTTCATGGACCCCCAACTTCGATGGACCTGATGACGCCATGATCCATGTCGCAGTTGGACCATAGTCGGATCCGCCAGGCCCCTCAATTATGAGTGTCATTGGCCGCGAGTCCTGCCTTTGGTCATAAGTACAGCTGTGACTCGTTTAATTCGGTAATTGGCCTCATCCTGGTAAAATCAAACACGGATCTCGAAGCACGCGCGCGCACGCGATTGCAATCGTGCGGTAGAGATAAACGGCCTTTATGTATGAGGTGTGTTCTCGTGCTGCTGTCAGTTCAAGGAGTGTCTCCACTCTGCACGAATAATTTCAGCATTTAAATCCAGCGGAAGTCTTATAAAAAATTACAAAACAAGCGGTTTGTTATTGGCGAAAATACGCTAGCGTTGGCGATGACCTAACCGAAATATCGTCTTTCAGTCCGCTCATAATCCAAAAACGTAAATGATCCCGCAGTAGATGACACATCTCGATAGAATGATATGAAATTATCCCCACTGTTCATAGGATTAAAAATAAGTGGTGTATAAGTGTTCGTTGCATTTTGAAAACTTCTAATGAAAAATTGTGACGCATATACAATGCTTATTTGATCGATAGAGAGTTACAACATTGTTGCATTTGTAGGAGGTGAATAAAAATGCCCGCACCACCACCTCCACCACCACCTCTGCAATTCAACTCCTCTGGCCCACCAGCAGGAGACAACAGAAGTATGCTGTTGCAATCTATAAGAGCAGGCAAAACTTTGAAGAAAACTGTTACTGTGGATAAAAGTGTACCTGCTGTTACTGGTAAATTATAAAACAAATCATGTCAGTGTAAAAATAGACTAATATCATGTTAACATAAATATTCTGTATCTTGCTATATAAAAAACAAAAATTTAAGAAGTTATGAAATAGTTATAAATTAAAGTTATTAATAAAGCTCTATTAATAAAGCTCTTCTTTCAGGAAGAATAAAAGGAGAATCAATCAGTCCTTCGTTTAGTAATAATAATGGAAATAATAGTTCCAGTACAGTAAGCAGTAGTGGTTACTCCAATAATGGAGGGCCCATGCAACTTGGTGGTTTATTCGCAAGTGGTATGCCAAAATTAAAACCTGTTGGATCTAGAGGCAATACAACAGAGAAGAATGGGCATAATATAAATAATCCTAGTTTTCTTCACTCATCACCTGGATCGTCTCACAGCATAAAACGTGGTCCACCTCCAGTCCCACCGCCGGCAACGCAGAAACCACAAGTATACAGTCAGGTAGATGAACAATTGGAATTGCTCAATCATATATGTTGAAGACTGTCGATTGTGCATCTGTAAAGTCATTAATTTACAGCAAAGTCAGAGTACCACTGATTCCGCGATGACCAACTCGGATATCATGCCTAGAGGATTCGCAAAATCAGTTATTGTGCCTAAACCAGCAGCATCTCCCTCTTTACAAAAACCGTCACCGCCGCCTAAGAAGTTGAATCTAACGAGCAGCGCGAGCGTGTCGCGGGCACAGAGCATGAGACTGCCACGTTCGTCACCGGTCTTGGTGCCGACGCCATCATCCTTGCACCAGTCACAGGACTGTTTAAATGAGACGGCGCATCCGACGAGAATCACGGTGAATCGAGTTCTAAGGCCGCCCGTGGCCAGACCCCCGTCTCCGCCGACTTCACGATTGAATACCATGCCTACGACCGCCACGAGAGCGGCACCGCCGCCACCGTCAAGAGTCGCGGTTACTGCGCCGTGTATACCGCCACCACCGCCTCCGCTTCCGCATCGGCCCGCACTCATGCATCAGAGATTGGCACCACCACCCCCGCCACCACCGACTCCACCCACTAGGAGTTTGTCGGTACGCAACGGTCAATCGACGGCGAGTTCCGTCGACCTGGAGATGCGTTTCTCAGATATGTTTCACACTGTATCAAATTTCCCGCCGCCGGAGCCATTTAAGGGTTTTATTAAAGTCTACAGCAGCAGGAACGGTGAGAAAAACGGCAGAAACGCGTTCTTCACTTTACGTTAGAATAGAACACATAATCCTTTTATAACGAAAGGACTGCGCTTTTCTCTTAGGATCATACACTTATACTATTCATATAATGCTGCACGTTTGTGTAACATATTTTTCAGTTACGTCTTGATTGCGTGATGCTACACATGCAATTTGCAAAAGCGATCTTTCGCACCATACACTACGCACGAGATATTGTTCTTTTTTGTTTTTTGATGCTATATTAAAAGGTTTTCTTTTCACAAAATATAACATATTTCATCGATGCTTCTTGCCCGCCTTCTCATCACAAGTACACAGCAGTAAATCAAAACATCAAACATTTTACACATAACAATTCACATTTCAGTGCTTATGTACAATAAAAATTAAACTGCATGCTGCATTTTTTGCTAATTACACCCTGTACGAATTTCTATAATCTACTTGTAGGAGAGTGTATATTTCTTTATTATTGAAAGAAAAATAATCATGATGTTTCCAAAATTGCAGCAGCAAAGCAACAAGCTCCAGCTCCACCTCTTCAATCATCTTCTACCCCTAATACACTGCACTCGTTAAATACTTCGTCTGGAAGTAAACAGTGGCAACATAATGCGACCTCTTTGGCATATTGAAAAGCTTCTGTGTATACTTAAATCATTGCTTCATGCATTGATTATAAAAAAAATATATATATTATATATATGTATATGTATATATATATATATATATATAACCTCGATGCTGCCACAATAAAATGTTAAATTAAGTGAGCAGGGAAAGGATGGATTGCAAAGTATAAATATTAGAGTGTGTGAGAGAAATATCCTGAGTTCGTGAGCTCAGTTTTACAATAAAATGTTTTAGACAATATTTTCTGTACAGTTTATCTTAGGAAAATCTATTTAATATAGATTATACTTATATATAAGAAAAAGAAAAATCGTTAGAAATTTTAGGCCTGTTATTATCTAATAGAAATGTAAAGGATTAAAATGAAAGGCACATTTACTCCAGTTGAAAAAAAAAACATAATTATTTAGTTTTCTTAATCATTGTATTATATCTTTCTTACACTTCTATAAAATTAACTGAAATCACGCCAAAAATCATTAATTCATGACCCATTATATCAATGTATAATGATTCATCAGATTATTGATAATTACTCATTTAGATGTGCAAAGGCCAAAATGTAGAATTGTTGTAACTTATTTTTCAATATTAATAAACAATTGCAGCAGCGAATCATTGGTTTAAAAATAATTGTTACATGTTATTGTATAATAGGAAATGCCTTTCTTATGTTTACATATAGGGAGACGATAATGATATAAAATATCTTGAAATGAAATAGACTTCTTTATCTAACAACAATATCTTTTATTACTTTTCTTCTTAATAGATTATAGTATTAAATATGAAAATTTTCCGACTCGCGATCGCAATCTACATGATTTCACAGTCAAATATTAGCATGTTAATTTAATTAATTTAATTTAAAATGCGTGAAAGGAAAATAAATAATTTACTATAATAAAGCCGCAATTATGGCGAAACTTGCATTTCATAACTATCAAAAGAATTCGTTAATTTCATAAATAAAACGTGCATATACAATTAATAATCGCTAATGGTTTCATATATTTCACAAGAAAAGCATCTAAGAAATAAATAAGATACCTTTGGTGATGAAACATTTCGAAAGAAAAGTAAATATGATAAAATAGATAATGGTTGCATCATAATTTTAATTGAAACAATAGCGTTTCTCTAAAACTTTTATAACAATGTATTATTCAATAGAAGACAACGAAAAGTGAGACGACAATATCACATTAAAGAAATCAAACTGTTTAGAATTCAAGTTCTCTTTCGATAATCCTACGATATTCGTCGAAACCTTCTTCGATACATCGAACGGATCCGCCTCCGCATACCCAAAGTTCTGTACAAACCATTCGAATCAAACGTTCGTCGTGAGACACTAAGATTACACCAGCCTATAATAAAAAGGAAAAGAGTTACACAGAATATTAAGATATGTGAACTTTTTAAACGGGAAGAGATCGTACAAACAAGATACGCAGGATTAACACTCACTTGGCAGTTATTGAGAGCTTTACCCAGTGCTTCGATCGACTCGATATCAAGATGATTTGTAGGCTCATCGAGCACTAGAAAATTCGGTATCGCGGCGCACATCAAGGCGAACGCTACTCTCGATTTTTGACCTCCGGAAAGGGAATTAATGGTTTGTAGAGCTAAATTGCCGCTTATACCGAAACTTCCGAGCATTCGTCTGTATTCTTCGATCGGTTTTCCTGGAGCAAACGCGCTAAATCGATAACGTATTCGAAATTAATCACTCTTTCATAAAATGGTGCGTTTGCACACATTGTCAACACGTACCAGGAAAATGCCTTTGTAACAGTTCGACGGAACAAATGCGCATGTCTAGTTGATCAACATGATGTTGGCTGAAGTATCCGAACTTCAGATTGCGATGAACGTGCACCGTGCCGCGCGTCGGACTCAGCGCACCCGTGATGATTTTCAAGAGAGTCGTCTTACCCGTCCCGTTTTCACCGACAATGCAGATACGCGACTGCAAGTTGGCGGTAAGGTTTACATTGCTAAATACTACGTCAGCTCCACCGCTGTAACTGAAAGAGACCTCATCCAACTGCAGTATCGGGGGACTCAACGGCTCCACATTGGGGAAATTCAAAGTTACTTCGTTCTCTTTGTCGACCGGCTTCAACTCAGGCCTGCGAAGGGACAGAGTTTAGAAAGAAAATGGATTTCGATGGTGGACAAATGGATGCCCCGATTGTGGCGTTGATTACATTTAATACACTTACAGTTTTTCTAACATTTTAATCTTGCTTTGTACACTGGCGGCTCGATTCGCATTGTAGCGGAACTTGTCGATGAATTCCTGTACGTGCGCTCTCTTCGCCTGTTGAGCCTCGTATTCCCGCTGCTGATTTCTCTCGCGTTCACCTTTCGTTTTCACGAATTGCTCGTAATTGCCACGATACGCTTCTATTTTCTGCCCGCGCAAATATAAAATATCAGTGGGTACCTATAAAATATAAAATGAATATATAGATGAGAATAATAAACATGAATAATGCTGTCGGAAATTATTGAGTATATATTTTATATCGATGAGATACGTAGTGTTCGCCAATTAAACAATCGGGCTACACTAACATATGTTCTGTAATAGAAATAAAAAGGAAATCTCATAGAAACATTTATGCGTCCAAATGTTTCAGAAAAATTAATTAATATGAAAAAAAAGAAACGATACGAAATTTGTTGAAGATATATTATGACGAAAGATTAGCAATATTTATCCGTTTTTATCGTGTTTTTTCCTTATGTTTATTATTTTAAGTCGTTAATCACATTAATGTCACTTTATCAGTATCAATATCAGTTTATTGCGCAACTTCATGCAAACGAAATATTTTGCGATTGTCCCCGAGAAATTTTAATGAAAACTTGAGCGAATCTTTTTCTTTTTTCATTGTAACTTTTCCTCACTGACAAAAGCGCGTGTATGTAGCTTTCTTTTCCCTTTTGTTTCTGCTCATGGAATATATTGAAATATATATAGTATCCAAAGTATGACTTGAATGCCACTATGAAATATATTAACGATAAATTTTTGTCTTGCGCGAACACATTTTTTACTGCAAGATAAATGCAAGATAAATACACGCACCGTATCTAAGAATTTTCGATCATGTGATACTACGAGTAACGTTTTTGGCCATGTTTGTAAATATTTTTCCAACCAAAGTATTGCCTTGATGTCAAGCATATTCGTCGGCTCATCGAGTAGTAATAGGTCTGGTTTGGAAAACAAAGCTCTCGCAAGAGCCAACCTCATACGCCAACCACCGGAGAAAGCTTTAGTCGGCCAGGATTGCCTTTCTACAGGAAAGCCAAGGCCTGATAGAATCGCGCTCGCTCTGGCAGGCGCCTTGTCGACTTCAGCCAATAGCATCGCCTCATACACCCGAGTCAATTCTTCGCCTAACGTATCGGCTGCTTTCGAACCATTTTCCTTTTCTATCATCGCTTGTAACTTCGTTTCTTGACTGAGTAATTTGCTACGTTCCTGATCGCATTCTAACACGGACTCCAGAGCGGACGTATCGTCACCGGCTACTTCCTGCTCGACGTGCAACACTCGCACATGTAATGGTATTCTCAATTGTTTGCTACAAATCAATCGGAATTTTAATCTTATTACCTCCATAATTAATTAATTTAATGTGTTACAGTAAAAATTAATTCAGCGATTCTAAGGTAAAAACTAGTTTTTTTTTTAATAACTACCGTTTTTATGAAAACATTAATTATTTTTATGATAACAGATATATTATTCGCGAATGAATAATAGTGACTGTGTTACAATACCTAGATATCATCCGAAGTAAGGTGGTTTTGCCGAGCCCATTTCTACCTATTAGGCCATACCGTCTCCCAAATGCAAGCATTAAATCAGCACTACGCAGCAATACTCTATCACCGTATGCGACATCAAAATTTTCTATTCTGATGTCTTGAGTTTTATTTACTCCGCCTTTAGTTTCCATTCGACTGTCTTTTTTACTTGTCATTTGGCTGGCACTAGCACTTGATTCAGTCACATTATTGGCAGTATTAATACGACTGGCTGATCCTTGTTCATTTACAATTCGTTTCTCTTGTTTTTGTTGCAATTTTGCTTCAGCTTTCTCCAGCTTTTTAGCATCAACTTTCTATTATGTAAATAAACAATGTTTATATAATTTATATTTGTGTAGTAAACAATATGAAAATAGAAAATATATACTTTATGTGATATAACTTAGTGAAACTGCATTTATTACTTGGAACATATATGATAAATTTGTAATAATATATATTACCATGGCGTCATCTCTAGTTGTGACCCATATACTTTTAATTTGTTCAACTTGAGCCTCTAAGGTAGCAGCCAGAGCACCCAAATGTACTGGAGCATTCAATACTTTATTAACACCATTTTTCCTCCTCTCTATGTTATCCTCGTTGGTACTACCTTTTAATAACTCTAATAATTTCACACATATTTGTCTGTATATAAAGATTACAATTAGTTTAAATTGCAACTGCATCCAGTTTTTTATATAATGGTAAATATTTGTTCAGACGGATAAATATTATATTAACGTAATACAGGGATAACAAATGTGAATGCACATTTACAGACCTAACCTCGATTTCTGGCTTGTCCGCCACTTCGTGCAGCACCTCGCCTATTGCCTCGTACACCTCATCACCATCCTCGAAGTCGTCCTTGGAACTGTCTAGGATACCTTCGTACACGAGAATATACACGTCAAAAAATAGCTTTCGCAGTATTGAACGAGTTCAAGCAACTTGCACAAGGCTTTCCCTTAGGTTATTTTATGAAACATACCTTCCACATATTGATACAGATCGTCGTCTATCGTCGGGAATTGACTACGGATATATTCACCACAGATCGCCATGTTATAATATACTCTGATTAAGAATAAATGATGTAAAAATTGTAATCCTAACCAGGACGTAACGCCGAAGTGGGTCTCACTTGACAGATCGGACGTCAAACCCAGTCAGATCACCACCGAGAGCCGTGAACACATGTTCGTGCCGTTTTTACATGGCTCGCTTAGTCAAAAACATATCGGTATATATATTGGCATGGAAATATAAAATACAGGAAATTTTTAAACCTCTTCTTGCCTGATTGTAATTTTTTAGAAATTAGCTCGAGTGCTCATTGTATCCTGCAACATTTTCGATCGTTGATTTTTTATACGTTAAACGATCATTGTAGTAGTTGCCATTTTGCAGTTGTCAAATGTTATGGGAGGTTCACATTGCGTTGATGTCTGATACACGACATTCGATATCCAATAGGACAGCTTGTTTCTTAGGAATTTTAATTCCTTACATTTTGCCTCTAGAAAGTAAACTTTTCTATTGGCTGTCGAGTATTGTGCATCTCAAGATCGAATTCAGTGCAAATCCTTCGTAATACATGAAGTTTAGTCAAAAGATATTGTTGATTTTTGAGATTCGGCCGTGTCGTCTTGGTCCGGTTGAGTTTGACGGGTATATTTGCGATCGTTATTCTGTACGATGAGTACAAGTGTCAATTTTTAGGTTAGTTAAGACTTGCACTGTCGTTTGTTAAGTGTAATTCCGCATATTTCGCTATGTTCTTCATTGTAAATAATTGTCGACAATGGTTCGGGTAAATTGAAGCTTTGCGGCCGTGTTAAATTTTTGCGTTGTCAGAAATGTCATTGATTCTGAAGATTGTTTCGACATATCTTCGCTGAAGTTGAGAGAATCGAGAATATTTTGTGAATGACGCCGAGGAAGCTACATTGACGAAAATTCACGAGAATTATAGAGACAATGGCGACCGATGTCGAGGAATCGGATACAGACGAACATGAGAGACCTATTCCCCCTAAGCGACAGTGCATGCGATTATCCAAGGTCAATGAAACTTGTTGGAATACGGTAATTATTCGTAGGAACGACGCAACGATATCTGTGCTCTGTATTATTTCTACTATATTATATTCATTGATAATTACACAAATAAACGTGACTCCTCTATTTGTTGATAAACTATATCACTAATTTCTGGCTCCTTCTGATGATCGTTTTGCTATAAATTTTACAATAAAAATAATGTGCCCTTATATGATGCTTATATTTTATATTTTATAAAAAAAATAACCATGAAATGTATATGAAAAAAAAATTATTGCTCTAGGAGCAACACATGAATATAAACATGGAGATGATGGAAGATAATTTAGAGAATAATGACTATGATGAAGTAGAAAGACACGCAAGGGAGAAGCTTAAAAGGTGGCAAGCTTTCCAAGCTGCCAAAGGAACTATGGACAATACTGTCAATAAAGTTTTAGAGGATTGCAATATGATAACAGCACTTGATTGTCTGGAAGAGGATCTTACTGAGGGATTATTCCGTTTCTTCCGAGAAAATGACATGGAAGATACAGCAGTGATGATGGCAATTCGGAATTATGGCTTAGTCCAATCAGTTGAGCCTGTGTCTCAGTCTCATGATGATAAGACTCCAGACTATCGGGCCGATAGTGATTACATAGGTGTGCATTGTTCTTTTCCATCTAATCATATACAGGATATCAAAGACTTGCCAGCCACTTTGCCCACAACATCCACAAATCCTTCACGATTAAGCAATTCTATAGAAATGGGAAGATGCAATGCAACAAATTTGGATGAAGATAAAATATACGACAGTGATCAGCCGGAAGATTTCTTGGAACGAGCTGTGGCAGAAGCAATCAAGAAGAAAGGCTTGAGTGCTTTGAGTGTGGATTACTGATGAATAAGCTGATTAACAGCCTCATTCCTTTGGTGTATTTACATAGTAGCATAATGCATCTAATTGTTGTGCTCTGTGAACTTACTGCGATTCGTAATATTTTATTTTATTGTTGACTTTTATCATACAACAGCTACAATGCATTTTATCATATGTATTAGAATACTTTTTATTCAAATGTATACATTCCAATGTAGCAACTTGCTTATGAAAGATATGATTTGTGATCTGTTATATTTAGTCATGTGAAAGATAACTTGAAACATAATCGGTTTTTTGATGATTAACCTTTTTTAATAGCCAGCTACCGCTCATAGTATTAATACCATATATTTCTACAAATATACATAAAAAAATATATATTTATGTTAAGTCAAATTAGCTTTGTAAACAATACATACTTGAGAAGCATGATCAGTTATTTTAATTATAGCATAAAATTTATTTTTATCAAGAACATGTTCCTTTAATTCTCATATTTTTTAGACTTCTTTTATTGTAGTTTCTGCACATTAATTATAATGTGCATTTTAGATACCCTTTTCCCTTTTTCCTATTGATGACAGAATCAAATGATAAAAATAAGATAAACTACTTCCTGAAGAATAAATTTAATTGACTGTCCAACTGTTTGTGACTGTTTAGTTATTGAAATAACTAAAAAACAAATCTAAATTATTACATATGAAACATTTGTATGATACATCTGATATATACTACAGTGAATAACACTATGAAGATAATAGTCATGTATTATATAATAATTAAATGACTATAATCGATATATTTGTTAGCCAAAGAATTTCTAGAATCTTTGAAAATATTTTTGGGGTTCTATATTCTATATTCTAGTTTATAAATTGGGGAGTATTATATTTAGGAGTATGTATTTAGGATTAAATATAAAAAAAACAATTTCTTTTCAGAGTCTTGTTAAAGATGGTTTACATGTTCTCATTGTCCAAAAAATATCGTTAAAAAGGACGAGATTACCATTGTTCACTGCTTGCACCTCCCCAGCTCTGAGCAGGGGCAGTTGCTACAGATGTTGACCATTCTTCTGGAGGCTGAAAATAGCAATTCGAATTAAAAATTATTCACATGAGAATTATTCAATGAATATTATTGCATAAAGATTGACATATTGAATAATTTAAAGTACATATAAATATCAATGATTATATATTTCTTACCTGTGCAGCCCAATCACCACCTGTTTGGAAAGGTTGTGTAGTATTAGCTGCTGGTGGAATAGGGGCAGCCGTTGGCGGCGCTACGTCGTCAGCCCAGTTCTCCGTAGTCACAGCAGTCGTCTCAACTTCATTCGCCCAACCGGGTTCTGGCGCAGGAACCGTAGCTTCAACTGTGGTACTCGTGAACTCCTTGGCTGGTGCGATTTCTTTCGCCGCTTGTTCCTCCTTCTCTGCCTAGAAAAACAAAGAAAATGAAACATCTCGTGCACTTTTATTGTTCCTATATCGAATATTAAAAAAAGAAAAAAAAGCCGAACAAATAAACTTTTTATCTTTATTTATATTTTTCTGGTTTCTGCTAATAAAATTAGCAGAAAAGATCAAGAAAAAAAGAACAAAGTCCAGAAGAAAAATAAAAAATATGAAAATTATTACGAACTTCTTCAGGATCTCTATAGAAAAAGAGGTCCACCATTACATCCCACTTAGTCTCACGTGGAATGGAACCTCTCAGTCGCAAAACTTCCCTGGTGAGAAGCCACCACATCAAACCGACAGTAAGCACACTCTTAGTATTGCAAGGAATCGCAATATCTACAAAACGCAATGGTGAATCAGTATTGCAGAAAGCGATCACAGGAATGTTCACATAGCTTGCTTCAGTGATGGGTTGATGATCAGTAGATGGATCCGTAACAACCAACAGACGTGGCTCACGGAAAGCAGCCTGCAAAACAAGATAGAGTTATAAAAATGTACTCATATATAAACATGCAATGAGAAATGTTAAAATTTTATCAGAAAAGATTAAGCCATAAAACAACCAACATATTTCTTTCTGGTTTCTATTGTTTCATCACTTATGACATATATATTATATATATATATATATATTCATTTAATTAACAAATCATGGTTGACATTATCATACCTGGATCTGATTAGTAAATGCACCAGGAGTGAAACGTCCGGCAATAGGAGTAGCACCTGTATGAGCTGCAAACTTGAGTACAGCTCTTTGACCCACATGACGACAACTAACAGCAAAGACTTCGCTAGGATGTTCAATGGCAACAATTGCACGAGCTGCAAGAAGCAACTTTTCCCATGTATGGCGAATGTCAATTATATTTATACCTGCACCTGTAGAATATTATATAAATTAGAAAAATAGACATAAATTGAAAAGTATTAGATCTATATTGAGCACTTACCATCTACTCTTTTTTTATAGACATATCGCTCCATTTGAAAGTTGACATTCTCTGCGCCCAAATGAGCAGAAGCAACCAGCAATTTGGTAACATCATCTTCCTTAAGGGCCAATACATCTAAACCTCCTGACATTTTAACGTTTTGATTGAATTACGAATCAACCTAAAAAAATTTCTTTCCAAATTATGTTTTCTTATATTTTATCATCAAAGTATAATATATTTCATCAAGCTCAAAATATGTTTTTATAAGTTACATCTTTCAAATTATTATTCTCTATTGATTATGGGTCTGTTCTTTATAGCTGCACTACTGAACTAGTGCAATAAGTTAAAATGAGACAACTATATTTTTTCTCATTCTAACTTATTGCACTAGTTCAGCAGTGCAGCTATAGGCTGCGTTCCGATATTCACTGCCAGCACTGAAATTCTATAACATATGTGACACAAACTATATATTTTCAGTACTGGCAGTGAATTTCGGAACGCAGCCATAAAGAACAGACCATATATTCAAGTATTAGAAGCGATGTAACTTAACCTTAAAACCACATATGGATTATAAGATTAAATTTTCAATTTATTTATCTATGTTTGTATAAATACTAATTAATAACGAAAATCGCCGCTTAAATTTATATGTTTAACGATTAAGTTTAAATATATATATATATATATTTTAAACGTACAGAAATGCCACGTGTTCTCAGTATATATTTCGCGATTTCCAATGATTAATAGTTACTAAAATATAATTTACCAAAAACAATACTTAAAACTCACTATTACTTCAAATTTTTCTACTTTGTTGAATTTTTATATATAAAACATTGAAAATTATAGAAAAATATTGTGGAACTTACGTTATTACATGCCACTAGGAGACCTTCGATTAAAAAGGAACTTCTTTCCTGTACTGGCATAGTTCATAGTTCAATAGATGGCTCCAAGCAGAACAGTTCTGCTCCAATGCCAGTCATCGTTTCCATGAGATAAGATGTAAAATTAAATAGTCTGATTGGTGCGAGTGAGGAACTTGGCTATTTCCTGAAAAGCTGGGAGATTATTTATATCGAATTTCTATATTCTATCCTGTTGGCTATCCTGTTGACAGTATAATCATGGCAGATTGAGTGGATGAAGTAGTATAGCCGGTTTTCATGTCCGTCTTATATTCAAGATGAGTTTAATTTATCTTTAGATAATATAGGGATTGTTTCATTGGTTATAGAATATCTCAGGATGAATCAAAACTGTCTTAAATATAAAAACAGACATTAAAGCCAGCGGCACACGGTGCTTGTTTTCGTGCTGGATTGCTTGCTGGATGAAAATACTGCGTTTTGATTGGTGCATTTCCATCCATCTTCGGAAATGTACCAATCAGAACGCAGTATTTTCATCCAGCAAGCAATCCAGCACGAAACAAGCACCGTGTGCCGCTGGCTTAAAGCCCGTATCAGACTATGGATTGGGATTGAGATTAGATTGAAATTTGACCAATTGAAAAAGAGAAAATAATCTTAAGTACAGTAAACTTACTCCTGATTGGTTAAATTTCAACCCAATACTCAATCCCAATCCGTAGTCTGATACAGGCTCAAGATGCTTCCGAAACGTCTAGAGTTAGGTCGAGTTTGGTCGAGTTAAGTTAGTTTCACTATAGTATCCATTACATATACTATAGTAGAACTAACTCAACTCGATCCAACCCTTGGACATTTCGAAAGCACCCTATGGTTGCGTTCCGATATTCACTGCCAGCACTGAAAGTCTATAGTATACGCAACACAAACTATCTATTTTCAGTACTGGCAGTGAATATCGGAACGCAGCTTATAATACCGGCTACATTAGTGCATTCAGTCGAATTTGTCGTCAAATCCGTGGAAAATAATTATATTTGCGTGAAATAACTCTACCGGTAATAGTAGAAGTATTTTTGGATAATTCTAAGATTCGTCTTTATATTTATAATGAATTTTATACTTTATCTTAACCTAGTGTTACTTCCCAATAATTTATACTACAATTTTTTTATAGATATTTATATAACATTTTACACATAAACATTTATATGAAAGATATATGTACTACTTCACTAGTATCAATTGTACTTTTGATTAGAAAATAGTTGAAATAATTTTATTTTTATTGCAGTTATATTATTAAAAAAATGTGGCCTTTAATAGTGAGATCCTTAGGCAAGTTTGGCAAATATGCTACATTTCCTTTTGTTGCTGTTATTGGATATATTGGATACAATATGGAAGGTTGGATATCTGATCGTTATACACCTCCGACAGCACCTATTACACAACAACGGCAGGAAAGATTATTGGAAAATATAGATTCTTCCATTACCAAGAAGAAACACAATCCTTTAGAAGTTAATCTTTCACCATCATTATCTAATTAAATGTAAGTTATATTGCAGTTTGTTAGTTTTATATATATATATATATGTTTTCTTTTAGATAAAAATTTTAATATTTGTCAAGTTTGAGTATTTTGTATTCTATATTCCATGGAGATAAAGTTGTTAAATTAAGTTTGACTATATGAGTTTGACTAGGTTATAAATATTTAAATGTATTCTAGTGATAATAATTACAAGTAATTGACAATATAATATCTTTTATTGGTTAATATTTGGTACAATATATCTTTTATTGGTTAATATTTATTTGATTTTCCAGTTTATAATTTATAGTTATAATAAGTGAAGAATCTGTGTATGTTATATTTCCACTCCAAACTTATATACAACTATGTGCTCATATACATCTCCTGGTCGCAGTACACTATTAGGAAAGTTTTTCTGCAAAGAGTAATATAAAATTAATGCATAATCCTTAAACATTATGATCACCAAAATAAATTGAAGAATTATGCTATGAATTGAAATCTATGTTTAAGTCCCAACATATACTTCTATTATATATATCTTATTTATATTTTATTTCTACTTATGACATTATGATAAAATTAATGATAGTGCGATAAAACTAGATGCATTTTTTGCAGGAAATTATTAGGTCTTATTAAACCATATAACTATTTTCTAAGAAGGCTTACATTGTTTATAGCATCAGGATAATTTTGCGTTTCCAAACAGAAGGCAGCATGTTTAAAGTATTGCGCTCCATTTTTGCCTATAACAGCCGTGTCATTCCTCTCGGGCAAAGAATTAGATGTGTAAAATTGTACACCAGGCTGATTCGAATACACGTCTAAACGTCTTCCTGTGGCTGGGTGTACAACTTTGGCAACAAAACTAATCTTTCTATTGTCGTGTGGTAGCGGCAAGCAAAAATTATAGTCGTAACCACCACCTGGAACCTTGTCAATAACGTCACCAAGCGTAGTTGCATTCCTGAGGTCCATCACACTATTCTCGACCGCTCGTATCTCACCGGTGGGAATACTGCCCGAATCAGTGACGGTCCAATGATCCGTGTTGAACATAAATACATGTTTATATAACTCCGCTGCGTTCGTAGCCTGGAAACATTTAAGAGTAATGATATGCAATAGAGCTCTTTGTAATTAATCGATCCATTACGTTCCTAAAATTGATGAAGCAATTATAAAACAGAACATTTAAATAACAGCTATGCAATTACAATAGAATATATAATAAGCAGTAAAAAGAAAGTTCTCCAATGCTTTGGATACAATATTTTGAAGGAATTAGAGTAGCCTTTACATTATTCGTTATTTACGCTACCTCTAATTCGTTCTGATCCTTTGCATGTAAGTAAAATATGTATTGACTGTAGAAAAGATCTTGCGGATCTTTTTTGAGATCAATGTCTTATTTGTGCTGAATTAAAGAAAAATATGCTACGTACATGTCCAGCGAGATTAAAGTAGCTGTGATTTGTTAAGTTGATCGGCGTTGCTTTTGGAGAGGTGGCTTTCATCTTTATGCGTAATTCTCCATCGTCGCTCAGTTGGAAGGTAGTCGTGGCTGTTACCGTTCCTGGGTAACCCTCGTCGCCGTCCGGACTAATTAGAGTCATTACTACGCAATCATTTTCCACCGTGGCGTTCCATAATTTCATACTCCAACCGTGAGTACCACCATGAAGACTGTCTTCATTTATGTTGACCGACACGTTGTAGCGTTGACCGTCCACGATGAAAGTTGCCTTCCCGATGCGATTTGCGACTCGGCCGATAGTAGCACCAAAGTATGGATTATTTGGCGATAGATATCCTGAAGACGATCACCGTATTCGTCAATATTGATCTTGTTTTACACAATATTATAATATAATAATAAGTAACACACATGTAGATCTTAAATTAGAAGAGTAAATGCATAGATCTATAAATTTATCGCTACTAAAACAGTCGTATGAATTATGCTGAAATTGTTGGTACAAATTCTTAATATATTCAGTTTAATAGTTTATATATTCGTTATATATCGTTTGAAGAATTTTTGTTCAATTCTGAAATGTAGATTATTATAAATGCTCAGATACTATTTTTTAATCACTCTTTATATTTTCAACTTGTAAATATTTTAAATTAAAACAAATTTTAATTTGTTCTGATTCTTTAGTTTTCATGAATTAATTACAATGTAATATTTACTCGGTCAAATATTTTATTGAGCATGATTTTATTCTTTCATACAAATGAACTTACGAAAATACCTTCAATATTGTCGAAACCAAGTACTACATCCTCTATGTTACCATGCTTGTCTGGTGTTCTAATAGCAGTCACAGTCGCGCCATACGTCACAATGTCAACTTCCTGACCAACTTTATTTTTCAATGTGAACTTTTTTACTTCCTGACCATTCACTGTACCCCAAGTTGTCATTGTAATGGTTCCTTGCACCATAGTCGTCCTAAAAATTTAATATGACCAAATTTAATATGACAATATGGCAATTACGCAATTTTCATTATCATTGGCAAGCCTGAGAATTTCTTTTACGACGGATAAAATTGTGACTTTGATATTTATCAATAATTGTCTTTGATTTGAATCATAAAAGTGACAAAATTTGAGCAGAATATGTATGTTGTTTTAATGAAATGAACCAGAAGACAAACATTATTTAAAAAGAATGACTTAATAACTCAATCATTCGTGGCGACTGAAAAGATAAGACTCGTGACGTCCATATGCTCTACACTTGTATGTATGTGAGATAATACTACGTATATTTGAACAAATGCAAATTGTCTGTTAACCAATTAATGATTAATTAACATACATTGACACTAATATCTTAAATAATAAAATAATAAAAAAGACTGAATTAATAGAATAAGATATTTTTATTTAACCTTTTCTTGCAAAATTGTCGACTTCTATTTAATATTTTGTTATCATATATCAATTTGAAAATATAATTTGCACATAAATTATGTACACATGATTTAAATAAATTTCTTAAATATTTCTCTTAATATCTTAAATATTTCAAAGCATTTAATTTTTGATAAATATATATTAATATTTATAATATATACATTATATATTCAATATGTGAGTTAATTATATTTAAATTAATGTATTGTATATAACATGCAATTTCAAGATCTGCAATATTGGTGTGCAATACAAATTACTATAATAAATGTTGATGTCCAATAATACAAGTTGCTATAATAAAGAGTTACAATATTACTTGAAAGTTACAGTGGCAGTTTCTTCTTTAATAATTTAAATTTTATCTTTGGCCATATTTGTTATTAAATATCATTATTCAGAAAAATAGAAATTTCATATTTTTATAATCTTGTTGGCTACAATCTTAAATATTTTTATCATGGAGATAACAAATAAAATATTAAATATATAAATAAATATTTCTCACCTTAACCAGGAAAATCCAATTAAAAACAGAAAAAGATGATACATAAACATGGTTGATAAAAAATTTTGACAAAATATACTTCACAGATATATATTCGCGATAATCACTATAACAGCTTTTGATATCATGAACACCACGTACATTCTGGGAGCATCAGAGACAATGTGTCAGACTTTTATTTCAGATATAATCCACGCCATCTGTGTGAAACATTTCATCCTTGTTTAAAGTATGAGAACTGTTACATAATTAACCAAGGATAACAGGATGTTATATGGGTGTTTAGAAAGTGCTGCACATGATTGACCAAGGATAAAAATGTTAGATTATATATAGTATTATAGTAAATGTTATTTGTTCAAAGTTATATTCAGTGAAGAAAGATTCCAGAGAAAATACCTGAATATTTATCTTAAAATCTACTAACAAAATCTATATTTAAAAAGATATTTAAAGATAAATTATAAGATATATATTAAGATATATTTAGAAAGATATAAAACCTAGGGAAAGCTATTAATAAGTTCATAAAAGACCATACACACACATACAAATACAAATTCCATTAACTTAGAGTATTATAAATTAAAATAATTTAGAAATAAGATAAATTGTTGTGAATATTATGAGAAAAGCTTATGAAAAATTGAAAGAAAATAAAAGAAATAAAAATATATAAAGAAAATAGGAATATATCTCACAAATTTTATATTTTCATGAACAGGAGCTAATTTCACAACTGTTTATTTCCTGTTTATAATTTTTTAAAGCAGTTTCTCAAGCTTTTATGAAAGTTATAAAATAAGCTTTATACAAGTATTTCTCATAAATATAAGAATATATTAGTACTAATCTGATATAAACATCAGTTTTCATTACATATAATTGAATATTTTCTCTTACGCTTATTTCTACTTTTTGTTTACTATTGTTATTAGGATATTTTATGATTTTAATAAATCATATCTGTCACATTATTAGAATATATTTTTGTATTACAATTTTATTATCTCAGTTAAGATTACCAGAGAATGCAGATCAATCTTGATTCATTGTTGGAGTTTTCATTTCAATTGCATTTACCAAAGCAGCTGTAATATTCATTTCCTCTTGTATGTTTTTAAATTTCCGGTTAATATTATGAGTAGTTTTTTGAATAGCTTGCAGATTCTGTAACAGATTAAAGGAAAATGTATATTACAGTAGGATTTTTATACATTACGTGTGTAATGTATGTATAAAAATATATTATTTCTAAAACTACTGTACTTTTATCTAACCTAACCATTCTTATATTTGCATAAAGTGCCATTTCTTGTTCCTCTGTATATCTAACAGATGATTCGTTGTAGGAATATAAAGATGAAGAAATTGATGAATTGGCCATAATAGAAAAATATATGATACTAACATATAATCACCTCATTTAATTATACAATATAATCAATCAAGTCATAAAAGTACATATATTGATAATTTCAAACAATCAGTATTTACTCGCCATCTACCGGTGTCTTAATACAACTATTTTATGTGACTCAAGTTAACGATAAGTCAGACGGATTTTTAAGCCAGCGGCACACGGTGCTTGTTTTCGTGCTGGATTGCTTGCTGGATGAAAATACTGCGTTCTGATTGGTGCATTTCCATCCATCTTCGGAAATGTACCAATCAGAATGCAGTATTTTCATTTAGCAAGCAATCCAGCACGAAAACAAGCACCGTGTGCCGCTGGCTTTAGATGGATAATCGAATTTAGAAACATCAATAAACATCGGTTGTGTTCCGATATTCACTGCTAGCACTGAAAATCTATAATATATGTGACACAAACTATGTATTTTCCATAGGCATAGGGCCAACGGCGCGATTCTTTAACTCGTTATTGGAGTTAACGACACTTTCATTATCGTTGCGCAGCTTTTGTATACCGTAGAAAAGCTGCGCAACGATAACGAAACTGTCATTAACTCCAATAACGAGTTAAAGAATCGCGCTGCTGAGCACAGACTTCTGCATAACGCATAATACATAACGCATAAGAGAATCAACCAATCAGAGTTCTTCATTTCTGTCCTGAGGAGGGAAATGAAGAACTCTGATTGGTTGATTCTCGTATGCGTTGTGTATTATGCGTTATGCAGAAGTCTGTGCTCTGGTCCATAGGGCCAGCTGAAAGGAACAGACCACTTGTCGGACGTTTCGATTAGTTATCAAATAGAGAATTTCCAGGTTGTTTAACTTTTTCTCTATGCACCCTAGACATTTTTTATATGGCAGTCAATCGGAACGTCCGATACGCTTGTCGCACGATGCATGTAAATTAACCTAATGCGCATGCGCAAAAATATCCCATCTCTTCGCTACCTAGACTACTCGAATATTCCATTCAGACGCCATTGCTATAGTTGCATTTACGGCGTTAGGATCCTTTTACGAAAGAGTCATTTCTGAAATTAGATCAAAAGTAATTTTGTCTAATCTTTGGTATATAACATTAATTTCGATACATCACGATGCCTTCCACGAATATTCAGGATGATCCGTATGCATACGCTGCAAAAGGACTGCTGAAATTGAAAAATGACCAGACAGTGAGCATAAAGTAAGAATTTTATTCAATACATCTGCATTGCTTTGAGATGCTTTCGTTCCGAGAGCATCATTGTAATGCTAATGTACAATTTTTCTTTTATAGAAGAAAGGAGAAAAATGAGAAGAAAAAGCTAGTAGAAGTATCGAAAGTTATTGAGAAACAGACATCTCAAAGGACAGAAGTAAAACGAACAAAAGCTGAGCTGGCATTCCAAAAAATGCAAGAAAAGATGGTATGCCATTCAACGCAATATTATAATATTAAGGAGAGATAAATATATCATTTAAAATATATTATTTTGGAATTGTTTGTTGAAATATTGAGTTTATATATTATTTATTATCTTTTATTGTTAAGTATTTTGTACTATATTTGAGTAAAAATACTTAGATTTTTTTGTGCAAGGTTTCTATTTACTCCATGATCATCTTAATTAGTATATTCTACAATAATTTATAGATTGTTAAAACAAAAATAATGTTCAAACTATTTTACAAATATGCTCAGTTGATTGCAATTATTATTTTATGAATGCTATATTTGAATTATTTATCATATCAATTTTCAAACAATAAATAATTTGCAAGTATTTTTAATAATAATCATATTTCTTTACAGCAAACTGAACGGATTAAAGAAAAAGCCTCCAAAACCCATAAACAACGTGTGGAGGAGTTTAATCGTCATTTGGACAGCTTAACTGAACACTTTGATATACCTAAAGTTAGCTGGACCAAATAAATGTTTGTGTCGTATCTGATGTATATATTGTAAATATACAGTTATATGTATTTGTAATTATAACTGTTAGATTATCTTTAATCTATAAATATTTAGTTATATAACTATTTAGTAATTATATCGCTGTTGCGCTTATTTCGATATTGTGATTTGCTGACAAAATTATGTCATTGTGATTTGGTAACATTAACTTTACCAATGTATTATACAAATATATATTTAATTAGGTATATCTGTTAAGTCGAGAAAGGAATACCAGAGTAGTTCCCCCGACTTCCCCATTCTGGCCTGGCTAGTAGGCATCCCGGTGGGTTTTTAGTCAGTAAAAGTCTGACATAGCCCCTACCTCTCCAAGGGGCAGAGGTATCCATGAGGATTTCCCCACCGTTATAAAAAAAAAAAAAAAAAAAAAATATCTGTTAACATGAAAAACAAGCATATACATATAATCGGGAAAATAGCGAAAAATGCATATTTAGATACGTATTATATTTTTAATATATTGAAACAAAGGATACAGCTCCGAATGAATCACGGACCATAAAGTATTAAATTAAATATTTTTCACTTATATAAGTTACTATATAAGTTAAATATATTATTTGTAAAAATATATTTGATAGTTTGTTAAAGTATTTCCGTAAATATAAGGACTATTAAGATAAAATATAAAAATTGTATTTATTTTATAAATATAAAATTTCCTTTTACATTCAGTATAATCATTTGAGATTCTTTGTAATTTTTAAATGGACGGAGCTTCGATGAAGAAATACATTACATTAAAACATTGTACATTGTATGTTCATAATATTGAAACTAAGAGTATTCATATATCAAGGAGATGCTAAAAAAGTATTTTAATATATATATATACCAATCCAATATACATATATATATATATATATACCAATGCATATATATACCAAACTATAATATAAAAAGTTGAACTTGAATTCACAATTTTACAGATTTACGAATTGAGATTTTCATAAAACTTGTCAAGAACTAAATTATAAAATTTAATAAACTAAATTTTTAATTAGCATTTCTTAATAGCTAATTTTACAGGATTAAATCTTTAAGTATTTCATCAATGATTTAAAGCACTTATTACCATATAATTACAAAATAGACGAAATATAGTTAGTACTGAATGAACCATCGCAAGAACAATTTAGAACATATGGAAGCGATTTGTTTCGCCTTCAATATTTATAGCTGAGCTTTACGAGAATTAAAATATAAGTTATCTCTCAAATAAAATTATTTACATGTCTATAGAGTAAAGTGCTATTATCAATGGTATAATTAACAAAAATGAGAAATAACTTTTTATATTAGCGTCACTTCCAAACTTAAAGATATTGATGAAATTCTCTGTTTCATGCCAAGGGTCGGATCCGTCGTCGAAATGCATCGGACATTGGTCACGTTCTCGCTCGTATTCCTGCAAATTGTTACAATAGTTGTATCAGTTTTATCTTGGATTATAATAAGTAAGAAAAAATATTTATACATAACTTTTCTTAAAAATTATCTAAAAAATATAAAGTCAGATGTATTTTTTTACCCATGCTACATAGTTTATTATGATCTCAAAGAGAAACATCATTCATGAGAATTTTACCTGTAACTCTAGCGCAACTGCAGCGCCTTCTGTGTAGTTTTGACTCGTAACATCTTGTTTGAGATCGCAAAATGGACCGATAGCTTGAGACAAAAGCACTCGATTCAAATCAGCCCGCTGGTACACCCAACAGCGATATTTACTGTAAGGATCTAATTCGTCATATGTTATCAAATATGATTTTAAGTTTTCCTTCCAGAATCCGATGCATTTCATCACGTAGTCCGGATCACCTGTAAAATTTTGTTATAGATAGAAATGCGTGTGCATTTACCAGACATGTGATGTGCAAAACTTACTGTAAATATCAACTGGTTTTCCTAAGTAATCTACTGATAAGCAATACGTTTCGTCGATGGCAATTTCCTTTTGATCAGTACTGCAAACTGAGAAATCAGAAATATTCTGTTTACAATAGATATTCGGACGCGGAGATTTAGTGACACCGCCTAGAATCCTGGTTTCAAACAGGACATCCCCTTTCTGTTGGAACATAAATTTGCCAGCTACTGGACAACGTATTGGGACAGGATTTTGCGCTAATAAAAAGAAAAAGAAAATAAATTACAAACACTGTAGCACAATTGAACCGTAATTTGATAATGAACTCGTTCGTAAATGGGTACGAAATATATGATAGAATTTAAACATTATATATTGTACAATTACCTAAAAATAGATCATATTTCCAAGCATCTTTATTAGGAAATTGAACCCAAGAGCATACTGTATGAAAATCGTCCTTTATCACTGCCACACCACGTCGATATCTGATAACATTATGATGTCGCCTCACAAAATCAAAGCAAACGTAATCCTTTTGGCTATAAACGTTATTTAATATAGATAATATAGAAATATTTCATATATATACATATATCATTTAATATAAATCAGTCCTGTGCCATCCTATTTGAGGAAACGAATAAAACACTAAGGTTGATACATTCGAAAGGTCCATGTTTTTACATATTTCAATCATACTTTAGCTATATTTAAATCGCGTACAGGAACACTTTTAATCAAGGTGTTTAATATAATATAAATATTTACATATTTAAACATACCATCCATCCACAGTCAGTCTTGCCATCATCACTCTTGAACCCCTCTGTTCACGGCAAACATAAATTGTGCGTCGATAACGCCCTTCATCTGGATACCATGTCTCAATAATGTGTGTCTCATTAATGAAGATGTCTGCATCAATGTTAGCGGTATTAATCCAATTCCCGGACATGTCTTGAGGTAAACGGCAACCTGGTTCAACTATTTCAGCCTTAACTGGAGTAATCCTCAAACGTTCAGGGCTCTTCTCAACAGTTTTAAGAGTATTACACTCCGCAGTAATAGATACACCAATATACAAATCGTCGTCACGATTTTTTAAGAAGCATCTGTACTTCTCGTCCTTCCGGGATTCCTTTGTATTTGCTACAGCGAAAAAGTGATTCTTATCCACGAACCAATCACCCAAGCAACTGTACTCCACCACTGTAACAAAACAATGCTCAAAGTTTTTGCATTTCAAAATATATAAACATATTTTACAAGCTGAGTATTTAACATAGAAAGAAAAAGGAACTTAAATATATCACCTCCATCAAAAGTCCCTTTCATTCCAGGGCATTGTTTGTAAGTAATGTTGAATTTCTGATTAGTTATGAGAAATTGAGTTCCTGCAGTTTGACAAGATTTTATTTGTGCATCTGGATTATTACATTCACCCGTAAATCGGAATCGGTTCTGAAATAATAATAATATAATAAGATATATTTATCAGGTGTTATAATTAATACTGTGTATTATCTTACTTGATAAGCAAACTGCCAGACTCCTTCCAGAGATGATCTGCAGTTCACAGGTACATAATTTTCAGAAAACAATGTTATCAGCTGCTGATTTGCACTTAAACCTTGGCAAACAAAATCTACTGTGGGTTCTAATCCATCAGGGACATTTACACAACTTACTGCAATAAAATTCTATAATAAGTAAATGTATTCAGAATTCTTAGACAAATAATTTTTCAATATAGTCAACACAGACTGACTTGTTATTTACCTTCAAGTTTTTCTATGACATTTACTGTCCTAATAATGAGTTTTACACAGTGATAACAGCTATTGTGTATATCTTGATTAGGATCACGAAATACAAATGTATAATTGATATGATATGCTTCTACCATATTTACACATATACCTCGCCCAGTCATGCTATTAGCATTTATCTCTGTTAAAGTATTTCTACCATTTTCCCATGAAAACCAAGATCCTCTGATGACAGGTGGAATTTGACAACCACCTGTATTTTGAGCTATAGCAACTGTTGAATAATAATATATTATTAATACACACAATGAAATAATTTCTTAAACATACTTCATTTGTTTTGATAAATTGTATAATAATTACATAACCATTGTTTTACAAATATCATACATAAAAAACATAAAACAAATCAATTTAACAGAAGTAATAAACAAATATAAATATATAAAATAATACAGTAGAATTATGAGTTTTTGATTTACTTCAATTAAAAAATAAGAATAATTTGTATACAAATATACAGAATAAAAAGTACTTAAAACATATTATCTTAATAACTTATATCATTATGATCAAAATGATAAAAACAAATACTTTAGATAAAATTTGTTTAGTTTTATGGGTAATATACAATGAGGATATTAAATGACATTTATGGTATACATCATATATTAAAGTGTACATATCATTGTATATATATATATATATATATATCTTAAAATATTCATCATTAACCACTATTAATGATGACTATTAAAATAGTCATCATTACTCATGAAACTAAACAAATTTTATATAAATATTTTTTATTACTAAAAAAAAAATGTCAAGGTAGGGTCTGTTATAAATGTTTAATGGTTTATATCATTATGTCATCAATTTTCCTCGAAAATAATTGTGCCTATATATTTGACTCGTTCAACTTTATAAAGTTAACAGAATATCATAATATAAAATTATGATTTAACTTACCATGCCACGCAAGACATGTTATGAGTAACAATATGTAGGATAAGTTTTCCATTTTATTATATCATTTAGAAAAATGAAAATAACAATAAACGTATTTATTGAGATGCAGGAAATATTAACTGACGAATTTGAGGAAAACCTAAAACACACGCCCAATCTTATTAAGCATCGTTTTGAAGTCAACTACATGACGCATATCTTCAAGTGCTATCGCATTTGTCATTCAGAATAATGACCAACTGGATTGGTTGATAATAAAGTATTTTTGAGAACTAGAGCTATATTTTATTGGTTACATATTATCTGATGATAATGTTATAGCTAACAATTAACAATTTTTAACTGAGTTCTTCACTAACTTTATAATTTGCTCTACAATATCCAATAAATTCTTTTTTGGAATTTAAGAAAGTCATTAACCAAGGCCCTACGCGCGAATCAAATTCTGTTATTAGATAATGGCCGCGTTCAGTAGAACGAAGGCTGCATTCAGCAGACTCAACAGTTGGACAACATTACTAGATTTGCCATTGAATCTCGCTCCTGATTGGTAAATACTTCTGGGTCTATGAAGAATCTAAAAGAATGCTCCAATCACAGACAATAATCACTAAGCGCTCTCTGATTACTTTGTTCTATTGAACGCGGCCAAAGTGATCAGAGAGCGCTTAGTGATTATTGTTTGTGATTGGAGCATTCAATGGCCGCGTTCAGTAGACTCAATAGTTGGACAACATTACTAGATTTTCCACTGAATCTCGCTCCTGATTGGTAAATACTTCTGGGTCTATGAAGAATCTAAAAGAATGCTTCAATCACAGACAATAATCACTAAGCGCTCTCTGATCACTTTGTTCTACTGAACGCGGCCATTGAACACTACATTCACTAGATACGTTTCGAAATCGGGTTTGGAAATTTTGGTTTCATAGGATTGGTAGACCTTAAATTAAAGCAGGTTGAACACAGGATACAACAATGCTTGCCGTGCAGCGGAAGTTGGTTAGGAAATATCACATTAGCCAATCAACGTCTCACATGTCGCATGGCATGTATTGTGTACATCTTGAAATTTACATATGTAAATCTTTGCGTATATTAAACAAATATGAAATAAATAAAAAATAATAGTTGTATTTCTTACAGACTCGTTACAAGCTATATTTTAAAAATATAAGGAATATTTATTTAAAGCATAATAGTCATTTATTAAAAAATTAAATATCAAACAAATTTACAATTTATCGTAATAATCCACATGATCGGCTGATTTATATTTATGCTCTCGTAAGATTTGCACAAGATGATTAACCGTTTGTTCTGGAGTTAACACAGTTTTCGTTGTTAATAATTCTTTAAAATACTTTTTAAGATTGAGATCAATTGAATTTTCACACATTTCATAAAACATATTTGTTTCAACAGGTCCCGGTGCGTAAGATAATACATCAACATCAGGATTTTCTAAAGCAAAAACCTGTACAAAAAAGAATTAAAACTTGTAAGGAATAAAAACTTGTAACAAAAAAAAATATATATGTGTATATAGCTTCATTGTGAATAAAAAACTAAATTTAAAATATTAGAGAAGGAAAATGTCTCATCTCATACCTTGAAAAACATCTCTCGTGCTGCTTTCGATGAGCAATAATAGGCACAACCATAGCCTGCTTGAATACCATATTTAGATGTTATATTGATAACCATTTTCTTAATATTTGTATTATTAAACATGTTCATAACTACTGCATTTAGAATGATGGGAATAAAAACATTCAAATCATAATATTCTTTCCAAATATTTAAATCCATCAATTCGTTTGCAACTTTAGACGAATCACCAAGTAAGCCTACATTGTGTACTAAAACCACTCGGTCAAATGAATCTGGCGTAGTTTCCTTCAGCGAACATGATATAGTTTCTACAATAAAATGGAAATGAGAATTAAATTTGTATAATATATATTTTTAGAATATATTATTCAGTTTTATTAAAAAATAAGATTTATATATTTACCTTCTAATATAACTTTAGATGATTTACTTAGATCTATGTTAACAGTATCAACTTTAACTTTAGATGGTATATTCTTAGCTACTTCTTGTAAAGCAGTTAAGTTTCTCGCCAATAACAAAATATGTGAACCGTCTTGCAATAAAGAACCAAATGTTATTGCAATTTGCCGGCCAATGCCATGACTGGCACCAGTCACCAACAAGAAAACTTTACCAGACAATGTTTCAACTGACATATTTTATATTGCAAAAACTTAATCAAATTGATTAAAAATTAAATTATTATTATTTTCTGACTTGTGCTCTGATGATGATTAATTTATCTGTGTTTTTTCTATATTTTGTTCTTGTTCAGCTTCTGTAGTTACTTGAAGTACATCAGCTTTTAAAAGATGAATTAGCTCACTAGCTGTTAAAGCCTATGTACAAAATTATATTGATTTATCCATTATTAATTCTTGATATTACACATGTATATAATATATATACATGTGTATATATATATATATGTATATAATATATATAGTGACATTATTATATCATTTTTACTTATTATTTAATGTTTACCTGTAAGTGAGGAGCTATATGACGTATCAGAGGATTTGAAGCCAATGCAGCCTCTTCTTCTGATAAGGGATTATTCCCAGAAGTAATTAAACGTGCAATGCAATCTTCTTTTGCTACTGACAGTGATGTTACAAGATCCTTCTTTGTGGTACCACCCTGAAGAACTTTCAATCTAGAATCTGTACCAGAAACGAGTTAAATATTACAATTTTATCTACTTATTATCTTATCATTACCCTATCAATATGTTCCTTCTTGATGTCAAAGATCATAATATTAGTTTTAAAATATCAATAAGCAAGATATATATAATCATATATAGTCAATGGTCACATTCAGCAGAAAAAGCTGTTTACTAAATGCTTAATGATTATTAACTATGATTGGAGTATTCTTTTAGATCTTTAACAAATCCAAGGAAATGAACCAATCAGGAACGATAATCACTAAGCATTAAGTAAGCAGCTTTTTCTGCTGAACGCGGCCAATAAATCAATCTGATACAGCAATATCAATATTAGCAACATTAGACATTAAAAATATTTAACATTAAATTCATATGTATAAAATATATTAAAATAAAAATATTTTTTTAATTATATCACACTTTATCATTAATAAATACATATTATTCTATCAATATGTGCAGAACAGAAAACTGAACTTATCAAAATTCTTTTTACCATATGTTTAATATATCAATGTATATTTGACATTATTGAGGAATATTAACAAATTAATACAATTAATACAATTAGGTAATTATTTATAAGACGGGCTTCACCTTGGATTTCGCTCAAACTCACCTATCTTGTGTATTTTGACGTATAGAAGCCGAATCTGCAAGTAAAAATGGTCGCTCGGCTCTAGTTTGCGAGAAATAAATAGTTAAAAAGTGACACATGTGAGGTTAGGAAACCTGTCATGTCGGTAATACAGAGACTATGGTCTGTTTTTTTTAGTCGAAAAATGTAAAATAGTACATGTTGGGGAGGGGCGAAGCCCTCTCCCCAAAGCATTTTCATATATTAAACATATGAAAATGTCTCAAACATATGTATACATACAGTACCAAACATATGTGTATACATACACACACACACACAGGGTGCAAGGGGGGCCTTCGGCCCCGCTCCCGCATCCTCCCCGTCCTCGTTGCACGTTGAAAGTATAGCAAGGCCCCCTTGCACCTCCCGTGTGTGTGTGTGTGTGTGTGTGTGTGTACATATGTGGTACTGCATGCATACATGTGAAACTTCATTTCTCCTTTCTTTCAGACTTTCATTTGTTACATATCCCCCTCCTGCACCATTCTCGTTGCGCATTGAAAATTATATCCACAAGTCTCTGTATTACCGACATGACAGATTTCCTAACCTCGCATGTGTCACTTTTTAACCATTTATTTCTCGCAAATTAGAGCCGAGCGACCATTTTTACTTGCAGATTCGGTTTTTATACGTCAAAATACACAAGATAGGTAAGTTTGAGCGAAATCCAAGGTGAGGCCCGTCTTCTAAATAATTACCCAATATTATATATATATATATAACTTTTCTGTATTTAAGATATGAGATTTGCATCTTACATAGTTTTTGCAGATACTGCTCTGAATCAGACAACCGTTGATCGTCGAGATTCTTATCCAGAAAAGAGTCTTCAAATCGATTGTTTGATTCGTCAGTCCTCACCGTTTGCGTAATTACTGCTGCTTCACGCCAAGGATCATTAATATTAGTTTTCATCTTGTGATATCACGCACAAAATGACACAAGATAACTCTTATCATTTCCGATTAATCTAACCTGCGGTTGGAAATAGCAGGGTGCCAACTTAAATTCTAATGGGCTGCATTCAGCAGACTCAATAGTTGGAAAGCATTACTAGATTTTCCACTGAATCTCGCTCCTAATTGGTAAATACTTCTGGGTCTATGAAGAATCTAAAAGAATACTCCAATCACAGACAATAATCACTAAGCGCTCTCTGATCACTTTGTTCTACTGAACGCGGCCAAAGTGTGTGTGTGGGATAATAGTGGTAATAATTATAGCAATATGATGGTAGTAGTAATGATAATAACAATAATAGCAATAAAAATGATATTATTATAAGAATAGTGGCAGGGTCACGCGTTGATTGCTATTTTGAATGAAGTTATTTTTATAATGTATATTGAACGAGAGAAAGAGAGAGAGAGAGAGAGAGAGAGAGAGTTGGCAGAAATGCTCACAGAGGACACTACTATAGGATTTGTCAGTGAATTTGGTACAGTTTGGATAGGTTTAGGAAAGATTTGATAAGCTCTAGCGATTTGGTTTTGGGAATTATATCTAGGGAGGATAAAGCCAGCGGCACACGGTGCTTGTTTCCGTGTTGGATTGCTTGCTGGATGAAAATACTGCGTTCTGATTGGTGCATTTCCATCCATCTTCGGAAATGTACCAATCATAACGCAATATTTTCATCCAGCAAGCAATCCAGCACGAAAACAAGCACCGTGTGCCGCTGGCTTAAATTTAGGTTGGAAACGTTACATCCACCTTTAATTTAAGGCAATTAATTTAAAGTTCATTTATAGATTCTTCGTAGCCAATAAAACAATCTATACAACATTTGAAGATGAATTTAAACGATCTTAAATTTCAGATAACTATTTTATAAATATGACCGATCACATAAAATAAACTACTTTCGCCATCTACTCAGAAAAGATGCTACTATATGAAACTCATCCATTTCAGATCGGTTTTATGGCGCTACTTTGGTGTGACAACGTGTCTATTCGTGGCAGGAGTCTGTCAAATAGTGCACGATGAAATTCGTGAATAGGTTATTCCTCTTCCTTTTTGCTTTCGTTAGCGTAAATGCTGGCGGCCCAACTCTTGTTTTACTCGACAATCTTGCAATCAGAGAGACACATTCAATATTCTTCAAGACATTACAGGGTATCCGCAAAAATTATTATTTTACTACTTCTAACCTTCACCGATATATTGCCGGCACCGCTATCAATAAAACTATAGTTTATCTAGGAAAAACTGATAACATATGATGCTAGCAATATTAATATACATTTAAAATTTAATTGTAATTGTAAATATTGAGGATTATAAAGGAATATTCCTTCTTATATTTCAGTATATTTAAAGTTTAAATTCAACGAATACATAATTAGTATTAGTACGGAACTCATTATATATTGATGATTATTTCCAATGAATCTATATGTACAGTGTTTCAACATAATTTTTATAATAAAGACTTTGACATAATTTGTAAAATAAAAAATGACCAATACATAATAGATATTTAATGAGTGATATAAGTATGATAGATATAAATATAGATAGTAGGTATTTAACAATATATTTTAAAATTATTTTACAGATGGCGGTTATATATTAACTTTTAAATCAGCTGATGATGCAAATTTGCAACTCTCCAAGTATGGTGAATTCTTATACGAGCACTTAATAATATTTGCTCCTACTGTTGAGGAATTTGGTGGTGCTCTGAATGTGGAGACAATAACAGATTTTATAGATGGTGGTGGAAATGTTTTGATTGCTGGCTCCTCACAATCTGGTGATGCCTTGCATGAATTAGCCTCAGAATGTGGCTTGGAAATAGATGAAGAAGGTTCTGCTGTAATTGACCACATGAACTATGATATTTCTGATAGTGGCCAACATACTACCATAGTAGCTGATCCATCAAATCTGATAGATGCTCCAGTTATTGTTGGAAGTAAAAATATCCCACCATTGCTTTATCAAGGAACTGGTCTGATTGCGGATATAGAAAATCCTTTGATTTTGCGCTTATTATCAGCATCAACCTCAGCATATACATATAACTCAGACCAACCAGTTAAGGATTATCCACATGGAGTCGGCAAAAATACTCTGTTGATAGCAGCTCTACAAGCCAGAAATAATGCCAGAGTTCTATTCTCAGGTTCATTGTTCTTCTTCAGTGATGAAGCATTCACTAGTCCAGTACAAAAGGGACAAGGTAAATAAAATAATAAAACAATATATTTGATCTCTTTTCTATTAGTAGAAAAAGATTATTAGCTGTATTCTTTTATTGACAACATTTTTCACTCGATATCTTTATATTGAAGTTACTTAAAAAGTAAATTTGTCAATCTAACTATCCATTAAATTTACAATCTTTAGTATATTCTGATTTACTATACTCTATACTGATTTACTCTATACTGATTTACTATACTCTATACTGATTTAGTATACTCTGATGTATTTAAATTATTCATTAAGTTATTGTGTTAAAGTAGAATCTACATCAGAATCATTGATAAACATCTACTTAAATTTGATCTTACTCAGGTGGTCAGAAATATGAGAAATCTGGGAACCAAGTAATGGCTAAAACTATGGCACAGTGGGTATTTAAGGAAAATGGTGTCATACGTGTATCATCTGTTCACCACCATAGAATTGGTGAATCACAGCCACCTGCTGCATATACCATCATGGATGATGTAGTATATTCTATCAACGTGGAGCAACTATCATCAGGTGGCAAATGGGTGCCATATGAGACGAATGATCTGCAGTTGGAATTTGTACGGATTGATCCGTTTGTGCGTATGACTATGAAACCAGTAGGAAATGGTAGCTATGAAGGCAGATTCAAAATACCAGATGTCTATGGTGTGTACCAATTTAAGGTGGATTATTCGCGCGTCGGATTGACACATCTGTATAGCACCACACAAGTGTCTGTACGTCCATTACAACATACGCAATACGAGCGTTTTATACCGAGTGCATTCCCATATTACATAAGTGCATTCTCTATGATGGGTGGTGTATTTTTGTTTTCACTCGTATTTTTACATTACAAAGAGGACACAAAGCCCAAGTCTGAGTAATTCGCGGGACAGTATCCTATTTATGCAATTACGAATATATCATTTTTCATTCTGTTTTTTTTTTATTAGATTTTTACTTCAAAAGAACTTAGTGTTATTTTCTAAAAATATAGTACTATGAAAAACTTATAAAAATAGAAAATTGAAAGTGCTCATATAATCTGGGAGGTAATCAAGAATTTCTTTTTCTTCTAGTATGAATTCGTGAAAAGTGAACACTTTCAAGAAAATTTATAATTTTTAAGAGTTCATGTTATAGGAAATATTCATGATTTCCTTTCCTGGATAGATTAATAGATTTCAAATATTGCAAATGGACAACATAATTGAAAGATATACACCTATATATATATATATATATATATATATTAGGATATTTTATAGTACTTCTAATCTAATGTATTAATATTGAAAGAAAAGTTTTCTCAAATGTTTTTTTGTATTTCTTTAAAAAATAATACTATTCATATGTACATAAACCAGTAAGTACTTTTATATGTAATACAAATTATAATAATCAGAAATAAATATTAAATATTACTCAACACATACATACACAATTATTCACACTATTATATTGAATTATTTCTAACATGAACAAAGATTTCTGAGTTTGTCATTTCAATTTAATTAGTTTTCAAGTTTTCATTTTAATTAAAATTTTGCTACTAAAATTTATTTATTATGAAAATAGTATTTTAAAACAAACTGGACAAGTTTGTTCGATACTGTGACATAGCTTACCATATTATGACTGTTAATAAATTTTTATGACTAAATAACAAATATGCTCTTTAAAATTCTGTCGATGTTGAATATTTTTTTATATGAGGTTTTATTTTTTACGTCATAAATAATGATACTCTTTTGAATAATTGCATTTTATAGTTGCATTATGTCGCGCAGTTTGTAGTAAAAATATTATATAGATATACGTATATTTGACATTTTATAGAAAATAAAGTAAAAATTAGAAGTTAGTTAAAAAATTATATATATATATATATATAATAAACATAATTATAAAGAATAGATCTAGGCTGTGTTCCAAAATTCACTGCCAGTACTGAAAATACATAGTTTATGTCACGGATATTATAGATTTTCACTGCTAGCAGAATATTGGAACGCAGCCCTAAATTATTAGATCGGTATACACAGGATGCGGCACACTTGCCGCGTGGCGAAAGTTGGCTAGGGAATACTGCGGTAGCCATTCAGCATCTTGCTTGCCTAAAAATAGTATTTACAAACACGCAGTATTTAGGATGTTGATTAGCTACTGCGAAATTCTCTAACCAACTTTTGACGTGTGGCAAACGTTACCGCATCCTATGTGCAACTGGTCTTTCTTATTCTTTAAATAATCAACGTAATATATATGGTCTGTTCTTTGTAGCTGCACTGTTAAACTGGTGCAATAAGTTAGTGAGATAAATATAGGTTTTCTCACTCTAGTTTATTGCACCAGTTCAGCAGTGCAGCTACAAAGAACAGACCAATAGATATCCAGAAGGGACGTGTATTTGATTGAATATTTTTAGTGATTTTTGAACCAGGGAATGTGACGGTACTAAAGCCAAGCTTGTATGTTATATAGGTATTTTCATTACTAGGTATTTCCCAAATGAAAATAGCATGACGATTCAGATATTAGCCAATAGGATGAAACCTTCAAAATATTTAAACTTGAATCCAACGTATAGTTGATGTCGTTGATACTGCATCGTTAGTCGTTCGGACGCCTGTGTTCATGTATGTGAGTTTTCCAAGTGAAATATAATGGTATATGGATTAAAAAATACGAATTAACAAGTGCAATTTTGGAGATATTACGGGGATATAATAATTGTTTCTTTTGACGAAATGTAAGTAACGTAAATATTCTGTAAAGGAAAAGCACACCTTTCCCACTAAATTTTTATATCTTTTATATCTTAAATTTGCAATTTTTGTGCATCAATATTGCAAAATTCTGTCACAATTTTATCTCGAAACTCAGGTCAATTTCATGTTAGAAATTTGTTGTGAACATTGATAGAATTTTGCTAATGAGACATTGCTAGTATTTGTTGTTAAATCTGGTTTCTCTATTTCAACAATTGTTGTACTTGTATATGTAACAATACAAAAACAGTTATTTTTATTAATTTTTCAAGATTAAAAATAGTATATGTGCACATATTTAATATTCTATTTCAAAAGTTAGGTTCACATATTATATTTTAAATATAAAATAATAATATTAATATTATTAAATATTAATAAATAATATAATAAATATAATATAAATAATATTAATATTATTAAAATAATAATATTAATATAAAATATATAGCAGTTTATAATTTTGTGTTTTTATGTTTCAGATTATCATCAACTTCTGCTATTTAGTTGGTATTTTATACATTTTGACGTCATAGTAATTTTCTTTTATTTTTATGACTTAACATTAGAGTCCTTGTAAAGTATAATTTGTACCTTTGCATTATACATCACTCAAATGGATAAGATGGATTCGTTTATCGCACCACAATGGATGGATTTTACTGAAAGCATTAGTCCACAGATACCAATGAAAGATTATTTTGACAAAGAACATGCGATACATGGACGTATAGTGGAGCTTGGTGACTTGCCTATGGAAAATGCTGAGAATATATCAACTAATATACTATGTGTGAGCAAAGAGGCACAACAGGATCAGGATATTATAAAGAATGCTCCTGTTATAGTTGTTTCCTCAAAATATCGCAAAAAGACAGACAAAACAGAAACAGGACAAATCACTTATGATGATGTGCTTACTGATGCGATGGAAAAATTAAAACTCTGTAAAAAGCCGCTTAAATCTAAAGATATGCTAAGCAAAACCATCCAGGATCCTACTTTTAAAACACCAAATATGTTTACCACAAAATCATCTAGATCTGTCGGCTATCGTAGCGTACCAAACAAGTCTGTTCAATGTAATACTGCACGTAGATCCGTGAGAACTGATAAAGATGTTTGTACATTAGAGAAGAATAATGATATAACTCCATGTAAAACAAAAGTATCGACCAGTTCTCTGTGTGAACAAGATAAAGCTAGTGTAAAAGATGATATTTTGGAAAAAGCAGATGTTCAAATAAATGACCATGAGAATGAGGGAGAAGAATATACTGTAAAAGAATATACTGAGGAACATGAACAGAACAAAGGAGAAGATCAAATAGCATCACATGATAAGGAAGAACAAATGGATAATGACAAAGAAGAACAGAATGATGTGGATGCCATAATTGGGAAACATAGTCATGCGCAATCCCATAAATCGCGTACTTCTGTCCTCACATGGAAGAATGGCAGACGAAGCTTGAACAAGCACCGAGGGTCCAATCGTTTTGTCAGTCTGGCAGAAGCAGTGTTACGCTTCCAAAATGATATACCTAAGCGCTTTCGCACTAAGTCTAACAAGGACCCTTTAGGAACGTCGCAAAATCCATCGTTGAAGTCGTCACTACATCATCGTCTAAAGCCGACGATACCGATTTCGCCAGCGCTTACGTCAAAGAATAGGATACGCGGAGTTACTGTACTGAGTCAGGAAGAGCGTGAAAAGCTGGAAATGAAGGAGATGAAAAAACATCAGATTAAGGCAAATCCTGTACCACTCAGTGTTCTGCGAGGTCCTGCACGTCCTGTATCAAAAGCCGTCGCGAAGAAACCCACATTAGCCAACGTTGCAGAGAACTCTTCCTCCGCTTCTATGACGCAGCATCCTGAGAAAACTGCTACTAACATCTCGGCTCGGCTCAAGAATTCTGCAACCCTGCATCATGATAAAATGTCGATGAAGAATACTGTTACAAAGGTATTAGTAACTGATCCCACTGGAATCATTGTAGAATACGAAAAGATACCGTATTTCGGTGTGCCCAAAGACGGCACTGCGAGAAGCGTAACGCGTGTTGTACCGTTCAGCTTCGAGGCACGCAACAAGGATCTGCAAATGAAAAAAGAACAACGATTAAAGAGTTTGCAGGAGGCGAGCAAAGCAAAGACGGAATTCCACGCTAGACCGATGCCGAATATCTCCAAGCCACCGTTAACCACGCCGCTACCGGCTATAAAGCAGCAGAAAGAAAAGAGGAAGACAATGATGCAGCAGTGTCCATTCAGTTTCGAGGAGCGTGACAAGAATTTGTCGAAGAAGAAGGAAGAACTGGCGAAGCAGATGCTTAAAGAAGACAAGCAGATGCGTATGTTTCACGCGAAGCCAGCACCGATTTTCAAGCCCGTAATGGTGCGCGGTATATCTAAGGAATACTTATCGATGAAGGAGATCACGAAAACGGAAAAGGAGCATATGATGGATAAATATGACGACCAAGAAAACGAAAAACCAAATATTGTTTCTACCGAGAAGACGCAGGAAAGCAAATGTATGCAGAAAACGAAGAAGAGGATCGCATGTATTACTGTCGATAAACACAATGTAAAAGACAAAAGACCAGAAGAAAACACTATAAAAACAACCTTACCGCTAGAATTGAACACTGACAAGAGAGCAAAGGAACGACGCGAGTTTGATGAGAAAATGAAGCGCAAAGAAATGGAGGAGGAGACTAAGCGTGAGGAAGAGAAGAAAAGGCAGCAAGAAAACGAAAAACAGATGAGAGCTGAACAGCGCAAGTTGATGGAGGTGAAAGCTAGACCCATGCCGACATATAAATCATTGATCATCACTAAAGCAGCAAAACCGTTAACGGAACCACAAAGTCCTGCGTTAAGTAACAAATACAGATCAAAACAGCCATGAATAAAACGCAATATATTAAAATTGATTAAAATATTCTTTTGTTTTCGTTTCTTCTGGTTGTTTGTATCTATTCGATTTTCAAGAATTTACCATGCTTCATTACATAGCCCTAGATAAAAAGTAGCGTTAGTTTGATAACATATATTTTACGGGTTTCATAATGGGATATATGTATATTTATGTAAAAGTTATAACTATGTAATATTATGAAGTATACAAATAAAAGTCTATCGTGATGTCTTTCTAATTCTGAATGAGTATATGTACGGCATTATTTAAATACTGATAAATCGCATAGAGTTCCGTGGTTTGTATTCAATAAAAAGATATAATTACATACTGTTCACTAAATATCATTTTATTTTATTTTTCTCTTGAACTGATTTGAGTCAAAATCGTATAATATAATCCTTAAAAAATAATTAACAGTTTTTTTAACAATTTCACATAGTTATATATTATAATTGGTTGTATTAACTTGTACATATGTACATATTTATATATGGGATACCTCATAAATTGTGATTGGATTTTAATAGTATATTCATTAAGTAAATTAAATTAATTTTTCATTTAATAAACACATCAAGATCAATTTTTTGTAATTTACTGATTTTAATATGTTTTTGTATTGTGTGTGAGAATGTAAAATAGAAAGACAAAATTATGCAATTATATACATATATATGTATATGTGTGTGTGTGTGTGTGTGTGTGTGTAATATTTCAATTAATACCCTCATATTTTTTTATTATACAATGACAAATCTTTTATTTTAGAATATGATTTAAATGAAAAGCAATTTGAAAAATTTAATAATGTTGGTAATTATATATGCATGTATGTTAACAAATTCTTGTTTAAATATCATTAACTTTAAAGTAGTTGTAAGATTCAATCGAGTGAACAACGTATAAAAATTAATTTTCTTATAAATTCATATGAAATTAAAATTTTTATATTCAATATTCTATAAGTTAGAAGGTACATATGTATGTGTCTAAGTGTTGCGTGTACATGTACGAAATTGATAAAAAGTATATAACATAACATAAATACCATCACATAATTATGTATTATTTACTAACATAATTATTTTATCATTTAACACTTTTCCTTTATGCACTTTTTTTTATGCACACGTAAAAAAGTAATATTTTAATCCCAATGATTTTAATATATAAGATAATAATATATAATAATAATAGTGAAAAGACTGGCTAATATATAAGCAATAGTGAAAATACTTTTTAATTTGAAAAATACTAGACAAATAATTATGTGGTCATAACCTATAATTTTCATATTGAAGAAAAATGTATTTGCAACGTTTTTATATCCACTTATATATTTACAAATATATTTTATAAGAGATAACTTTTGCACTGTTTAGTATATGTATGTATACTTAAATCATATAATTGAAGTTTACATATGTCGTTAAGAATCTTGTGGATATAAACATTCCAATTTTTACAATAAATGTGCACTTTATGTACACTAGATCAATGATCACTTCACAATCTACTAAAAAATACTATGAATAATTATAACAATGCGAATGTATGTGTATGTGGTTTAAAAATGAAGTAGAAATGAATGTTGACTAACACTATGTTGATCACTTGGTCATCTGAATTTTTAAACAATTTAACAGTTTATGTTACGTTTTTATAACACTATACTAATTGCTCCGAACTGGTAGCACTGAGATCCAGCAAACGCCATGCAGCTTTGGGATTGAGTTCCGTTCGATCGCGACACAATACCCAAATATAATTAACGCGCATCACTTTCTGTGGATCTCCTTCGACCACTTCGTTTTTCGAATTCCTCACGCACATGATTTGTTGACATTGAAAACCAATGATTAAAACTGGGCCTTGATCCATCATCTTACCCATCATCAAATCCACATTATCGATATCTACGATAAAAATGTTCGTTTATTAATCTGATAATGTAGCTTTACTCAGAATATTTCGAAAAAGATAAATAAATATATATATACATATAAATCCGAATATGCTCGAAAAAAGGGAATTATTAATTTAAGAGATTTAGCTGTAATACCTAGAATTTTGCTATCCAAACGATATCCTAGTTTTTGTACTTCTTTGAGCGGTTGTGCAATTACATTATAAGGCGCTTCATGACACCAATCCTTCAAAATTTCTAGGTCTCCTCTGACCATTGCCTCGAGAATATTTGGGATAAAATCTGTCTCGCAATCCTTCAAGAATTGTATTCTGCTAAAATTAGGATCTAGTTTACAGATTTCTGTTAGAGTTTCTGACAGTTCGGTCTTTTGAAATAATCCGCCTATAATATCCGTAACTTTGTCTGTAAGCAATCTGGAAGCGCGCAGTACAGCATTATCCGACTCATCATATTTAATCTTCCAGTCCATTACTTTATTCACATATGGGTTATTATCCTTCAAAATAAAATTCAATAAAATTATATAATTGCAATATATGTGTACATACAGAATGTTTGGTAAAACATTATGGGTTAATTCCACAGAAACAATAGAAAAAATTTCTATGAAATTTGATATAGTTTTAGATCTCTTTTGTTGCTATACAAAAACAGTATATTCATGACAAAAGGTTGAGAATAATAATACCTTAAATTTTTGCCAAGCATTGGAAAACACAAAGTCTTTATGTACTTCCATTCCTGTTGTTTTCTGATCAGGTATAATATCTTTAGGTTCTATTACTACCTCTTTCCTTTTCCGTAGCTTTTTAGGTGGAACATAAACTTGGCCTACATTAAGCAATAATGAAATTGAAACTGCTTTCTATTTGTCTCTAGTCAGCCAAATTTATCTACCTAGAATTCCGTGTTGGTCAAGTTCATTCCGTACAGCTTCCGCAGTGTCTGATATTGTTTGAAACGCACCGGTCTTACCAAGTGCTTGGCTTTTTTCAGAAATTGCCTCTGCTGCATCTCTGGCTGACTTTGTGATTCCTTCACCTAACTGCCCGGCACGTTTGCCCAATTCAGTTTTACTTGCATCTTCAATAACTTCTTGTACCTTTTAAATATAAACTTATGCAATTATATATGCAACAATTTATATACAGTGCACATTAATATGAAATAATTATAATATGCGTACTTTTTCTTTGAGTGTATCTAGTTTTTCTTTGATAACTTCTGAACTTTTATTAGCTTCAGATTCAACAGTATTAAATTTTTGTCGTGCCATTCGTAATGCTTCTGACTGTTCCAGTTTCTGAGCTTCTTCTCTAAATTTTTCTAAAGATTGTTTCATTTCCTTATTTTTCTGCATCTCTTGCTTGATATTCTCGACAAACTGAGACAGAAAACTTGGTCGCCGTGCTTGATTTGAATACAATCGAATCTACAAATATATTAAAGTTAATTAACAGCATTGTACTTGATTAAAACCAGGAAACTTACTGATTGTATTTGTATAAGCAACTCCATTGATGTTGGCTGAGGAACATGTGATAAAAAACATTTTTTTGAGCCATATTTTAAGCCTCCTACGGGTTGTATTGATCGCACAATTCCTTTTAGGCATGCTCTGTATGTTGCAATGTTCTGAAACTATCACAATATCAGTTACATTTTTGTTTTAAATTAATAGTACATCTACACAGATTTCCTCATATTTAAAAGTACTTGCAAATTATTTATTTTATTAATATATATTTTTTAATAATAATTATATTGTTTCCTCAAAATAAATTTAATTAAAGAAATGTATCATTGATGTTTATGTTGAGTTCATGCTTTTTAGAAGTCATTTAGTTAATGAAAGCAAATAAAGCACATTTTTATAAAAATAATCTATTTAATGAAATATCGTGGGTTTTAATAATTGTACAACGGCCATAATAGTACAAATAAATTTTGTGAGCAAAAGCTTTGCAAAAGATAACCTCCATGTTAATGGAAAATGCACCGGCTTACGTAAACGAAATTATGAATTATGCGTAATTATCAAATATCATAGATATATTGTTTTGCTAGCGAGACTGCGTTACCAAATGGCAAAGCTTTAGTTAATAATTCAATTTATTCACCATTTTAATTACGATAGATTTATCTGCCTTCTGTAAAAAAAAAATCCTTGTGAATACGTCAAATGCTGACGAAATGTTCGACTGCCATGTGTCGTCAATGTCGCCATCTGTTGTTAGAAATCGCAATTTAATTGTTTCTTAAAGCTGACTGTAGATGGTTTAGATCGATTTAGGTTACCCGTATTTGCAATTGTACATGAAATGGTGGATTTATCACATGTATAAAAAAGGATAAAAATATAAAACGAATACTTTGATTAATAAAGTATCTGATAGATCCCAAATATACAATATTAAAATGTACTTGTGTCTATATATATTTGCGCAATATGAGGAAATAAATGATGTCATTATTATATTGTATTATACATTAAATTAATTAAACACAAAATTATGTTTTCTTAATGCATATGTTTCATGTTATGGAAAGTGGATCTCTACTACTACTACTACTACTAGAAAAATAAAAGAAGATAGATGTGTAAACGCACATCTATTGTTGAATAACTTTCCTTTAAAAAAATATATAGAGAGAACAGCGCTATGTACTGTTAAGATGGCAGATTTGCCGATTTTCGTCTTGCATGTATAATGCATTTAGAGTTAAGATCAATTCTTCTTAGTTGCATTAAATTATATTTTATGTAGGCCGCAGGCTTAATATGTAAACTTTACCGAACAAAATATAGTCACATGTGCAACACCAATGACATCTATTGAAATCGGTAATGAACTTTGCTCTCACCCAATATAAGAGAATAGTAAAAAATGAAATAATTCTATATTATATACAACAATGGACAGGTAGAAAAGAAGAAAAGACGAGGAGAGCAAGAAGCAGACAGAAAACGCGGTTATTTTATCAGGGAGAGATATTGCGTATGATGGATGCATCGAAAGAAAAAAGAAGAGTGAGGAAGAGAGAGAGAGAGAGAGAGAGAGAAAGGGAGGGAGGGGGAAAGATAGAGAGAGAAAAATAAAGGGAATATATGAAAAGAGAGAGCGAGTAGGACAAAGAAGAGAGAAAGAAGGATAGAGGGTCTTTAGGCCGGTTATTGGAGGTGAGGGGTAATGGAGAGCTCATACGCGACATGAGTGGGGAGGAATGAAGGGAAACGACGAATCGCACGGCAGTGGTGGAACAGAACAGAAGCGTATGCAGCAACGGTACACACTCATACGTACGTACATACGAGCGCATACTGTGTAACGAATGCTGAAAAGTGTACGAAGGTAGAGAGCGTCGAGTTGCGCGATAAGCGTGTTATGTTGCATTTCGGTGGAAATTCTTGCGCTGAAGTAACGTAACGACAGTGTAGTGCGAGGGGGAGGCGGAGAAGGAGAGTGAGCGAGTGCCGTCAACGTACGCTGTCGTGTGGTTGTCGCACTCGTGCTCACCATCGAGCGGGATCGCAAACACCGCGCGGTGCGGCGTGCCTGATTGCCGTCAGCGTCTCGTGTGCTCCCATCGTGTTCGTGTTTTCTCATAGTAGGTGCTAGAGTAGCGTGTTCGCTGGAGAATGGCGTCGGACGAGGAGGTGGACGAAAGCTACGTTGGTAAGTTGGAGTATGAAGAGGAGAGGGGAGAGAGAGGGAAAGAGATAGTAATAGAGATATGTGGCTGTGAGAAAAGCGGGGCATCAGCAAAATCGCGCGAGCTAGAGAATTTACAGCGTGCGTATACGCGATACGCGCGCTTTTCGTACATCAATGGCTGCCATTATCAATCGACTTGTCACCGCCACCTTGCTACATTCCGAAGAGCGGCGTCCTCTCCGTCGTCACAACTTGGCGCGTTGTTCGCACCGTGAAGTTAGCTGCGGGCGGCACAACGGCGCTGTTCGGCTCCGTGAGACGTCCATTCACTCGCGCGCAAGAAGAAAGAGAGACGCGCGCGCGCGCGCGGTAACCTCGCGGATTTATACGCGTCCCGCGTATCTCGCTGTTTTAGTCGACAATGATTACGGTGGCGGCAACGCGATCGTATGGACGTCGGTAGCTTTTCTTATTGTGAAAGAAACTGCTTACTTTTTCGCATAGAACGATATTCAAATTGTGCATGGTGTCCTCTCTTTTTTTTTTTTAACTGATGACGCGATTATGATCGGAGTAGTTACCGTTGCTTGTAGCGGTAACGTTCTTCCCGTTTTTCATCGTAAATTATGCTCGAATAAATGATACTGATTAATTAGCAGTAAAGCTTGCCCGATCTCCGGTACTTCGTAAGTGTATTTGTTATTGTTCGTCGCGTACTTTTGTTATGAAACAAACTATACGATTACAAAATTGGTTGGACGATGCGAGAGTTGTATTTTTCGATACTGTTGCCATGGAAAAATCTTTTAATGATCATCGCATTTTTATCGTCACAAATAAACGTACAAGTTATTCTGACAGTTGCTCCAATGTTGAAGTTCATGTCAATTCGCTAATTTAGTCTGACTCGAGTGTCATTTCGTCCGATAGTCCGTGTTTTAGTATACTTGCGATATAATTGCGAAATAATCACGAGAAATTACTAATGTAAAGAGTAAAGAGTCACAACAATCGAAAGCAGCTATGGTCGATTTATAAAACTAACATGGTTGCTCGTTGCATATATACATCGTACTACATTTATCATAACGTATATACGACGTACAACTGTGGCTTCTTTTCACATCCGGTTTATTGAAAAAATGTATTAACTTGAAGGAATATATGGCAGCGACTGACATTTGCAGAAAAGCTCATTTTCTTTCACAATAATTAGCTTACCATCTTCGATTTCCAATCGACTAAGCGTAATTGCATCTACAACGCCATGTTACCACGTCTGTGCGAAAAAAGTTATGGATCCGCGTTTCATATGCACGCGTCGTCGTTGCATGGTGCGTCTGTATATGTGCATACGTGAGCGTAGCCGGCGTCTAACCTCCATCGAGGCTCGGATGAAGTCCGCATAGGGCGAAGTCAGTTTTATGATTAAATTTTTCGTTTCGTTGTCGAATTACAGTATCGACACTGGTATCGAACGTATGTATGTGCACGTATGTGTGCGATATATACGATACAAAATAAAGGCGCGTGAACGCGCGTGTGTGTGTGTGTGTGTGTGTGTGTGTGTACGTGTGGCCGCCGATGCTGTATGTAAAATGTAGTATGCCCTATTAAAGAAAATGGCGGACGCACAAAGCATTCGCGGTACGTTGATTAGTTCAAAATCGTCATCTGCGTTTGCGCGAAATTTCCTCAGTTTACCGATCATAGATTTGTTATTCAATGCAACGTCACCGTTTTTCTTCGTTTTATCCTTTTGGTACTTCGGGATTTATACGTTACGTTGTGATCTATTCTTCATAGTGTATAAATTGCTCATTATTATAAATTTTAAATTAATGTTTTCAGCAGAGGATGATGTAGATGAAAGTGGAGGACAGATATCAAATGTTGGTCAGCAAGTAGACGGTTCATCTGATGCTGAAGAATCTCAAAGACTGGTCAGTTAATCTATTTTTGTATTATTAATAGATGAGAATATCATTAAGAGACTGTTAATAAATTAAGCAATGTGACTTATAATTTACAGTTAACAAATAAAATAATTTCTATTATTTTTAGTTTAATAATAATTATGATGTATTAATGATGATTTGAGGAGATCTTTCCTGTACTGAAAAAATTTAATCAGAAATATTTTTTATAGGAAGAAGATGATGATTATGAACCAGAGGAAAGAAAAAAGAAAAAAGGTAAAAAGCGGAAAGCACGTAGTGAGGATAAAAAGGGAAAGAAAAAGAAGAAAAAGAAAAAATCTGATTCTGGAGATGTAAGTTGAATTAATATACATATAATATAAGAATATACTGAAGAGTAATATTATATAGTTAACTGTTTCAAGAGTAACAAAAATATTTTTATTTATATTCTAATAATTATCGACAAGATGAATAACAATATGCCACGAAAGGTACTGATGTCACTTAACTAACAAAAAAGATACAAATAATTGGAGATACAAATAATTTTTTAATCTTTGAAATCAATGCTTTGAAAGCTAAAGAATGTTTTTGATCATACGAACGCATTTGATTCTTTATTTTCACACTTTTTTAGTTTTGTCTTGTACATGTTATTTTTGTATATTATCTAGTATGTTGCATAATTTAGGAGAGTGACTTTGGTGGTGGTGAGGCTGGTGATGCAGCTGGTGAAGATAGTGACTATGCAATCAACAGAAAGTGTAGAAAATCTTCATCACGAAAATCATCCAGTCATAATGCACCAACCACTCAGAGCCAAGAACCTACGACAGGCATGCCCACAATTGAAGAAGTGTGCAATACATTCGGTTTAACGGATGTACATATTGAATATTCTGAAGCCGATTTTCAAAATTTAACAACGTATAAGCTATTTCAACAACATGTCAGACCACTCTTAGCAAAAGAGAACCCGAAAGTATGTATGATTTCTCATACATATATTTTACATTGTATCGGTATGATCACTTCAGCATGATATAATTTGTTATATTATAAATGAATAACAATTTTATTGAATCATAATGTTTCTAATTGAATAGGTTCCAATGTCGAAGCTTATGATGTTAGTAGCAGCTAAATGGCGTGATTTTTCTGAATTAAACCCACATACGCAACCAGATGCAGACGTTTCGTCCACAAATGTAGATGATGATAGCAGAAATGCTAGGGCGAATCGTGGTGGTACTATGCAGGAAGCTGAAGATGAAGAGGAAGATGATGAGGACAGTGATCGGAAAAGAAAATCGCGAGGCTCGAGAGCGAAAAAAGGGAAAAAGGCGTCAAAGGTACCAACGTTGAAGATTAAGCTTGGGAAACGTAAACGAGGAAGCTCGGTATGCATAATAGTTCAAATATTTTCACTCTAGTTTTTATTTAAAATCAATTTTTGTAAAATCAGTTTTTAAATCAACACTCTTTTAGGACGAGGAAGCGGAAGGTAGTGCAGCAGGTTCTGACAGAGATTCCGATATGGAATTTGAACAAATGTTAGCTGACGCGGAAGAGACTCCTGGTGCTGAAGGCAATAATAAAGGTGGTGTTGAAGACAGTGGTGTTGAACCGCCGGCCGAACCACCAGTTCGCAGAAAGGCAAAAACTAAAATCGGCAATAAGACTAAGAAAAAGAAGAAGACGAAAACTACTTCCAAATTTCCAGACGGAGAGGAAGGTCTCCAGGTAGAGTTAAACAGCATTTGCTTATGCGTTCGCTGTTTTAAACGTGCTTGTAATCATGGATTGTGTCATATAATAATAATAATATAATTATTTTCATCATATACTACTAAAAAGCTTGCGGAAATTTGTTTATTAATTTGCTAGACGGCGCATGTTTAATCATTATGCTTGTTAATATTATCGCCATATCTAGAAGGTTCTCTGTAATTTACGTTTCCAAAACATGATATAGGTATCTCTGGTATAACGTTAGCTCATTCACAATTCACAAGGTATATTTGGTTATTTTTCTCTCTCTCAATATATATAGTGAATATATCGCTATAAGACGTTAAGATTTATGAAATTAATAGATAATATATAAAATAGTCTTGCTATAGAGAATATATAAAACACAAGAAGGACGAGAGATAAAAATATCATGTACATGTCTATGCAGATAGAGATATATTGATAATTGCAAATATACAATCAAAACTTTAAGAACGCATATGCTACGTTGTCTGACTCTGCCTTAAGTTAATTGATCTTATTAAAATTTTCCCCTATTTGATATTATATCGAAATTTGTTTAACATATTGATTGGATAATTTTTTTTTATATTTGAAACTGCATATACTTTATGCAATATGCTTTATCTATTCTCAATAATTGTTTTGTGTGTCATGTCAGAGAATGGTCAACAAGAGCCAATACAAATCCTCATTTTTAATAATCATTTTGCTTTAATTTCATATAAATATTTTCTTTTCATCTAAATTATTTCATCTAATCAAACTCACAGATTCCAATCAACTTTAGAATAATAGTTTTCTGTTTTTCTTTTATTCCCTATAGACTGACCATCAGGATTATTGTGAGGTCTGTCAGCAAGGTGGAGAGATTATTTTGTGTGACACGTGTCCCAGAGCGTATCATTTAGTATGCTTAGAGCCTGAATTGGAGGAAACACCAGAGGGAAAATGGAGTTGTCCTCATTGCGAAGGAGAAGGTATTACAGGTACCCGTACCTTTCCCACATCTGATCCTTATTCCTTCCCAAACCACATCCTACGTTCGTTTGACTTATCATATGAATGAAACTATAGCTGTGTGTTATACCTGTCAGGTGCAGCGGACGACGATGATGAACATATGGAATTCTGTAGAGTTTGCAAAGATGGTGGAGAATTATTATGTTGCGATAGTTGCACTAGTGCATATCATACACATTGTTTGAATCCTCCACTATCAGAGATTCCTGATGGTGATTGGAAATGTCCTCGATGTTCTTGCCCACCGTTAAGAGGGAGAGGTAAATTCAATTTGACTTATTTTTATTCAATGATTTTATAGTATTTTCTTCAGTTCTACGAACTGATAAAATTATGATGTGGTGGAGTTCAATTTCTGGTGTTGCAGATTATGCGAAAGAAACTTGCCAACTATGTTGCGTTTCATTTATTTGCGATTAACCCCTTCCGTGACACGGACGCACCGGTGCGTCCAGCCAAAACCGTGCCGTAAGTGACACAGACGCACCGGTGCGTCCAGATCATTTTCGTGTTGTATTGAATTTTAAGTGTAATAACTATTGTAGAATTTTTATCAAGTATTTTTTGGGCCGTTGATTACGAATTTCAATTTAGTTTTTTATAATTTGTTAATAAAAAAAACTATAATCAAATTAAAATGTCGGAAAATTGTAAATTTTTTTTTCACACGGGATGTGTGAGAGTGAGAAAGGGTGAGAGGGAGAAACTGAGGAGAGACCGCGGCGTCCGATGGAGGGATCGGCGTCGTTAGAACAGGGCAGCGGCGTCATCAATGGATTTCACGCGACGTTCGGCGTCGTTTGACCGTAGCGCCTAAAGGAATCCGAGTGTTCGGTAGTACCAAAAAACAGAGGATGTACGACGAAGAGCGAGCAGCGAACGAGTCAGTTCGCAGCGAGCAGCAAGAGCGTTAAGAGCGATTTTATATAAAAATCGTTAATTTAGTGACTTGAGAAATGACCAATTACTTACTTTTATTTATAATATTAAGCATTTCTAAACATTTTAGTCGCCATATTCGATCCGCCATTTTGAATTTCTATATTTTGGCCTCAAATTCGGCTTCAGCGAGCAAAAAAACTGAAGTATACAAATTAATTAAGTAAAAAATCCGCCCCGTAAATTTTTTGGGGCGGATTCAGTGCATTTTATTGAATTTTGCTCTGCCACGGAAGGGGTTAAACGTTAAATATTATCTACATGTATTATATATATACACATATATATATATATATATATGTATATATATATGAATTGTATATGTATATATGTAAAATTCATTTTGATAATGTAATCGGTCTTAGTTGCAAAAATATTAACGTGGAGATGGAAGGAATGTTCGGAAACTCCATCGGAAGAACCTTCTACAAGCAAAGCCGCGCCTAAACAAAGAAAAATGCGTGAATTTTTTGTTAAGTGGGCAGACATGTCTTACTGGCATTGTGACTGGATAACAGAACTGCAGCTTGATGTTTTTCATCCTCTTATGTATAGGTAGATAATTCTTCGAGCAACATTAAACATGTGTAGCGCATAATCTTATTATATGAGGTTTCTTCTTGTGATTAGGAATTATTACCGTAAATATGACATGGATGAACCACCAAAATTGGAAGAGCCACTGGATGAAAGCGATTCTCGTATGAAGCGATTGAAAGAACAGGACGGCGCTACTAATAGAGACGAGTACAATTTGGAAGAACGATTCTATCGTTACGGCGTGCGTCCAGAATGGTTGGTTGTTCATAGAGTGATCAATCATCGATTGCAGAGAGATGGTAGAGCTACGTATCTCGTTAAGTGGAGAGAACTTGGTTACGATCAAGCGACGTGGGAAGATGAGCACGAGGATATACCGGGCTTGAAACAAGCTATCGAGTATTATTTGGATTTGAGAGCTGCAAACTGCTGCGACGGTAGTTCATCACGTAAAGGGAAAAAGGGTAAGTAGAGATGTCTCGATTCAACATTGTTATTTGCACAACATGCTCGTGCTCTTGTAAAAGAAACGGAATGCAATCCAGGCAAAGGAAAGAAATCAAAGACGCGTGAGATAATTGACGATGAAGAGCGAACACCGAAGCGTTACACACCACCGCCAGATAAACCTACGACGGATCTCAAAAAGAAGTACGAGAGACAGCCGGAGTATTTAGATCAAACTGGAATGCAGTTACATCCTTATCAATTAGAGGTAAACATCAAACGCCAAAAAAGACACACAACTTGATTTCTTTGGGTTTATACGTTTGTTATTTATCGTGATATCATTTGCAGGGCTTGAATTGGCTGAGATATTCATGGGGACAGGGTATAGATACGATACTGGCCGACGAAATGGGTCTGGGAAAAACTATTCAGACTATAACGTTCTTATATTCTTTGTATAAGGAAGGCCACTGTAAAGGCCCTTTCTTGGTTTCTGTTCCTTTATCAACCATCATCAATTGGGAACGTGAATTCGAGACTTGGGCACCGGACTTTTATTGTGTTACCTATGTGGGTTAGTAGAAATCGATAATTTTCTTTTTATCTTTTATATTAGTATATTTCTTTGGAGGGCGAATATTGATAATGATTAATTCTCTGTGTAGGTGATAAGGATAGTCGTATTGTGATTCGTGAAAATGAGTTGTCTTTCGAAGAAGGTGCTGTGCGTAGCGGACGTGCTTCCAAGATCCGCTCATCGTCGATAAAATTTAACGTTTTGCTTACGAGTTATGAACTCATCTCAATAGATTCTGCATGCTTAGGCTCAATTGATTGGGCCGTGTTAGTTGTGGACGAAGCACATAGATTGAAGTCAAATCAGTCGAAGTTCTTTAGATTACTGGCGTCTTACAACATTGCATATAAACTTCTGTTGACTGGTACTCCGCTGCAGAACAATTTAGAGGAATTGTTCCACTTGCTAAATTTCTTATGTCGTGACAAATTCAATGATCTAGCAGCTTTTCAAAATGAATTCGCTGATATTTCCAAGGAAGAGCAAGTTAAAAAGCTACACGAAATGCTCGGTCCTCATATGTTGAGAAGATTGAAAGCCGATGTACTGAAGGTATAAATATTCTGGTATTAGCAATTATAGAAATTATACATTTTTTTTATTTGACAACCATTCTTTCTATATTGTATATTTCTCATGTAAATGATGTTACAACAAATGTATTTCTTTTTTTTTTTTGCAGAATATGCCTAGTAAATCCGAATTTATTGTACGAGTCGAATTATCACCAATGCAGAAGAAATATTACAAATATATATTAACGAGGAATTTCGAAGCTTTGAATCCCAAGGGTGGTGGCCAGCAAGTATCATTGTTAAATATAATGATGGATCTCAAGAAATGTTGTAATCATCCGTATTTATTTCCCGCTGCATCGCAAGAAGCACCGACTGGACCAAACGGAAGTTACGAAACATCAGCATTGATTAAAGCAGCTGGAAAATTGGTCTTACTGAGCAAGATGTTGAAAAAATTGCGAGGCGACGGACACAGGGTCCTTATATTTTCTCAAATGACAAAGATGTTGGATATTCTTGAAGATTATTTAGAGGGCGAAGGATACAAATATGAGAGAATAGATGGTAATATTACGGGTGCTCAACGTCAAGAAGCTATTGACAGATTCAATGCTCCTGGCAAGTATCTCCGAGATAATTCCATCACCACAATAGCATGACATGATAAAAATCTCTTTTCCTAATCTTATTTTTAACTTCCACTATTTTTTTTTACAGGTGCGCAACAGTTTGTCTTTTTGCTTTCTACTCGGGCTGGTGGGTTAGGTATTAATTTAGCAACGGCGGATACGGTAATCATTTACGACTCTGATTGGAATCCACATAACGATATTCAAGCATTCAGCAGAGCTCACAGAATAGGACAGGCCAATAAAGTCATGATCTATAGATTTGTCACGCGTAACTCCGTAGAAGAAAGAGTAACTCAAGTAGCCAAGCGCAAGATGATGCTCACTCATTTGGTTGTGCGACCAGGTATGGGCGGCAAAGGTGCGAATTTCAGTAAACAAGAACTCGACGATATTTTACGGTTTGGTAAGTTTCATTAATTTACTATTCTCATAATAGCATTTCTATACAATACTACACAATCATAAATAAATGCGATATGCTGCTATTATATATAATATAATATGGAATAACAAAGGACAATATAATTACATATGAAGATTATATAATATCGGACACAATTTTGTTCTACCAATTTAACGAGATAAATGTTAATGATAAATTCATCTTTTTTAGGTACGGAGGAATTATTTAAGGAAGAGGAAGGTAAGGAAGACGAAGCTATTCATTATGATGACAAGGCTGTTACTGAATTGCTAGATAGAAGTAAAGAAGGTATTGAACAGAAAGAGAATTGGGCCAATGAGTACTTAAGTTCTTTCAAGGTTGCCTCATATGTGACGAAGGAAGGAGAAACGGAAGAAGAAGCAGATACAGAGATAATCAAGCAGGAAGCTGAAAATACGGATCCAGCATATTGGATCAAGCTGCTTAGACACCATTACGAGCAGCAACAAGAGGATATCGCTAGGACACTCGGAAAAGGTTTATTTATGTTGATATTTGTGTAAATGTATTTAACATATATTAACACGTTGACTGCCAACTACGAGATATCTCGTAGGTTGTTTACTTGTAGATTCTTTAACTTGTTGTTGGAATTAACGACAGTTTCGTTATCGTTACGCAGCTTTTGTATACCGTAGAAAAGCTGCGCAACGATAACGAAACTGTCGTTAACTCCAATAACGAGTTAAAGAATCCCACCACAGGACGCCTAACTACGAGTTATCTCGTCCCTTCATTACTTGCCATATTTGTACAGCTACGAGGAAACTCGTAGCTGTACAATAGCATAACAGTATCATAACAGTGTAAATATGAATAGATGGCCTCAGGAAAGAGAAAAAAGTTTTTTAAAAAAAAACATTTTTTAAGCTTTTTGATTATTACTATGTACTATTATTAAAGTTTTTAATAATATAACATGATTAAATCAAATTGGCTCTTTAGACCGGAATCGTGAAAAATTCCGTGGCAACGTGTTAAGTGTTATGTTTTTATTATAACAATCGATATACCTGGAAACTTGCATACCGATATGTCACAGGTAAACGAGTACGAAAGCAAGTCAATTATATTGATGGTGGTGTAACTGGCGACCAAGGTGCGAGAGATGACCAGCCGTGGCAAGAAAATCTGTCAGATTATAATAGTGACTTTAGCGCTCCTAGTGACGATGACAAAGAAGACGATGACTTCGACGAGAAAGGCGACGGAGATTTATTGTCACGCAGAAGTAGACGAAGATTGGAGAGACGTGATGAGAAGGATAGACCTTTGCCGCCTCTACTTGCAAGAGTAAACGGAAATATCGAGGTTGGTATTATTTGCCAGAAAGGATCTTGTAATACAATACTTATATATACGTATATTTTGTTTAATATTATACTCGCAATATAAGATATATTAGATACACTTACATATAATACATTTCATAATGATCAAAATCCAATGACACGTGTGCAATCTATATTTGAAATAGATTTATATTTGAATACAGAAAAAGAAGCAAAAGAATTTTATTTCTTTTCTATCATTATATGTATTTATTTTTCACAGGTACTTGGTTTTAATGCAAGACAAAGGAAAGCGTTTCTTAATGCGATTATGCGCTATGGAATGCCACCGCAGGATGCTTTCAATTCTCAATGGTCAGTTACTTTACTTGCTTGTTACAAGATTATTATTTTGATATATATTTTATCAATATAACGCTAAAATATTATGATATGTAAATTTACATTTATTATTTTTACGTTATTTGATTATAACCCTACTTACATTATAACTCAATGATAATTATAATAACAAGTAACATTAATATTTCTAACGTTGGTAAAAATAATCTTAATACATACGTCTTGATATCAAAATGTTTAGGTTGGTACGCGATTTGCGTGGGAAATCTGAGAAAAATTTCAAAGCCTACGTATCATTGTTTATGCGACACCTTTGCGAACCAGGTGCCGATAATGCGGAAACATTTGCAGACGGTGTTCCGCGAGAGGGTCTTAGTCGGCAGCACGTATTAACGAGAATCGGTGTAATGTCTCTAATAAGAAAGAAGGTACCGATTACATGATAAACTTACATCATTTTAGTCAAGACAAGTTAAAAAAAGACAAATCCTGAAAAAAAGTAAGAAGAAAATACAAATCCTGAAGAAAATATAGAAATCAATTATTAATTATTGTTAATAGGTGCAAGAATTTGAACATATAAATGGTTACTATTCGATGCCGGAGATGATACGAAAACCAGTAGAACCTGTGAAGGTTGGTGAAGGAGTTGGTGATGCAGCAACTGGTACCAGTAGTACTAGTGCTACGCCAGCCACTTCGAATGCTCCTAGCCCGAGTCCTGCCGCTACACCAACCCCGACATCGACATCCGGTACGGGCAACGAGACTAACAAAACTAATTCTGATTCATCGGAAGTTAAGGAATGTAGGGATGAAACGAAAGATAAAGAGGTTGGTATAGGTCGTATTAAACAGTATCTTTATAAAATATCCTCTTTGGCAATAGGAATATCACGCGACATCATTTGTTATAAATATTTTATAACAATCATTAACGGATAACTATTATTTGTTTTAGAGTGGTGATGCGAAAGATTCTAAGGAAGATCCAAAAAGTTCTAAAGAAGATGATGAAATCAATTCTGAGAAAGATAAGGAAAAAGAAGATATCAAGAAGGAGGATAAGGATGCTGAGACAGAAACTGTTGAGAAGGAGAAGGATAAAGGTGATATAAAGGATGAAAAAGTTGCAGCAAAACATGACGATAAAGCAGAGAATAATGAAAATAAGCTCAAATCTGAACCTGAGGAGGATGTTGTTATCGTTAAGGATGACGAAGAGGAAATTGAGAAACGAGAGGTATTATTTACATAAAACTAAACATTTGCTTTGCCGATAATAATAATAACGTATGTCATACTTCGTTTTTTAGGAGAAAGATAAGGAAAAGGAAGTAAAGGACTGTGATGCTGATGTGATGAAGCCTAAGCGTAAGTTTATGTTTAACATAGCCGACGGTGGCTTCACGGAACTACATACACTCTGGTTGAACGAAGAGAAAGCTGCTGTTCCTGGCCGCGACTATGAAATTTGGCATCGTCGTCACGATTATTGGCTTCTGGCTGGCATTGTCACCCATGGTTACGGCCGTTGGCAGGATATACAAAATGATATTCGGTAATAGAGTTTTCCGTGTAATAATTGCTACACAATTTTTTTTTCAAATATCGACATCTTGGAGCTATAATTAATCCCTTTGAATATGGCACATTAAAAAAGAATACATATTTATGTATCTTTAGATAAATTCTACAATTTTTATGTATTTATAACAGTTTTTATATCTTAAAAATAATGAATTCGAGTAATATAATATTCTCGTATCTTTAAAATAAAGATGTTTAGTTTCTTCTAGTTATATACAGGGTGTTTGATAGCTGATCATGCAGACGAAAGTTGGAGATAGATTGGGTGTAGCCGAGAAGAAAAGTCATGTACCATAATGTCAAATTGGCAATAGTTATCGAGTTATTAATTAAAACATGTGAGCCAACGAGCGCGTAGAGAGCGGAGGGCGACCGCAGTAAGCACATAGACATTTGATACAGGCGGAGTCAGCGAGTGACTGTAGGCGAGCGCGCGCGCGGCGAGGGGCAACGTAAACAACAAGAGGCGAAAGCGCGCGACGAGGAGCGAGCGAGCGCGAACGACGAGGAGCGAGCGAGCTATAAGGAAAAAGTTATAAAGAAAAAGCTCGCTCGCTCCTCGTCGCGCGCGATCGCCTCTTGTCGCTTACGTTGCCCCTCGCCGTGCGCGCTTGCCTACCGCCACTCACTGACTCCGCCTGTATCAAATGTCTACGTGCTTACTGCGGCCGCCCTCCGCTCTCTACGCGTTCGTTGGCTCACATGTTTTAATTAATAACTCGATAACTATTGCCAATTTGACATTATGGTACATGACTTTTTTTCTCGGCTATACCCAATCTATCTCCAACTTTCGTCTGCATGATCAGCTATCAAACACCCTGTATAATACATATCCTATATATTTTACTACTTGGAGAGAGAAAAACATATATGTGTAAGAGATATTTATTTTTATAATGTTCTAAACAACACAATACTATTGGTCTTAATTTCATCAAATTGCTTTTATTACATTTATTACAGATTTGCAATCATCAATGAGCCATTCAAAATGGATGTAGGGAAAGGGAACTTTTTAGAGATAAAGAACAAATTTCTGGCGAGACGTTTCAAACTCTTAGAACAAGCGTTAGTAATCGAAGAACAGTTAAGGCGGGCTGCTTACTTGAATTTAACACAGGATCCGAATCATCCCGCTATGAGCCTCAACGCGCGGTTTGCTGAAGTTGAGTGTCTCGCTGAATCCCACCAACATCTTAGTAAAGAAAGCCTTGCCGGTAATAAACCTGCTAATGCGGTGTTACACAAGGTTAGTTTATTTATTGCCATGAAAACAGATAAAAAGCATTCACTTTGACAATAGTTACTTTGAATTAATCATCTGTTATTTTATAAACTACAACGAAATTATCTCTAATTTCAATCTAACACATCTCATATAATCTGAACCAGTTAATCAATAATATGAATATATTGGTTTTTACAGGTGTTAAATCAACTGGAGGAATTACTTTCCGATATGAAATCAGATGTGAGTCGTTTACCAGCGACATTGGCACGTATTCCTCCAGTTGCTCAAAGATTGCAAATGTCAGAGAGGTCAATATTAAGCCGACTTGCAGCCACAGCACCTGGTGGAAGCAGCACTCAGTCGGGTCAGGCTGCGTTGCTGGCACAACAATTCCCAGCAGGTTTCTCAGGAGGACAATTGCCAGCTACTTTTGCAGGCGCCGCTAATTTCGGCAATTTTCGACCACAATACTCAGTACCAGGCCAGCCACCGCAAGGTTTCACAGGTTTGTATTAAAAGTTAGAATAATAGTAATATGGTTAGTTGTAATAAAATATTACGATAATGATATTAGATTATGATAAAGAAAGCTCAATTAAAGCCTAAGTAACAAAGCAAAAATGCAAATATACATTATATTTTATTCTAAATATTGCCAATATATGCTTAATTAAATGTTTCGAACAATTGTAATTTATTTTTTGTAGTCACATTTAGACTCTAATTAAGTTTTTTCATTTATTCACCGTAATTTTCGTAATATTTCACCGTACTTTTACTATTTTTTCGTAATTTTATATCAAAGTGTTTTTTTTTTTTTATTTCTTTTATTCCTATAATGATATTAATAAAATGTAATGTTAATATAACAATATTAACTTAATAATTAATAACAATATTAAATTAATAATTAATATTATTCAAGTATCTTTTCTTGATACAATGATCTATTTTATATAACTAACTCTCGTTTATTTTACAGCCTGAATATTAAGTGTTGGATTACGATGGCTCAAACATGGACACAAAATAGCGCAAATTGAACTATCCAGTGAGAATCGTTTGCGCTGTAACATTATTTTTCGTAAATTGCAGTTTTTAGCTGAATTTTTCTAGAAAAGAATACATGAAGAGATGCCCCAAGTGAAGACGTACATATTTTACAATCGAATTTGCATTACTTCTGTATTTATTACGTGTACATTCGGCATCTAGATTCGAGATTTCACGTTTTGTATTTATACATACGTTTTTTGTAGGAAGCGACATAGATTATCTCTTTAAGTATCTTTTAAGAATATGATTTATATATTCTGTCCTTCTTCCTCCTGTCTTTCTCTCCCTAGACTTTATTGTATTGCATGTAATAGTAAACACACATTATTTACTTAAATCTATTTAAATTTATCTTTAGTTTAAAATGCTCGGATTTTTATCTTATTTTCTTAAGGTGCGCTACTTCAAGTAGTCTGTCATTTGTAATTTATTCGCGAGATTTGCGGCAATAGTTTACGCGCGAAACTTTCAGAATATTCACGATACTTTAAGGTCTGCTGTGGTTTCCTCAATTTCGAATTGTTTATTTATAACGATGCAACGATCATACGTGTCCATTGCAGTAAGTCCACGGCAATCACTTTAGTCAAAACTGACATTCGGCAGTGCCGTTAAAAGAAAAACAACTATAATCGTTAAATACAGCTCTTTTAAAGATGAATTTAAACATAAAAAGAAATGGCACATAAGAGTCTTAATCATATATTGTAATAAACGAGTACGACTGAGCAAAAACTAGACATTAATATAGTTATTATTAGTTTATCATCTGGATAATGATACAATGGGAGATCATGTATAAATTCATGCTAAAAGACAGAATCTGAATAAATCGTAGAATATAAATAATTTTTATTTATACATGTCCATTAATTTGATTTTATCTTTGTAATTGGCCTTTTGATGTTTATATAACCGTTGCAGAAGATGGAATTGATTGACACAAACATGTCTAGTTATTGCTGAAAAATTAATTGTTTATTAGAATACATGATTATTGTGCATCGATAACTACAATTAAACTCTTATTTACCATTTCTATTTATGTTTGAATCCACTAAAAAAAATAATGCGGAGTGCATTCTATTGTAATGCATGGGTTGTATAAGCAAATACGATGCAGATCCGTTTTTGTCTGTCGTTTTTGCATTTGTTATTAGGACATTGGAAAATTATCTTATGTTATTAATCGCCATTGATCAGAATGAAACATGGATTACTTTCTATTTCCTCTTTTTTTTTCTTCCACGTTTATTTTTATTACGAAGAGATGCAAGCAATTTACTGCTCCGTGTAAATAGATTTTTTCTTTTATATTTCTTTAAGATAATTGATATAATTGAATTGAAATAAGATCGTGGTTAAAATAATAAATTTTGACGCTTGCGTAATTACGAATAACGAATCTAGAAGCTGTTTTTGATCCATGTGTACACGTACATTGATAATATTTGTACATATTGTCATCGTATTTATAAAAACATCCAATAATATACATTTGCACTAGACTTGTAAATTGAAGGACACGTCGTGCCCCATGCATTACTATATAGCAATTAAATCCAATTGTAACAGATATCGACGACTTTAAATAAGCATACGTATTGTTCAGTCTTTTCTACCTGTTTCAGAAACTAGAATATACTTTGTTTTCTCATTAATGTGAACTTGCCAAATTATTGTGTTGGCACAGCTAAATTTTTAAGATTAGTTTAAAGTTTAGCTATGGAATTTGAAAAACAATGTGTGAGGGAAGCGATGAAATATTACAAAACACTACAAAAAAATCGTTTGTGTATGTATTAGATTTACTGGAATAAATTAATAATAACTGGAAGTTTGTATATTTGAATGAAAGTGCAATCCTTGGTACTTGCAGATTGGAGTATACAATATGTGATATTGTTGTTGTCTTTTAATGTGCTATTTCTAATGCAATATTATATTATCATGTATGTTATTTGAGCATTGTACATCTATTGGAAATCTATTGCTCTTGGAATATAAGTAAATATTTGTTAATTTGAAGACACATATATGGAAAATAATATATTCAGAATACAGAATAGTAATTCAAAACAATATGCATAGTAATTATGAAAATGTAGAAATATATAATATAAAAATTAATTGCAAGATTTTTTTATATGATATGATATTAAGAAACATTACCGATATAACATTACTGATATGACCGACTGTCATTTCAATCGTTCAATACAGTCGTTGCCTGTATAAATCGAGGAAAAGTGGGTAATGATGAATCATAAAATTAATATATTGTAGATTAAAAATTGGGCACATCTAATACAATGACAAGAGCATAATGAGCGCTCTAAGTTTATTATACACTTTTAGAATTAATCAACTTTTAGGTTTAATCATTTTTAAATTTAAACCAACCTAGACATATCTGATGGTTTATACGGTTGGTTTTTACTAGATTTGTCAGTGATACATACATATTGATATAACAAATTTTTTTTTCATATCATTTTTTATGACATTTTTTTTATGACATTTTCACGTGCGCAGAGAAGAAGAAGGAGGGAGCCCCGAGTATATACAGTTAGAGTTTGATATTGCACGTTCTTGTGTCATACTCTTAACCTCTGCGCATTGTGTTTAATCGTGTGTGTGTGTGTGTGTGTGTGTGTGTGTTATAATCTTAAATCGTATTTATCGAAGATACGAATACGATTTTACACAGTATAATGGCAACTCCAAAAACGTGGGCAAAAATACAACCTGTAGAAAATCCTCTCAATCTATCGGATATTACAACAGAACAGCTCGATGTGAGAATGCAAGAAATGTGAGTGTCGCCTACGAATGAACTTGTTTCTGTTATTTCTGTGTCATTTTATATATATACAAGAATTTCATAAAATCGACTACAAAGTATATCATTATTTATTGTGAGAACTCTATTTACCATCATAAAATTTACTTAACTATAAAATGTGTGTTTATAATAATATATAATGTTATATATATGTATGTGTCTAAAATTATCTTTATATCGTTGTAGGAAGTTAAATGAATATTTAAATGATGACAATAGAAGTATAATACAAGCAAATAAAGAAAAAGATGAAGTAAGTGATGCTGACAACGATGAGGTAATAGCGAATATATTACAAGATCAGTTTAATGAAGAGCATGATATAATGTTAAAGCGTATAGAAGAGAAAGTTAATCGTGATTCAAAAGGTAACAAAGATTATAACATGATTTCCGTTATATTTAAATATTAAAATTTTTTTTCTTTCAGTGAGTATCTCATATACTAATTATCGAACTTCTTCTTATGATACCAAGGATGAAGATAATATTGATTCTGATAGCGGTAACAACAGGGACTTTGACCGTTTTGTTGTAAGTGCTATATACAAACATATGCAAGTTTTTAAATTTGTGAAATACTTCATGTATGTACAATAGATAGATAGATGTCACATGTACTATGGGCTTGTTTATATATTGTATTGCTTGTTACAAAATATAATATATTCTATATATTTTCAGAGCATAGAAAAAGAGCAAGCTTCAATACCATGTTGTGGTTACAAGAAGGTAGAAGGAGGTTCTCAAATAGTCACAAAGCATGATATATTAAGGTCTTCCCGGTTAAACGCATGTCGTGTATTGCAATTCCCTCCTGGTATTAGCACTGGGGACACAGGTGGGTTTGATGTAAAATTAGATAACAAAGTATTCAACATTCTGCGCGCTCACAGTCAAGCGCAAAGAAAGAAAGGAAAACCATCACCAAAATCTAAAACGCATCCAAAATAAAATAAACAAGATAAAGCAGATAGGAGCTTTCATTTGAAGTAAATACACTCTCGGTAAAAGATTACTGGAGAATTTTAATTCGTCTATCGTATATCATGACAAATGTTTAAAAAAAAAACGGCTTTTTTAATAAAATAGAAATTGGTTAAAAGCCTGGAGGAAGCAGTATATTTTTAGCATTCGGTACTCATGGACTATGTAACCATTGTGTATTTCAAGTATACCTGCTTCTAAAATAAAGCATTAATCAGAAAAATGGCCCAAAATTTATAAAAATTTATCAATTTCAATATACTGAATTGATTTAACCGAGAACTCACGACATATTAAATTCGCTCCTATTTCTACTTGCATATATATGGTGTATGTAACAGGAATTTATACATACTCATTTGCGAGTGCAAATATATAGGATGTACAATCTCAACAGAAGAAAAATAAATCAACTTCAAATATTTGGCAATCAAGACTGAAATATATTATATTCATTTGTCATATATTATATTATAAGAAAGAAAAAGGACTTGAAACTTAACATAAGGCAGAGGGAATAATTATATGAAATTACAATGATCATCACCTATAAATAGAGATTGTGAATTGTGTTGGCTGATAACTGATAAGATTCGATGCTTTTTTACACCGCGTTCCAAAACAACACACATTGGAGAATATAATGTATATACTAACGTAATTAATCGTAATGTTAGGAATCACTTGCCATCCAAACAAAGATGTTATTAAATGCTATTAAATTGCAATGCTTCGATTGGTCGATAGAAATTTTTTGTTCAATTGGAATTTGAAACTTACATACTATAATGCATAAAATTCATTTTATTATTAATATTAGTTTCGTTAAACTATATCACGAACATATGCGCCTTTAGTCGATGAGGAACTGATTGTGCTATATATGTAACGATCATATCAAGAATTTTTTTTGCTTGGTTTTTATATAATATTTATCTATATAAGGTAAAGAAACATTCGTGGTATATACATATAACGAGCGAAGAGGATACGTGGATAAATTTATGTGTTGGGTGCACTTAAATTTGTCCAAGTATTGAAATTTGTTCGTAACATACATGTAACACATCGTCATTTAATACCAAGACACCGTTTAATCGGAAGATACAAAAGAAATATTTTGTTGTACATTCCTTTTTTGTATACGAGATCGCTTCATTACACAATGAATTCTTAATATTTAATACACATTCCTATCTATCGCGTTTTTTACTATTTGAAATGCGGTTTTCGGTAAGTGCAATGATGATTGAATAGCTGTACCAATTTGTTAACACTGATAATTTTAATAAGCAATAATATGATAGATATCTTCCTTTTGATTTCTATCATTTTAGTATATTTTCTGATGTTATTTTGTGACTGTAGTTTTCTTTCGGTAAATTGTAGCTCACATAAAATACTAAAATGTATCAAACATATATATGTATATATAAACATACACAGTATTTTTGTAATAGATAATCAAACATTAGGAATATTTTTTACTCATTGTAAATATGAAATTATATGAGCATGGATTTGTTTTCTTACTGTACTCATGTTCGTATAACTTTCACCTTGTAACAAATAGAATAAATTCCTGATGTTTGACTATATATTTCAGAAATATTCAGTATATATTTATATACATACACATATATATATATATATATATAAATATATATATCTTTATTCTTTATATGTATACATGTATGTTGTGTATGTATATGCTGTCGCGTATGCGTATCGATATCTCTGATAAGTGTCTCTCATGACAGTATCATTTTTTTTCATGGAATGATACTAAAATTCGAAAAATGCTGTATATCCGAATTAACGATCAAAGTTAGTCATCTAGATCGTTTATGTGAAGAACTTCTCTATGGGTTAAACCAACATCCAATAGGGTCAAAATATCTCTACAAGGATATAGAATCCTCCTAGGAAAACTTGTTGTTATTTCGAAACTTGCTGGGGAATCTGGTTGGCTAAATATCCAATGGTAAACATCCTGAAAAAAAAAAAAAGAAAATAAATATTTATTCCTATATACATTATTATACACATATATTTCGCGGATTATAAGCATTTCTGGAGAAAAAAAAATCGAAAGATGATTTTTATAAATTCTTATTATACACGTACAAGTGACAACAATAATTTTAATTTATATTTGATATTCATGATTATACCTCAACTGTGTCAGTCATGAGAAATCTTCTCTTCATTGTCCTCTCTCCAAGCTTGATTTGCAGATGACACGCGTTAGGATTTGATGGTTCTGGTTCAAGGGGCACTTTGCTAACAGTTAATTCTTTTTCAAGCCGTATACGTTGGATCTCTAATTCTTGCGCATTTAATTCCTCTTTCTTTCGAGCTTCTTGCTCTTCGCGTGCTTTTCGTTCTTCTTCTCTTTTGCGATCCTTTTCTTGATCAGCGCGCAATGACTCCTCGTAAGCACGATCCTGTTGTTGTCGAAGAGACTGTGCGGCGCTACGTTCTGCCCTAAAATAATATATATATATATATATATCATATTTTATTGTACATACCAATGTATATATAATCCTGAATACTAATATACTTTTATTTTTTGAGTATTGAAATCTACCAATTTTATAAGTGATTTGATTTACCTCTCTCGACGTGCTTGGATCAAATTAATTTCATTGCGTTCTATGATCGTTTGTAAACGTGATGTTAAATCAGCAGAAGATGGGGCACCCTCCATTCTGTAAAAAAGAAAAATAATTTCCTTTAAACTAGCTTGTTACAATGTCAAATGTTTAAATGTGCAATAATAAACTCAAAATAAACTGAGTTTGGAGTACAAAAAAAGTTCAAGAAACAGCAATATTATCTTCTGTATGCAAATATCATATCCAAAAAGTGATAAGCAGATTAGTCTTACGTACCGACCAACTATTGTCATTCTGTTGTCTTTCAATACAATTAGTGCCAAGAAAGGATAAGAACCAGATTTCAGCGCTTCAGCGACTTTGTAACCTTCTCCCGATTTTACATTACACGCCCAAAATAGAGTATGTGTATTTATATATCGGATCACTTCCGGATCGCACAATGTATTTCTAGAAGAAAAACATTGTGTACAGTCTTTTCGTCAAATCACGTGGATTATATCTTTGTTATCTGCTTGAAAAGTAATTCGAACATTGTAAGAGAGATTACCTGCACCATTGGTCAATGTCTTGTGTCTCATCCTTATGGAGATACACTAATAGAAATCTTAATTCTTGCTTTGCATCCGAAAGTGCTTGGCTATAAGAGCCCTGGTAAAATACTGGATGAACGTTACCATAACGCTCCTCGTAAGATCTAATAAAGTTGACTACATCTTCCACTGGATCAGAGGACACTTGGAAGATATTTATTGACTTTGATTAGTTATATGAATTGTAAATTGATATACGTAATCAGAAATAATAACTATTAAACTTTCAATCATTGATATTAATTTTAAATTTAAAAATTGTAAGAAAAGATCCAAAGGTTATATAATGTTAAATTATAGAAAACAGTAAAAAGAGAAAGATCAATTAGAGCCAAAATGTATAATTCTAAGTACATATGTGTATATATATATATATATATATATATATATATAATTATAAATTTCACTAAGTACAAAGCAAATTACCAGGCTCAATGGTTTATAGAAATTGTTAATAGTACAAATGGAATATATACATTAATGTGAATTAAAATTTGCAGAGACATAAAATTATAATGTAAATACTAGTTTCTGGAGAAAATAAATAAATGAAAATTGAAAATATATACACTGCCTTATTTTAAGAGTTTTGAATGTATAAGTTTTCTAGTTGAATCATTTTTCAAGGTGAAAGTATTTAAAATAATCACATGATAATTGCATTGTTCTTAGTGGTATTTAAGATAATTATATACATTTACATACCTGTAACTGTGCTTAAACTCTACTTGACCTTTCTCTTCTTATGGCATAAGATTTCAATCGAATTGAACAGCAGGTGTAAATGGGAAAATTAAAATTACCAATTTAGACTTGTTGTACATATAATTAAAGATATGGGTTACTCACCAGGTCTAACATTTGTCCTAAATATTGCAAAAACTAGCTGCAGGATACTGCTCACTATGTTGTAACACACAGACAGAATGTAAGACAAGAGACCACCACCTCCACCAGAGCTGCCAGGATAATTGAAGTAAATTCTGGAACTGCTGTCATCTACAACCTGCGGTGGACGGGACCGCGAGTCTTGTGCATACATGGATGGTCTACCTTCGTACAAATTTAGTTGTTCCTACAATATAAAGTTGTCTTACAATAAATGATACAAATAAAAACATCATTCATCTATATGCATAACGCATAATATATTTATTAGAATTATGTAAAAAGTAAATAGAAAGACTCTAGATATATAAAGTAATCAAAAAACGATAAGTCAATATGGTGATACTTTTCTGTTATCGGTGAGGAACAAATATCAAGTTTTATCTCACCATTATCAGGTTAACTGTATCGTAAAGGGGAATTGGTGAAACTTAGAATTTCAAAAAAGAAGGTATGGTACCTGGACTGCAACTTCCAAATTCCAATTGTGCCTTTGCAGAACGTCTCTGCATACTGATAGATCCTCTATCCCAGTGAGGTCCTGAAAATGATGATTACGTTGTTAATCGTGAAAATGTGGATTATGAGATAACAATGAGAATATCTATGGCACCTGAAACTGTAGCACTTTTTCAGTCTGATCGCTGCTGAGCTCTCCTAAGGCAAGATCTGCCATGACAATGTGTTTTTTCCTTGTATCGTGGAGGGACAACCGTTTTGGGAATCTATTGCTGTGAATACAGTTACGTCGAATTCATCAGCTGATATAAGAAATGCATACGTGACAAAGGTTATAACGCGAGATTGTAACCATTTGAATACATATAGATAGATCGGCGAGATTTAACCTCGGGAGCGTTCCTCAGTCGACCAAGACACGTTTTTTAACGTCACGACACGATTCGTTTCATTTCGTTCCTACACGCACAATGTTTTCGATGTCATGACTTTTCACGGTACAATTTCAAGGTTCTCTTCCATGCGCAACCTAGGGCCGGACGACAGTAAGCGTGATAGTCAACGGTCAACACTTTTCAAGCATGGCGATTGGCGAATCACATCGTGGAGTATTACGCTATGTCATGCAATAATGGGTGCGTTCGCGAAGTCCAACAGTTGCACAACAATTGAGCATCCGATGAGTGAGCGATGAGTGAGCAGTGGAAATGTACACTGAACGCAACTCAGGATCAGGAGTTCTGCGCGATTTTGTTGCGCGGAAAAAATGTCAGATAAACGTACTAAATATGGTTACGTTCAGAAAACAAAGCGCTCACTGAGCGCTTAGTAACTATTGGTCCTTACTGTTAGATCCTTACATTCAGACCAATGACGTTGACGAATCACTCAACTGTTGTGTAACCGTTGTGTTTTCTGAACGCAGCCTATATTACGGCCCGTCTACACCGCGTTTATGTGTTTTGTAATTATTAAGTATTTTTATAAATATAATTCATATGTGTCTGTTACAATGTATTCTACACCATCCTTGACATTCCTCGCTATATATATTTGGATTTATATGACTATTTTCTTTGTTATTTTCTTTATTCATGGTCTGCGCCATGTTGGATTGGATCAGAGACTGATCAGTAAAGGTAGCGACGAATATTTGGGTACGTTCACGACACTCAACAGTTGCGCAATTCGTCAGTTGAGTAATTCGTCAATGTTATTGGTCTGAATGTAATGATCTAACAGTAAGGACCAATAGTCACTAATCGCTCACTGAGCGGTTTTCTTCGCTGAACGCACCCTTTATGATGAGAAAAATGGCGACCGCTCACTCAACTGGTCTGTTCTTTGTAGCTACACTACTGAACTGGTGCAATAATTAAGCTAGAGTGAGAAAACCTATATTTGTCTCACTTTAACTTATTGCACCAGTTCAACAGTGCAGCTACAAAGAACAGACCATATATTGGCCGCGTTCAGCAGAACAAAATGATCAGTGAGCGCTTAGTGATTATTGTCTGTGACTGGAGCATTCTTTTAGATTTTTCATAGACCCAGAAGTATTTGCCAATCAGGAGCGAGAATCATTAAGCGCTCACTGATCATTTTGTTCTTCTGAACGCAGCCATTGGATGTACTACGTTCGGTACAGCATTTAGCACATTCGCTCACTGAGTGCTTATACTCGTTTCTAACATGGTCTATTAAATCTTTGAATTTGAATTTGAATTGAAACTCTCTGTAGACAAAGATTAAAAAACCCAAAATAAAGCTTAATTAACGTTGATAAAAACGGATATCAATATGCTCAGCTAGCACCTTAGATCAATTTACTGCATACAAACGCTCCCTAACTGTTAGCACCGTTCATTCGGCTTACTTTAAGATCTTTCTACATTAATCGCACAATTGTAAGTTGCAGGAAATTTAGCAATAGCAGTTTATTGTACGTTTCAGTGCGAAGAATAATCAATTTCTATTGACAAATTTCTTGTGAATTGCGATTATGCGACTAATGTGATCTTTATGCTCCTTTCCATTTTTCACGTCAACGTGATATCCCTAAAAGTTAATAACTAGTATAATTCTTGCGTTAGTTAATTTGTACTGCATACATGCTCAATTCATTAGATATGACATTTATATCACGTATAAAATATTAGAGGCTAAAAATCCCAACAATTCAAAACGTATAATAAAAATGATTTGTATAGAGATATTAAAGATATCTTATTTTCAGACATCTTAAAGACGACTTAGAGATGTCTTAAGACGTCTTATGTCCCGATTTTGGACATATGTGCTGTCTGGGATGTTAAATGATAGAACTTTGCATTTTTGTAATAAAAATTATTTTGAACTAACGATTCCTATAAGTACGCTGTAAGTAATTAAGCTGTACGCATAGACATAGCCCAAATAGACAAAAAGATATCTTTTAGATTTCTAAAAGATATCTTGCAATGTCTTGAGATATCTTACATTTTTTCCGAAAAGATATCTTTTAGGGATCTAAAAGATGTCTTATGCAACAAAATCTAGAGATGTCTTGAAGATATCTTCTGGAAACGTAAAAGATATTTTAAAGATATCCTCAAGATGTCTTGAAGATATCTTACAGAAATAATAATAACAATGGGTTAATCGATCAGGGGTTGATTAATGACCAAGAGGCGACTCTTATTTGACATTCGCGATTTCGCGCTCCGGGCGTTTTAAATAAGAAAATAAGAAAAGCATTCTATGATAATCGATTTAGTTAGATAAAATAATCGGTGTCAAAATAATCCTGGTGATATCGCCCATTTCTATTTGTTATTGAGTTACAATACCTCGTTTCTTCGTTACAAATGATGACGTAATGAAGACTAAAAGTAACCAAGATTCAAACCAACTTAGCTGATATTTATTTGAAGCGCATCTGGTCTTTTTATGACACCACCAGATGGTACTAGCAACTTATTGATCGATCGACTTTACAATAGATCGCCTCTTATTCGAAACAGTTTGTTATAGTTGCAATACTTTTAATGTATGCATGAGGTGTTATTGTCGACAATGAAACATTGGGATCATGTTATTCAGTAACAAGTAAGACGCATTTTTATTTTTAAATTTTCCTGTCTGATAACATATGTTAACAAGAAGACTTTCATAATTTCAGTTGTACGATTCAACGAGTTAAATGTGTCTTTCCTTTATTTTTAAATTGCATGGCTTAACAACGGGACAGAAGACTTTTCTATTTCTAAATAATTCGATTTGACAATAGTAAAATACACTTTTGCACTGTGCATGAAAAATTAAACGGTTATTTTGATGAGAAATTGTTGATGAATTTTGAAAAATAGGCAAAATCGTGAAACGGCTTGCAGTATATCGCCAAAAATGGTGGACAATGAGACGTTTCGAAAAGTATTTAAAAATTTAAAGTCTGGTTTTGGAATGAGTCACAATTATAACATTTTGTTATTACTTTCTGCCAAGATATATCGAATTAAATAAGAAATAGCAATTGTTCAGTTTTTAATTTCATTTTTCAAATGCGTTTTTACATCAAACCTTTACTGAAGTGTGAAAGTGTTCAATATGTTTGGTTAGAAACGAGTAGAATTTGTCAATGTTATTATATGGAGTTCGCCTGCTCAATTATGCACAACTAATTTCATTAATATCGTCAAGCGTAATGAAATAATAAATAGGAGTGCAAACATATGAGATAGAAAGCGTCGTTTTGATAGAAAAGTTTTTTGGTAATAAATGCGAGCTATTAATTAAACTATTTGAGGAAATAAATTGAGGAAGATCACTTTTATGAATGTTGATATACGATTAATTCATCGTTGAGTGTCTTGCATAAAAAATAGGAACATATTATCGAGACAAAGCCTTATAATATATTTTTACTATATTATTAATAAAACGTACATTGTACGAATGTACGAGCGTGTTTTAACGATTCAAATACTGCTAACAGATATTTTTGAGAATTTCGGAGTGGATTTTGGAAAATTCGTTTGGAAAAGTGTTAGGGTGTACAAGCGATATCTCTAGACTTCTCTGAATTAAACATTCACATGATTTCGTGATTCTTATATTTTAACGTTAGGTATATTTTTGTTTTTAGTTGTGTATTTCAAGTTGTGTATGTAACCTCCCTGAAAATCTCAATATAAGATGCACAGCGCTCACGGTGGGTTCTAAGCTGGCAGGAAAATAGCGTGAGAACATAAGGCAGATGTGTGTATAGAAATGTACGAAAGCAGGCGACTGTGCAATAGTAGTCTGGATCAGACCCAAAGGGTCGGAGGTCGAAGGGCTCGAGCAATAACGTACGTTTTTCTTTCTCTCTTCATCGCTCACCGTTATGCTGATACTATGAACCCACTTTGCGACAAGCACACACATAGGTGGTAGAATATATTACAAATTCTTGAAAAAAAGTCTCTCGGGCCTTTAATCCTTTTGTATTGCTGAAAAATCACCGTTAACGATTACTCTCATTCAATCGATCTAATAAGAAAAAGACATTGGCGAATATGACATTGCAAAATGACATACGAGATATATATAAATGTATAGAAAGTAAATTACTTTATTTTCAATCGATACCCATCATTTTTAGCGCAAAACTTATGCAAAACTTTCAAACGATTTACGCGATTGTACAGAAGTGGAAGGGATTTTTTAAACCAACGACATAATTAATGTCTCCTCGAAATGAATGATCCTGCGATTTTTTTCTGTTCTGTTACAAATTGACCACGATATGGACGTACCGTGTGGTAAATACGCATAATTTTATGAACTGTTTTGTTGTGCAAGGTTGAAGAGAAGAGCAATTATCGACGGCGTTACATTGTTCCTTCCTTATTAATGACTTCACAATGAAATTGCGTAGCGGGTATGCACACACGTGTGCACACATCTATTTGAAAAGTGATACGCTTGTCGCGCAGGTAGTTTCTCATTCGTATCGGCGCTCGCGTGAGAATGCAGGGGATGCAGAAATGCCGAGGCACAGTTTCCCACCTCAGATTTGGCGGCCACCCCTCGGTTCGCGCTAAACGTTGCATAAATAACAACCTGAGCCGTACCGCACCGAGACCGGACTGCACTTCCGGCCATCTGTTTTATCGGAAATAACGGCGATTAATTGTGGAATTACGGTAATCACACATCGTTGAATTCGATCGAAAAAAAAAAAAAAAAAGCTATGCGAGATTCTCAATTCTTTACACATCCGTTTCTGAAAAATGTTACCGTCATCGCTTTTAGAGTGAACATATTTCGCGCGTGAATTCGCCGATAAATTAATTGTTTTGTAATCGGACGAATAACATTACGACAGGTGTAAGTTAAGTGAGCTTCACATTATGTTACGTATACCGCTTATTTATCTTCTTATTTTTTATTTTCTTATTATGTTTACTTATTATATTTATTATGTTTATTTACTCGCATGGGTTTTTACGATTGATAAACAAATTAAATTGGAGATTACTAAATGTTTCCGACAAGCCTCATTTATTTCTAGATAAATTAACATATTTGTTGACGTCTGACGTATTTGTTGGTCTGATGAATTCAATGATGTTTTAAATCAGCAAAGTGATACAACTCGACGTTTTATTTACATCAACACGAAGGATTATCTATTTATGTATTTGGCAAAAAAATGGTGTAATTCACCACTTTTCCAAAATCCACACAATGATAATTCAGTGATTATATATTTAAAAAAGAAAACTAAATACCAGCATTTATCATATAATTTTTTTTAATATGTAATCATTGAATTGTATTATTTTTGTTCTGATTGTGCATAATATGTGAGCGAACAATTTATCTTTATCGACGTAAATAAAACGTAAAGCAGTCGAAATATCGCAACTGATTTGCATAATATACCGCCGCAGCATTCTCGATTAATTAACAGACATGACAAGGCAGAAGGATATCTAAAAACGGATGCGATTGCTTTATCGTATCTTATTACTCTCGACTTAAAACACGACCAGATATTTTTTATTTTTGTTATATTTGCAAGTATCGGACGCAACGTCAAAATGAAACACGTTTGTACCGAGAGGCTCGATTAACGATAAAACCATGCTGGAATCTTCTCGTTCTGCTGCGTATTAACGTGCGTATTTGCGCGGAAACGGATCGTTCCTCGCGTTTGCGCGGCGAACACACCGAAAGGCAGCAGAAGCAGGAGTCATTAACCAATTATCTACCCTGTTAATCTGCCCCCTGGTGGTTAGTTGTCGGTACCCGCATAGTTAACGCTGCGCGTCCACGAGAATTCATTTAACTGTTGTTGCTGAATGATTCACGTTGCTTCGTGCCTTTCATCGAGAAATCAATTCCCATTAGAAACATCGCGTGCTGCGGGTGGCGCGTGTCGATACGCTTCAAAGTCGTGCATACAGCACACCCTGATCCGCGACACTCTTCAGCTCGTGCCCGCTGCTGACGAGTGTAATAAGGATCCACGACCTTTTCCCAGAGCAGCGGGATTTGCGCTTTTTTTCACGGTATTTTTCACATTCATCTTTTTTCTCCTTCAAAGAGAGATTCTTCAATCAGCCTGACGCGATTAGAGATTAAGACGTTGAACAAAGAGCTCTGCGGAGAAGCTAATTGAAACTGTTCTCTTCGTGTTTTGTATTTTTTTCTAAATGTATACGTCATATGGCAGGAAGACAGAAAAATGGAGGAATTATAATGCGGCATTTTCTTAGTGCAAGACAAAACGCGACTCAGGAATTACATTCAGCAAATTCAATTCAGCAAATTTTAGATCTCTAAATCTCCGAGATCACTGTGATTTAAATAACCGATAGTTTCGCAAGTCAAATATAATAAAAATGTGCTTAAGGTTAAGCGTCAAATTAAAAGACAAGTGGTTGAATATATAGCAGAATATACCGGGTGTTTCAGACCACCCAGGTCACCCGATTTTTTCGTTAACGCGACATTTTAGAGAAAAATACTTCAGACAAAAGTTGTAGGGCTTTAAAGGATCTATTTACTGACGCTATGAATTTGACCTTGGGATAACTTTGAAAAGTCCAGTCAAGATTAACATAAAAATCTTAAATGGATACCCAAATTTTTTATTACATCATCTTTTTCTAGCAATTAATTTGAATAACTTTTGTCTGAAACATTTTTTTATTTACCTAATATTTTTTGAGATATTTAATGGAAACTTGATAACTTTTTTAATATTTAACTCACGATATCTCGCTAACTATTTGTCTACTATTTTGTACTATTGTCTACTATTGTCTACTATTTGTCGCTAACTATCAGAAGAAAAAGTGGTACGAGACTTTTTTGCTCTATTTAGTCTCAAGAATATTTTCAATCAAGAATTGTTTCAATAGCGCTCTGAATTTGGTTAATTTGATGATTTTGAAATTTCCAAAAATCAGCGAGTTAACAAAAGTCAGGGCGTTATTGTAAAAATATATTCTTGAGACTAAATAGAGCAAAAAAGTCTAGCACCACTTTTTCTTCTGACAAATAGTTAGCGAGATATCGTGAGTTAAATATTGGAAAAGTTATCAAGTTTTCCTTCAATATCTAAAAAAATATTAAGTAAATAAAAAAATGTTTCAGACAAAAGTTGTTCAAATTAATTGCTAGAAAAAGATGATGTAATAAAAAATTGGGGTATCCATTTAAGATTTTTATGTTGATCTTGACTGGACTTTTCAAGGTTATTCCAAGATTAAATTTATAGCGTCAGTAAATAGATCCCTCGAAGCCCTACAACTTTTGTCTGAAATATTTTTCTCTAAAATGTCGCGTTAACGAAAAAATCGTATGATTCGGGTGGTCTGAAACTATAGTCCGGCTATAATAGTTGAATTAACCACTGAAGTAAATAAATTTTGATCTCTTCAATTGGCAGTTTTGCCGCGTGAATATCTGGATACAATGTGGTCGTTATAAAAATGCCTAAACCAGAACTGGGAGGCATTATTGACGCTTTTTATGTACTGTATATACCGTTGGTGAAAAGTTCGGTGAGGAACGGCCTATGAGAAACGGTTAACGGATGAGACTGACATAACAGGATTCGTGGTAACTAAAGGGTTGAAGGAATCGTTGAGATATGTAGAGGAGGAGATCGATTTAGCTGTCGTATGAGATACAAGCTAAACCGGTAACTTGCGTTGGGGATACAAAGGGGATTTGCGTAACGGACAAGAAGAAGCAAAAAAAGAAAAAGAAATTGCACTGAAGATGCGCACGATGTTAAAGAAAATAAAATTTGCGTATCGTTATGCTATCCGACAAAGAAAGAGATGGGCAGATAGGTAAATGATGAGAAAGAAAAAGAGAGGAGTTTTTTATTCGAGTTCCCTATATTCCAAGATTTTTGAAATCCATCACTTGAATCGTGCCTCGAGATGTAACTTAGAAATGAATTTCATTTCGGGTTAACTTCATACGAAGACATATTCTACGCGATGAACTGAAATTTATCTTAGAATTTCTTCCCGCCAAGCAGGAGTATGCTGGATTTTCTCCCGTAACGATAATCGGCCGAGAGTTCGGCGGGATTTTTCGCAGTCACTCTAGCTCGTCTTCTCTTTTCTCAGCACCTGGCGTCGTGGGGGCCGTGGGTTATCAGGGACTAGTCACACCCCTCGTTTTGGGGAGGAAACCGACATGTGGACGAGAACGAGGACTTGTTACGTAGCCGCGGGGACAGGTAAGGAGCAAGGACGTCTTTGACGTAAGCTAGATCTCTCCCCCCTCGATGAGGATAAGGGAAAGACGAGGAGGGACCGGGCCTGAAAAGAATCATTGTGCTCGGTCGTTTTCCCAGGGCTTCGTTGGCCAGAAGGCCCCCCTCTCTTTCCATCTACCCTTACGTGTACCGAAGGGCCTGGGTATATAAGGGCCCGCTCGGCTTCCAGTGGCACAGGACATCACGGTCGACAGTGAGAAGAAGAGGCTTCCAGGCTTCTTCGACCGATCGACCGTACTGGTCACGGTCGAGGAAGACCCGAAGAGGAGGCTGGAGGACGAAGAGGAAGTGAGCAGCCGCAGTCACCTAACGGCGAACGTCATTATTTTCTGTTGCAGAAAATCCGGCCGGAGCTACGTCAACAATTTCACGATGGTGAGTATAGTTTCGGTTTTGTCCTGGCTAGTACGCGATCTTGGTGCTTCGATAGACTATGCTAAAAGTCGCCCGGAATCGTCCTTTCGGCTACGCGGATCTTCGATGTTCTGCCTCGTGAAACCGGAAATTCGCACTCCTAGCTCTTGACTAATAATCGAATCGGTCGTGCGCGAGAAATTGGACGAATCACGTTTTATCGGGGGAGAGAGAGAGAGAGAGAGAGAGAGAGAGAGAGAGAGAGAGAGAGAGAGAGAGAGAGGGAGAGAGAGAGAAAGAGAGAAGAAAAGGATAGGAAGGAACAAAAGCGTCAGTTTTCAAGCAGTTTCTCTTCTCGCGAATGATAGCGCGTCACTCTCTTGTGCTGTTTTGTCGTCAAAATTTTCATTTTTGTATTCCACATACGTCTCTGGATTCTATATCAAGCATATGATGAGTCAGCATCCTTGTATTGTGTGATTTAAATAACATAATTCTCTGCATCAATACGCAAAATCTGTACCATTTCGTTCTTATCCAACATAATTAAGTATAAGCGATTGGATATCTACGTATCTATAGAATTGTAAAATTGCTCAAACTAACGAACATCTTCAAAGTGGCTGCCGAAAAATCGAGTTCTTCGATTCGTTCAGGTTTGTCGCACACGGCAGTCGATTATGCGGTACGGTTTAATGAAATGAGGATGCTCGTGACGACATACAACACCACGATGCACTTCGGAAATTCAAGATCAGAAAGTCTCAAGTTGAGTTCCAAAAAGCACTATGTGTTCGTCGACATCATTTCAATCGGCTCGAGCTCGACATTGTGTATCGTGACGACGTTCTGATTTCATTAAATAGTAGCGTACGTGAAAATTTTCGAACGGGCAGAAAATCATTGTGTGTTGCCGGAGTAGATAAATATAGACGGGAAACATTGCCATCACGACACATCGAAACATATACATCGCGCGAGTGTAATCGTCGAGATCGTTCGCGAGACAGAATAACGTGAATCTACGATCGAAATCCCGAGTTACGCGCGAAGTGATTATTCGGACCTACTCTATCCAGGCACTAATATCCTACCAAAATGTGACTTGAAATTGGTTCGTCTCTCCGTCTTTCCGTCGTTGTGCTCGCAAATTCTGTCGCTTTTATCTCGTCTGCCTGATTCAAATTCTGCTCTGCGTGTGCGTAGTAAATCCTAAAAGAATCTCTAGCTATGCTTGTTGCCGGTTTAAAAATGGGCGCAATCCTTGGTCTGCTTAATTCTTTTTGCTTTTTTTCTACAACGCGTTCCTATCACCGCTCATGGGTGATGACGTTAATTACTCTGGATGGAACGATACACCGCGAGAAAATGTTTCACAAAATCTCCATGTCAGTAGACCACCAACACGGTAGATTGATCCAAAAAATTTCGAGTATCGCGAATTGTTTTGTAGAATGTAAAGTCGGCCGCGTACTAAAATCATTTGGATAATCTTCGTATTTGAGTCGGAATAGTGATGCGCTATCACAATTTCAGCTTCTCACTGTACCTGTAGATTTTCCGAGCGTTTTCCGTTGCTGTTATGTTTTTTTGTGTATGTGTATGCATATGTGCACATCGTGCAGGAAGTGCACTTGCGAAAAGGAGTTGCAAGTTTCGACGTCGAATGTAGACCGCGCACAATTCGATATATAAAATATAAATCCGCCAGTGTAGTTGATCTCTCTGTGACAGCTAACAAATGCATGAATACATCGTGTGTGCGTACTTTACTCTCGATAGTTTAGACTTTACGCTGCTCCATACTCGGACTCGACTCGACTCGACTCGATTTAATCATCTGCTCTTGCATTTCACCAGCTGCTTAATAAACGCGCATGCTTAGACAGCTTTCTGCACCTTGAGACCTTGAGGCATACGTTGTACATGCCGCGCAGCTAGAATTATCCGTACATATCACATCGTTTGTATGCAAGATAATAGACAGACAATGAGAAATTCTTCTCACGTGAGACAGTAATTTCCGAAGATGATATGATTAACGTGATCAGTAGCGGGCATAAATTTCAGCGAAAGGCTTTTAAATAAGTGACATACCATTTTTACATATCCTCTAGTTTACCAAATGCGACATAGATGAGAATGATATTGATATCATATGTGTACGTTCTGATGCAAATAGAAATTAACAAATTAACCGTTTTGTCTCGTTGTTAGTTGGCCATCCTATCATATACATAGTCATTTAATCGTGGGATAAAATTCGCCTCTTTGCAGCAGTTTAATGAGGATTAATAAGAAATCAATCGTCGAGTAAGTTTTGAATTAATCGCGATTGTTATTTAATAGCCTGAAACGAGTTAATGCAGTGGTGTTCTAATAAGACACAGGATACATAGAATATAGAGAAATAAAAATTCTGGAGTGCAGTTTGGACAAATTATTCTCGGGAAGTTAGTACTCTTGAGATATAGAAATTGTCTCAACAGTCGCAAATATATATATATATATTTATATATAGTATTTTTGTCGAAAATTTGGTGTTTTGTAAGTTGATCAATGAAATAGCAGTATGACAGTAGATTCTTCGGACAATTGTTGTTTATGACCTCCCCCGCTGTTATTGACGACACGCTTTCTTACTTTGTACATCCAATATAAATAACATTCAGATAATTAATGTTGCAACTATAAAGAAAAAATAGATTACTGATCTGTACTTCACAATCTCAACTTTAACATCAGATAAATTTTCAAGATAGGAACGAGTTGCACAAAAATAAAATCCGATTTAGATATTTATCTTATTGTTTGTGTAAAATCACTGACGCAAAATGAATATTTGTTATCAAATTAATCTATTTCAATTTCAATGTGTATATTCCAATATTTTCAGGTATATTATAATTGGCTTTAGTATTCTGAATGTAATAAAAAAGACTTTTGTAAATCTACTTTTGTAAATCTTTGTAAATCTGAATTGTATAATTTGGCCAAACAATATGATATAGTGAAAAATTAGAGATTAGTTGATGGTAATAGACATATTATAAAATTTATTATTACATCAAAAAGAACGATTGAGATACATCAACGGAATTTCATGCATTATATTTTGGCACAATATTGTCTACTTACCCATGAAATATATAGAGTATTTGTATTGTAGTGAAGAGGACGAAAAAAATGATTTAAATTTTATTTAGATTATACGAAACTAGATAGATTTATAGAATTATATTCAAATAATATATTCAAATATAATCAAATGGGCATTCAAATATTTTTTAATTGTAACATTCAATACATGTATATATAGCATGTCAAGACGTGTGCAAATGTAAACTTTATGGCAGCTAATTTTTTATCTCTGGTATGTCATCAAAATTTTATGTCTATGATTTTGTTCGGCACCACATACTCTCTGATTTGCTTTTTCATGATTTCTAAGAAACAACAACAGAACACAAACTTTCGATATAGAAAGAAACTTTCAGCATAAAGAAGATAGAAAAATATGTAGTTCTAGTCCTAATAAAGTTCTTATATCGATATCATTTTTTGCAAGTAGTAAGATTTATTCGGCATAAAAAATCTACAATAAAAATCGTGAGAAAAAGATTTTTCACATAACTTATTAACAGTGTCAAATTATCTAAACGATGTTTCAATATATCATTTGACAAATGAGAAATTACATTTAAAAAATATTATTAAATCCTATATGTAAACTTGGTAAATTTTAAAAATAGTGGAAAATCGATTTATTACTTGAAAATCTTGAACTGTTACAATAGAAGGCGGAGCTTTTCTATTATAGACAAGAATATATGTAATTATACTAGTTTTACAATATTCCGCTATGTAATATCGTGGCATAACTTTCAACATCAATTTTTATTATAACAGTTCTAAATTATATAAATTGCGACAGACTAAAATGATTTGACACATATTGTTAGCATCTGAAGACTTTTTACATATATATATATTTTTTATCCAAGATTGCAATAAATAACTAAAAATTCTATATCAAAATATTATAAAAAAAATTATATTAGTATCGTATTTCAAGGCAGATAGAAAGAGAGAATGAGTGGAAGAGTGTATGAGTGTATGAGAGACAGAAATAAGTTGTTTCACTTGTTGCGAATATTTGATTAAGAAGATGTGAAGAGCATCAGTTATTTATTTATTATATTTCTATTAGAAGTAAAAGCATGTCGATCATATCAGCACAAAATCCATATAAACACTGCATTGATTCACACTCGCTAAATATATTTATAAACGAAAACCGGTCTTTTAAATACGGCTTCATACACACGTAAAAGTGTTTGTGTCTTGCACTTCATCGAGAGAATATGCCGCTTTCGAAACGTATCAGCATAGTATCGTTCTTTTCAATCTATACCATATCCAATTAAATCGATTAAATTTGAGAGTAAATTTTGACTATGAGATTTTCCTGTCAAGCAAAGCACCCCATCACGACGATCAAAAAGAAATTAACTCTGCTTTGGACTCAGAAATTTACCGTACTATAACAGTAAGAAAACCCACCTGTTATTATATTTGAGTAATATATATATTTCCTAAATTCATTACGATACTTTTCTGAAATAGGTTACAGTGTGGAAAAAGTGCATATATACGTATAAATAGTTTCTTGAAATAGACACGGATTAATCCACTTTTCACAGAGACTGTCGTTAAACAAATTATTCGAATTTACTTTGGATTCATATTGCAAATTGTTTAACAAATTTTCTATTTTTAGTCCTCTTTTAAACTGTATTTGTATCACATCAACTAATGAAACGTATTACAATTAACAGCTGGTAATATATTTCATTAAATAAAATTATAACTGTGTAATCATATGCATTTAAAATAATGTGGATTTGCACCAGAACAATAATGACGATGCAGCAAATAATCTAATAATAATCGTTGACCTTATCGATCATGGACAGTTTTTTCGGTTCTATCAAATTATGATAGTATTGGAATAGTAAGGAATGTTTCAAATGAGAGAGAAAAATAGAAAAATGTCGGATACACGTTTATATCTCCAACTGTGTTTATAAAAAAAGAAAAGGAAACCCTCGAAGCTTTCTTACATGGCAATACCTTGGGGTTGATTTGCCCAAAAGATTATCAAAAGAAGAAAGAAAATAGAACAGGATAAGAGAGAAGACAGATAAACCGTAAAATAAATTAAACGAAACGAAACTGAATTTATACACATACACATTTATGAAAGATATATGTGTTATGATATCAGAAAATATATACATTAATTATATTACGCAGCAGTAGAAATAAATTATTGGATTTAGCTTCCTATCGTATCTAAAGTTGTCATATAAAATTGTGCTGTCGGATAGAAGAAATTATAATATTTTCCCCTCAAAATCTGTCCTAAAACACGCCAATACACGAATCAGAATTAAACGTCAGAATTATGCTATCTAGGTGCTATCTTGAAATTAATTCTGAAATTTTCTGCACAATATATATTGAATTTCACGATACCTTTTCAAATTGATCATATCGGTTCTGAAATTTCCTCAAGTGCAAATTATTTGTTTCGTCCAAATTTCGACTGCTTATGACGAAGAAGATATATCAGACGTACAGAAATTGCGATCTGCCCGGGAGACATTACTTTTCAAATCAAGTATTCCAAGAAGACGATACTGCATAAACGATCGCTTCACTACCAATTTCATGCGAGTGACAAAATCAATGGATAAGTGAATCTGACCGTCATCAGTTCCATGGTTTATCGAGCTGGAACTCAAGACGATGCTCAAGATAACTTTTCTACGGTCAGCACGACAAATCGATCAGGATTCCCGATCAGTTGTTGAATTCTATTGAGATATAACTGACGATCTCAGAAACGCACCACATACTCGATTACGATCGTTAGCGGAAGTAAAGATTCGGATATCAAAACGCAAAGCAGACCGGACTCTGGTAACAAAGAGCCACGGTTTTGGCATTGTCGCGGCCTTCGGGATTTCAGTGAGCCACAATAAGAATCTCGGCTTAAACCCAGCAGGCGCCTCGTTCATTCCCTCCTGAGCATCCATACATACGCAAATATACTCGTCACTCCCTTGTGTTCCTCTTTCGTATTTCGTGATCTATGCGTTCCCAGCGAGAAGAAGCTGAAGGGACCAAACAAACAACCAACCAATCGACCATTCAGACTCAAGTCCCACGGTTCAGCATCTTTTGCACTATTGCGGCTCAATAGGCTCACGACCTTTTTGTCTTCTCTTGTGGCCACGCTTCTCCTCTACGATTCACGCTTTGCCCTCTTTGCTCTCCGGTCTTTCCGGGGCCGGTTGTTCTACTGCATATACATAGAGAACCGAAGCTTTCATCCTGGCCTCTGTACCTCCCAACCGCACTTTCTGCATCTTCGCGTTTTCCTTCCCCTCTCTTTCCAAAGCGCGAGCATAATTGACCCATTTTGATGTCGACGAATTACGTGGAATTACGCGTTTCATTCAAACCGCGGGATACCAGCTGCTCGTAATTGTACGTACCGTAACGTTATTTATCGACCAGTGATTCTGGTAAGCGATATGGAAGAATACCGTGATTGAAAAAGAATTCTCTATGAAAATTGAAATACGAACATTACGAGCGATCTTTGATTGAAGAAAAAGGATGTAACAGTACGCGTTATAGTTGTATAGAGAAAAAAAGTTCACGTACACTGTGATATTTCTGACTGTTTCCGCAAAAGTCTTGGATCTGATACAAATATACAATATTTTTTTGGAAAAACATCATTTGATTGCTTCAATTCCGATTTAATTGCTAATTATCAATTAAATGTTCGTAAATATACAGAGTGATTGAAAAGTATTCTCCGTATGGATATTAAACGTATGTCAAAATTCTACTATAATTAAAATTATGAATGTAATAAACATAAAAATATATAACACACTTTTCATTTGCAGTAACAATAGCCGCGTCGCGTATGATAATTTTGTGTCATGATGCACTCGTCTATTTGACAAAAATCAGTTTCATTATACACGAGAAACAAGAAAGTTGATTACAAAAATGAAAGATGATTAAAAAAATCTTAATAACTGGAAAATAAACTACGTCCATTTGAAAATAACGAAGAATATATGATGTTTACTAATATTGAGAGATGGAGAAATGCTGTGTTATATGAACTTATAAAATTTTTGCATTTGCAAAATCGCTTGTGAAATATTATAGAATGATTGCGATTCAAGTCTACATTTCTTAATGACAGGACTTGCAAAATTGATTTCAAAAATGCAACATCACGGACAATATAACAATATACACGATTGACCATTTCTGTGAAAGTTCTTCTCGTGGAAACACGTTTTGGAAACCATTCCACTTTCTACTGGATAATCGTATAAATGTCGAAAATATATAACATAAAAAAGCATGTATTGTATAAAAAATGTTGAAAGATCCTGTTATTAATTTTTCACTTTTCTATACAACAATAAAATACAGTTTATACAGACGGGGGAAAAACCGTAATAAGAAATATAGTGAGATATCTAGTTGAAGTCAGTTTTCGTGGAGCTAAAAGTATCCTGTTTAAAAATAAAAATGTATATAACGATAAAAATAACAACATACACAAATGTTCAAGCGAATAAATATATGAAACACAATAAAGCTGTCTGTAATATCTTGAATTCAAAGTATTATATTAAAAGAAAAAAATATCATGATGTATGATATATAATATGTATGAAGTATCTCGAACACATAAAGCATAACGGTGGAAAAATAATAAGAAGCTTCAAATACAATAAAAGTTCAAGATGGAAGACTTCATATTCTCTGAAAACTGAATAAAAACTCATGTTACATCAAAAATTGAAGAAGAAATAAAACAAGAAATCAAGAAACCGCAAATCAACATATATTTTATTGATAAATATGCATAGAAAAGATGAAGATAAAGTGGAATGTTGTACTGTGATATTAAAATTCAATTCGACAAGAGTAACATTCATCAAATATCTGTCAAAAAATGATGCTCCATCTGGTTCAAAACTGCTATATATAAAATATATAGAGCGCATTGTATCACACAGCCAAAGAAACTTAAAACAACGCAAAATTGCATAAATTTAACATTTCACTTGAATTTTCGATATTGCTATTCTCTTCAGTGTCACAATGAGTGATATAAATCTACAGTGAAACACTGTGTTTACCTTCTGATCTTCTGACGAAAAACGCAAATTTATCGCACAAAAATATTTTTGTTCAGATATAGGATTAGTTGGATTAAAAATATTACCGAATCGAAAAATACTATTATTACATATCGCGACATTATTGCAACTTTATATGCTCGTACCGGACTTTACTGAAAACCTTATCTTATGAAAAATCATCGGTAAACAAGATACGCTTTTGTATAAAATGTCTACCAGTTCTGTTGTATGATAAGATATATGATAAGAAATATGATAAGAAATAGAGAAGCATCCTGGGTTTATCCGCGAATACTTGGCAACGAGAATTACACACTTTCTTTTGGATTTTTTCAATGCGATATTTCGAAACCCAACCAACACGCATTGTATGCACGTTCGCCGAACAGCTCGCGCTATTTCCGAAGATTGAAAGAGATCATTTAACAGAGTTGTTGAAAAGAGTACCTGGTAGAATTGTACATTAGATTAGTTTCATCGTTGAAAACACGAACAACCGGCCCTTACTGTGTCTTTTCGTAGCTAACGCTCACACCCTTCCAGGTCTCACTACTTGGACGGTCCAGGGCAACGAGGCAACAGCAATCAAGATCAAAGAAGAAAGGCATCAGTTAGTCGATAGGATGGCACAGGAGGTTGAAAATCAACGAATGCAGCCAGAGTCCACCGTCAAACGGAAGCCGATCCAATTCTACCCAAGAAATCGGAACAAGAACTGAAACGACGAAGAATGACAAAAGAAGTATCTTCAGGGCGATCTCGTTTCTCGATGATCGTGATGGATCATCGGAGATCAAGAACGACGATCGACCTTTCATTCTACATTCTATTCATCGAGCTACTCGCAGAATTTCACATTTGTCGGGTTTATCCTATGAGATTCGTTGGATTTATCGCCATTAGTATTCCGACATTTATTTATGAGAATTATTGCATTCGTGTATTGCACAAGGGACGAAAACAGGCTTTCACTTGTTTATTTCGCCAGCCTGAGAGCATAGTGACGATTATTTTATTTTGCCTCTTGATGAGAGCACTTTCGAAGCATTATCAAAGCACTTCCAAAGAAGCATACATATAGGCCGCGAGCTCCAATATCCTTTGAGAATCTTTTGATGTCGACTTGATCGATTGAAGATCAAAGCAGCGCTATTTCGGTTAAGCAAATTACCTTCCGTTTCAAGAGAGTTCATTCGACGCTTTATACGGACAGTCATCGAACGTCAATTGTCTGTCATTGGATCTTCCACAACGTGACATTCGCAGCATTCGAAAAACGAGAAATTTCACGAGGAGTGAAAGCTGCACCCGTTATACTTACCGGACCGAAGCAAACGAGGTCTTTCGCAGCATCGAAACCGAGCATTCTCAACGCAACGCCGAAATCGTCAAGGGCGGCGACTCTTGAAATACTTCTGGCTTAATCTCTGGAATAATTCTGGAAACTATTACTTTTTGCCACGCTAATCTAATTATTTGCCAGAAATCTTTACATCATAATGTTATAGGAAAATGAGAATTTCTCGAGTTTGTCGGAAACAAAAAGAAAAAGGAAATCGTTGAAATATCACGAAATAATCATCCAAAATATCATACAAAACGCGTGTGACTCATTTCACGATTACGCAGGAAATCACTTCGGAAGCAAAAAATCATCAGCACGCGAACAATATTGGCAGACATTTCGCACACGTCCCGCAGGACGAACGATTCGAATCTGGATCCTGTCTCGCTCGAAATTGGATCGAAAAGGACGAAACGTCCCTCCTCGGAAAGATCACGGCAAGGAATAGGAATGGGTCCTCTGACCTCTTGAAACCGGCTACCTTCCTTCGAGTCTGTATCGCCACAAATGTAACTGCCTTCGCAGATGGAATAATTTCCTAAGATATTTACGAACCGGAAGCGGAAGCGCGCGGTTTTCAACACTTTATTGCTGATTTACAGAAAGGTCCATCATCGTTTCCCGAAAAAGGAATCATTTTTCGTTACATTTCCCGATTACATTTCTACGTACATGAGCTGCGACATGTCACAATGAACGATCAAAGAAGCATACACGGTTCCAAAACTGTTTACGATGACTCCTTCGTAGATTACTTGACGAATGCATAACAATTTCATGTGGGACATTTCTTCAAGAGCATCCTGATTATATTTTGCGACTCAAAGACGACGATTGTTCGACACGCTCGTCAAAGGCATACAAGTAAGATGTGATGACAATTGTGACTTCAGAGCTACCAAAAATGCCAAGCGCAAAGATGAAAAGCACAGACAGTATTATGCAGCCAAAATAGTTCCGCACGGACTTGAACTGCAGTAAAAACAAGAAAACACAGGTCTTCCTGGAATTCAACCTGGCAAGACAGAATTGTCTCTTGAATTGAAAGCTCTCGATCGGAATTTGTTAGTACTTTCGAATCGACGAGTTAGCACACCGTCAACTCTTGCAGTGGTAATTTCGCAACGATTAGTAGACAACTAATAGAGAGCAACAGAAACGCTTGAAAGTATCCTAAAAGTAGCCTATAGAATTCACGTGTCAACAAAATCAACAAAATCAACAATGAAATGTTCACAACGAATGACACTCAAAACGGATGTCCTGCCGACATTATTATATTCGATTCAATTCGTGATGCTCGTTATTATACTTTACATTATGCAAACCAGCACATACGAGGTCCTTTTTGGTCCAATGCAAGGAGATTCTGGAAACAGCCCGAAATTAACGACTAAATCTCAAATTCAATGAATGAACTTTCACCAAGTCGAACATACCGATAACATCAATCCTTTCCAAGCATGTGACTCTGCAGCGGCATAAACAAACTTTCTCAATCCGAAATTACGATTAACGAACGAAAAACCGCTGCGTGAACACGAAAAGGCATTAAAACAAAACACTGGGAGCCAAAATGAAATATAAGTGAGATGGGAATCACTTACTCGGAAAAAACTCGCTCGAACACGATTTTACCCTTAACTGGCTACAAATTGAACATCAATTGAACGAAGATTCTAAAACCATATGAAGAACAGAAATTACCAAAGCATCATGCTAAATGATTCAGGCTATGAATCTCAGGACAAAAATCACTATGACGGACCTACTCGACTGTATAAGAAATCTCGAGCTGAAGCAAAAAGCACTTATCTAATCGACAATGATTATTAATCTTTTTCCATTTAGCAAAGAAGAGCTCTACGACAAGAACAAAAAATAAGCGAGCGAGAAGTCGCTTCTCTGAAATTCATCGAAAAGGCGTCACCTTCAGGAGATATCACGGACAAGACACGAAGAAATCGAACACCAAATCAGCGCGAAGCAACGCATAGCTGAGTCGCCAAATCATGGACAATGGACGTCGTGGGATCATCATTAAAAAGTAATATATTTTCTTCTAATTTGCATGATACTTGTAGATTTTTAAGTTAGAGAAAATGGTTGACCTTATCGATCGAATATTGATTGGAAAAGAAAAGAAATGATTTAAGATATAATGGAGAAGATACGTAAGTTCAATCGTTGCGATTCTCTATTTTGGGCACTTAACATACGACTGTTATTGAACTAAACGTCAATTATCTTTGACGCGAATTTGATAGTTACATCTTAGATTTAATTTTTTTAGCTTATTTTATTTAGCTTTTTCGTTAGTTTTATTTCTTTCGGTTTTATTTTATTGGTCTACGTGAGATTGTCACCGTAGTAATAAGATGCGAAGCACTTCTTAACATTTAACACTTATACACATAAATTGTATCTGTACATTATTCACATTTTATCATATAATTATTATGACTACAATGTTTGCACACATTGAAATTCTGTTATTTTTACAACTAAAAGATATTTTTGGTGAAAAATATTACTTTAACTTTAAGCATTACGGTACTTTATATAACAATATATAATTGTTATAAACAATATACATTCATATTATAACACATGTACATTGTTACATTTTGTCCAACGTTAAAGGAATATCATTTGCATATTAATAATTTCACGACTGACCAACTATTTATTTGTTTCTTTTTTAATTTTGTTTCCTTTACCACTTCTGTATATTTTTGTTTAAACTTTTCAGTTTCTTTTCTACCAAAAAATGGAATGTAAAAATAAAAAAAAAAAGAAAAAGGTAAAAATGTAGATATAAAGTATGGTACATTCTACGAGAGAATTACAGCCAGTTGACATGTCTCGAAAATAATGCCAATCTTTTAAATTGAAATCATGACGTTTGAAATATATTAGTGACATAGCATAAATCATTGTTCATAATTATACGAAGATGCCGGAAGGATGAGAGGGAATTTGTCTCGCAAAATTGTGTTTGCCAAAACTATTACATATCGAAAAATATAATCGTGTCACATATATTTTGCGGGACGAGCCGTTCCTCTCGGAATCTGCGTATTTTGCATCATCAACTTATCATTCATCATCAAATTCATCACTATCATGAAAATTGTCTCCTTCTTGGTTATTTAGTGTATAGCTATGACATGAAACTATGAAAATGACATTGAATTTGATGAGCATGTCAACGATAACATATAAGTATATCCGATATATTGCCTTTTATAAACATTGTAAGATTTATCAAGAAGTTCGTTGATTGTAAATCTTAGTCTCAAATTCATGGAGAGTTCACATTCTATTATATATTATATCAAGTATTACAATTATTCGCGCCTGGCCTTTGTATTTTTTTGTGCGTGGCAGATTGTCTGTTAATATATCCATTATCAAACTTTACCTCGCCGGTGTGAAATTTATTAAGTTAAATGATTTATATAGCTCACATATTTTTATTTTATAAAAATATACGCTATATAAGAATATTAAAGGAATAAATAATAAGGTAACGTGCAGGGAATAGTTAATCAGTGAATTACGTAGAATTACACAGTGGTACTCATAAGTACTTTTCGTAAGTATTCCTAAGTACAGTAAGAGAAACAACGTATACGATGTACGACGTAAGCAACATTAATTATTTATTTCGCGGGGTTATCCACTTTTACGTGTCATGAATAAAAGAATCTAGGGTAAACGAATATATAGTTTTATAGTAAGAATATCACATTCACATTACTTACTCGAGTTGCTAACTTTCATCGTGAGAATCATCCGATCATCTATTAAAAGTGGAATAACATAACGTAACAAGGATGATTTGTACTTTGCCTATTGTAACGATTAAAATATTAAGTTTTAAGCTGTCTCGAATATAGACAATCTTCGAACGAAAGTGTTCCAAACACATTTCGGAAAGGGACACTTTACATTCCGCGAAGCTTGAATCCGGGAACAATATAAACGTATTATGCTGCTTTTGAATGCTTCTCAAATATTGCTTATCTGCTCGGAATGTTACTGTTTCCGTTGTTCATGTTTGTGTCGAATTTTACGTCTTTGATTATACTCATTTTAATAGACGTCTCGCTACATTATTCCGTTATTCACGTTGAATTTCTGTTTGGCATGTTACCGATCTGGATTTCTGTTTCTGTTACGCTATCGAACGTTACGTAGAGATAATTGTTACATTCCGTTTCCTTTAACATCTGTTTAAACCAGTTACGTTATCTTATCGCATGTTTCCTGTTACCAAAACTTTGGACGTTCCAGTTTGGTTAAAAGTTATGTTTAAAGCTGTTAAAGCTTGTTTATTATACTGTTAATATTTTGTTCGTGTTATAGATCTTCATCAACCACTTACGAAACTATTATCAAATATCTTGTATTCAGTAATCTATTTCATTTTTGTCCACGAAAGCATCCAATATCCCATTAGCCAAATTTTAACCAATTCTCGCTCTCTCTTTCTCTTCCTCTCTGTTTCTTTTTCTTTCTAATTTTGTTATAAATTTTATTATGACATTACTCTACGTTACATTCGTTAAATTTGATTTTTAAGCACACTTTGCACAAGAACATCTCACGTTACCAGAAGAAGTTACCAAGGAAATCTCAATATTTTCTTATCGGAGGAAACCGTAGAAAATCACACATAGATTATTATATTTCCATTATACAAATTATATACTTCAACAGGAAATTACATATGTGATTTAAATTTTGAGTTAAATTCTCCTCTGAAAAGCGTAAATATTCTTTAAATTTGAATTTAAATTTGCACATTATTTTTTTCATTCATGTACGTACAGTGCATATATTCTGATTCTATACATATCAATTTATACAGATCATTTTAGTATCAGCCCAATTATTCCAATTGCTTCTCATTTTAGAATTATGTTTTTCAAACAAAAGTTGTTTAATTTTAAAAAACGTGAATCTATTCACGACTCAAATTTAGCATAAGATCAGAATTTGCTGTCTCCTTGGAATCAAACAACTCTTTTGATATTTTTTCCTTGCAACTATTGTTACTGTTAAAAAGATACAAGTTGAAATCTGTTCTGTATTTTGCGTTGAACTCTCAACAGTTGAAGTTATTAGTTTATTTGCCTTAGACATATTATTGCAATCGTTACTCACACGTTACTGATAATCACTTTGTTTACTCCCAACCTATTTGTTCGCTCCTTTTTTATTATTGCTATTATTATTTTCTCTATTACTATTTACTATTATATTTTATTATTATTATTCAGATTGTTTTATCATTGTTAACAATGTGACGGCAGAGCGGTTAATCAAATCAATTCCAATTGGGCAATTAATATATAATGTTTATGCTTATTTTTTTTCTGGCATATGAAATTTATATGTGTGACTTACTCGACATTGTAAATAGACTTTCTTCAGGCACGGTAGAAAACATGTTCCAAAAACTAGTTGTATGCTTGAATACCGAGTGAAAGAGATTTGCACGTATAAAATATATAGCGTATCAAACTCTCATCTCTGAAAGACATGTGTGTATGTGTGTATGTGTGTGCGCGCGTAATCTGTGACAGAAAATTTATAATTACATACTTGAGCACAAAGAGCATTAAAGAAACGAAAATTTAAATATTTTTCAATCATTCAGAAATTTTATATTTGACTGGTTAACTAATTTTCTTACTATGAATTATGTAACGAAATCATTAATTGAAGGTAGACCAATTACTGATTATACTTTGTTTCTATTTGCAAAATTAAAAAAAAAGTTTAGTTTCGGAGAAAAATTAATGTATTTCTTAAACTAAATCACTTTTTTGTATAAAAGTTTAAATGGTACATTTCATTGTCAGAAGTACTTGGCCAGCCAAATCATGATGATACTTATTTTATTGTTATTGTTACTTGATTTTGTTACACCCTTGGTTATTGTTGTGCAAAATTATGTTGTTGTTACATTACCGTTGTTACATACCTCCCAAAAGTCTGTACGGGAAAGTTGCCTGTTACCATTGTCCGTGAATCCAGTTTTTGTTTTTCAGGAAATTTTGTCATAGAAACTGTTTTTTTATTACTGTTTAACTGGCACCAAAAGCAAGCATATATACATTCGCCTTTTATCACCGAGTTATAGATTTTGACTGGCGAAATACAAATCAATCAATAATAATTCATAAAAACAATAAAGGCTTAGCGTGATTTGCATTAGACAAGTATATAATGTATTTATTTAATTTTAGTATCATTCTGGCAGAGATTATTTTGTACAACTTACTTACTTTACTCTAATCTATTAGTCGTTCAATTATTATTGGTTAATTTGCGAAATTTATCGCATTCTGGTTTCACCGCAGTGCCTTACACAATAGATCTTAATGTACGTGTACGTTAACATACTTTAGAATATTATCGCCGTAAAATAACATGCGTTAAAAATAATTTAGTAAATAAGAGTATGCCCTATCTCTATATGTTGTGCTTTTTCGTAACATAAGTACAGAAAAGGAGAAGAAAATATGTATAAATATCTTCAACGAATAAACTCTTTATAATTTTACTTTATAAAAACTTTTATAATGTGCAAAACGTATACATCATCATTTACATTACTATCATTTACCACTTCCTGTTATCGACTGTTTGAACAAAAAAGAAATTCATTACATAAGTTACATTATAATAAGAGAATTAAAAATCCGCCTGATTAGATTGGCCAGATGAAGGCCTAAGCCACTGATCACCCACTGATACGGTTAGAAAAGTTTGGGCCTCTAACTTCAAGAGCAACTGTATTTTCAGAAAAAGTTCCAGGTTATATCCTTTCAAGAGTGCAGTGAGATATGCTTTTATTCGCAATAGACCTATTCTCATTCCCACGCAAATTCGAGAGCCTTCTCCAAAAGAAAAATAAATTCATTTCATGATGTCGTGTTTTCTGTCCGAACTGAATTTTTTAGGATCAAATATCTTTGGATTCTTGTAGTAGCAAGGATTTTTCTGAGACCCTGAATGAGTATCATAATATTTGTCCCACGTTGCACAGTGCATATAAAACGATCACTGTTAGAGTTTTTTCATTATACGATTAGTTGTCTATATAGTCTATATAGTCGTCTATATAGTTAATTATCGTCATTCTATAGTTATTATTTATCGCTCATTCTTTGATCGATGTTATTACATGCATGTTGAAGCATGCACGCTTCGACGCTTCTCCGTCGTATATTATAACTGAGATAACTGAGATAAGATCAAAGTTACATCGAATAGGTCAAGTGCTATTTATTATCTAATGGGTGCGAGATTATTATCTGATAATTCTGATACGTGGAATAGCGGAAAGTGTTGAACAGAAGATAAAGACATTTTCTGATTCGAAACAACAGATGCTGAAAGGCAGGTATGAAACAGCAAGCGCGAATGCTGCTGTGTTTTCCGTAATATTTTTTTGCTGCAAAAGAATAAAGCTTTCTTTTTTTATAGTGTTCATTTAGCGTTTTCGATTAGATTTTTCATGCTGGGACTATCACAAAGCAATCAAAAGGTGGATGATAAATTGTATTGTTACAACATGTTATAAATAGAAAGGATTAAAGAAAAAATCTTTTCGCCGTTAAAGCGGTCGAACAAAGACCCATAAACCACCCCTTGGGATTGGTAAGATAAGTGTAGCAATCATCCTTAAAGGCACTTCCGTTTTGGGAGACAATTCTAAACTGTATTTTTTCAGGAACACAGCCAAACACGCTTTCATCTGTAGTAGAGCCATCCTCATCCCGACACAGGCTCGTGGTCCTTCACTAAATGGAAGGAAAGTGAACTTTTTGATGCTCTGTTTCCCGTCTGAGCTGAATCTTTCAGGGTCGAATACGTCAGGCTTCTCCCAGTGACGAGGATCATTATGCAGGCCATTGATGGGTATCAAGATGTCCATTCCAGTTTCAATGTGATACACAGAGCCGTCAGATCCCGTCAACTCAACCGATTCTGTGCAAACCTTGCTCATGTACGCTGGCACGGGCATGATCCTTTGCGATTCGCTCAAGACTTGATCCATATATGTCATTTCCTTCAACCCGTCATACGTGAGCGTGCCGTTATATTTCGCGAGCACGGTCACTATTTCTTCGCGTAATTTTTTCTGTACTTCCGGATGAGTGGCTAATTGAAAACCAACGAAACTCAATACGGTGCTGGAAGTTTCGCCGCCATCGATGAAGAACGACGAAGCGTGAGATGCTAGAACTTCTATATCGAACTTATCACCTTCCATGCGCTCCAATTGCGCCATCAGTTGCAAGAAATCATTCCTCTGCGTGTTGCTTGTTCTTCTCTCTTCCATAACGCTAGCGACCAACGTTCGGAAGAAATGGTCAATTTTCTTCGATAGGAATCTCAGTCTGAAAATTTTGCCCAAGAAAGGTGATAGGGATGCAATGGTGACCATAAAGTTGTGCAGAAAGGACGAATTGAATAGGTCCTTCCCGATATTGAGGAACGATTTGTGCTCCTCTTCGTCCTCGAAGCAAAATCCATTCACACCGAAACCAGCGCTTGCTACCACCTGTATAGTGTACCTGGCGAACAAATCCTTCAACTCCATCTCCACTTGCTCAGTTTTATTCAATCTCCTGTCGATGAAGTCCTCGAACTGCTGACACACTTGTTTAACGTTCTCGAGCAGAATCTTCAATCTCATGCTGGAGAAGGCATAGGTCAGACGCTTCCTACCGATCACCCACTTTTCCCCGTATGTGAAGAAGGGATTGTTCGCCAACAGAGGATCCAGTTCAGGATTGACTGTCACGTTGTTCTCGTGAAAGCACGTGAATTTCGTTTGCAACACTGTCTTCACCAGCTCCGGGTCAAGAACCATCAATGTTGGCGTCGTGAAGTTGTAGAAACCAACCGCACTGCGATTCGAATTGTCGTTGTAGATCTTATGACAGCAATCTTGAAAACTTTTTTTTGATGTAATGAAGTCCCACATATGACCAACTCCCAGTAAAGCACCATTTGCGCAAGGTATGCCGCGTTTTTGCCAGTATTTAATATTATTCGTCAGGTAGAGATAAAGGAGTGTCAATGCCACGAGTATTAAAGATACAAACACGGCAAACATTTTGCTTTTCTTTCAGCGAACTGTTCGATACTGAGCGACTGTGTTGTTCGGCTATTATCGGCGTGAGATTGCTCTTTATCGTATCGTAGAGAACTGCAATTCATCCCGTTAATACGACCTGCACGTGATAAATACGATATGTTGAATTGACATTTATCTTTTTCTTGACGCAATAGATATTTAATCGTATAAATTGAGCTATCAATTATGTGAATTAGTAACATTTTACGTACATTTACGTACATTAAATTATTTATAACATTTGCGTACATTAAATTATGAAATTATTTTATTTTTAATAATATAACATTTTAATAATATAATATAATAATATAATAATATATCTGTATCAGTAAGCATGTTAAAAGAACTTTTGATTTTCTGTCAAGAATAAAGTACAAGTTGCGTGAAAAGTTCGCGGAGCGAAACAAGCTGAAATAAAGAATACCTAATTCTAAAAATGATTTTATTTTTCAATATAGTCTCCATTAACTTCAATACACTTGACCCAATGGCTCTCCAATAATTTTATTCCATGGAATTTTATTCGTGGAAGTGTGTTTCTGGAAAGTCTGCGAAATATGCCTCTATGGCTGCTATAGCTTCTTCATTCGACAAAAAATGCTTTCCATTTGAAGGGATTGTTTCAGGCTTTGCAACAGATAGAAGTCGCTAGGTGCCAAATCTGGCGAATACGGTGGATGAGCAAGCAATTTGTACTTCAATTCATTGAATTTAGACATTGACAAAACACTTTTGTGAGCAGGTGCATTGTTTAGGTGAAAAATGATTTGTTTGTGCTGCAAACCAGGTCTTTTCTCACGAATTTTTGCGTCCAATTGATCCAAAAGGTTACAATAATATTCAGAGTTTGTTTTACCTTTTTCCAGATAGTCAATTAACAAAATCCCTTTAGCATCCCAAAAAACTGATGCCAAAACCTTTTTTGCCGATCTTTCATGTTTTGTTTGCTTTGGAGTTGAACATCCAGCTCAGTCCACTGTAAACGTTCCAGTTTCAATTTAGGATCATGGTGATAGATCCAAGTCTCATCCATAGTTATAAAACGATGCACAAAATCGGTTTTATTCTTCTTAAAACGATTCAAATGACGCTGAGAAATTTGCTTTCGAGAGAGTTTTTGTTGAATTGTTAACGTATGCGGCACCACTTTTCCAAACACCTTTTTCATTTGTAATTCTTTATGCAAAATATGCCGTACCTGTTCATCTGAAATGCCTATAGTATGAGCAATTTCACGCGTAGTCACACTTGGATCTTCAGAAACAATAACATGTACTTGCTCAACGATTTCTGGTGTTGATGCGCTTTTTGGACGTCCACTGCGTGGATCATCTTCAATGTTTGTACGACCACGTTGAAACTCAAGTGCCCATTTACAAACCATTGTTTTTGAAGGAGCAGATTCCCCTAACACATTTACCATCTCGGAGTGAATTTCCATTGCCTTTAAACCTTTTTTAACAAAGAACTCAATCACCGCACGCTGTTTCAAATTTTCCATTGCAAACAAATATACTGACACGTTAGCTTCAATTGGCTTGTAAACACAGAAAGAATTGACAGATGGAAATGAAACCTAACCTAGGTTCATGTGAAGAGTGATTCTATATAACCGACTACAATTTATAATTCTATCGTTTATCTATAGATGCCGTTCCGCGAACTTTTCACGCAATCTGTATATTGATACCCATCGAAATACTTTATTTTGATAAATCGCTCTACGATTACCTTTTCAGCTGTCGTCTTTTCCACATTGCAGATTTTTAACATTAACATTGTAATGTTTTAACATTGTTTTAACATTTTCTTAATTTCTTCATATAATATAATCTGCAAATCTGCAGAATTGTCCTTTCCGCAGCCAAAGTTCCTTAGCCAGTTGCTTTGCAACTCTCTAATACAAATTTATTCAAAACGCATGTCGGCGACGCATGTCGGCGACCGCTCGCAACGTACTGTAACGGACAGTTCTCTCCACTCGGCACGCACACTTAAATAATTGATAAGAGGTCGTTGCTATCGCATCTCCGCGATCGAGCTAATGCTAAAAGAGCATTAAAGATGGGGCCACGATATCTTGCCAGTGATATCTTATAATTATAATAAATCATACAACTTAAATAAAGTGTGCACGTCGGGCGGAGAGAGGCTGTCCGTTACGAACAGTACGTTGCAGTAAGTTTCACGATGTATGCAATAATATATTAACATACTTCCATGTCAAGGTTTGTGCTTTTAATGAAACAGCGATGAAGAAATGTGCATTAATTCTTAGCACAATGCCTGCAGATATACATATAGGTGACAAGAAATTGGAAACTGTTGAATGATTTCTATAAATGTTTGGTAAAGCTTTTTAAAAGATTCAAAATACATATATATCGGGTGTGGTAGAACGTTCATTAAAGTGTCTGTCCACGATTACCTCTTCAGCTGTCATCTATTCCACATTGCAGATTTTTAATGTTAGCATTGCAGTGCAGTTTTAACATTGTTTTAATATTTTCTTAATTTTTTCATATAATGTAATCATCTTTGAATTAGTAAAATATCTTCTTTTTCCAAACATTATAAGTTAGTCCCTAATAGTAATTAAAATAATAATAATAATTATTATTATTATTATAATTATTATTTAAATTATAATTTTTTTTTTTTACCACTTTCCCTCCCTCTCTCTCTCTCTCTCTCTCTCTCGTTATATTTATTACCATTACCCGATAAAGAAGAAAAAATATATTATACCTTATTTTATGTTATAAAATTGTTAACCTGATATGACCCCATTATAACTCCTTTCGTACAAACTGTCATTTAACTGTCATTTGCCGCGATGACAGCTACGAGCGACACGAATGCAGCCGTGACCGATCGAGACAGTCGAGACGGACTCAACAGAATCAACATCGCGGAAAAGGGGCTTCAACGCTTCGATAAGAAATACATTCACGATAACGCGCTTTTTTGGAAAGGAAAGGAAGGATTGAAGAGGATCAACAGTCACGGCTGAAACGTCGTCACAAGCATATCGAGCTGATACTTGTTGTTCGACAAAAGCAAGATGGCTGCCGTTTTATTGAGTATACTCGCCGTAATAATCGTCTTAACGTATATTTATTTAACAAAAAACTCTGGATATTGGGAAAAGCGAGGAATTCCATGTGCGTCCGGAATTTTCTCGGGAATGGCTCGTATGCTACCGGTATTGTGCTTGAGGATTACATACGCCGAACGTTTCTCTCGGATGTACAAGAAAAACAAGGATTTCAGCATGGTCGGATTCTATGATTTCTTATCACCGGCGTTGATGATCATCGAGCCGGGACTAGTGAAGACGGTGTTGCAGACTAATTTTGCGAGCTTCCAACAGAATTATCTAAAGATCGATCCTAAGCTGGACCCTCTCTCGGTGCAAAATCCTTTTTTCACGACTGGGGAAAAGTGGATGACCGGAAGAAAGGGTTTGACTTATGCATTTTCGAGCATGCGATTGAAGATACTGCTCGAGAGCGTGAAATTAGTATGTGAGGAGTTCGAGGGCTTCTTGGACAAGAAATTAGGCAAAGCTGGGGAAGTGGAATTGGAGCTGAAGAGCTTGTTCTCCAGGTACACAGCGCAAGTGGTGGCGAGGGCGGGCTTCGGTGTGGATGGATTGTGCTTCGAAGAGCAGGAAAGTAAATCATCCTTCAGAAACATCACGAAGGATATCTTCAAACCGTCTACCCGAAATTCGTTTCTTTTCGAGCTCGTTCTGTTACTCCCCTTTTTGAACAAAATCTTCAGAATGAGCTTCATACCGAAGCACGTCGATCGTTTCTTCAGAGGGCTGGTCGCGGATCTCATGCAGCAGAGGAGAACGGAGAATGTAATTAGGAATGATTTTTTCCAGTTGATGATAGAATTAGAGCGAATGGAGAGTGACAAGTTTGACATAGAGGTGCTAGCGGCTCACGCGATGTCGTTCGCTCTAGATGGTTACGAGACTTCCAGCAGCGTTTTGAGCTTCGTCGGCTTCCAATTAGCGGCGCATCCAGAAGTGCAGGAGAAGTTACGCGAAGAGGTGACGTCCGTCCTTTCCAGATACGACGGTGTTCTCACGTACGAAGCATTGAAGGAAATGACGTACATGGATCAAGTGATAAACGAGTCACAGAGGTTGACAAGTATGGCCCAAGTTATGCTTAAGATCTGTACGACAAAGTGCGAGCTGAAAGGATCGGACGGTCTCGTCTGCTTCGTGGAACCTGGGACGATAATCATGATACCGGTTCAGGCTCTTCATGAAGATCCTCAATTCTGGGAGAATCCCGAAGTATTCGATCCCGAAAGATTCAGTTCGGACTGGAAACAGAACATCGAGAGATTTGCTTTCCTTCCCTTCGGCGAAGGGCCACGGATCTGCGTTGGAATGAGGATGGCTTTATTGCAAATGAAAGGATGCCTGGCTGCACTTTTAAGAAAGTACAGTTTGGAACTTTCACCCAGAACACAGGTGCCCTTGAAGTTGTTGTCCGGAATGTTCTTACCAACAGCAGAGGGCGGCCTACGGGTGTTTATTCGTCCATTTAATAATTGTACATAATTGTGAGAATCTTTCTTATTGCATTAAAAGTCTACTGATGTTACAGCAAAATATATATCATATACTAAATATTAGTGGAAAAGAAAAATTATATATTTCCAAAAAGTATATTTAGATATGTTGTATATTAGTAAAGAATGCATTTCATGAAAAAAAGAAATAAACAAGCTTATATAAAAATAAAAATGTCAAATAAATAAATTAGTAATGAAGTATATGAATAGAAAAATACTCCCAGTCTGTTAAACAAAGTAATGTTAAGTGTATTAAATAAACGTTATGTAAAAATGTGAGAGAAAGGAAATATTTTAAGATCATACTATTAATATATAGCGCACATAGATGATACGAAATACATTTAACAAAATATATTCATTTGTTGCAATATTTATTAGAACGGTTATCACGACAAAGTGGCGATCATATTCATCAAATATACGCCAATAATAGCCAATTGACCTACGAATCACTCAAAGAGATGGATCAGATGATCAACGTGTCTCAGAAATATTGCACTTTGGCTGGTGCCATTACATAATGTAATTGTTTTTGAATTTGTTATATATAATCTTTCTTTTAAACATTATAGAGAATTAGACGATAATAATTTTATCAATTTGTGTGATATAAGATATAAGATAAGATTGTGTGATATAAGGACGATGCGAAATAACATTCACTCTTATTTTGCAATGAAATATATTTGTTTGTACACACTTGGTAATCTCCGAGATATTTCTCTAGTACACAGTTCACTCTCTTAGTAATTAATAAAGGTTACCAGTCGTCGTCGTAGCCGTCCACCAACAGTCACGACTGAATCGTCGCCACAATCATATCGAGCTGAGCCTTGTTATTCGATAATAGCAGACAAGATGTCTCTCGCTTTATTGAGTATACTTGCCGTAATAATTGTTTTAATATATATTTATTTAACAAAAAATTCTGGATATTGGGAAAAGCGAGGAATTCCGTGTGCATCTGGAATTTTTTCGGGAATAGTTTGTTCGCTACAGCTATTGTGCTTAAGGATTACATACTTCGAACGTTTCAGTCGGATGTACAAGGAAAACAAGAATTTCAGCATGGTCGGTTATTACGATTATTTGTCGCCGTCGTTGTTGATCATCGAGCCGGGATTGGTGAAGACGGTGTTGCAGACAAATTTTGCTAGCTTCCACGAGAACTGTAGGAAGGTCGATCCTAAGCTGGACCCTCTTGTGGCGTACAATCCTTTTTTCTCGACTGGGGAAAAGTGGATGACCGGAAGAAAGCGTCTGACTTATGCGTTTTCAAGCATGCGATTAAAGACATTGCTTGAAAGCGTGAAATTGGTATGCGCAGAGTTCGAGGGCTTTTTGGACAAGAAATTAGGCAAAGCAGCGAAGGTGGAATTGGAGCTTAAGAGCTTGTTCTCCAGGTACACAGCGCAAGTGGTGGCAAGCGCGGGATTCGGTGTGGATGGATTGTGTTTTGAAGAGCGAGAAAATGAGTCATCGTTCAGAAACATGATGAAAATCATCTTGAGACCGTCTGCCCGAAGATCGTTTATTTTCGCGCTCACTATGCTTCCCTTTTTGAACAAATTCTTCAGGATGAGTACCGTACCAAAGCACGTCGATCGTTTCTTCAGAGGGCTGGTCGCGGATCTTATGCAGCAGAGGAGAACGGAGAATGTAATTAGGAATGATTTTCTCCAGTTGATGGTGGAATTAGAGCGAATGGAGAATGACAAGTTCGACATAGAGGTGGTAACGGCTTACGCGATGTCGTTCGCCCTAGATGGTTACGAGACTTCCAGCAGCGTTTTGGGCTTCGTCGGCTTCCAATTAGCGGCGCATCCAGAAGTGCAGGAGAAGTTACGCGAAGAGGTGATGTCCGTACTCTCCAGATACGATGGTGTTCTCACGTACGAAGCATTGAAGGAAATGACGTACATGGATCAAGTGATTAACGAGACACAGAGGGTCATAAATATAAGCCAAGTTATGGTTAAGATGTGTACGACAAAGTGCGAGCTGAAAGGATCCGACGGTCTCGTCTGCGCCGTGGAACCTGGGACGTTGATCATGATACCAGTTCAGGCCCTTCAGGAAGATCCTCAATATTGGGACAATCCCGATGCATTCGATCCTGAAAGATTCAGCCCGGACAGGAAACAGAACATCGAGAGATTTGCTTTCCTTCCCTTCGGCGAAGGGCCGCGGATCTGCGTTGGAATGAGGATGGCTTTATTGCAAATGAAAGCATGCTTGGCTATTCTCTTAAGAAAATACAGTTTGGAACTTTCACCCAAAACGCAGGTGCCCTTAAAGTTCATGCCCGGGAGTTTCTTAACAATAGTGAAGGGCGGCCTATGGGTGTTTATTCGTCCATTATAATTGTGAGAATCTTTCTTACACACATTTAAAATCTGCTGATGTTACAGCAAAGTATATATACTAAATATTATTAGTGGAAAAGAAAAATTATATATTTCCAAAAAAGTATATTTGTACTTGTCGCATAATAGTAAAGAGTGCATTTTACGAAAAAAAAATAAGTTTACACAAAAATTAAAATTTCAAATCAGTGAATCAGTAGTGAAGTATATAAATAAAAAAAAAAACTCCCAGTCCGTTAAACAAAGTAATAAGTATATTAAATTAGCGTTATGTACAAATATGAGAGAAAGGAAATATTTTAAAATCATAATTCTGTTATAACGCATGTGGATGATACGAAATATATTTTAACAAAATATATTCATTTATTGCAATATTTATTAGAATGGTTATCACGACAAAGTGGAGACTATATTCACCAAATACAATGGCCAACCTAAGAATCACTCAAAGAGATGGATCAGATGATCAGAGTATCTTAGAAATACTGCGCTTCGGCTGCGTTCGGACGGACAAACTCGGACGGACTGCGTTATTGCGAACGAAAGTTATCATCTCTACTTTTGGATCATATAAATATTCGAAGTATTAGCCCGATGCAAATTTATACGATATATTATATACGACCAATTTGTCGCAGATGAAAAGGCAAAGGTTAATTTACTCGTACCTTTAATTGCATGCTAGGAAAAGCGTTGATCTTGCAATAATATTTGTAGCGAGATGCCTTTATATAAGCAAAGCTCCACATATGATCAATGCTTTGTAAGACACCATGAGCACACAAAAATTTTTCATTGTTACCAATATTTGTTGAACTTGTTCGTCAGGTAGAGATAGAGGAGTATAAGTTATTAAAATATTAAAGTTATAAACCGTTTTGCTTCTCCTTCAGGAAAGCGTACGATATTGAGCGACTGTATATTGTTATCGGCGTAAGATTGTTCTCCTTATCGCATAAAGAACTGTAATTCATCCAGCAAATCTGTGCATCGCGTTGCATCGCTGTGCAAACCTGTCTATCGCATTCGCTGTTTGATTTTATTCTCAACACAAATAGATATTTATGTTGTTAATCGAAATTCTTCATATAATCGTCATTGGCATTGGCTTATTTTTTATATGGTATCCTACAGGAGAGATCCAGGATGTTCAGTTAGATGATACGATTGTTGGTCATTATTCAATCACAAGACCCATATCTTATACTATGTGATAAATGGGCTACGTCGAGTTGAAATTCACGTTTGTGTTACGCAACATAGATTTAATCGTTTAATTTAAGCTCCTATCATCAAGTTTGTGTATCAATATTTTCACTTATATTGAATTATAAAATTATTTATCTCTTAAATAATAAAATACACCGATATATGTTTGTAGAAATAATGGATATTTTTTTATAAACAAAAAATATTGGTACTTATAAGAAAATAATATTTTATAAATCACTTTTTGCTCACTATTTGATAAAATTCTTTATTGCGTTTACATTTTCAGCTGCCATCTATTCCATATTGCACTATTTTATCATTTACAACGAGGAATTTTAACACTGCTTTAACATTTTTAACATTTAACATTTTTTCAATTCTTCCACTTAATGAAATCTTTATTGATTTGTTAAATATAATCTTCTTTTTAAACATTATAGAGAATTAGACATTATAGAGAATTAAAATAATAATTTTATCAATCCATGCAATATAAGACGACGCGAGATGATATTAGCTCTTGTTTTGCAATAAAATATATTTGTTTGTACACACTTAGTAATCGTCGAGATATTTCTTCAGTACATAGTTCGCTCGCTTAGTTATTAATAAAGATCGCCAGTCACCGTCGTAGCCATCCCCCAACAGTCACGACTGAACCGTCGTCACAATCATATCGAGCTGAGCCTTGTTATTCGCCAACAGCAAGATGTCTCTCGCTTTACTGAGTATACTCGTCGGAATAATTGTTTTAATATATATTTATTTAACAAGAAACTCTGGATACTGGGAAAAGCGAGGAATTCCGTGTGCGTCCGGAATTTTCTCGGGGATGGTTCGTATGCTATGGGTATTGAGCTTGAGGATCCCATACGCCGAACGTTTCTGTCGGATGTATGAGGAAAACAAGGATTTCAGCATGGTCGGATTCTATGATTTCTTATCACCGGCGTTGATGATCATCGAGCCGGGACTAGTGAAGACGGTGTTGCAGACAAATTTTGCGAGCTTCCAGGAGAACCATATGAAGGTCGATCCTAAGCTGGACCCTCTTGCGGCGCAAAATCCTTTTTTCTCGACTGGGGAAAAGTGGATGACCGGAAGAAAGCGTTTGACTTATGCGTTTTCAAGCATGCGATTGAAGATACTGCTTGAGAACGTGAAATTGGTATGCTCAGGGTTCGAGAGCTTCTTGGAGAAGAAATTAGGCAAATCAGCGAAAGCGGAATTGGAGTTGAAGAACTTATTTTCTAAGTACACCGCACAAGTGGTGGCAAGCGCGGGTTTCGGTGTGGATGGATTGTGCTTCGAAGAGCAGGAAAGTAAATCATCCTTCAGAAACATCACGAAGGATATCTTCAAACCGTCTATCCGAAGCTCGTTTGTTCTCTCAATCATTCTGCTATTTCCCTATTTCAACAAAATCTTCAGGATGAGCTTCATACCGAAGCACGTCGATCATTTCTTCAGAAAGCTGGTTGCGGATCTTCTGCAGAAGAGGAGAACGGAGAATGTAACTAGGAATGATTTTCTCCAGTTGATGGTGGAATTAGAGCGAGTGGAGAATGACAAATTCGACATAGAGTCGCTAGTGGCTAACGCGATGTCGTTCGTCCTGGATGGTTACGAGACTTCCAGCACCGTTTTGGGCTTCGTCGGCTTCCAATTAGCAACACATCCAGAAGTGCAGGAGAAGTTACGCGAAGAAGTGACGTCCGTACTCTCCAAATACGACGGTGTTCTCACGTATGAAGCATTGAAGGAAATGACGTATATGGATCAAGTGATAAGCGAGTCACAGAGAATCAGACCCGTGTTGCAAGTTATGCTTAAGGTCTGTACGACAAAGTGCGAGCTGAAAGGATCCGACGGTCTCGTCTGCTCCGTGGAACCTGGGACGTTAGTCATGATACCGGTTCAATCTCTTCAGGATGATCCTCGATACTGGGAGAATCCCGAAGTATTCGATCCAGAAAGATTCAGTCCGGACAGGAAACAGAACATCGAGAGATTCGCTTATCTTCCTTTCGGCGAAGGGCCGCGAATCTGCGTTGGAATGAGGATGGCTCTATTGCAAATGAAAGCATGCCTAGCTGCGCTCTTAAGAAAGTACAGTCTGGAACTTTCCCCCAGAACACAGGTGCCCTTGAAGTTGTTACCTGGAAGTTTCTTACCATCAATGAAGGGCGGCCTTTGGGTGTATATTCGACCGCTGTAATTGTGAAAATATTTCTGGTCGCAGTTAAAATTTCCTATTGTAAACAGCGAAATATATATACTAAGTACTGTTGCTGAAAGGGAAAAATTATATATTTTCGGAAAAGTCTTTTTGTACATGTTGCATATTAGTAAAAAGATAAGTGCGTTTTATGAAAAAGAAAAAAGTAAACTGGGCTACAAAAATTAAAGTGCTAAATAAATGAGCTAAAAATGAAATATACGTAGAGACATACTATTGTTATTGTAGTCTATTAGTAGTAGGGTTATTGTAGGGTTATTGTAGTCTATTAGTAATAGTTCTCATGTAAAAATATGGCGAAAAGAAAACAATTTAAAACCATAATTTTGTTACATAACGCAAGTAGATGATACGAAATATATCATCTATATATAATAGATAGTAACGGTTTGTAACACAAATTTCTCATGACTCGAGAGCGCAAGATTCAATCTTTTTACTTCGATGTTATCGCAACTTTTATTAAAGTAGCTTTTACAACGAAGTGGAGACTTTACCAAATACGATAACCAATTGACCTGCGAGTCGCTCAAAGAGATTGTATGGATCGGATGATCATCGTGTCTCAGCAATATTATACCTCAGCTAGTGCCATAGCAAAAATCTGCACCGAAGAGTTTGAGTTATCGGACTCCGATGAACTGCATTAACATATTAAATCGGAAATGGAAATTACCATCTTTGTCTTAGAATTACATAGATATCAGAAGTATTGGCAAACGTTCATGATTCCGACCGAATAGCCGTGAATAGAAAGACGAAGGTTAATTTTCTCGAATATCTTCAATAGAGAAGGCATTGGACAGACGCTTCCTACAGCGTAATTATTCCTCATTTATTCGTCTCCGAACGTCAGTCATCATTGTTCTCCTTTAAGAAAACATTTTCTTTCAAGAGACAATCGACACTGAGTGACTCGGCGTCGCGCGACTTTTATAACTGTCAGTTGTTTTTTTCGAAGGTGAAAACCATATTTAACGATAATATGTTGATGATTTGGTATCAAGGGGAAATGATAATAAATGTGAATGATTATAATACCACGAATATCTCATAAATATGAAAAAAGGAGAATTAATATTTTTCAATTTGGATATTTAAAACGATTTCTACTGATTAAATTTTTAGCAAGTGCCAAATGTTACATTCCAAATGCTATCTACTATGCGAATAAATAAGTATAGCATATACTCGTATTTCTTAATTGCAAATGATGCTTCCAATAACACTGAGATAATCAAAGCTTGATTTTTTTCTTGCGTCATTTCTACAGAGAGAATGTCAGAGTATAGTTGCATAACAAGCTGGTTATGCAACTAAATAATGCGTTTCTTACATTTCGCATCATAATATATAGTTCGCGTCGTGTTAGAGTACTTTATATGTCTTCGTGTAACGCGATATAAATTGTATCTTATCATTTCATTTGTTACTAAACACTTTAACAAATGTCAAATGTTACATTCCAAATGCTATCTACTATGCGAATAAATAAGTATAGCATATACTCGTATTTCTTAATTGCAAATGATGCTTCCAATAACACTGAGATAACCAAAGCTTGATTTTTTTCTTGCGTCATTTCTACAGAGAGAATGTCAGAGTATAGTTGCATAACAAGCTGGTTATGCAACTAAATAATGCGTTTCTTACATTTCGCATCATAATATATAGTTCGCGTCGTGTTAGAGTACTTTATATGTCTTCGTGTAACGCGATATAAATTGTATCTTATCATTTCATTTGTTACTAAACACTTTTTTAATTGATTAACCTGTCTACGTTAGATTGTAAATCTGTTTACGTTAGTAAAATTTATATTTCGTACTCATATAGAGATGATCAATATCGAAGTTCTCTTTATTATATAACCAGACGTCGATATATAGTCGGTTATCGCTAGTTGCTTGATCGATGTTATACTACTACATTGAAGCACATTGAAGCGCATTAAAGCAGTCTTTGTCGCCTCTCCGTCGCAATTGCAATACACACAATCAAGGTTACATCGAATAGATCAAGTGCAATTTGCTATCTAACGGGTGTGAGATTATTATGTATCTGATAATTTTGACACGTGGCAAGTGTTTATCTCCCGCTACAACATAATAGATATGGAAAGATATATGAAGTAATATTTCTTATTTCTTGTTATTAATATGAAGTAATATTTCTGTAATATTTATTTACAGCACTGTTAGTGCTGGGCCAATTCCAATTTCGTTGCAGAACGATTTGTGTTGTACCTGTGTATTGAAATAATTAATATCTACGAGTTTTATATTATACAGTCAGGTCATTTATTTGTTGGTCGATGTATAATATATTGCAACAATACATTTGTCATTTCTTTTTTGTCGCCTTCCTGACGAATGTGTTAACAGATATAGTCAATATGGCTATTAAGGCTACATCAGATAGATAAAATCGCTTGTTATAAAAAGCTTGTTATAAAATTATTATCACGCTCTTGATTTTTATACTCGAAGCATGTATAATATTACGACTATTAATAACAAATAACATATATGTGTTTTTTCTCACTACCGTCACCTATAAAAGAAAAATAAAGCTTTCTGTTCTTATAATGTTCACTTAGTGTTTTCGATTAGATTCTTCGTGCTTCGAGATAATTATATGATAACTAGAAGGTGTTCGATAAATGACGGATTAAATTGTTATAAAGACGTTATAAAGGATAAAAAGAAATCTTCTCGCCACTAAAGCGGCCGGATGGAGACCCATAAACCACCCTCTGGCTTTGGTAAAAGAGCTATAGGAGTCATCTTTAAAGGCATTTTCGTTCTGGGAGACAATTCTAAACTGTATTTTTTCAGGAACACAGCCAAACACGCTTTCATCTGTAGTAGAGCCATCCTCATCCCAACACAGGCTCGTGGTCCTTCGCTGAAGGGAAGGAAAGTGAACTTTTTGATGCTCTGTTTCCTGTCTGAACTGAATCTTTCAGGGTCGAATACGTCAGGCTTCTCCCAATGACGAGGATCATTATGCAGGCCATTCGCGGGTATCAAGATGTCCATTCCAGCTTCAATGTGGTAGACAGAGCCATCGGATCCTGTCAACACGACCGATTCTGTGCAAACCTTGCTCATGAATGCAGCCACGGGTATGATCCGTTGCGATTCGTTCAAAACTTGATCCATGTATGTCATTTCCTTCAAGCTGTCATACGTGAGCGTGCCGTTATATTTCGCGAGCACGGTCACTATTTCCTCGCGTAACTTTTTCTGTACCTCCGGATGAGTGGCTAATTGAAAGCCAACGAAACTCAATACGGTGCTGGAAGTTTCGCTGCCGTCGATGAAGAACGACGAAGCGTGAGATGCTAGGATTTCTATATCGAACTTATCACCTTCCGCGTGCTCCAATTCCACCATCAATTGCAGGAAATCGTTTCTTTTCGTGTTGCTTGTTCTTCTCTCCTCCATAACGCTAGCGACTAACGTTCGGAAGAAATGGTCAGCTTTCTTCGATAGGAACCTCACTCTGAAAATTTTGCCCAAGAAAGGTGATAGGAATGCAATGGTGATCATAAAGTTGTGCAGAGAGGACGGTTCAAATACGTCCTTTCCGATTTCGCGGAACGTGTGCTGTTTTTCGTCGTCGAAGCAAAATCCATTCACACCGAAACCAGCGCTTGCTACCACCTGTGTGGTGTACCTGGCGAACAAATCCTTCAACTCCATCTCCACTTGCTCAGTTTTATTCAATCTCCTGTCGATGAAGTCCTCGAACTGCTGACACACTTGTTTAACGTTCTCGAGCAGGATCTTCAATCTCATGCTGGAGAAGGCATAGGTCAGACGCTTCCTACCGATCACCCACTTTTCCCCGTACGTGAAGAAGGGATTGTTCGCCAACAGAGGATCCAGTTCAGGATTGACTTTCACGTTGTTTTCGTGAAAGCACGTGAATTTCGTTTGCAACACTGTCTTCACCAGCTCCGGGTCAAGAACCATCAGTATTGGCGTCGTGAAGTTGTAGAAACCAACCGCACTGCGATTCGAATTGTCGTTGTAGATCTTATGACAGCAATCTTGAAAACTTTTTTTTGATGTAATTAAGTCCCACATATGACCAACTCCCGGCAAAGCGCCATTTGCACAAGGAATCCCACGTTTTTGCCAGTATTTAATATTATTCGTCAGGTAAACAAAAAGAAGTGTCAGTGCTCCGAGTATTAAAGATACACACAGGAGAACCATTTTGCTTCTCTTTCAGAGAACTGTGCGATACTGGACGGCCGTGTATTCCTCAGCTATTATCGACGTGAGATTGTCTTTATCGCGAGAGAACTGCAATTCACTACGTTAATACGTCCTGTATATTAATAAAACATGGAGTATGCGATACATTGTTGCGCACTGCATGCTGCGTTTATATTAAGAATTTGTACAATTATAAAAGACTGGAACACGTAAATGTTATATGTTAACCTCTCCATGTTACTTTTATTCGATTCTATTTTAAACGTAGTTTAATATTTATGTTGTTAACCGAAATTCTTGCTACAATTGACTGTTGGTATTGGCTTATTTTCCATATGCCATCCTATAGCAGAGGTCCAGGATGTTCAGTCAGATGATACAATTGCTGGTCATTATTCAATCGGGATACACGCGACCCATATCTCATATTGCATGATAAATGGGATACGTTGAGATGAAATTTGCGTTTATATCACGCAACATAGATTTAACCGTTCAAAATTTTAAGCTTCTGTCATGAATTTAATAAATGTAATGTTTTAATAATTTTACATATGTTAAATAATGAAATTATTTGTCTTTTTAATAAGAGAATATATCGTTAAACATGTTTGAAAAACTTTCGATGTTTTTTTCATAAATAAAGTATATTGTCGAAATATTTTTCTTTGATACATCGCTGTACTACGGTTATTTTTTCACTAGTCACTTATTTCACATTACAGTATTTTTAATATTTATATTGCAGTGTTTTAACAATATATTAACGACATTAATTTTTCTGTATAATGTAATCGTCTTTGGATTTGTTGCATATATCTCTTTTTAAACATTATAGAATATTAAACGATATAAATTTTATCAGTTTGCACGATAGCATGACACCTGATAACATTAGCTCTTATTCTGCAATAAATATGCATGCAGTTTATATTTACTTGGAAATTGTCAAGAGACTTTTTTAGTACACGGTTGACGCACTCGGTTTCTTTAAAAAGATGTCGTTATATATATATATATATAACCGCTTTGTTTTTTGAGTCTATCAACAGTCACAGCTAAAATGCCGCAACAATCACATCGGGCTGATACTTGGTCTTCGAAAATCGCGAGACGGCTGTTGTTTTATTGAGTATACTGGCATATGATGCTTCCAATAACACTGACCCAATGCTTGATTTTTTCTTGCGTCATTTCTACAGAGAGAATGTCAGAGTATAGTTGCATAACAAGCAGGTTATGCAACTAAGTAATGCGTTTCTCACATTTCGCATCATAATAAATAGTTAGTCATCATAATAGTGTTAGAGTACTTTATATGTCTTCGTGTAAAGCGATATAAATTGTATCTTATCACTATTCATTTGTTACTAATCACTTTTTTAATTGATTAACCTGTCTACGTTAGATTGCAAATCTGTCTACATTAGTAAAATTTATATTGTATACTCATATAGAGATGATCAATATCGGAGTTCTCTTTATTATATAACCAGATATCGATATATAGTCGGTTATCGCTAGTTGCTTGATCGATGTTATACTACTACATTGAAGCACATTGAAGCGCATTAAAGCAGTTTTTGTCGCCTCTCCGTCGCAATTGCAATACACACAGTCAAGGTTACATCGACTAGATCAAGTGCAATTTGCTATCTAACGGGTGCGAGATTATTATGTATCTGATAATTTTGGCAGGCGGCAAGTGTTTATCTCCTGGTACAACATAATAGATATGGAAAGATATATGAAGTAATATTTCTTATTTCTTGTTATTAATATGAAGTAATATTTCTGTAATATTTATTTACAGCACTGTTAGTGCTGGGACAATTCCAATTTCGTTGCAGAACGATTTGTGTTGTACCTGTATATTGAAATAATTAATATCTACGAGTTTTATATTATACAGTTTTATATTATACAGTTTTATATTATATAGTTTTATATTATACAGTATTTATATTATACAGTCAGGTCATTTATTTGTTGGTCGATGTATAATATATTGCAACAATACATTTGTCATTTCTTTTTTGTTGCCTTCCTGACGAATGTCTTAACAGATATAGTCAATATGGCTATTAAGGCTACATCAGATAGATAAAATCGCTTGTTATAAAAAGCTTGTTATAAAATTATTATCACGCTCTTGATTTTTATACTCGAAGCATGTATAATATTACGACTATTAATAATAAATAACATATATGTGTTTTTTCTCACTACCGCCACCTATAAAAGAAAAATAAAGCTTTCCGTTCTTATAATGTTCATTTAGTGTTTTCGATTAGATTCTTCGTGCTTCGAGATAATTATAAGATAACTAGAAGGTGTTCGATAAATGACGGATTAAATTATTATAAAGACGTTATAAAGGATAAAAAGAAATCTTCTCGCCACTAAAGCGACCGGATGAAGACCCATAAACCACCCTCTGTTTTTGGTAAAATAGATATAGGAGTCATCTTTAAAGGCATTTTCGTTTTGGGAGACAATTCTAAGCTGTATTTTTTCAGAAACACAGCCAAACACGCTTTTATCTGTAGTAGAGCCATCCTCATCCCAACACAGGCTCGTGGTCCTTCGCTGAAGGGAAGGAAAGTGAACTTTTTGATGCTCTGTTTCCTGTCTGAACTGAATCTTTCAGGGTCGAATACGTCTGGCTTCTCCCAGTGACGAGGATCATTATGCAGGCCATTCGCGGGTATCAAGATGTTCATTCCAGGTTCAATGTGGTAGACAGAGCCATCGGATCCTGTCAACACAACCGATTCTGTGCAAACCTTGTTCATGAATGCAGCCGCGGGTATGATCCGTTGCGATTCGTTCAAAACTTGATCCATGTATGTCATTTCCTTCAAGCCGTCATACGTGAGCGTGCCGTCATATTTCGCGAGCACGGTCACTATTTCCTCGCGTAACTTTTTCTGTACTTCCGGATGAGTGGCTAATTGAAAGCCAACGAAACTCAACACGGTGCTGGAAGTTTCGCTGCCGTCGAGGAAGAACGACGAAGCGTGAGATGCTAGGACTTCTACATCGAACTTATCACCTTCCGCGTGCTCCAGTTCCACCATCAATTGCAGGAAATCGTTTCTTTTCGTGTTGCTTGTTCTTCTCTCCTCCATAACGCTAGCGACTAACGTTCGGAAGAAATGGTCAATTTTCTTCGATAGGAACCTCACTCTGAAAATTTTGCCCAAGACAGGTGATAGGAATGCAATGGTGATCATAAAGTTGTGCAGAGAGGACGGTTCAAATACGTCCTTCCCGACATTGAGGAACGATTTGTGCTCCTCTTCGTCGTCGTCGAAGCAAAATCCATTCACACCGAAACCAGCGCTTACTACCACCTGCGTGGTGTACCTGGCGAACAAATCCTTCAACTCCATCTCCACTTGCTCAGTTTTGTTCAATTTCCTGTCGATGAAGTCCTCGAACTGCTGACACACTTGTTTAACGTTCTCGAGCAGGATCTTCAATCTCATGCTGGAGAAGGCATAGGTCAGACGCTTCCTACCGATCACCCACTTTTCCCCGTACGTGAAGAAGGGATTGTTCGCCAACAGAGGATCCAGTTCAGGATTGACTTTCACGTTGTTCTCGTGAAAGGACGTGAATTTCGTTTGCAACACTGTCTTCACCAGCTCCGGGTCAAGAACCATCAATGTTGGCGTCGTGAAGTTGTAGAAACCAACCGCACTGCGATTCGAATTATCGTTGTAGATCTTATGACAGCAATCTTGAAAACTTTTTTTTGATGTGATTAAATCCCACATATGACCAACTCCCGGCAAAGCGCCATTTGCACAAGGAATCCCACGTTTTTGCCAATATTTAATATTATTCGTCAGGTAAACAAAAAGAAGTGTCAGTGCTCCGAGTATTAAAGATACACACAGGAGAACCATTTTGCTTCTCTTTCAGAGGACTGTGCGATACTGGACGGCCGTGTATTCCTCAGCTATTACCGACGTGAGATTGTCTTTATCGCGAGAGAACTGCAATTCACTACGTTTAATACGTCCTGCATATTAAAAAGGCGTGGAGTATGCGGCACATAGTTGCGCACTGCATGCTGCGTTTATATTAAGAATTTGTACAATTATAAGAGATTGAAACACGTAAATGTTATATGTGTTAACCTCCCCATATTACTTTTATTCGATTCTATTTTAAACATAGATTAATATTTATGTTGTTAATCGAAATTCTTGCTATAATTGACAGTTGGTATTGGCTTATTTTCCATATGCCATCCTATAGCAGAGGTCTAAGATGTTCAGTTAGATGATACGATTTCTGGTCATTATTCAATCGGGATACACGTGACCCATATCTCATATTGCATGATAAATGGGATACGTTGAGATGAAATTTAGTGTTTGCGCGTGGAGCGCAGTGGAGCGCGTTTGTATTACCCAACATAGATTTAACCGTTCAAAATTTAAGCTTCTGTCATGAATTTAATAAATGTAATGTTTTAATAATTTTACATATGTTAAATAGTGAAATTATTTGTCTTTTTAATAAGAGATTATATCGTTAAACATGTTCGAAAAACTTTCGATGCTTTTTTCATAAATAAAGTATATTGTTGAAATATTTTTCTTTGATACATCGCTTTACTACGGTTATTTCTTCATCAGTCACTTATTTCACATTACAGTATTTTTAATATTTACATTGCAGTGTTTTAACAGTATATTAACAACATTAATTTTTCTGTATAATGTAATCGTCTTTGGATTTGTTGAATATATCTATTTTTAAACATTGTAGAATATTAGACGATATAAATTTTATCAGTTTGCACGATAGCATGACACCCGACAACATTTGCTCTTATTCTGCAATAAATATGCATGCAGTTTATATTTACTTGGAAATCGTCAAGAGACTTTTTTAATGCACGGTTGACGCACTCGGTTTCTTTAAAAAAATGTCGTTATATATATATAACCGTTTTATTTTCGGAGTCTATCAACAGTCACAGCTAAAACGCCGCAACGATCACGTCGGGCTGATACTTGTTCCTCGAAAATCGCAAAATGGCTGGTATTTTATTGAGTATACTCGCCGTAATAATCGTCTTAACGTATATTTATTTAACAAAAAACTCTGGATATTGGGAAAAGCGAGGAATTCCATGTGCGTCCGGAATTTTCTCGGGGATGGTTGGTATGTTACCGGTATTGAGCTTGAGGATTCCATACGCCGAACGTTTCTGTCGGATGTATGAGGAAAACAAGGATTTCAGCATGGTCGGATTCTATGATTTCTTATCACCGGCGTTGATGATCATCGAGCCGGGACTAGTGAAGACGGTGTTGCAGACAAATTTTGCGAGCTTCCAGGAGAACCATATGAAGGTCGATCCTAAGCTGGACCCTCTTGCGGTACAAAATCCTTTTTTCTTGACTGGGGAAAAGTGGATGACCGGAAGAAAGCGTTTGACTTATGCCTTTTCAAGCATGCGATTGAAGATACTGCTTGAGAGCGTGAAATTGGTATGCGCAGGGTTCGAGAGCTTCTTGGAGAAAAAATTAGGCAAATCAGTGAAAGCGGAATTGGAGTTGAAGAACTTATTTTCTAAGTACACCGCACAAGTGGTGGCAAGCGCGGGTTTCGGTGTGGATGGATTGTGCTTCGAAGAGCAGGAAAGTAAATCATCCTTCAGAAACATCACGAAGGATATCTTCAAACCATCTACCCGAAGCTCGTTTGTTGTCACGCTTATGTTGCTATGTCCTCCTTTGTACAAAATTTTCGGGATGAGTTTCATACCGAAGCACGCCGATCGTTTCTTCAGAGAGCTGGTTGCGGATCTTATGGAGAAGAGGAGAACAGAGAATGTAACAAGGAATGATTTTCTCCAGTTGATGGTGGAATTAGAGCGAGTGGAGAATGACAAGTTAGACATAGAGGTGCTAGCGGGTCACGCAATATCGTTCGTCATAGACGGTTACGAGACCTCCAGCAGTGTTTTGAGCTTCCTTGGCTTCCAATTAGCAACGCATTCGGAAGTGCAGGAGAAGTTACGCGAAGAAATTATGTCCGTACTATCCAGATACAACGTACATTCTCACGTACGATGCATTGAAGGAAATGACATACATGGATCAAGTGATAAACGAGTCACAGAGAATCACAGCTATGCAACAAGTTATGTCTAAAGTCTGTACGACAAAGTGCGAGTTGAAAGGATCCGACGGTCTCGTCTGCTCCGTGGAACCTGGGACATTGGTCATTATACCCGCTCAATCTCTTCATAAAGATCCTCGATATTGGGACAATCCCGAAGTATTTAATCCTGAAAGATTCTCTGCAGACGGGAAACAGAACATCGAGAGATTCGCTTATCTCCCCTTCGGTGAATGGCCGCGAATCTGCATTGGAATGAGGATGGCTTTGTTACAAATAAAAGCATGCCTGGCTGTGCTCTTAAGAAAATACAGTCTGGAGTTTTCACCCAGAACACAAGTGCCCTTGAAGATGGTACCTGTAATTTTGTTACCATCAGCGAAGGGTGGCGTGTGGGTGTTTATTCGACCACTGTAATTGTGAAAATAGTTCTTATCGCAATTAAAGTCTAATATGTAAAAAAAATGTTAATTGCATTTTCTGATGTACATCATGACAAAATATGTTAAATAACTAACATTTTGATTAGCATGTCACTCATATAGTTACATTCTTCAAAAGATCATTATTTTTGTAATTTTGTGAATTCTACAAAATTGCATTTGGTATATATTCTTAAAAATATAAAAATAAAAGTGTAAGAAGGACAAGATTTTTTTCATCCAAAGTAAAATGCTCCCTTAAAATCATTTTCTGTGTAAACATAATTGTTTTTATTATGAGAATTTTTATGAAAACATATATAAATAATAATATAAATATCTATGCATCGTCAGTTACTTGGTTCATCTGAAAATTAGTAAAGAAGTTGGCTCTTCATTTTCTTCAATCTCAATTAAGAAATAAAGAGCATACTAGTTTCCGTTTTCATTTCCATCATTTCCATTGATTTCTTTTGCTTTGGGTGATGTTTCCAATCTTCTTTTGAACTTTTCGATATATTTGAGTAATCGTTTATCAGATTCCTTTACCTGTCAGGTATTATTAATGTCAAATTAAAATTAAGATGTGTGAAATTATTAAGAAATATCATTTTAATTTTCAATGCTAAGATATCTTTAAAATTCTACGGTATTTATCATGACACTACACAACATACTCGATTTATGACATCGGAAGCGAGAAAAAAAAGAAAATATATATACACGTTCGAAACTTCTACAATTATTTAATAAAAAATTAAAACAGATATGTTGGTAAAACGATATTAGCATTCAATCGAGCAGATCTATAAAATATAGTCTGAACACTTTTGTTCCAACAATCAATGAATTACTGTAAAATTAACATTGATAGAATCATGAGAAAATACAGATTAAAAGATAAGTTGCATGTCCCATTGATTTTTCGGTCTATTGATCAATTGATTTATTGATTGTTATGGCAAAAAAATGTTTGGAATATTTTACAAATTTGCTCGTTCAATTATCATCATTTTGTGAATATCTTTTATTTCGTTGTATTTTGCAGGAATTTTGAACGTGCATTTACTCGCTTCTGATGTCATCAGAATCAGAAAATTCGCGGAGAGTAACCAGGAGTAAGTAGTGAAATTGATTAGATATTAATTCTGCTTATTACATATTTAATTTTTCGAGTAGTCCCCATATATCTTGTATTTTGTGTTTCCAAAGAATACTGTTTTTTATACATTACTACAATATATATCTAAATTGTTATCTAAAGATATCCCAACATCTTTATTAGATAAACGATATAAATGATAATGATATGGGTAAATAACGATAATTCTCTATAACTTAATCGCTCGAAAGATTCGATAAAACAAGAAATGTGCAATATGTCACACCATATTTGTGACTCTTTCGATATCTTCCTGCAAATTCTCTTTTGATGGACCGTCCTCGAATTGTACACACAGAACCGTCAGAGATTTGATGAGAGTCTCCTGATTTATCGTACTGTCAGGATTCAAGATTTCGGCTAATACTGCGAATGCCAGATTATTATGCATGTCAAACATTTGTTTGCCAAACTTTTGGTTGTTTCGCGTGATTGAAGTCAGTATAAATATGGACACGTGATACGTATCGATACTCTGTAAAGGACTGATATCCGGCGCATTGCAAATGACTCGTAGAGTCGGAAAGTATGCGTTTTCGAGCATTTCCGGAGCATCGGGCACACTGATCGCGAAATGATCAAAGAAAACGCATAGGCACTGTCGCAGGTAAACGTCGTCAGCGTTAGCAGGATTGTAATATAAAATTATTAAGCGCGACACCAAGCTACTACTGCTAATCCGCCGATTGACTAATAACTTGCAGAGACCTTCTGCTGCAACAGTGCGTAGTTCCTGATTCTGCAAATTTTCAACGGATAAAATTACTGCATGGAAAATTTCTCACTTGATTATAGCACAACTCAATCATGATAGTATTTTTATACCGCGTTGTCCAACAATCCTGTTAATATGTGAACAAAATTGCGACTGTTATCTTCTATTGCAGGTCGCCCGTTTAAGGTGACAACGCTATCGACATCGTGGGTGTACAGCATACGGCTCCATCCAGATCTCTCCTCAGGAATCTGCAAGATCTCGAAATACTCCAAGCCGTATGAGAGCAAGAGATCGAATATCCCCTTTAACGCGATTACCCATATGTCTGGATTTTCTTGTTCCGCAGAAAACTGATAGAAGAATACCATAAGATACTTCTTAGCCATTTCCTTATCCAATATGCAGTACACACCTAACGCCTTTAATGCTAACACATGCACATTATCGTCAGGATGCTGAAAAAATAATTTACCATGTTAAATAATTGTATAAACGCATTGTAAAATGATGTAGTGTACACTTACGTCGAGACTGTTCAATACAATAGACATTATATGCCTGAGTGTAGGTGTCAATGTGCGAATGGACTGAACTTGCATCGCGGCACACAGAATGTTGAGGCACTTCGTCATCGTGGCTGCGTCATTTTTCTCGTCACGAATATCATCGGCTATTATATTCTCCGGAGTTTTCGACAGTTGATTTATCTTTTCTTTCAGAGTTTTAATCTTTTCTTTTATACTGTCTGCTTTCAGAAAATCCTCCTTTTTGACTGTTTCATACAGTTCCTCCTCGAGTTCCATCAAGTCGACCTTCACTTGCGTTTTCTAGAGGCAAAAGGAAATTGAACAATAATATTTAAATCAAGATCCTCAGATGTTCAATCACTAGGAATTAATTTAGGCCAATAAGAAGGCAAAAGAACTAGAGTAATATAATGTTTATGAGCAGCAGTACTGCTTACAATTAATATTGCACTACTATACATATACTTCTAACAGCACTACGTGCTTGTGTTGAATACTGTCGAAGTTTCGGTAGCACTCAGAAGCTTTAAGACTAAAGAGAAATCTCCGCATGTACAATGTCCATCACTGACATTAGTATCCAGCCAAAATAATTGTTTATTATCAACATTCCTGCGCATTCTTATTAGCCTAAATTAATTGTTAACGAAATTAGACGAATTTATCTATATAACAATGTTGAATTCATTAACAAATCTTTACATGCACCTGCACAATATTGTTCTCTTGCTTCTCTTCAGATGCTTGTTGAGTGGATGTACTTTCTTTGGGTAAAGGTAATCTGATCTCGCTAATGACATTGGCTACTAAGTCCAGCATATTACTAATATTCGGCACCACCTTATCCAGCTGGTGCACTAGACATTCAATTATCTTATTGCAGCAATGATTGCTCATCAGACCATCTATTATTATTTCCTGCAGATTTTTTCTCCCAACTTCGTCTGAGAGATCATATTTTTCAGTTATCTCAAATAGTTGTAAAAGAATAAATTTGTGACACTGCTTTTCCCATTCTTCATACTGCTTAGACGATATGAAAGCGATAAATTCACATATGTAATTACAAAAAGCGGATAATTCTGGAATGATTAAGTCCAACTCTTCTGTGCAAGACAAATTATGGAGATGATTTGTAACACACTTCCAATATAAGGCATTTTCGCACGACAAACTAGACAATGGAATTAATTTTATATTTTTATTTATTGGTACTTGCTCCAACAAAGTTTTTACATCAGTGTCTCTGAAAAAGACATACTTGATGTGAATAGATTTTTAATTAGTGTACAATTAATATTTAGATATCTGAATACTCAGGTACAAATTGAATATACTAACCATGTTAAGTACTAAGCTTTTCGAGTATTTCTTTTCGTAGTAGGTAGATGATCATTTCGAAAATTATTAAAATATAGGCAATTATTTAGAATAAGGGAGCCACCTCCGATTTCAATAATTCACACATATATTATTATTACTATCCTCCCTTAATAACATGCAACAAATTTTAGTTGTCGGTCGACGCTAATGAAAAAGTTATTAACAAAAAAGTGTAATGAATAATGCCCACGTATTGAAGTGACTACGTGTCTTCTGTGGATACAACACTGTATATAGAGATTTATTTGCGTATTATATTCTTCGCTTGGTTTGTTTAATTACCTTTCTTATACTGGTTATACATCGAAAGCAAAAGATGTCTACATACTGAAGGAAATTTGAATTCTGAGCTAGTACAAGGTAGTAGACTGCGAAACTAGGATGGACGGGGAGGGTGCGGGAGGGGGGTCGAAGGCCTCTTTCGTACCCCCTTGTACCCAGTCTATCTTGTACTAGCTCAGCATTTGAATTTCCTTCAGTATGTAGACATCTTTTGCTTTCGATGTATAACAAGAAAGGTAAATAAACAAACCAAGCGAAGAATATAATACGCAAATAAATCTCTATATACAGTGTTGTACAATTATATCCACAGAAGACACGTAGTCACTTCAATACGTGGGCATTATTCATTACACTTTTTTGTTAATAACTTTTTAATTAGCGTCGACCGACAACTAAAATTTGTTGCATGTTATTAAAGGAGGATAGTAATAATAATGTATGTGTGAATTATTGAAATCGGAGGTGGGGCTCCCCTATTCTAAATAATCACCAAAATATAATTAGTATAAATAATATTTTGGAAAAAGGAAACAGACAAAATCAGCAGATACAAAATTAACTATTACATAATTAAAAACACATGGTAGACAAATATTAACAGGTTATTATTTACAATTATATCAAATATTTGAATAATACTCAAACATTTGAGTACCGAATAGGAAATATGAGTATTTAGATATAGAAATTGTCCAATTTATGCTGACAGCAGCAGTTTTAATACATAGAATTTCTCTATGTTACTTTTGCTTACTTTCTTTTTTTAGGCTTACTTGAATAATGCTTGTAAAGCTAATGTTGCAACTTCTGTCCCTATTCCAGCATCCAGACCATGTATAAGTTTTATATATTCTCCTTTATAGTATCGTAGCCATGTTGGTAATAAGACATCGCTTACACAGGCTTTGACACTATCAGATCGGTCTTTAAGACCATCTTTTAACAATTGTTCTCTTTGTTTAATTGTCAAGGAACATATTGTAAACTTGCTGATAAATTCATATGCCGTCTTACGCACAGAGTCATCAATATCACGTGTCTTTTTCAAAGCAGCTAGTAAGGTTTTCTGATTCTTGCTCATTGTTGCAAGAACTGCTCTGCGAACTTCAGGGTTTGGATCTTTATATAGATGAAATAAATACATTTTTATTATGGGACACTGATCATTGGATGGCTCTTGTAATCTGTGCAAAGCAAAAACAGCCTGCGCTCTAACTTTAGGAGACTTATCCATCAATCGATCCATCATTCTGCTTGTAATTTGATCACATAAGCTATCATCAATGAAAGCATGATCGCCTATAGAGTTTAAAAGCATAGTTAAAAAATGACAGATTCGATATCTTACTGTCTTATCTTTTGCATTATCACTAGACAACAAGAATGTGAACAATTTATTGAGAAATGGATTCATAGGTTCTATAGATTCACTTTCTGCATAGGAATACAGGCTCATGGAGAATTTAGCACATAATTCCAATGTGTTTATAATATGTGGATGCTCTTGAGCCATTGTAAGAGGCACTTTCAAGCATGATATGAAACATTTTGAGAATGTATCTAAATCAGTCTAAAAAAAAATAAGACAAACAAACTTAATTGAATGAATTGATTCATTTACAATTTATTTACGGTTTATTTAATAACATTCATTTAAAGTTTATTGAATATTTGCTTAAATGGGATAAACAACAGCTCGAGCAACAGAGGTCACACTTTGTAGCATTTCACGTATATGTTGTTTCTTTTTTCATTCTATTTTAAGGGAATTCTAAATACTTATAAATCACTATAATATGCCCCATATTCATTAAAAACTGAAGCTATATTTTAAAGAGGAAAAGATTGAACTGAAGTTAAAATCCATTTTACGAAAAATAGTGTAATTCGGACTTACCCTCTGATATAGTTTCATAAGCTTTTTTGTGTATAGCAAGTGGTTTGTTTTGTTAAACTGCACATTGTAAAATATATCTTTCATATCGTTCTCTACCGCACGTTCCATATCTGTATATTAGTATGAAAAAATTAAATTTGAATTTTAACGCCACATACACCTCGTCGTGACGTCGTGACGGTTACGTATCTTGGTTGATTAAATTCGATTCTGGTGGTTACGTATCTTGAACAGAGGTATCTTAAGCCAGCGGCACACGGTGCTTGTTTTCGTGCTGGATTGCTTGCTGGATGAAAATACTGCGTTCTGATTGGTGCATTTCCATCCATCTTCGGAAATGTACCAATCAGAATGCAATATTTTCATCCAGCAAGCAATCCAGCACGAAAACAAGCACCGTGTGCCGTTGGCTTTATACAGATTTCCCTCTTGAAAAACGAATGCCAGGCGCCACCTGGAGCTGTACCCGGACGTTGCTGAACTAAAATGGGTCACGTGACACGAAGTGGGGATACGCGGTGGTATTCAAACCCCTGCAGCCGCGCACTTTCATATACACAGTTATATACTGTTTTGTGCAAATGTGAACACAGAAAAAGAAATATTTTTAATAAATATTTTACAAAACTTTATTTTTATGTCTACTTATACATGCTAATTAATCATTATTTTGCCCTATTAATTAGCATGTATGAGTAGACATAAAAATAAAGTTTTATAAAATACTTCTGAAAAATATTTCTTTTTCTATGTTCACATTTGTACAAGATTATATATATGCACATCGAGTTGTGTAATTGTGTAATGTATAATTTCAAAATTATTAGGTAAAATGAAATGATAGAATTTTTATGTCTGTACAATTTTATAAAATAATTGTATAGAAAATACAAAATTATAGATATCAGCGGCATACAATTATATACAACTACACAACTCAATATGCATATATTAGAAACACAATATAAATATAAAACTACATATTTATTACAACTTTTATTTTGTATTTTTTTATTGCCATGTTTACAAATATTATTTTAAACGGTTATACTATTTTTTTTATAATAAAAGTAAAATTTATCGCGTTTTCTACATTTTATTAAATAATATATTAAATTTGAAATATATTGATATATATATATATAATAAGATGTCACACACAGTAAAATAAGATTCATTTATATATAAAACATTGTGCAGATGTTTTCATTAGTGAATAGCTATGAGAAAAAATTATTTTTTTTTATAGAAATAATATTAACATAATAATGTAATGAAACATATACCTCTGGAGAACATTTTAAATTTATCGTCAACATTTGGAAGAAAGTCTTCTGTATGTTTGACACGTCCTTCGTGATGTCATCCCATGTATTCCCACGTCGCAGTCTGTTGACTCCCTCTGATACTGGTGATAAATAATCCTCTTCCTATTGTGCAACATCTTCCGTTGTGTCCTCAAGTTTCTTCTTAAAACATAGATTTTTTCTTCTTCTTCATTTTTTCTTGCTGCAGTCCCTTCACCCATGTTTATACATGGGCAGTGGCACAAAAGTAGAATTGTCCGGAACATTTTCTACTACACTAACATGCTCACAAATATTATCGTTAACGTTAATATCAATATGCTGTTCAAAATTTAAAGGCAAATGTAATGTTGGTACAGCATTATTGGTCAGGCGTCGCCTAGACCCATAAGGCTGTACTATATTTTCTGGAAAATGTTCCGTACAGATTCTCAATTTGGCCAATGTTTCTTTAGGCGCACCTAATAATATCACAAATTACATGAAATATAAGAAATTACATGATATGAAACAATTATGAAATATTAAAAATTACATTAGAAAAACGAGAGCATAAGAATATCGGAATTAATATTATGTCACGATATAATAATAATTCCGAATTTCCATTATGTACATAATGAAAATTCAGAATTAGCATTATGTACATAATGGAAATTCGAAATTGTTATTATGTCACGGCATAATAAAAATTCGGAATTATTATTATAATTCCGACATAATAAGAATACCCGAATTAATATTAACTCGTACATAATAACTCGTACATAATAGAAATTCGGACTTATTATTACGTCGTGGACATAATATTAATTCCAGTATTCTTATTATGTCGGAACATAATAATAATTCCGAATTTCTATCATGTACACACATAATAATAAATCTGAATTTCTATTATGTACATAATCAGAATATCGGAATTATTATTATGTCACGGTATAATAAAAATTCGGAATTATTATGTCCCAAATTAATATTATGTCACGACATAATAATAATTCCGATATTCTGATTATGTCGGGACATAATAATAATTCTGAATTTCAATTATGTACATAATAATAAATCCCAATTTCCATTATGTACATAATGGAAATTCAGAATTATTATTGTGTCGTGGCATATTAAAAATTCGGAATTATTATTGTGCCGACATAATAAGAATACCGGAATTAATATTATGTCACGACATAATAATAATTATTTTTGTACATTCTTATTATGTACTTATATAATTATAATTCAACGTATTATATTTATGCCTTCGCATAATATTATAAATCGATGAATTATAATTATATCGGGACATAATAGAAATGCGGTATTTTTCTTATGTGGGCATATAATTATAATTTGCCGAATTATTATTATGTCGTGACATAATAATATTTTAAAAGACTAAAACATAATTTTTATGTAGTAATTTTTATTTGGAACTTTTACATTATGCTGAATATCTTTTATGCCATTAAAAAGTAAAACGGCGTGCCATAAGCACAAGACTAATATTCCAGTTGGAAATTATCACAATAAGTTTGTAAGAATGGCAATGCGATTATCGAAGCGAAGTACGGGGGGCGATAAGATGCGATAATATATATATTGTACGATAAAAATAATTAACGACAGCATCTGATTCGTTACGCGAATCATTTTAGCTATCAGTTGTTGTTGAGAAGTCGGCAAGACCGAAGTTAGTTACTGTGTACTTCCTGAAGAAAATAAGCCGTAATGGATACCATACTTCTCTCTTTACTGCTCGGAGGGCTCATCGTAGCATGCGTATTTTACCTTTATCTAACCAGAAATTATAATTATTGGCGCAATCATGGCGTTCCGTGCGCGAAGGGAGTTCTCCCCGTGTTCGGCCATATGTGGCCAGTGGTGTCTTTGAAGATGAGCTTAGCTGATTTTATTCGACACATCTACGAGAGTCATCCGCAACATAGCATGGTCGGTTTCTACGATAAAACACAGCCCGCGCTGGTGTTACGCGACCCGGAATTGGTGAAAACGGTGATGCAGTCGAATTTTGCGAGCTTCTCCGAGAATATGCTGAAAGTGGACCCACATCTCGATCCTCTCTTCGTGGTGAATCCCTTCTTTGCCTCCGGCGAGCCGTGGTTCACATTCCGTAAACGTTTGACTCACGCCTTTACTGGCAAACGGATCAAAATGTTGTACACCAGCGTCGAGCAAGTTTGCAACAAGTTCGACGACTACCTAGATAGAATACTGAGCGATAACAACGGCGCGATGGAGTTCGAGATGAGGACTCTCTTCTCTAGATACACTGGCGAGGTGGTGGCCAACGCAAGCCTCGGCATCGAGGGTTTCTGCTTCGATGGCGAGAATCACCCGGCATCGTTCGTCACGATGGGAAAATTGGTATTCGACCCGACGCCTCTTGGCAAGATCGTACAGACACTCAACTTCTTCCTGCCCGAGATCAATAAGATCCTGCGGATGCCGTTCGTGCCTAAGCACGTGGATCGCTTCTTTCGCAAAAATGTGAAGGAGGTGCTGCACATCAGACGACAAGAGATCGAACGTAGAAACGACTTTTTACAGTTGATGGTGGACCTGGAGAAAACTGAAGGCAAGCAGATCGATGAGGGTCTCCTCGCGGCCCACGCTTTCTCCTTCTTTGCCGACGGTTACGACACGTCCAGTATTACTTTGAGCTTCATCTCTTATCAGCTTGCCCGACATCCACTCATCCAACAACGCCTTCGCGACGAAGTGGAAACCGTATTCAGCAAGTACGACGGGCAATTGACTTACGAGGCGCTCAAGGAGATGACGTATATGGATCAGGTGATCAGTGAGTCGCAGAGATGCTACACCTCGGGTGGTGCCATGGCCAAAGTCTGCACCGAGGAGTTTGAGCTGACGGGCTCGGACGGACTACATTATCGTGTGAAACCGGGAACGAAGATTCTCATCTCTGTCTTCGGATTGCACAGAGATCCGAAGTACTGGCCCGATGCAAACACTTACGATCCCGAGCGATTTGCCGCGGATAGAACGGCGATGATCAAGAAGTTCACCTTCCTGCCGTTCGGCGAGGGACCGAGAATCTGCGTGGGCATGAGGATGGCATTACTGCAAGTAAAAGCTTGCTTGGCGACTTTCATAAGAAAATATGCTCTGGAGATTTCGCCGAAGACCCAGGAGCCATTGAAGATGCAGCCTGGCAGTTTTCTGACAGCAGTCATTGGCGGGATATGGGTTTCTGTCAAGCGTATTTAACGTTAAATTAAAGAAAAGAGTTAGTTAAAATATAAATTTGTATCGACAGATGTAGAGTTGGTTGGTTATTACCAGTTTATAATGCTTATTTTTACTGTCGGATACTCCGTTTGTTCTTGTAAAAATTAAACATTCATAATAGAGCTCGAATTGAAATATTTAATCTCCACGTGTGCATTGCTCGCGTAGAAAATAATATTCGTTTGAAATTACGACGGAAAAATTATTTGATAGTCTTTTAATAATCCTTATCCAATGTCATGTGTCACGTGTCATACTGGCAAAGAAATATACATAAAAGTATATTCCAATCCAGTTTTCTGATATTGATATCGTTAAAATACCAGCGACTACTTGACACGAAGAGAAACAAACATCGATAAGAAATAAAGGATTAATAGGAATTTTATCTGTTAAGCAATATTTACACGCTCGTAAAAGCAAATATTCTTTACATCATTTTGTAAATTATTGTACGCTTCTGTCAACGTCCATCTTAAGTAATCGTTTCACAATCCAGCAGGTGCATAGACAGATATACGTTCTTCGGTGTGACACCGCCGTACATAGGCGAACACCGCGATGTCACTTTCAGAAAAACCACGTCAATTACGAAAATTACATGAAGTTTGTGCGCTGTCATGCGTATGAATGCGTGTGTACAAAGGTCGCGACATTACTACCACTGCAAGCTATTCATGGCCGTCTGGTAAGTCGGGCTGTTGGCCGAGTAGAACTGCGAGTACCACCGACGATATTCCAAGATAGTGCGGTCCTCGCGCACCAAAGTCGGCTGTCTTTCGTACTTCTTGTGGTTCCATATCGCGACGTCCCGCTCGAACATGAGGCACTCGCCCAAGAACACCAAATTGGCGTAGGGTGCTAACAAGGGTGGTGAGAATATCTGATGGGTGACTCGCTGCAGCAGCGGCTCCAGCGGTGTGACCGTCTGCAGTATGCACATCGGTCCGAAGGACGTGTTGATCATGAGCTCGACGTAGCCCGGGCCGATCTGCTCGACACTCACATTCAAGCCGAGGACGGTGAAGCGCTCGAATAAGATCAGGCTATGGTGCAGCTGCATGCTGGCCTTATGCTTCGCTCTCTTGTTACCGTTCTCGGTGATCTCCGTCAGGTGATTGCCGTTGCCGTTTGAGATTGAGTGGATCGACGAGTCGTTCAGCTTGATCTGCACCCCCGTGTCAGCATCCACGTCCACGTCCGTGTCCGTCTCTGAGGACTTGTACGAGCATTGCGGCCGCCACAACGCGTTGGTCCACGAGTGTCGAGCCAGCCAAAGGATGTTGCCGGTGAGGAACATCGCCGGCCCGTGTACCGCGCTAAGATGCGCATAATCAGCCCCATTCTCGGCTATGTCCTGTCAAAATGCATCGATGGGTGTTAGAAGATCTTATTCCCGAGTCGAGGTCTAGGCTTGCATTTGGAGTTAAGAATGAAGCGTATTTTCTTTTTTGCTCCCACGTCAGCACGTTTACACGTGCGATGATTTGCCGTACGCGAAGTTTTACGTAAATCGCACTTTGCAACAGTGAATCCCCGTGTCAAGATCTGATCTCCGTGTTTTTCGTTTCTCTTTCGCTCTTTCGTTATTCAAGTCCTTTAGAAAGTAATTTACCTTCACATGCGAAAATCTGAAAGGACGATTCATAGCTTTCCGTCGTATTCATCATGGAGGCTGCAATCAAGGAGGCCGATATCCATTGCAGTTATGCTCTGCCCGAATTAGCAACTGCTAGTTATGATGCGGTCGATGCAACTGACCCGTGTACGACAGCATAATAGCAGTCTGGGAACACGTAAAGTCACATCAGCACGTAATACAAGTTAGTGTCGAGTATCAAGACGGAGAATATTCGCAAATCGCTCCCTTCTAATCGTCATGAAATTACGATGCATGATATATGAAGTAAGTAATGAAGATAAAAAATCATATTTCGTTCTGTTCGCAGACGAATTGACGTATGAAATCATTTTTCGTAATCAAAGTCTAATGTCTAATTACGTAAACATACGCATAGAAAGGAACGCTGCGTTTTGCAACTTCAAGACACGAGCTGGCTTTATCTTCTATAAGCAGACAGCGATAAAGACTGAAAGTGAATCTCAAGAAGCACATACGTGAAGTGCGTTCCAGGGAAGGCTTGTTACCTACGTTGAATTGGAACATCCAGACCAGAATCGCGACACCAGAAAGAAACGCGAAAGAGGAAAGAGGAAAGAGGATTTTTAAACGGGCCGCAGATTCGTCAAGTCTCATCAGGATCGCTGGGGAGAACAGTTTGCGAATATTCCTCGCGGGCGCAATTCAAAGTGAAACTCCAAATTGATAGAAGGAGATTGGTTGCCTCGTCAGGTGATCGTGCGGCACGATCGATGTATCCTTGATTCTAGTTTCCATGATAATTACATCGATGGTGTGACGGAGGAGCGTTCGTCGTATTAAAGAAGACGCTATTGACATACTTGTACGTGACATGTTATCAGGAACTCATTGCGGCCTTGGAAACGCCATGTCCCGTTGGCGATGCACATCTGCGGCTGCGGTCGCCAGTCAGGTTCGGTAGACTCGGCGTGATACCAAACGAAGATAATCTGGTTCACTTCGCAGCACTTCCATACTCTCGTCCGCGCGATGTGCGGCACTGCGCGCGTGCGTATATAGAAGAAAAAGGAAGAAATACACGATATGTGCGAGGAGTGCCCTGGATGCGCCGGTAAGTAGTTGCGTGTTTTATTCTATTTCTATGATAACCCGAGTTAGTAATATAATTCCCTTTTTCGAAGCTGCAAATACACGCACAATACGTTGCTACCAGTTTGTAATTACGTACGTTTTTTCGTATCGTTATTTTACCACGCATAAATTTTATTACATTGTCGTAGAGAGGAATCGGCACTCGTGATAATCCCGAATTGAATATTTTTCCATCGTTATTAATTTTCAGTATACATATCTTACACGAAAATTTATATATTTCAAAGATTTCAATTTCATGTAATATGTAAAAATAATTATAACATATAAAGGAGGAGTAATATTGTATAACAAGAAAAAAAAGTAAATTATATCCACCAATGTTTGTGTGTGTGTATGTGTGTGTGTGTGTGTGTGTGTGTGTATAAGTTAATAATTTACGAATTGAATTATATCCCAGATATATATATATATATATATTAATTATATTTAACTCTTTCAGTTTCAGGAGCTCCCTATTAAAAATAGTTTTCAATGTACAGCAAAATAGACGAATAAGAATAACAAGAAATCAGTTAACAAACAAACGAGACACGACTCGTGGAATTACAATACGCGGCAAACGTCTGATCCAGGTGCAAATATTTGCGTCGTACGAATTCGGCACGTGTTTCAAACTGCGCAAACAGTTATCGCGGATGCAGGAATGTAGTTTTAGGGTACAAAAACACGGCTCGGACGTTCCGTTCAAGGCGGTAAGCTCCGTGACCGAAAGGGTAAATATCGAGCAACGTCGTGCAACGGGAATATATACGGGAGACTTAATCAATACCCTTTTCTGCATAAGGTATGCTATCGCAGTAACCATCTTCTCCCCGGAATAACCAATTATGAAACGGGCATTCCAGGCAATTTCCTCTCACGCGGCCGCCCTCGCCCATATTTGCCCCCAGATGCGGGCAGTACGCGTCTAAAATGTTGACAGTGCCTTTTTCGGTCCTTTAAAAAGTTGATCAAATATTATATAATTAAAGAGTACACGATATTTTATCTCTCGTAAGTGTCGAAGTCACATACTTTCGAGAGAGCCGTAAAGACGAGAGGAGTTATCGTTACGTTAAAAAAAAGATTCGATCAAAACTGAAATATTTTCCCTCGAGTGTTGTATCTTTATATATCTCTAAGACGTTTCAAGGTATGCGACTTCGGAACTCTAAAAGAAACACCCCCTGCTGAGCATAAGCTAGAAACAATGTCAGATTGAAATGTTCACAGGTGTACAAAAAAGTTTGTCCTCCGAAAGGTATCGTAAGAGCGACCAACAAGATAGCGCGTATAATGTACGACGTTACCACTAGTGATGTGATAGCGTTTGTTAGCGTTATCATTTATCTCCGATAATATGCTGCAGTATTGATTTGAGAAATCAATTTTCAATTTTCGTAATATCTTTCTGCTTGCGAAAAACAGCGCATATCGAATAACATTCCGACATCTTCGTGTCATCTTTTTGAAGCGCCTCTAAGTGATCGGGTTTAAAAGTGAGATATCTTTTAGAGAGTCTTTTTTTGATAACATTGTTGTCTGGACACGCTCGCCGGAAGTCTTCGCTTCGTGCTTTAACGCGTAACTACTTTCGCTCTTATCTCTTATTGCAAATTTTATTTCTTACTGCAAACACTCGTTAGACTTTTGTTCCTATAACCAACCCTTCCCGATCGCGACAGCGTTGTCGAGGCTTTGCTCCGTCTGTCAAGGGAAATTTCTGCATTCTGACATACCTGAATACCGCGAAATTCTCGCCAAGGGCGGACACGTGCTTCACTTGACCTCTTTTTATCTGCGAACTTTCGAGTAGGGCGAACCATCCGTTGGGATAGACCGGCGGTAATTTACCCACTTTCCGATTTTTCGGTCCTATGCCGCCGTGCCGTTGCGACTTAGTCTGATCTCTCATGTCCTTTAACATAAATATTGAAGCGATCTTGGAGGCGCTGTCTAAACGTGAGAACAAATCTACCCGAGCGAGATCAAAGTAATTCGCTAGAAATTTCGATATGGGTTCCATACGCTTGCCATACGTACATGAACCGCTTATGAACGGGAAACCAATCGCTCACTAGCCACATGTCCGTGCGGGAAGCTCCAGAGTTGTCGGATACGTCACCAATTAAAAGCCTTATTCATGATTGGCAAGTTACACAAGTGAAATGTGGTGATTGAGCTGACTGCGATTAGCGTGAATCGTAACGGTGATCTGAATTCAGCCCTTTAATTCAACAATCTTTCACGGGAAAGAGATGCTACTCGAAAGCTTCTCAGGCTGTCCTACTAAGGTCGCACGAGACCTGCTCTATTACTCACCTTGACCCAGTTGAATTTGAAGAAGTACGCCACGTAGACGAGAAGGGCCAGCAGGGTGGCTGCGATCCCGACGTACCATCCCAGCATCGTCGTCCTGTTCTTCCGGTGGCTTTCTCGATGGCTTTCTCCAGACGTCTCTCTCCCGATATCACTACCTCGACGGGTGGAGGCAGTACGCGCCTCGCGAGTCCTCGGCTCGTCTACGTGTGTACAGCGCAAGGGTCTCGCACGTAAAAAGAGCGCGCGAGATAAACGTGGAACGAGATTGTGGAGCGCGGTGCAAAACAAAACGGCCAGAAGCGAAATGGCGAGGAAGGAGCAGCGAGACGAGAGAAGTCAGAGACAGGGTTAAAAAGAGAGAGAGAGAGAGAGAGAGAGAGAGAGAGAGAGAGAGAGAGAGAGAGAGAGAGAGAAAGAGAGAGAGAAGGAGCAAGAGTGCGACGCAGGAGGAAGGGTGAAGAATGAAGGGAGGAAGGGGGCGAGGGGAGAAGAAGCTACCGGCGACGAAGAAGAAGAAGAAGAAGAAGAAGAAGAAGACGCGCGCAAGCCTTCGCCGGGAATGGGACAAAAAAGGGCTAGGAGGACTCCCGACGAGGACAGGACAGGACAAGGACGAGGACGAGAGCGTGATGAACAAGAGGGAGAGGGCGAGAGAAGGAGAGATTGAGAAAAGACGAAAAGGGAGTGAGGAGAGTACCCGATATATAGTTAGTATGTAACGCACGTGCGTGTGCGTCAGCTTATGCGAGGAGACCTACAGCCGGAGGGATAGGGACGAGCAGCGACGTAGAGGCCGAAGAACACATCGCGGTGGCCGCTCTCTCGGAGCCGCTGCCGACGTGCGAGAGGGAGAGACACACGGTGAGAACGGGCGCGCGAGGTGGGCCGGACAGGGCGAGCGAGCAAGGGCAGAGAGAGCGAAGAGAGAGAGAGAGAGAGAGAGAGAGAGAGAGAAGGGAATTAGGGCTCGGTGCGTGAGGAAGCAAAAGGGCCGGGATAAGAGAGAGAAAGAGAGAGAGAGAGAGAGAGAGAGAGAGAGAGAGAGGGAGAGAGAGAGAGAGGCGCGTATTCGTCTGAAAGAAGAGAGATCCGTCGGTCAGGATGGCTTTTCGGACGACTGAAATGCACGGGAAGTCCTTCCATAGTTTATATATGCCGCTGGATCGCCGGTCGACGTCGGCCTATCGACTGATCGAATCTATCGAAATGCGCGTTTCTTCAAATTGCACATCGACCCGGCGCGCCGCGTCGCATGGAGTCGCGATTAGCTCGACTCGCCGGCTCGGCATATCACGTAAACGGTCACCAGTCGATTATGTATGCTCGGTCACGGCATCGGAGACGCTCCGCCGAGCGCTCCGCAATGTCTCTCTCTCTCTCTCTCTCCTCTTTCTCTCTCTCTCTCTCTCTCTCTCTCTCTCTCTCGTGTCCACCTATCATAGAATCTAAAACCGTGCGTCGCCGCGACTCCCCCCCTGTCTTGTTCTTCCTTCTTCCTCTTCTCGGTCGTGAGGAGGCTGCCGGACGGTTGGCTGATCGTCGTGTCTCCGTTTATCGAGCTTGTATATCGATCCACTCGATGCTTGACGGGCTCATACGCCCGTCCGTATATTCGTCGTCTGTCCGCTTGTCCATCGGCCTGCTTAACATATCTCTGCTCTAGCGCGAGGATTTGCATTTGTATTTTCGATGTTTGCGGTCTCCGCAAACGTTACTGGACAACGACGCGAGTAGCGAGTGCGGTCGCTTGTGATCGCGACGGGGAGATGAGATGTATTTTTCCGACGGACTTTCTTCCCTCTGCGATAGTGAAGGTTGAAGTCGGTGTGTTAGCGATAACACTTTCCTAGGACTCGCTTCAGTACATCAAGTTTAGGACAACTCCTCAGGACAATAACGCATGCATGTCCGCAAGTTGATAACAAATTAGATAAACTTTTATAATACAAAGCAAATATTTTGTTTTCTTCTGAAGAATAGAGTACCATAGGCGAAGAAAACTTTCCAGCAACCCCGCTTACTTTGCAATTTAAAAATTCGTCGGTCTATTCTATCTGATTATCTCAAGCATACTGAACAAGCGTACGTAATCTTGAGGCGGTAATCTCGTAATCCTGAACGACGGTAATGTGGTGCGTCGTCAATATACACACATACGTACGTACGCACGCGGCAGACAAAGAATTAATTATTCAAACGCACAGCGAGACGGAACTCCATCGCTCGAAAGATCGTCGGTGTCGATAGCGGCCCTTGTCAAGTTACTCCGGGGAAATGGCACGTTTTTCCATTTATCAACGTACGCACACACACACACACACTTCTCTTGCCTTCTCCCATCGATACACGATACATCGATTCATCGTTGCTTCGTCGATTCTTCGGAATCGAAATTTATAAAAAAGAAAGTCCTTTTTGCACACATACAACGTAGCAGCGATCTGTTTCTGGAACTTTTTGTCCAATGCGATCAAGATCTGTACATCTAGCTCATCGCAATGATTGCTGCGTAAAAACCTATTGCTTTGTAAAACAGAAATTATTGCTTCACAATATATATATATGTATATATCCTTGTTTTATTTCGTGTTATGAGAGAAAATTATCGTGTTCATTTCTTCACGCGCTTTATGCGTAGATTTAATTTTTTATTCTGTCCTTTATCTTATTTTTTTCTCACTTTCTTAGTGTTGATATCTAAGTTTTATCATTACCCAATTGTTCAAAGTTAGAAATTAATGAATTATTATATTCTTTCTGTGTGTCTTAAATAAATTCTATACTAGAGCAAAATAAATATGTTTTGTGTCTATCTATCCTTTTTTCACTTCATTTCGAAGTCGCTTCTGTCCGAAATTGTAATGCGGCCACTCGGTACAACCGCACTATAATATTATTCGACGATACATCAGTAATGAGAGCTGTGCTTATATTATAAAAGCCATGTCAGTCATAGAACAGATAACGCGTGTCTTATTGCGTGACCACAGCCTAAATATTTGAGCAACTTCACGAACTAGAGAGAATGCTTAATTGACACTTTGTGATATCGGAGATACGGCACGATCATCTTTCAATATCTCGAGTCAAGAATTGATACCGGTAAAATTTCGCTGAATTCATATTCGGCAATAATCTTTACGTCAAGTTGCTGAAAAATGCGATTTTTTACGTAAGCACAGATATTCCTTTTTCCACGTTTGTGTGTGTGTGTGTGTGTGTGTGTGTGTGTGTGTGTGTGTATACATATACTAAAACGGACTATTTCGAGGGAAACACCATTTGTTTATGTAATTCACAATCAATAAAGTTTTCAGTAATTTTCGGCAGTTGCGTTACGCGGAATTTCATTATTAATCACGTTTGATGCGATTAATTTCGACGATAAGTTTCAATTGTGGATTAAATTTTGCAGCTGCCCGATACTTATAATACGCACGGTTATATTTGATTTCTTCTTTCGATAACCGTGTTATCGGATTTTCTCTGCTGTATAGCGAGATATACACGTATCATAAGGTGTTAGTACGTTTATCACTACTAGCCGATTCATTTCGTGCTGCAAATTATCGCATAAAAACCTCCCTCTCTTGACATCACATGGAAATCGATATAATAAATAATAAATAATTTATGATATAATACATAATTTATGCAGCTTTTTGCATATTTTATCGCAACAAAAACTTGCAAGAATGTCATCTCGCTGTGTAATTACGCAGTGGATAAATATTAACTGCCAACGGACACAATCGATACGCTAATACGCTATTATAAATACGCGATGACGATGGAATTTCTCGCGATTATAAATCGATTAGACGTTAAATCAGTAAAATTACATCTCCGTCCGCAGCAGCTCATTTTGATGACAACTTCAATCTCAAGTTCGAAAAAAAGGCCAAACTGATTAGAATTAAAAAAAAACCTCGATCGGTTCAGCCATTATTGAGATATAAATATCTCCTCGTTTCAACTCGCAGTTACGCGCAAATATAGATACTACCGTGAACCGTTTCTTGATATGTATTCCATATTTTCTGGAAATGTTTTGAAAATTTTTATATTCAACATCCGTTAATTCCGAGTAAAATTATAAGAAAAGAAATCAAAGAATACTTATTGCAAACTCATTGCCCCAGACTCACACATAGAATTTTTATTGAGTGCTTATAATTTTACTACTATGAATAAGAAAATGAAGGCTGAAATAACGATATATGAGAGAGATATCGATGCGTATATATTTTATAATGAATTCTCAGATACAAAATGATCTGTTTTGCTAGTGCATTATATTGCGATTAACAAATAATTTCTAAATATACATTTATTTTTAGTATATTTAGCACAATATATCACAAGTCATTGTCAAGTTGTTAAATAATTTGCTGATGTAACATCTGTGTGTGTGTGTGTGTGTGTGTGTGTGTGTGTGTGTGTGTGTGTGTATGCACGCGCGCGTATATATGTATGTGTATGTATATGCACTAATATTTAGATATTATATACTAATTACATGGATTAATTACGATTTATACAGTTGGAGCACTACAGCGGTGTTACAACGTCATGCATTGCGTACCTCCATGTCCATGCCCTGGCAACTTCCTCAAACTTCTCGCGATCATTCATGTACATCTCTCCGAGTTCCGGTTCCATGCACACCTAATATATCATGTATAATTTCACATTAGCGTTAACTCGAACAATAATAAATAAATAAAATGGAAATTTGTTTGCAAGAGAAAAGAACCTTAATGATAAATCTAACATTAAATGATCGTAAATAAAGGAGATGAATATATAACTTCGATGATGTTAGACAGTATAGATGGGATCGCAAACAGTAGCTTCTACTCGGTTGCTATTTATGTTTCGCTTAAAGAATGTCTAGATAAAATTTCAACAGCTTTGTTATCTAAATCAACATAAAAAATACGACGTTATCGTACGATCTACGGATCGTACATGCCTGTTGGCTTCTACTTGCTTATATGTATTTACATTTATTTAATATATTCGATATTCATTTCGCAAATATATATATATTAATTTCGGAATACTTACTTGACAATACGGATCTGTGAGCAGACTTTGTACACTAATGAGAACCTTGGATATTGTGAGAGCTAATGACCAATTGTGATGTATGGAATCTATACCAACGTCTCCGTGTCTAGACACATTTGGATGAAGTATCTTCGTCAAAAATCTGACCACAGGCGGACACATAGGATAACTAAGACAAATGGAAGAATTATTTAAAAATGGAGATGGTACATTCTCGCCTTATTTTGTAATCATGATTACACGTTAGAGTGACAGTATTTGCAGTTGAAAGAAAATAGGATTATTTTGGCATAACTTAGCGTACACCTATGCATACCTTAGTGGTACTTTTAAGTAGAGGTAGAACAATCCACCCTCATACGGACTGCCCACTGGCCCTGTGATGGTAGCCTGCCAATGGCAACACATTTTATCGAGCGGTACCGCTTCGATTCCCTCGGGCGGATCAATTCTAAGACTCTTCAATTCGCTACGCAGCCTGTTCTTTCGCCAAGAGTTTTCCTCCAGTCTCGGGCCCCAATCCTTAAGTTTTGTGTGTAAGGAAGTACTATGGGCCAGACATGTTCGACACGGCGCCGACGAGGCCAAATAATCGTATACCTTATACCAGTCTTTGATATAGCCGATGGGTTTGTACAGAGGCCAACGCACCTTCACGTAATGTTTCCATTGCGACTGCGTCACATGCGTTGACACCAGGCCACACCAGCGTCGACAGACATTCGCTGCGGACCACAGACTGATATCATCGAGATACAAGAAGATGGCCAGTAACACCTCGGGTGGTAATCTTTCTACTAGACCCGGTTCGTTGATGGGCTCATGCTCGATGTGTTTATAATTCGATAGTATCTCCAGTCTTTCCGACAAATTGTACGGCCGCGACGGCTCACCTACATCGTCGTATACTCTATAATTCCACTGATATTGTGGCGCATTGTCTGCGTTCTCGTTGTTCTGATTGTGTTCGCTCAGTGCAAATGTTTCTGGGCTCTGTAAATCTTCTTCTACCAGATCCGGTGCATGATGCGTCGCATTCTGGTCGTTTTGGCCGTTTGTACAATATCTATGACAAACATTTCTCACAGGTCGACAGAACGCATCCGACACTTGACAGATCGCATCTTGCAAATCTAGAGCGACATTGTCACGATCAGCTGATACATTCTGCACTGACCCTGGTAAACATTTGTCAACGAGATTGCTGTCTGAGTTGTTCACGAATACATGATAATTGTATCGAGGCACTACATTTTGATATGAAGGTAATCTGCGGGAAACATTGGCATTCTGATTGGATGTGTTTTGTGTGCTTGGTACATTAGGATTGATGCTTTGTGGAGAGTTTTGTTGCTGTTGACTGGTCCTCCTTTCATGGTTATAATAGAGATCAGTTGGCTCATCATTTCCTGAATCTTCATCATCTGTTTTCTATTTTAAATTCATGTATACAAGATTAACAAAGTCACTGTCACCATTCATATACTTTAGCAATATCATTAAATAGTAGTAATATATTGCACGTTATCCAGAAATTGATTAAATTATACCTCACTGAAAATTGGAACCTGTAGTAAAACATCATTTGGAAATAGGAATGCATGACACGTCGCACAAACTGGTTCTTCAAAACATGGTCCATAATATCCGTTACAAATATAACATGCCGATGTCTGAAATTTAAAGAGTTATGTATAACATATAGATATCTTTGTAGAAACATAAAATATAATGTTATATAATATATATAAGAAACAAAAACTTCAATTATAAGTTTAGTCAATCTTTTAACAAATATATACCAAGGATAATGATTATGTTATATAGAATATGTGTTACAATCTTTATTATATGTATAATATATTTATAATTTGTGTAATATAAAATGTTGATCATGTTAAGTCAACTAAAAATTAAATTGTTTACATCAACAATCAAATTTATCATGCATATATGAATATAATAGAGAATATGCACAGAATAACCTGTACAGAAATGTAAGTATACAGAAATAGTAAGTATACAGAAACCGTCCAATATATGTTTCGCGATAAAAACATAAAAAAGTTTGCTATTAACATAAATTTGTATAAATTATTGCGAATATCAATAAAACATAAAAATATAAATGGAGACAGAAATATCTCACCGAGAACTGAAATTCTGGACACGGGATGTATTCGACTAATTCGACAAATTCGTCTTCCAAATTTAAATTGAGATTCAGGTCACCATTCTCGTTTATTTTTTCATTATTTCCGTTTTGCGAACCATCAACAATTTGATCGCCAGCCATTTTGCTACAATTGCGCATTGAGTGAAATTCGGTACAATTAAGCCAGCGGCACACGGGGCTTAAGCCAGCGGCACACGGTGCTTGTTTTCGTGCTAGATTGCTTGCTGGATGAAAATATTGCGTTGTGATTGGTACATTTCCGAAGATGGATGGAAATGCACCAATCAGAACGCAGTATTTTCATCCAGCAAGCAATCCAGCACGAAAACAAGCACCGTGTGCCGCTGGCTTTAGGCTGCGTTCCGATATTACTGACAGTACTGAAGATACATAGTTTGTGTCACATTTACTATAGATTTTCAGTGCTGATAGTGAATATCGGAATGCAACCTTATACCTCGTCTACAATAGAAGTCATAGGGTGCGTTCCGTTTCACGTATATGCGCGCATTTATCTATAGTTTATGTCACGTATACTATAAAAATGCGCACATATGCGTGAAACGGAACGCACCCCTAGAGTCGTAAGTCGTACAAATTGACCAATCGCGGTCGATTATTTTTCTCTTACCGGACTATGATTGGTCAATTTCTACGACTTACGACTCTACGACTTCTATTGTAGACGAGGTATTAGATGCGTAGTAATCGATTTATATATCGATTTCGATTTTTTTCTGAAGGATCGATTATTTTTCTAAAGTATTCAAACATATAGGTTGAATCAGAGGATTTCCCCACGTAAAAGAAAAATTGAGAAAAAAGGTAACGCCGATCTGTACACTCGCACGTCTCGATCCGCGCGTGTGGATGTTAATAATAATAATTAAATATACGTAAGTTTCACGTGTAACATGATTGACTTGGAGTACTCCGTGCCCACGGTGTTATTCATAGCGACGCATTCATACTTTCCCTGATCTGTCCCTGATCGGACTCGATAATCTGCAAGGCACCTGAAACATAAAATGCGATATTCTCGAACAGCGTTCCTCTCAGGATTTTCTTGTCCAAAGAAAGATCAATGATGCGATCGCAGATCTCGTGTATGTCATGTCAAAATAGAGACAGTTTGAATGCGACGTAATATGATTCTTGGAACAGACGTAAATAAGTATTGTGAAGTTTGAAGCGAGTCTCTCACAGGCATGCTTTGAAAACACGAGTTGTTTTCATTTTCAGCTAACGGCGACGACGCAGGCATCAACACTGATCGGCAAGGTCAGCGACTGGTGGGGGGTAACCGTGCCTTCCCGATTGTTTGGTTTCGTATATTTATATATGACTCCGTGATTGCGGAAAGGACATTGCGCCTCGGGCCGACGAACGACGCGCATACCGCGACGCAGAGTACGAATGTCGGTTAATACGCGTTTCTTTGTCCGAATCTTACTTGCGCGAGTGTTAGAGCTAGAGTCAGTGTCGTCGCCAGTGCTACGATGGAGTATCCGGGGGTGCTGCGACGGAGTAACCAGAAGGAAGACGTCGGATCGAGAAGCCAGGATGGAGAGAGGACTTGGAGCGCGCCGAGAGACGTGAACAGCGATACATCATGTATGGTATTCGAGGTACCTCGAGTAATTATTACGCAGAATTTTTCTGATTTTAACGGACCTTACTCGAAGTAAGGACATATCCGAGTCGAAATTAGATCAGCATTCATAGTTTACCATCTGAAAAATGATAAAATAGCTTGAGATTTGATTATTCGTTAACCTAATTTCACGTAACATGAGTTGTACTTTTCTTTTCTCATAAAATATGAATGTCTATTCAAGCAAGGTTGCTGAGGCAAGCTAAGGTTTATGAATACAAATTTTTTATTATGTTCTCAACGAAAAATTGCACATAATTTAGAAAACTATGAATAATGATCTTAGAATCTGATATAAATTTTACAAGTGTTGATTTTTATTCGTCTAATAATGCTCAGATTGCTGTTTTCGTTTAGAATCTGCTAGAATGTCCGTTTCTCATTCTTGTTTATCTTTCTTATTGTACCGAATCTGAATTAAAATCTCTATTAGTGAAACAGCATTATTAGACATAACCGTTGTCTTTTTGCAGCTTCAGCTCTTTTGAGAGCTACAATTCTCATCATTCTTATTAGAAAAAAGAAAAGAAAAAAAAGAGAAGAAAAAAGGAGAAAAGAACGTTAAGAATGATGAGAATAAAGTGTTTTTCATCTCCCATTTCCTCTAATTCTTATATGATTATTTAATCCTTATATATTTATCTCACGCGCAGTTCTAACAAAGGCAGTTCTATTTACGTTTTTATCTTTGTTCTCTTTCTTGCGCTGTTAAGCGAATATATAATCAACATCAACAAAAATTGCTCATTTATTAATTAAGAATATAAGGATTAAGTACATATACATTACCGAGATAAACGAGTATTAAATAACTGCGGAATACGTCGCTGTTGAAGACTCATCATGGGCGAGACTGCGAGAGTAGCCAGATGTAACGTTCAGGTAGGACAAAGCTTGTTCACTATTGCGCATCTAGATATTCTGCACTGATTTTTCAAATTGGATGCAATTTGCAGGATTAATGTAGAATTAATATTTCGACTCGGGAAAGACTTTTTTTTTATCAAATCCTAACTTGTAGAAGTAAGTACCTGAAAAATGAGAACGAATTGTCATTGCACTTGGACAATCTTCTGACACTGATTTACGGTATTAATCGAAATTCGATTTTCGATACTGATTTACTCTTTCATTTCTTTACTATAAGAAAAAAATTGATACGACTCGTTCATTTATCCGCGGTAATTTGATGAATAAATTAAATATTGATCTGTCTTCAATTTTCGGTATTGATTTATTTTCTCATTTTTTTATAAGACAAAAAAATTGATACGAATCGTCCGTTTATTCGAGTTAATTTGTTAAATAAGATTAGAGGGGTAAGTACCTGAATAATGAGAACAAATTGTCATTGCACTTGGACAATTTTTTGACACTGATTTACGGTATTGATCGATATTCGATTTTCGGTACTGATTCACTCTTTCATTTCTCTATAAAAAAAAACAATTCATACGAATCGTTCATTTATCCGCGTTAATTTGATGAATAAATTAAATATTGATCGGTCTTCAATTTTCGGTACTGACTGATTCTCTAATTTCTTTATAAGAGAAGAAAAATTGATACGAATCGTTCTTTTATCCGACTTAATTTGTCGAGTAAATTAGTGGGGTAAGTACCTGAAGATGAAAACAACTTGTCATTGCACTTAGACAATTTTCTAACGCTGATTTATAGTATTGATCAATATCCGGTTTTCGGTACTGATTTAGTCTTCCATTTCTCTATAAGACAAAACAAATTGATACGAACCGTTCGTTTATCTGAGTTAATTTATTGAATAAGATTAGAGGGGTAAGTACTTGAAAAATGAGAACAAATTGTCACTGCACTTGGACAATTTTCTGACACTGATTTACGGTATTAATCGAAATTCGATTTTCGATACTGATTTACTCTTTCATTTCTCTATAAGAAAAAAATTCATATGAATCGTTCATTTATCCGCGGTAATTTGATGAATAAATTAAATATTGATCAGTCTTCGGTATTCGGTACTGATTTACTTTCTCATTTTTTTATAAGACAAAAAAAAATTGATACGAATCGTTCGTTTATCCGAGTTAATTTGTTGAATAAGATTAGAGGGGTAAGTACCTGAATAATGAGAACAAATTGTCATTGCACTTGGACAATTTTTTGACACTGATTTACGGTATTGATCGATATTCGATTTTCGGTACTGATTCACTCTTTCATTTCTCTATAAGAAAAAACAATTCATACGAATCGTTCATTTATCCGCGTTAATTTGATGAATAAATTAAATATTGATCGGTCTTCAATCTTCGGTACTGACTGATTCTCTAATTTCTTTATAAGAGAAGAAAAATTGATACGAATCGTTCTTTTATCCGACTTAATTTGTCGAGTAAATTAGTGGGGTAAGTACCTGAAGATGAAAACAACTTGTCATTGCACTTAGACAATTTTCTAACGCTGATTTATAGTATTGATCAATATCCGGTTTTCGGTACTGATTTAGTCTTTGATTTCTCTATAAAAGAAAAAAAATTGATACAAATCGTTTGTTTATCCACGTTAATTTGATGAATAAATTCGATATTGATCGGTATTCGATTTTCGGTACTGATTTCCTCTTTCATTTTTCTATAAGAAAAGAAAAAATTCAGACGAATTGTTCACTTATCCGCGTTAATTTGATGAAAAAATTAGATATTGAATGGTCGTCGATTTTCGGTACTGATTTATTTTCTCATTTTTTTATAAGACAAAAAAAATTGATATGAACCGTTCGCTTATCCGAGTTAATTTGTTGAATAAGATTAAAGGGGTAAGTACTTGAAAAATGAGAACAAATTGTCATTGCACTTGGACAATTTTTTGACACTGATTTATGGTGTTACTCGAAATTCGATTTTCGATACTGATTTACTCTTTCATTTCTCTATAAGGAAAAAAAATTCATACGAATCGTTCATTTATCCGCGTTAATTTGATGAATAAATTAAATATTGATCAGTCTTCGGTTTTCGGTACTGATTTATTTTCTCATTTTTTTATAAGACAAAAAGAAATTGATACGAATCGTTCGTTTATCCGAGTTAATTTGTTGAATAAGATTAGAGGGGTAAGTACCTGAAAAATGAAAACAAATTGTCATTGCACTTGGACAATTTTTTGACACTGATTTACGGTATTCGGATCGATATTCGCTTTTCGGTACTGATTTACTCTTTCAATTTCTCTGTAAGAAAAAAAATTCATACGAATCGTTCATTTATCCGCGTTATTTTGATGAATAAATTAAATGTTGATCGGTCTTCGATTTTAGGTACCGATTTATTTTCTCATTTTTTCATAAGACAAAAGAAATTGATACGAATCGTTCGTTTATCCGAGTTAATTGGAGGGATAAATATCTGAAACATGAGAACAAATTGTGATTGTACTTGGACAATTTTCTGACACTGATTTACGGTATTGATCGATATTCGATTTTCTGTACTGATTTACTCTTTTAATTTCTCTATAAGAAAAAAGAATTCATACGAATCGTTCGTTTATCTGAGTTAATTTGTTGAATAAGATTAGAGGGATATGTACCTGAAAAATAAGAACAAACTGTCATTACACGTAGGCAATTTTTTGACACCGATTTATGGTATTAATCGATATTCGATTTTCGGTACTGACTTACTCTTTCATTTCTCTATAAGAAAAGTAAAAATTCATACGAATCGTTCATTTATCTGCGTTAATTTAAGAGATAATAATTCGGATAATAATTAGAGGATGCAATTTTTTTACAAAAATGTGTATAGAAATGCATATGTAAAAGAAAGAGAGAGAGAGAGAGAGAGAGGGAGTTGAGAAAACTTTCATTTAAAAATAGCTCGACTCAATAACGAATTAGCTGTAATTATACATTGATATTGTTCTTTTATATACATATTTAGATATCTATATACATATAGATATTTATACACATATAATGCGGATTATTCTTTCAGCATTTTATACATTACAAAAATAGGGCGCATTGTCTTATCGCGTGTTATGTTTGGAACACACGTACACACAATGAATCTACGCACATGAAAACTGACATACGTATAATATATTTACGTAGATTTCTTGATAGATTATTTGTAACGTTTACAACAGTTTTAATTAAAATATAGATCTTAAGATGGCAAGACATTAAAATATTTAAGGCGATGTGAGTGTAACATTTAGCTAAAAATATAAGTACAAAAACAATCTTTTTGTTCCTGTCTGAATTCTAATTGCCATTAGTCAGTTCATCTGTTATAAATTTTGAAGATAAAATCTTTAGATTGAATTACATCAATATCTGGATTAATTAACCATGATTAATGCGCGATTCACATTTAGTAATTTTCTTACCATCTTGGTAGTACAAGACATCCTTAAGATTATTCGGGTTATTCAGGTTATTCTGGCACATTTGTAAATCATGCCAAAATGTTATTACCAAAATCTTTGATAATAATTTTATGTATATACCTATAAAGGATTATATAATATAGTATCTCCACAGGATATGCGCCATATTGTTTTTGTATATTTTTTGGATTTCCTAAAGATATCCTTGTACTACCTGGATAACTATATTGTTTGTATGATGTACAAAATATTTAGTAGATGATATTCCTTGTTGAAAACTAAAGCAAAATTATTTTTACGCACACACATACGCACGTATATTTTATTAAAATTCAGTTTTAATCTATTTTTTTTTCAAACTTTTTGTTTAACCTTCGACAAATATAACATATTTTGGCAAATATTCCCCGAGCGACAAAATATTATCAAGAGCAAGGTTCGCTTGAAAATTTTTGAAGATAAAATTTTCCAAACTATTTGTATCCCATAAATATACAATTGGTAAAAATAATTCTTCTTTCAATCGTCTGTTAGGATAAGACTTTAGTTTTCAATAAAGAATATTAGCACGTGTATTGATTGACACTTACTACCAAATACTCTGTACATTGGATTATCGCTAATGAGGTAATGGAAGAGGAGTGCATTTGATTTTGTTGCCTTTCGAGAACTCGATTTCTGATATCTCCTAGGATCAAGTAGATATTAGGCGATAAATTCCGGCTATTATTACATTAGATGTTTAACTTTTACGTTACTGAGTTTGTACTAGATCAAATTTCCACACTCTGTTAGGTCCGATCTCTGAAACATAGAGAGCTGTACCGTTCGGGCAAATGGCGATGGCATGAGGCTTCAGGAAAGGCTAGAAAATATAATATAAATCGTATAAAAATATAATACGGTGTATAAACAGTATCAGAAATATACAATTAAAATGTAAATTTTATGTACCGAAGACTCCGGGCCCCAAAATCCTATTACGCTCCGATTTATGGGTTCGATCGTGAAGCCCTGTAATTTGCTTCTGGATGTCACGCCGTTGACAGCGTAAATTATTCCATCTTAAATTATCGACAGTAATAAAGATACTTGTGCTTCGAGTTTACGAAATTTTTACATACTTTTAAAAAAATTAAATATCAAAGAGCAGTCAAGGTATATACGATTCTAATATTTCGGATTTTTCTTGTTGGATCACTTACGGTATGACGCGATTCCATAGATGCGGTCAAACTGTCGATGGCGAATCGAGTACGGAAGTTCGAGATACTGTTTCGTGCCGGAGAGTCCCACGTTCATGCACACGATCCTTGAGTTTTCGCGATCGGCCACGCACACTTGCCTGTCCGGCAAAATTGTCAGGGCGTGTGGAATTTTTAGAGACACCCAATCTAAATGCAAAAAGAATAACTTTGTTTTGTTGCTGCAACTTATCAGTTTTCGAAACGATCGAGGAAGGCAAATGGCATATAAATTGCGATGCATTATTTTCAATCGCTCTTGTTAATTTGTAAATCTGAGAATCTCAGATGAACTGGATATTGATGAATTATGAAGTTTGTTGGATTTAATATTAACTCTGTTAAACGCACGTTCGCCGATACTGTATTTGGGATTGCCTCTTGAGTCAAAAAGCATTATTCTACTGTTGCAATATCCATCCGCGACAACTATTTCGCCACCGGGTGCAACCGCGACCGATGTTGGCTGGCAAAAGTGCTCCAAGTCACTCCCAGGCTCGAATCTTTGGCCGAGGACCAACCGAGGGACTCCGTGAGCCGAATACTGTAAGTTATATAATTAAGTTGTATGAATACTTCCGGCAGAAATAATCAATGAGAAAATAAGAAAATCTGTCGCAAGATATTTTAATAGACATTTACTGGACGACGTCTTTCGTTAACTTCTCAGTCAACTCACTTAACTCTTTGTTAATGTTATTTCATTGGAAGCTTGTTTATATACTCGCGTTTCAATATATTCATATATTGAATACACACCGGCGAGAGATGTTTCTCATCATCTTTTAACATGGCTTTCTCTGCATACCTTGAATACTTGATGAAGTGCGATGTCGGTCAGCCATACGTTTCCAAAGCTGTCCACGTGAACTCCGTGCGGCAGATAAAACGTTAGATTTCCCCAAGCGCGAATAACATCACCGGTGTTGGGATTTAGTGTTAGTACAACATTCTCACGAATAGGACCCCTGTACTTCTCTTGGTACTCCGCGTTTTCGTCGAATGTGCTAAAAAGCGTGAAAGCAAATCGCTCCTAAATAAATGTATGCCTTGAGGGTGATCTCGGTCCACTGTCCACTCTTCGCCGCTTTAAAATTCAATTTCTTTTTTCTATGGACTATGATCGACGATTCTTACTAGTAATCCCATACTCGATCCGCGCGATGAAAAATTACGAGTTTCCCCGACGGGTCCACGGCGACACCGGAGATCTCGCCGAGATTTTCGGGGCTTCGCCAGAGGTGATTTTCGATGGGATGTAACGGCGCGTCGTAGGACTCCGGAAATCGATCCTGCTTAATGACAAAATAAGCCGTCAAATTCACCGTCGGGACGCAGATACCGTCTTTATTTTTTTTTTTTTTCATCGTGTTGTTTAGACATCGTGACAATTTGCGATCTTCAAGATCGCACATTTTTCGGATTATTCTTTGCAGTTTGTTGAAACGTTGTCACGATCGGCGGTAACGCTACAGCAACTAGTGCGATTTGTTATTGTAACGTAGTATTGTTTAATACACACATTAAAGGGGTTGTAGAACCCTTCGTTGAACCCTCCATAACTATTTTCCTTGAAGTCTTCGTTGTCGATGTTGGACGTGACTCCCTTGAATAACACTATTACAAGCACCAAAAGAAATCGCAGCGACTGCTTGTGCTCATTCGCCATCTCTCTCTCTCTCTCTCTCTCTCTCTCTCGTTTCTCTTCTCTCTCGTAAGTCTCGCAGCTGACTCCGACTGTATCCGAGCCGCGAAGGGCTGAATCGATAGCACGCGCAGGCGCTCGTCGAATTTAAATTGTCACAATTTTCGAGCGTGACATCGCAGTTGACGCAACAGATTCGAATGAAATCGATTAATTGGCCGTGACGCAGTACTAGCAAAACAAACAAAACATTCAGAATCTCGACATTTAGCGGGCGCAATAGCAAGCTCGATAGCAAATTCAACGCGGACGATTTAGAGAAGTTAGCAGCGTGCCGTCCCATTTATTCGGCAGTAGTATTTGGCAGTATCAATTATTTCGTGTCACTTCACCGCTCAAGGCTCGTTCGATTTTCCGCTTTTTTCGGTGATCAACAAGTCAGTCACCGAATATTTTACGATAAAATACCGAAAAAGGATCGTACAAAGACAATCGAGGAAGACAATTAATTTTGCTCGAAGAATAATTTCTTCTTATCCGGATGCAGCAAATTCAAATTTTACTGAGCTATCGAACCAAACTCTTTTGACTGACCCAATAAATGGAAGCTTCAATGCAGGACGTATGCAGACGTAGGCGAGAACGAGCAACCGAGATTTCGTCGGTGAGAAAATGGAAAGTGCGTGCAAACGATTAAATAACCACCGGCAGCTGTGTTGCGCCCAGTACCGCTTATTAAAATCTACTGCGCCTGATTCAGGATCTCGGGGAAGGACCCCTCGGCACAATCCGACAGGTAGGCGCCAATCGATAATTGCGCGCAGGTGTCCTGGTCACTATCCCAGGAAAGTGGAAAGGAGGGCTGGGTGACGTATCCTGGAAACCGTTGACGTCAGAGTTTTTATCTCTGTTCACAGAGGGTAATCAATAACTGCCGGTAATCTGTGGCAATGTCCGGTCCAGCCACGCACACCCGTAAACATTAAACGCGCTTAACAAACGCTCCGCTTTGTAAATCAACGCTATCGCGATAAACACACGTGCGTCGAATAAATAAATTCGTCTTGCTTCTGGAAATTATATGTGTGCGACGTGAAAGACATCACGTCGCGTAGTTGACGTATAATTGTCAAACAATTGTGAATAATCGTTAAAAATCCGCGCGATCCACGCGATGCGACTATGTGAATCACATTGGAAATTACTTCATCAGAACTTTATTAATAGTGATCACAATAAGAGTTTTTATTTGTAACATGGTAATTATAAATTTTCTGGCAGCATAAGTGTTCTCGTAGATGTGTGCTAATGGAAACTATATTGCTTTCTGCCGTAGTTCTGAGTGTCTTGGTTGTGCGAAAACCGCTTTCTGAACACTTATATCAACACTCATAAGTGCGACGTTCTCACTTTTTCTTTTTTCTTACAAGCGAAGCTGCTAATAGAGAGCGATATTCGAAACAATTCGCGTGCCATATCTTAACTGGTGAATGGACTGCTATGGTCGTCGAGGGGGGGGGGGGGAGGGAGAGGGGTAATCGTAGATTTTGATTTCGAATGGATGAGGTTTGATTCCTTCGTATCGGCGTCCCTGTAAAAAGACAATAAAATTAACATTGAGAGAACGGAGGAGAATTTCCCTCTTTACATTTACGCAATTCCCAAGTTGCGTGAAATTGAGCTTGACACTTCTTATCGATTTTAATTAATTCACCTGTTTTTTGGTTTTTTTCCTTGCGTCACACGGAGTAGCGCCATTTATTTATCGATCTCAAGGCTCAGCGATGTTTCCGGTTGAGTCCAAATGTAGCCTGTGCGTGTCATACTGCAATGTGCGTCGTAATATCTTCCCGGTGCACGGCAATAGGACCATCTCGGGCAACGACATCGGAACTTACTGTGAAACTCTTCCTTGCACACTTCGTTCCACCAACAGGTTCTCTGAAACGTCAGAGTTAGTCGCAGCTTAAGCAGACGTCACTTCCTTGCGTTTTTCGAAATATTTTCGTATCATACCGCAACATTTTACTACAAATCAACCGCGCGTGATATACATATTCATTCTACCACTTAATAAATTTCGTGAAGCTACCACGACGATTTTTGTGATTTTATCAAAGAGAATTCGTCAAAATCAGAAGACTTGTTGAATTTAGAATTTAGAATTATAAAATTTTTCTGCTAATTGCAACTTGATTGCAAATTGGCAAATTTTTTCACGGAGACCTGTGGATTTCTTCAGCTTTTGTCTCAAGTATAATTTTATCTAACGTCTTATAATATAATATTATTAGGTAAATCGGAAAGTTCCGTCCATTTAGCGGCAAGTAGAGCTATAGTTAGAACTGTCGTTAACCTCTGATGTCTAAACGAAGCTTGATGGTTTGTTTTGACATCTGTCAATAACATTCAGTTGGAAGAAAACTGCAGCTGAAGCTCATCGAATGATTGTAGAAGTTTATGCTCCTTCCGATAAAACATGCAGAGAATGGTTTCTCGACGCTTTAAAAGTGGTGATTTTGATGTAGAGAGAGAAAAAGAGCGTCGTTCTAGACGGCCAAGAGTATTCGAGGACAAAGAATTGCAGTCATTGGTGAACGAAGACCCATATCAAACGCAAAAACAACTTGCGGAAGCATTAAATTGTGCTCAATCTGTCATTTTCGATCGTTTGAAAGCCTTAGGAAAGGTTTACAAGGAAGGGAAATGGGTCCCATATGAACTGAAGCCAAGAGACATTGAAAGGCGAAAGACAACCACCTACGAAATTTTGCTTGCTAGGCAACAAAGAAAGAGGTTTTTACATCGTATCATCAGTGGGGATGAAAAATGAATTTATTTTGACAATTCCAAACGTCGAAAAACGGGATTTGCGATCCCGGCTAATCCTCTCAACATCGACGTCAAAGCGGAATATCCACGGGAAGAAAGCAATGCTCTGCATTTGGTGCGTTGTACCATGAAGAGTGTGTTGTACCATGAGCTGTTGAAAACAGCGCTCAAACAGTCACACAGGGGATCTCTACAGAAAACAAATGATCCGTTTGAGCCGAGCATTGCAAACGAGAAACGAACTAGAATATGAAACGAGACAGCATAAAGTGATTTTGCTTCGTGGCAACGCTCGACCTCACGTCACACAAAATCTGTCAAGGAAACGTTAGAAGCACTTCGCTTCGGAAGTGTTACCCCATGCGGCTTATTCACCAGACTGTGCCCCTTCCGACTACCGCTTGTTTCGGTCGATGGCACACGCACTTGCTGACGAATGCTTCAATTTTTACGAAGACGAAGACGTCGAAAAATGGGTCTCTGACTGGATAGCCTCCAAAGATGAGTCATTCTTTCGCCGCGGAATTCGCTTGCTGACCGAAAGATGGAAAAAGAGTCATCGCTAACGATGGCAATATTTTGATTGATGTACTTGTTCATTTTGTTTCTTAAATAAAGCCATACACGTTTTGCAAGAAAACGGACGGAACTTTCCGATTGACCTAATACATTCGAAGAGAATGAGAGTTCTTGAAATGCCTACCTCCGCTAGATACCCTCTCACGCTTTGATCGCTGTAATTTCGCTTGGTGATTATGTGCCTGGCGTTTGTCGAGTAAACTCTCGTGCATAGCGCGAATATCAATAAGAACCATAACGTGGTTCTATCCTGTGAGAGATAAACATATTATTCACTGTTCGTGATGATGCACTTTACGTCGAACTGTACTCGATTTCAAAGAGAAGAATTTTGCGAAACGATCTCCCATCAATCCTTTCTTCTGTCATCATACGCGTAAATCTTTCGCAAGATTTCCTTATTTCGATTACCCTTTAAATTAAATTTCAATGCTGTCTAGTTGAGATAGATTGATATAAATATTTTCAGACGAACGCACGTTCCTCTTCCGCGTCTCTGACACTTGATCCACTCCCCCTCCGAGCGGAACCTTATAAATCGTTTACTCCTCTATTCACCACCGCGCGCGAGATATACGTCGCGCTATCGAGATTTCGACGAGATTATTCGCGCGTCTACTCACTTACATTCTCCCTCATTTTCGCTGTCTCTATCGTGCGGGGCACTACTTTGTCCTCGATACCGGATTACATGCAAAAAGCGACGAAAGGGTGGCGGGTCCCCGCGAGCTGCATTTGTCCGCGCCGCGGCGTCACTCGCAAGGCATCGTTCCTGCACGATGCAGTTCCTGAAGGGAAGGAGCAAGTAACGTCGAGCATGCGTACACCCGCTCGGCATTCGTTGTTATCGTTAGGGGTAGGTCAGTCTCGCTTATCTCTCGTGACGATCGATCGTCACGCGAACTCTTATGACGTGCGAAAATATGGATCCCTTTCGGGAATTCCCCCTCGCCTCGTTACCTTGGATTTTTTTAGACTGTTCCCCCCCTTCCCGTCCGCCCCCCCTCTCTAAGCTTTCACTCGGAGGTAATTTCATCATTATGCGAAAAGAATTTCTCGATGATGGATTGGAATCCCCATACGTTTATTCTGAATTGCGAGACATGATAAAATTCCCAACTTGTTGATAATTTTAATATTCTGAGATCTTGAAAAAGAAATCCATTTGATCGAGACACTTCTTTTAGGAGACTACCTTTTACGTGTGTATATATATATATATATATATTGTATATAATATATTTTTATTCGCTTTTTTCTGTTTTCTGTGATTTCTATAAAATATTTTTCACGGTAATTTTCGCGATATGCTTACGCATATGGCTCTCTCGAAAAGCGCGCTAAGTTGCTATCGTTGCGACATCTATCGGCTGCGGAGCGAACTGGTTTTGCCGAAACTCGTTGGCTGAAGTTCAGTAATGATTATCTTTGTGTTGTATTAGATTTGTCATTCGCCAGCTTTCTCGAACGAAATGGCATCCCGCGCATTACTGCGACAATGTGCGGATGTGATTAGCAAAAATAATCCTGGGTACGTGAATCTTTTGCATTGTTTCGCGAACGAATCTCTCGTCTAAAGAGGAAAACAAATGGCCATAACCTCACAATTTTATGTAACAAATGTTATTTAGGTTGAAGACAAGCAAAAACAAATAAAATACATATACATGATAAGTGTTAATATTAGATTTATATTATTACAAAGCGTCATTCATTTAAGTTATAAATTTTGAGCGATAGATAAAGGGAGAAAAAAATGCTTCTCGATGCAACATTGTGATGTATATAATAATGTTTAATTAATTCTAAGGAAATTCTGTATGCAGAACGATCAGATTGATCTCGAGCAAAGGCACAGATGTAGAAAAACCACGGAAACCTGACATAGCGCAACGCAAGGATCTTGCAAAAGCCATACTTTCAGAAGATGAGTTGAAACGCATGCAAGCCTTAAACGTTAAAACTATTACTATAAGTACCGATATAGAGGATGTAGGTTACATATCCGGGGTTCCCGAGGAGCACATCAAGACTCGTAGGGTACGGATTTATCAGCCTGCCAAAAGCGCCATGCAATCGGGAACAAATAACATTAACTTTTGGCAAATAGATTTTGATACGCGCGAGCGTTGGGAGAATCCATTAATGGGATGGACCTCTTCGTAAGTGCTAATAACTTTATGTATCTTCATACATCCGGATACAATTGAGCAATCTTGTGAAATTTCTTATTACCACAGTGGAGATCCCATGTCAAACATCAAAGTTGACTTTACAAGCCAGGAAGAGGCAATCGTCCATTGCAAGAAGATGGGATGGGACTACTATATTCAGAAACCGAATGTGAGTGCACCAAAGCCTCGTACCTATGGGATGAACTTTTCTTGGAACAAACGTACTAGAGTTTCTACTAAATAATTATACACAGAAACTTTAGACCAAATGCTCGTAATTCAGAGGATAGCAGCAGTATGCGTGGCACTAATTGTAGTCATGCTTGTAAAGAATTCCTGTAACAGATGAATATATATTATGTGTAATAAAAATAAAATGTGTAATATATTTAACGCACTATCTGTTGCATCTCTCATTTGTTCTGGCTTAATCTTTAAATTACTTAAAGGAAAATACATTTTATTTGATCAATGTTTTATTTTTGTTTCCATCGCCCCTCTTTTATTGCAAAGTGGTGAGACAATATCGAACACTCGCGTACTTAGCTTATGTTATCGAGCTAATCTTTAATTGTAAATTTAATCTAGACTTTTTTATCACTACTTGAATATTTTGTACTGCTTATGCATTAGATTTATATATATATATATATATATATTGATACTTTCGCATGTACTTCATAAGAATATTGAGATGATGAGAGCGCGATAAACGCATCATCGCGAATATTTGTGTTCACGTGTATGTCTGAACGTTGGGGAAGAGATTGTGGGCGCAAGCCGTAACATTCATGCAAAAACAATAACAATTCAATAACATTTTAACATTTCTAATTACTTTTTTTTCGTTTATTTTATTATTTATAATTATATTATACTACAATATTGTTAACAACGTTGTGTATTGACGAGTTGCGCGCCTTCGAGTCAGGCGGAGCGAAATGAGAAATATTGTACAGTATATGCATTTCGAATTTAAGACTGATCTAAACTTATCGAAGATCGTGTTACAACGTCTCAGGAGACCAGCGTCGCATCGGCAATGCGAATCTCTTCAGGCCCGTTGCATCAACGTGTCTTTTTGCACATGTCATTGATAAAACTTGTTTCCTATACGATACCTCTCGCATAATTATCGCTGTTTCTCTCTCAGCCAAGTTAAAAGAAAGTAATATACGGAGGGAAGGGTTCCAATATCTATATTAACATTCTCTAGTATTAGTGTACAATTGAAAATTCAGAAATTTTGGCTAATCACATCTTGAAGGTACAAACAGATGCAGTGTTCACTCGTGATTGAATTAAAAGAAAGAAAAAGAAGAAAAATCTCCAAGCTTAATCGTTCGGGCGTCTTATTCGGAAAGTTTAGAAATTCTTCATCTTCTATTAGTAATAGGAAATATATAACAAATCTCGTTCTATATATTATTATTATTATTATTATTATTATTATTATTATTATTATTATTATTATTATTATTATTAGAGCCGTGAGATTTGGGAAGGAACAGGGGAGGGATTGTTGATCGGACTTGATTAATCGAGCACGTCGCTGCAACGGACCTTCAATCGTTCATTAATTAAGAGATAAAGCGAAGTAAGACGTGCGCAATCGTGTCTCATGAGCAGAATATGAAAAATGGCTTACGATGTCGTATTATCGCGTAAAAGGTACAGGGTGGCGAGAGGAAATTATAAGTAAGAGAAACAAGTTGCTTCACGTATCTCCCGGGGAGGTATTTGTACCGCTAAATTGTATGTAAAACATTTTATGGTACCTATCGATTTCTTCTAATAAATATCTCTGCCCTGCAAGAAGCGGATGAATCGGAGGAAGTCATCAGAGATTTATTCTGAAAAATTCCATTTCAAATCGCCTAGCTGTTTGTGTTTGGTATATGTGAGGAGTGTCAATCTCGCAGGACAGATCTCGCTGTTGAATTCCTCGTAATTGATCCTTTTATTGCAGTAAGGCGCAATGGACTAATGCAGGTCGCTCTGCGTTTTTTATCTTTATAAATTGCGAGTGAAAGTCATTATCGTAATATATGAAACCACGATGTGTCGCCGTCGATCATCGGCAAGACCATAAAATATTTTAAGCTCGATGTAAGTCCGACGCGTACGTTCGTCTCATGCGGATTTTTCTCCTTGCGTCGTATGTCTCTCGTGGAACTAGTCTCGCGACGACAATTCTTTCACGAAAATAAATTCTGTTGATTCCTGCGGAAAATACGCGAATTCAAGGACCGAGCCGGCAATTCTTTTTCTCTTCTTACTGTATGATCTCCGAAATCTCGAATGTGCTTCTTCTCGAAGGTGATTTTCGGACAAGAGAACTGTATTTTTTTTCTGTACAGTTCTCTCGCGAATCTCACATTCTCCAGTCCTTATATATATATATATATATATATATATATTCGAACATTCCAATAACTTAAGAATAATCCTGATTCACAATATTTTGCGTATATATATATATATATATATATATATATATATATATATATATATATATAATATAATATGTATGTGTGAGAATACGGAACTTCGGAATTTCACGAATCAATTTCTTCAGTTTCTTCCGAGATTTGAAGTTCATCAGTTTAAGTCTCCATATTTAAATTTCAATCATCTTTTCGCCTATTTTACGCAGGACTTACAAACGCATTGCTCTGATATTGCGCGGGGACCTGCGATCGAAAGCAACGTACTAACGGATGTATCTAATGTTAACGCTTTATATTCCGAGGAAGCGGTCGCCGTGTCACGTCACTTACTCTTTGCGGCAATTGTTCTCCCTCTTAGGGAAACCGTATCAGAATCCTCTCAATCAGATACTTTAAAGACACTAACGGCTTTTTTATGTATATACCCTATGTAATTTGCCCCCCCCCCCTGTGCATTATATCATCTGAATATACAATTCATCTATGTAACTTGTGATAGATCTCCTTATGCGGTTTTTAGAGCTCGACAGGACTCAACCTGACGAAAACATGAGTTAGCCCTTCGCTTCAAGCGAGAAGGAAGGAATGAAAAGATGAAGGGCGGGGAGCGAAAATGGGCTTTCAAGAAAGTTTACAGAACGATCATCGCTTCTCTTGTTCGCTTCTCTTTCGCTCTTGCTTGTCGCGCAAACAAAAACATCGCTGCAAACTCTCCTTCTCTCGCACCCGTAATGATTCTAATCGGATAGAGCGATATTGTAACTCGAAGTATGTGTGTGTGTGTGTGTGTGTGTGTGTGTGTGTGTAACCATGATATAAACTGTCGTTTCATCTCCTCGGTTCTTCGCGCGTGTGCCGCGTGTATAACAGTATTGTCACGTACGTGTTTACGTACGCATCTATATGTGTATGTATGTTTCGTATACATGTGTGTGTGTGTGTGTGTGTGTGTGTATTTACAAAGGTGTACATGTTACACCAGCGAGTACGGCTTGTATGTGTAGGCTTGAGCATACGCAATTATTCATCTGCACACATTAATCCGCAGACGCGCGATTAGAAAGACTAATTAGTGTGCTCTATATAGAGAAATCTCTCTTATATGGGACGCCTGGCGGTCGTCCACGCATGATTGTACAGTTTTCGAAGAAGATGCAGCCTCTCGAGAGTGCAGCTAGCATACATCCAGTCTCTTTCGTTCCGTTAATTTATATGTGTGTGCGCGTGTGTGTACATACAATCACACACACACACAAACACACACACAAACACACACATACACACACACACGCACGCACACACACACGCACACACACACACACGCGCACGCACACACACACACACACACACACACACACACACACACACACACACACACACACACACATACACACACATACACACACACACATACACACACACATATATATAGTGTCGTTAGTTTATTTACTTTATCTATATATATATATATCTATATATATATATATATATTTACAAGTATGTGAGCGTGGAGATAGACGCGCGTGCACGCGTAATCGCGACGCGTTCCTCAATTCGATTATTCTGTCGCACGAGTGCACGCGCGCTTCCCCCCGCGCCCCCCTCTCCGAATGTATGTATGTATGTATGTATGTATGTATGTGTGTATAATATATTTGTAATTTTTAATTGACATATAATTTTATCATATATGCCTCGTGAAAACCAGCTCCCGAGGATACCGGACCTGTCCGCCGATCCGCAAATTCGCCGCCGGACCGCCGCCGAATCGCCAATCGAGAGAACGTTATGCCACTTGCCTTATTTCCGTTTTTTTCTTTCTTTCTCCCTTTCTTTCTTCCTTTTTCTTTGCTCCTCTTTTTTCTTTTTCACGCGCGCGCGCGCGCGCAAACGGAGTTGTGTCAAGCTTGCCAAGCACAGAAGTACTACGGTCTGATTAACGTTGTCTGATATTATATATATATATATATGTATATATGTATGTATATCGTATATATGTGTATATCGTAATATAACTCTACGCGGATCTAGTTTACTCTATGCACATGTCAACGTCACCGTCCGCACGTTGCGGATATCCGACGGGTGTTTTATTCGCCCTTAACGCGCGATTTTGTCATTCACGGTGAGGAAGAGAGGGAGAGATTTTAACTTGAGCGACGTTCGGCAAGCGACGAAGAGAGGGACTTTCTTCATTGTTTGTTTCATTCGGTTGCTTTGTTTTCTTCTCAAATCTGCCCCACACGATCCTTTATTCATCGTTTACCGAACGACCTGCAGATATCCACCACCGATGTCTCTTTATAACGAGTTTTAACGAGCAAATGTATGGGGAATGTAATCGAAAAGATTACATACGGATATCCAATAAATATACACACCGATCGGATATCTGCGCCGTGCAGGCCCGGGATGCTTGTAAAACGGGAATTCGACAACGATATCCAATTATCTCTCGGTGTCGGCTAATTGATAATAGGCACTATAGGTCAACGTGAGGTTGTGGCATTATTTCAGCGGCAACGTTTACGTCTACAAGGGGAAAGTAAAATTGTGTGTGACTGCGGTGTGTACGGCCTTCGTGGAGTGACGATCGCCACTCTCTCGCGGCTCTCCGGAAGGTTTCGGTGGAACATAATGCGCTTATCTAGGACGACAAACGATACAGTATTTTACGAGAGGTGTCCCTTAAAATAATTCGTTGTCCATGGAAATTCGAACGTGCGCCCGCATGTATTATCCGCCCGCTCTTCGGTTCGGGGAAACTCTAGGTGAAACTTAGCGAAGCCAGCCTCACGCGTTTATCCTTTTATATTATTTTTTCCCCTCCGTTCTTCCGGTTTGATAACAAAGGCCCAGGACCGGCTCTAAGCTCGACGAGACACATCTGAGAAGAATCGGCGCGAAGCGTGGACGCACGTGCAGTGAGAGCGAATACAAAATAACGCTACGCGATTTGCCAGGGAGGCGACGAGGCCCGTGGAATTTAAAGCCGGTCCTGCGAAGGATCTTGCGTTGTTAGGATGTGTTGTGATAACGAGAACTCTCGGGGCGGCACGCATGGGGTTGCGAGAGCGCGCGGTAGGATTTTCGGATTATCAGCGTTTTTCCTTTTTATATAATCATTCAAGCACATCGTGCGATCGTTGATAAGTCGGCGCCGGCGAGATTTATTCACGCCGTCTTACAAATCGCACTCGCGAACGTTGGTGTACGTAATCTATGATAAAACGGAAACGACGCAGTAGAGATGTACTGGCGAGAATTTGGCCTGACGAGAAGTGAAGAGAGAAGATAGGTCGCGTAACATGATTGGAATTTAAGAAGATTGCACCTCGCAAGATATTTCGTATATGTTGCAAAGGGAGTTTAATATTTCGACAAAATTGGATTATTCGTCGGGGACTCACAAGCGTGCGTGAGTTTGGTTTCGTGAGGAATTTCAAGGCGATAAGAGAGCGCCGATGCTCTTAGGAGAATCCGAGAACGCGTGAAATCGAATTTTAATAGATATTTCTGCGAGAAGTCATTCTCTCTTTCTTGAGAGCTTCTTCATTAAGTCAACCCTGAAGCTGAAACTACGATCGGAGCGTCCAGCTGACCAGTTTCATCCTCGACGATTCTTTACAGTGAAAATTGCCAAAGTACACGCGATTGCAAATTGCTCACAAAATTCGGTACACAGCGGGAAGCGCTCTCTCCCGTTGAAGGTCGCTCTCGAAGGTAAAAAGCCCTCAACCCTTCCCACTTTTTATTTTTCGGAATTCCACTTCATATTTATTCAATTGCAATCGGTGTAATCACACGGGACAATCAAACGTCCAAGAGAAAAATGCAACCTCATCGACAATTTTGCTGAAGGAAATGCGCAAGAAGACGCGCAGAAATTTCTTGTTAACGCTCTTCGTTCTTCATTCACTCGTTATTCTGTCACTCATTATCTCGTCACTTGTGTTGTCGTAGAACTTATTAGATCTTCTTGACAATAAGCCGGAAGGGTCGAGGCTACGCAACTACCGGATGTGCAAAGGTGCAACGAGAAACCTGCTGTGATACAACGTAAAGCATGCGTGTCGTTCTGTGCGGTACATTTTGCTCTCAAAGTTCCAACTCATTCACGCCGATGTCTGCGATACAATGCGAATGTAGCGGAGAGAATCGAGAGAAACGTAAAGGCTCGTCTACATTAGCTGTAAGAGTAAGGCTGTAAGGTTGCAAGACACGAAACGAAATATTTTCATTCGCTGACAGCTTACGTTACAGCCTTACAGCCTTACTCTTGCAGCTATTGTAGACGAGCCTTAAGAGCCTCAGAAGCGCCGCGCCGTGTCGAATGGAAACAGGGACGTCGTCCTCCGTTTTTTTTCTTTTTCTTTTTTTTTCCAGCATTCTTCTCCACGACGCGAACAGTTGCAATGAACAAACGCGCCTAGACCAAACAGCAGTTGGCAGTACGATAGTGTGTTACGATCGTCGATGTGTGTACATACATATTTGCTGCGCGCATCGAAGCGAAAGCAACATCGCGCGTATTCGCGCGAACATCGCAAGCGAGATGAGAGATCGAACGAAAATCGGTACTTTGCCTTGCGACAATGAGGCTGGCTGACGAACAGCGTTGGGGATTTACGTGTAATCATCCACCGCGGGGAACCTGTCTCTAGCATGAGATTCATGGAACTTGAAGTTTTTCCACTCGACTGTGGGGGGGGGATGATATCCCGGGTCGATACGAGCCGTTGAGAAAGATATCTTGGTTGAGTCGATTAAGTCGTTTGAATAATGACGGGACGATTAATGTCTGAGCAGCTGAATCGTCGCAGATTGTAGTCGCTTTCTCGAGTCTCGAATTGATCGTTTTGTTAATTTTGAAGTATTATTTTTCCAAAGAGCCGTCCCGTCGTTGATTAAGCGTAAACCCCCAACTCTGTCGTCGACTGATACACTGCGATCAGCTGATCGAGCCATCGTCTCGCGATTACGACAACTGGTTCGCGAGAATTCCAAAATATGAGTGAATGTGAGAAACGGAATCGGTTGTGACTTTGGTTATACGACAATATAATCACGATCACCGAAGGGAGCCACCATTATCTTCGCCTTTGTTTTGTTCGCTTTTTCTCTTTCCTTTTCTTTCCTTTTTATTCGTTTACGACCTTCCTCGCCGTTAGTGTGACGCGAGTAATTTTACTCTAAGATTTGAGGCAGTACTCTTTTTTTTGTATACTGGTAAAATTCGTTCTTCGTAGCAAACTCCGGGCGGTCTGCGTTATCTACGTGCTAACGATCTAGGTTCTCTTTTTCCATTTTTTTTGAAGAAAACACCGTTCAACAGAGTCGAATGTGCCCATATTTGGTCCGACCACTCTTAATTACGATGTAAGAGACAAGGATTACGTAACGTATAAATGTAGAGTCAGTAAAAAGGTAGTTTCGATTAGGTAGTTTCGTACCGAGGAGAGCCTCTCCTATATGTACACGTGAGTGCAAATACATCGCTCTCTCATTCACTGAAAAGCCGCGTGAAATCAGTGTTGTAAGAAGCTAATTCGGGCGATGAGCCTGATAATGCAATGGAATTAAATAAAGCAACGCCGAAATATGCCGTTTCGCATAAGCAAGAGATTGAGATCGATTTCGCGGCTAATGAGATAATTGGTAACTCCAATCGCCCCCGATAATTACATTCGAAAACTTGGATATATTCCAATTATCTCAAAATTATTTCCAATCTGGGATTTCAACGTTTGAGATTCTAATTATCTGCAGTTACTCGTGTGTGTGATTGTTGTTTACGTGTAAACGCCCAACGCGCTATTGAATAGCTAAATTATTGTTTTCTTTTTTTCTTTCTTTTCTGTTCGAAATTGAAATCGAGAAGGCAAACTAACGATTGCGATAAAAGCATGTTCTTACCAGAGTAGCGCAACTTACTAGAAATAGTCGCTGTCTCAGAAAAAAAGGTCAGTCGCGTGAACGTTGATGTACGATTTGGCTCTGTGGTATCTATCCTGGTAGTTGATTAGTAGCGGTAATTATGGAATAAACTCGAATGTCGCAGTAGCATCGATAATTTACGACTAGCGTTGATTGCGTTTGTTTGTACGTTGAGTCTAGTGCAATCAATCACGGTATAATTATGTTTCTGATTTATCGCAGTTAATGCGCTGTACCTCTCTGCTTTATATACACGCTATATGCTAATTACACGGCGTAGAGGAAATCGCTAAAGGCAAACTGGGTGCCGCGTACAGTTTTCTTTATTGACCGGTACGACCGAGTGGTGTCAGAAACGCGCGGTTAAGGTGCGGTCAAGATTCGTATCGTTAAAGTGTCCCTCTGGAAGAAGAAAGCATTAAATTGCCCTTAGAACTTACGACAGTAATAATGATTCGTCGATCATCACGTCAATGTGTGAATTCTTTTACGTAGCAAAAATTCATAATGTAGTTAATTGTATCCGTTACGCTATTATGTACACACACAAGCGCGCGCGCACACGCACACGCACACGCACACGCACACGCACACGCACACACACATACACACACACACACGCATACACGCGCGCACTTCTAATGTCGCGGGTCAACTCTTTTTGTCGAGATATAATAATGCCGTAAATATTACTGGTATTGTTCTTGTTTTCTGAAAACGGCTACGTCTGGTATTTCCGCCACGCTGGTAATTCATTTTTACTCTTTCGCCGTCAGAGGAACTCAGTATTGTCGCGCATATCTTTTTCCCTCTTTCCCCGCCGTCGAACAGTAACGTCATGTCAACGTGAAAACGATTAGAACGTGTTCCTCCAACGACCTCTGTCCCGTTTTCTATCGCAATGGAAAAAATCTTTGTCGAAAATCTTTGTGTTTTCTCAATCTCGTCCTTGTCCCTTTCTTCGTTTCTCGATGTGAATGGCTCTCGACCTTCTCCTCGCGACATTGAAGCGAGAATGCCCCGACAGCTATGCGCCTTGATTAGGCGGACGTTTAAAAAATCTCACAGCAGTTTGTCACGGATAGAGTCCTCGAAATAACGTAAGAATCGCTTCTTCCCCGTCAGAAGCAAGGTAACGTCATGCCCGTGGGCATTGAACCTCACGGACACGCTTGTGAACGATCATCGATTGGCATTGTGTTGGTAATCACGACGCGGTCGTCCGATCCGACCGCGATTCTCAGCTAGGTTTTGTCTCTAGCGGAGCAAAGAGGCATCGCGTATCGCCGGCATATTCTCATTCCGGAGATCAGCGAGAAAGGATTTAGCGAAGAATCTATCCTCTGCACCACGTTCGGCAGCAGAACCTCCCCCGCATCATCGGATCGCGTCGCGGTCGAGAACCATCGCCACACGTGCCACAGAGTCAGTGCCGATCCGACACTTCGACGAAACATACATACACGTCGCGCCCGGCGATTCGAGGAGACTCGCCCTGAAGAAGCCACGCTAGCGCGCGCGCGCGCGCGCGCGGGCCGTCCTACCTAGTTAGATTGATCTGTGTTGTGAAAAGTCTACAATGTACGTCTCTCTACATATTTACTATCACTGAGTCGCGCCGCAGCCGCCACGGCCGCTGCCGCCGCCGCCGCCGCCGTCGCCGCCATTATCGCCTAGCATTGTCGTACCGCGAGGTTACATCGTCGTCGGGGGTCTCTCTGACCGCGTCGACTAGGATCAGCTGTCGTCCGGCGTGTCCTGATACTCCTCGCTCTCTCTGTGCACCAGCACGTGCACCACCGTCGCCTCGGACTGCTGCCTGAGCAGCGGCGGCCTCGACGGCGGCGCGGTGTTCTCCGGGCTCGGCTCCGTCACCAGGATGCTCACGTCGCTGCCGTCGACCGGCAGCTGCACCGGCTCCGGCGGCGGCGCCCGTCGCCTCAGGCTGCTGCAGCGCCGGTTAAACGCCTCCTTGATGTCCCGTTGCAGCGTGTTGAGCGAGAGCGTGGTGCCGCTCGGCCGCAAGGAGCCACGCTTCGAGATCGGCGGACTGACCACGTCCTCCTCCGGGTACTTCTCCACTGCATCCTGCCGACCCAGCGTAGGGCCCAGTGACCTGCGGACAAGAGGACGGCGTCGTTCAGTCTTGGCTTCGTGCGCGATTGCCCGTGGACGAATCGCCTTGCGCCGCCGGCTTCTGCGAGCCGGGCTGCGATACCGGCTGAGACGTTGGAACTCGTCTCTTCCGAGTGACGCGGCTGAAAAAACGATTCCACGACTCTGCGCGATTTTTTAGTCGCGTTTACAGTATTTGGTACTTTCCGCCGGTGAGAGAGAGAGAGAGAGAGAGAGAGAGAGAGAGAGAGAGAGAGAGAGAGAGAGAGACACGTTTCTCCGATTTTTCTCCCGGCCGCGCACGATCTCTGCCGGCCTCTCTTCCTCTCGTCCTGCCTCGCGTACGCAGGAGGGGGAGGGCCGTGTACGCTAAATGAACCAGCGCTAACTTTTCGCAGTGGGGATAAGTACAATTTGTCGAGATTGATCTGCGCCTTGCACGACACACGACCAAATGTTTACAGATACGTTCAGCATGCGAGAGCTCGAAACCACATGTTTCGTGTTCAAGAGGTTTCTCTTACTGGAAAGCTGGCTAGAGACTGAAGCATGACACGATGCTGACAAAAACACGCTAATGATATCTAAATGTCATGAGATGCGTAATCAAGGTGGGCGGTATCGTCATGATCAACGTAACAGCAACGCAACACCAACTCTCTTATCCAACTACGTTCAATCACAAACCGATATACATAAGCGACACAATGAACCGTCAATAGGATGTGAATTATGCGCAACAAGTCTACTAGCTGTTACCCTCTAATCCGCTAGCGTATCCACTAGTCCACTAATTTTGTTATTTTGTTATGTGTTCGGTATATATGTGGTATATTCCTCGTTGGCAAATATATACGCAATACTCCAACTGCTAAATGACATATTCGAGAGTGTGGCCTCATCTAGCAATACAGAAAGAACTCAACGATAAAAGTTCGAAGAAGTCTAAGTACATGTTCAGCTTTACCTGTTCGTTTTCTTGCCTGAGGAGTTTTGAAAGAGAAGAAGAGAAACTAGATTAATTTGTATACACGTGTGTGTGTGTGTGTGTGTGTGTGTGTGTGTGTGTGTGTATGTGTATGCGTGACGTGGTGTGTAAGAGTCAATTGTACTACGACGACATATACCAGCGCATATATATATATATATATATATATGTATCTTACATTAACACATTCGTCAGTATGTGCAAACTCCTCAGGCCGATACGATCGTGGCGTACAATTCATTCCCCGAAAGCTAATCGCTGTTTCTCGAGTTTCCCGATAAATCTGTAATCTTTCAAATGCCAGGCCAACGCGAATGGCCAACTGACATCGCCTCTTTCCACGTTAATTTAACATATAACCCATCCAGCCCATGTCGTTTAACAGGGATTTCGCGTGCAGCCGGCGATTTCCTCAGATCTCCTCAGATCTTCTCTCACGGTTGCGTTCAGCGCATCTGACTAGCGTGCATATTTTGAGCTTCCATTCGGATCTAAGAGTCCCAGATCTACGTCGACGTCGCTGGGCGCAACCGGTGGAGGAGACCGCTAGATTATATCGTATCGTTGAGACGGAGAGGAGAGAAAGAGAAGGGAGGAGAGAAAGAGAGAGGATGAACCAACCTGACGGTGACGTGGGAGTCCGAGCCGGAGCTGGAAGCGGCGGAGGGCTGTTCGGTGGTCGGCGAGGGACGGGATACGGTCAGAGCCGGGGGTTGCAGGTCCTCGTGGGTTCCTGTGGCGCCGGAGAGCAACAGCAGAGGAAGATTAGGGAACAGCCATGCCGAGGCAGTCCCGAGTTCGCTGAGGTCGCTAGCGTCGCTGGCCCTGGAGGACTTGCGGCTACTTGCCCGGCTACCCCGATGCACATGCAGAAGGGCCGACAGCTTACCGCCCCATCCACTTCCGCCTCTACCGTCCACGCCACCCGGACTCGACGTCTGCGTCTGAGAGTCCACTTCCTGGGCGATTCTCTCGCGCTCCCTCTTCATCCTGCGGGTGCGCGGGGGAGAATCGCGATTACGTTTAGTCGTCAGCATGCGCGATGATCATTATTTTTCTCCTCCCATTAAATGAACTGTGACTTTGGAATGTTTCTCACTGTATTTGTAATTATTATTTATTTATATTTATGATTTTATGATACTGCATTATGTTTTTATGACACACGACGTGTCGTCGTCGTCGTCGTCGTCGTCGTCGTCGTTGTCGTGTGATGGAACGACAACTGTTTCCAATTTTGAATATACGTATTTTGTGGAGTCCGACAGAGGATACTTACGCAATGAACTCTCTTATAGAGTGCTGAATCAACCTGGCAGCTTTGTCTTGCCGTTTCCAGATTCTCGTGGAAGACACTATCTCTAATTCTTTCCTAGTCGGAAATTGCTTCTTGAACTTGACGTCCATCTGGTCCTGTAGCTTCCTGAAGTCATCCGATTCCTCGACGTGCCCAAGAACGTGCTTGACGAGCGCGTGGAGAATGTCCAGACAATGAATCTTGTTACCCTTTGCGATGGGAAGATTAAAGCTGACCAACGCCACCACGTTGGGCTTTGATATCCCCAGCGGCGGGTCCAGGCTCGCTATAAAGTCGCTCAGCTGGGAAAAGCTGATAAATTGAGTTGCGTGCGGATCGTACCTGAGGAATAAACGTATCGATTTTTCAAGTCACGCGAGCGAGCATTTTCTCCCCGTGCGTCACGGACCACTTCTTCCTGTCGATGAAAGAAAATGGCGGAGAGAAGAGAAAGAAATGTATCTTACTTCGACCATCGGATGTAAAACATCTCCAAGTCATCCTCGACGATGCCAATCTCCTCCTCCTGATGAGCTTGATTGAAGTTCTCCAAGATGATGGCGATGTACATATTGATGACTATCATGTAGCTGATGATGATAAACGAGGTGAAGTACGTGATCGCCAGTAAAGGATATCCGCAATCTCCGTTCATCTGTCGACTGTTCGGAGTGGAGTCGCATTCTGGTGGTTGCGCCATCAGCGACTCCAGCACATCGTTCCACCCAGCCGAGGTCATCAAACGGAACAACAGCTGCATGCTACTACCGAAGGTTTCGAAATTCACCTGCGAGACGGAAGATTACAATTACAATTTTATTGATGTGAAACGCACATTTATGTCCAATCAATTCAAACGACGAACGCATCGTTAGGCTCAATAATAGCGTCTTTTGCGCTCAACGTGGTGTGATGTGTAGTGCAGATTCTTTGAGCTCACCATATCGTCCAATGCGCCTTGTTTCCTGACGTGTCCGAAAACGGACATGCCGATGATGGCGTAGATGAACGTGATCAAGGCCAGCAAGGCCCCGATGTTGAAGAGCGCTGGAAGACTGACGACAAGGGCGAAGAGCAGCTTACGGATACCTTTCGCGGCTTTAATGAGCCTCAAGATTCTACCAATTCTGAACACCCTCACGACTCGCAAGAGCGTCGGGGACACAGGGAAATCTATCATGATGTCTTCCATCAGTATACCCAGGATGGACGCCAGTACCAGTAGGAAGTCGAATAAGTTCCACGGCACCGTGAAGTAATGGTAACGCAGACCTATTATCTTGACGATCGCCTCCAGGCCGAAGACAGTCGTGAAAAACGCGTTCGACACTTCGAGGACGAAGAAGACGGGATGGGGCTGATTGTAATGCTCGATTCCCATCGTCAGCATGTTGAGAAATATCAAAACGAAGATAGCTATTTCGAATCTGGAAAGGAGCGGACCACTCGTCACGTCGTCGCGCGTCTCGCCGCATTCCTCTCCTGTCGCAACTCGTTACTTTTTTTTCGCGGCGTGCCAACAAGTAGCATGCATGTTCTAGCTTTGCTCGTGCGATGAAGTGTCGTAAATGGTATCTGCCGGCGACGGCCGAAGGTTGATCCTCGCGTTCGTACGGTCCTCGTATTTTTGTAACAGACTACCACGGACTTTCTATGCCTTTCTATGCGTCTTTCGAATCTATACATATATATATATATATATGTATAAATCGAATCTATACATTTATACATATATATATATATATATATATGTATAAAATCGATGTATATGATAAATAATGCGGTGCACATCAGTGGGAAGAAAATGAGAGAGAAGTTTTACGATGAAGCGCACAGTTGCAAATTCGTCGAGGATGTCCGGTCAAAATAATGGAATTTTCGTGGGTGGTTCACGAGCTTTGAGGGGGAGGAGGATGCTCGTTTATAATTCTAGCGTTCCCAGATGCGCAGTTAATTCTACGTTTCCGCGTATAAATTCGACCAGAAGTTCGCGTCTAATATCCAATGTGTAGAATCGTAAAGTTACTACGTTTGCGTAAGCTCTCAGGCTACAGCTTATCTCGTCTATTATGCACGGTTGTATCACTTGGTGCACCGAGACGTCGCAGCGACAATTTACAAGCGCCGGGCGTAAATGTCCTTTGGCTATCGATTCTCCATTATTCCGGGTAACGGATCGTAGAATCGCGACATTTATCTTCCCCGCGGTCTTGCCTCCTCCCGGAAGCTGAAAAGAAAATTCACGTATTGTGTGTTATGTGCGATTGGTTACACGTGTTGCAATACATCGCAACGGGGAACGGGGGTTGCGCAAAAAAGTTCGGTCGCTCGAGAAACGAATATTCCGCGTTATCATCGCGAGAAATATGTGCGAGTGTGTCCACCCATAGAATCGGCATCAAAAGCCGGCAGCCGAGAACGAAGAGAGGCAAGTGATGGAAGAAATCTATCGATATGTTGAAGTTGCTTTAATGTTACGTAGTTGCTTTAAGGTTACGCCCGCTAAATATTCTAGGACAACGCGACAAGCGCAAAGAAAGGCTCGGTAATAATAAATGTTATTGAAGTTTCACGGACAATACGGCGAGAGACATCTTCGAGCTTCAAAGAACACGAGATCATTGAGCGTGATAAACGCTTTAAAGGATAACGCGTATGTACAGGGTACTCAATTTCAAACGTAACAGGTAAAAAATCTCGAAAACTATGAGAGATATTAAAAAAGAGCTGAAACACGTGTTCCATGATTTCGAAGGGAAAAGAGAATGGCATTATCAGTTTTTTATTTGGAGGGCATTTTCAAGGTCAGTTGAAGGTCAACTTAATTTTTTTAAATGGAAAGCCCAATTTTTTATTATATCTTCTTTTTCTACCGATTAATTTTAACAACTTTTGTCTGAAACATTTTTTTATTCGTCTAATATCTTTTGGATCTTTTGGAAATATTTAAGGAAAACCTGGTAACTTTTTCAACATTTAACTTACGACATCTCGCTAACTATTGGTCGAAAGAAAAAATAGTATTAGACTTTTTTACTTTATTTACTATCAAGAATATATTACAATAATAGTGCCCTAACTTTTGTTAATTTAATAATTTTGGAATTTCCAAAGGTCGATAAGTTAACAAAAGTCAGGGCGCTATTATAGTAATATATTCTTAATAGTAAATAAAGTGAAAAAGTCTAATACTATTTTTTCTTTCGACAAATAGTTAGCGAGATATCGTAAGTTAAATGTTGAAAAAGTTACCAAGTTTACCTTAAATATTTCCAAAAATATTAGGCGAATAAAAAAATGTTTCAGACAAAAGTTGTCAAAATTAATTGGTAGAAAAAGAAGATATAATAAAAGATTGGGCTTTCCATTAAAAAAAATTAAGTTGACCTTCAACTGACCTTGAAAATGTCCTCCAAATAAAAAACTGATAATACCATTCTCTTTCCCCTACGAAATCATGGAACACGTGTTTCAGTTCTTTTCTAATATCTCTCATAGTTTTCAAAATTTTTTACCTATTACGTTTGAAACTCATCACCATGTACATATATGATATATATAAAATTGTATATTTCTATTTCGAATTATATCTCTTCTTACCTGGTCTTTGATCTAAAGTTGTCCTCCCGTCGATGAATGAGCACGTCGGTGTCGAAGATGAAAGAATAATTTTCCTAAATAGTCCTCGTGTGTAAAAGCATATCTCGAAGCTAGCGAGTATCTTCCTTCGGCCTTCTCATTTCTTCGTTGCGCGCCTCACGATGAGAGTGAGCGCCAGTGAACGATAACGTCGAATTCAAACAATCATCTTCCATTTCTTAGGATTTCTATCTACGCGACTCCGATCGAAAGTCTTAATGAGAAATATCGATGCAATTTCTGTAAAGCGCACATTCTTAAGTGTGTCGGCGTGAGCACTGAGCAGGTGTCGTCACCATGCAGGTGTCGAGATTATTCTGTCAACAACGCGATTTGCAGCACAGACAGCTCCGATCTATTAAATCGCCAACATTCGCCAAATCGCCGTGCCAAGAGAACTTGTAAGAGTAGAGTACCACAGGCGAGTTGTCGATTACTTGATTACACATTTGACGTCGCTCTGACCTTGTGTTAATTTTTAATATCCGGCTCTATATTAAGAACCACGTCACACAGCAGGAGAGCGAATAAACAGTGTGAAATGTTTCTGGCTTAACTTGGTGCTTGCTTCGACGAGATTAGGAGGCGAAGCCTAAGAGGGGCGAAGCGCGCGGGGATCTCCGTATACCGACGTGTGCACGTATATGCCGATTATACTGCAACTGCTCTATAGCTCGGATATTAGACTCGTTATTAGCGCGTTATTAGCGATTTAACGTGAAATGCCTGTGATTTGCAGCCTGAGATTTGCACCTGCCACACTGCTCGCGCTGGACCGCACTCAAGCGCGCGCGCTGCACAGCCCGATCACACCGAAACCGCACACTGATACCGTTTACGTCACTTTGACCGCACCATTTCTACGCTTTTCTTTTACGTTTTGCACTGCAGTAAACAATCGACAAACACAGAGAATTGGATTGCGTTAAAACAAGCAAGGTTAACACTTTGACACCGAGTCTGAATCTGTTTGAGGAAACTCTTTGCGATAGTTGACATGTGGTGAAAGAAATTCGTAAGCAAAGTGTCAAATCAATATTTTTATGCGTTTATAAATCAAGTCAAGTTATATCATAGTGTTATATGGAGAAAGAAACTTGTAAAATCATGTAAGCGAATCCCGTGAAAAATCAGACTGTGAGAATCTGTGTCGAACAAATAAGATATCCGGCAGGAAAAGTAATTAAAAGGGAAATGGAGCACTTGTTGAGAAAAATAATATCAATATATAATATCCGCGAAAAGAGGAGCCAGTGTCTTCGGACTGGATTGCAAAGCAAAAATATGCGCAAAACATAAGAAAGATAGAAAAGAATTCTTTTCATGTTGTAAGTAAGATTGTTGTTTTTCGCCAAAAATCTTCAAGTGAGGAATCTTCAAGTGAGGAGGAGGAATAGAGAAGACTGACATTTGAATCGTCATGAAAAATCGCAGACTCGGGCGTCAAAGTGTTATTGAAGCAAAATTTTCTACTTGCACACAGCCAGTGCTCCTTGCCACAAAAAGCGACATATAATTACCTGCGAGAATTGGACAGGTCGTAGAACATTGCGAGGAATTGGTTCATCGGACGTTTTATTACTTTTTGCGGCTTTTTACGGCCTAGCTTTTTCATGGCAGTGTAGTAGTGTTTTTGACTCTCGGTCAAAAACATTTCTAACACCCCACCTTCGTACTGAAAGAAAAAAAAAGATCGTCCCTTCATTATAGTAGAGGCTAAATCTCCTCTCGACTCGATGCAACTCATTACAACACATACATATATATCGCGTGAGAATTTTCGTTGTTGCGTAAACAACAATTGTATACTGTTTTGTCTACTGAAGCGGTGGGCCAGAAGATACTCTCTCCACGCGTGACAGAGAAACGACTCAGTATAACTCGAGGATTAAAATCTCTCACCCGGACATTCGTCAGGGTGGCTCACCTTCTTCTTCAGCATATTAAAGTTGTCTATGATCACTCCGATAAAGAGATTGAGCGTGAAGAATGAACCACAGACGATGAAAATGACAAAGTAGAGGTAAGCGTACAAGTTCGCTTCCCTCTGCGGTTGCAGGTCCACACCTCTCGCGTCGACAGCGTCTTCCATCACTTCCATCCATCCTTCGAAGGTCGCCACTTGAAACAAGGCCAAGTAAGCGACGCCAACGTGGTCGAAAGTGATCTTGCTGTTCACCCAAGTGTAATTCTTGCTGAAGCATTCTTCCCTGGTATTCACTATCTGAATAAGAAACGGAAACACGCTCGCTCGTCGTTACAGCGTAACGACTAAATCCCACGATTAATGTATATAAAGCTTCGTGTCATGCACGAAGCGTTTTGTATCCTGTCAACGCAATCTTCAATCTTTGTTCAATCAATATCTCGCAGTCAAAAACATCGCGAGAATGGTCGAATCCTCCATTACGTTACTTTGCTGAGCGGAGCCAAAAAAAGAAAAAAACCAAATGCGCACTCACCGAGACGTCCAGCAGTTCCCCGTCCTCGTCGATGCACTTGTAGAACTTGCCGCCGAAGAATTGGACGCCCATTATCGAAAAAATCAGCCAGAACACGAGGCACACGAGGAGCACGTTGAATATACTAGGTATCGCATACATCAACGCGTTCACTACGATCTGCGAATGTCGGGAAGGAAAGTCCTCTCAGTGACGCAAGCGATGAGAAAAGGCGGATTCTCGCGTATTGTGCCTCTTTCATACGGGACATTTTCCGCGAGGTAGAGAGTTTTGTACACGCGCGATACTTACCCTCATGCCTTGCCATCTTGAGATCGCCCTAAGTGGCCTCAGGGCGCGCAGCGTTCTCAGCGATCGTAATACTTTGAGGTTTTCATTTTCTTCTATCAAAAGACTAAACATGGATACCTGTTCGAGGAAGCACGAGATATTCAATCGCGATATTGTTCATACGGGCACGGGACGAAGAAGGGGCTCATGCAGATTCGGTGGAGGTCTAACTTTGGATACGACGAGAGAGAGAGAGAGAGAGAGAGAGAGAGAGAGAGAGAGAGAGAGAGAGAGAGAGAGAGAGAGAGAGAGAGAGAGAGAGAGAGTGGTGAGAGCATGAGGCTGCTTGAAGATTACGCGGAGCTATTGTTGTGCATTGAGTGTTTCTTCGCGAGGGATTCTTCGTCGAATTATCGCGACAGCGTCAGCTATTCCGAAGCGATTCCGTCGCGAGAGTCGCAGATCTCGCGACGGAAATTAATCATTTCTGCCGCCGAGATCTGCGATTTGTTCAAACAGTCATTATTAGAACGCGTCATGAAGAGAGTGCGCGAAGCGTAGCATAACGTAGTTCGTTGTTCACGATCACCAAAGTTACAAGTACGTTTTTATCCGCAGTGCACGAATTACACACAATGTCGCGAGGTGTTGAACGGAAAAATTCTTGTGGGACAAATTATAAAAGATAAATTGCAACAAGCCGAACTCGTACACCGCTACACCAAGTGAAATTCGTACTACACGTGCATTGGGAGCGGAGGGGGGTCTATCCTTTTAACATTCCATTCATGAAGACGCGCATTTTTGTTGTACGCGCACGTTCCCGATAATTCGGGATGTCAGAATATCAGATCGAATAAATTGCGTTTGTACAGAATAAATTCCATTTAGACAGAATCTCATTGCTCATTTGAATTTAAAGACCTACTTAAAATCTATTTCAATTTGCATATTTTATTGGTCAGGTTTCGCGTGAGGATTTTACACGGTAGAGCGATGCAATGGATTGTGATTATACGTATATATATATATATATATATATATATATATATATATATATAAAGGTAATTTAAATTAATCAGAATCCATTGCGTCGCTCTACTGCGCACACATAAAGTGTCGCGTGAAATCTGACTGGCGAAATGTGCAAATTAAGTTTTTATAGTAATTAATTAATAAGCAATTAAGATTTTAAGTAGCTCTTCGCGTTGAATTTATTTCCTCCTTTTGCGAAACGAGGACGGTGCATTCTGTACGTTTGATATAATCATGTGTCAAACGAATTTGTCTCCGACGTTTAACTCTAATTTGTTAGTTACATCCCTCATGCATATGCGGACATAATTAATTGGCGCAAATGTTAACACATATAATAATAATTCACGCAAATAATTAACATATGATTAATCAGAAATATGCAATCCAATATGAGAAACGGCGTTTGCGGCTCGAGAGTTGTCCCGATGGGTAACAAGTTTACGAATCAAAATCACCGCAGTGTCTCAAACTTTTCAACGTACCTGGATCCAGAGGCCACACATAAAACACATAAAAAAAAGGAGCACGGAAACAACAACAACAGCATTGAAACAATTACCACACACATATTGATCTCGCTCGAAATATGATCTTAATTACTTGATATCTTCGTATACACAGGGCGAATCACCCAGGTTTACGATTACGCGAAATAATTCTCACAATTTTCATCGCAAACGAAAATGGAAGAAGCTGCAACAAGTCAACGCAAATTCACCGATGAGTCTCAGCAATCGCAGCACTGTAAAGCCGGTACGCGTTTCTCGTTAGCGATCGAAATTGCGATAAAAATTGAAATAATTATTCATGTAGTCAGGTGGCTCACTCCGCATATAAATACGTAGTGCTCGGATCGAGGGGGCGGGGGGGGGGGGAGGGGGAAGATAAGCGAGGGAAAACCGGCAAACACACAGCTCATGCGACAGCGAGACGCACACCCTCGCACACACACACAGTTTTTGCGGTTTTTACGCCGGGCCTGCGTGCGGAAGATCTGATTCGTACTTACGAAAACGATTATAAAATCCAGGATTGTCCAGAAACTGGTGAAGTATTTACAGAAGCCTAGGGCTAGCCATTTCAGGAGCATCTCGACGCTGAAAAGTGCGCAGAAGCCAAGATTGGTCCAATAGAGAATCTTCTTCAAAAAAGGATTGTCGTCTAAGTAGATGTCCTCGAAGCACAGCGTTATGGAAGATGCGAAAATTAAAACTAAGATCATCCATTCGAAGGCGGGCGTGTCCACCACCGACAGGACGACCGTACGGACCCTTATCCACTTCCTGCCGATGTCCGTGGCGAGGCAACGGTTGATACAGCTACATCTGGAACAGTCGATCGTTCGTCGAACGTCGAATCATCGGTCGCACGTGAGAGACTGATACGCGCGCGCGGACAAATTGACTGGCCTAATTGACGATGAGACTTTGCATTTGAGTCTGTATTTTAACATACAGTCTGTTCGACTGAGAAACTATGGGTGATATTTTTATAGAAAATCATAGTAGCGCCATCTCTACCTTATACCATTATTTGATTCTTGAATCTATCTCTTCTCTTGCGCAGTGTACATCAAAAAGTTGCATTGAGTAGTCATTAAAAAAGTAAACATTATTTTTAAAAACGAGTGTAAAATATTTGAAGCGTTGGGTGGCGGTTTTTCTTATTGACCATTCCAAAGGACCAGAATCAACAATCGCGACAACTGCTAGAGCAATTAATTGCGATTTCTTGTCGAACCGACTGTGTGTATGCGATCCTTTGATGTAACTTTTAATCCAGAGTCCCGTATTTTGAAAATAATTTTATTACTATTTAATAATTTAATTTTTTACTTTTGCATGATGTTTCAACGAAAAGCTATATCCGCGCTTTATGATGATTCTTTGTCGCTCGATTGATACTCGCGCTCATCCTTATCGCCGACGAATGCAGGAAAAGTCGAAAGAACTCACTTCTGGTAACAATGTTGGGGAAAACAATCCAGCGGCTCCTTGTGTTCCTTGTTCCTGCCAAACCCCGGGAACGAGCCCATCCCGTCGATGTACCTCCCTTTACTGTCTCTCCTGCCTCCGACCGTCAGCTCGTCCACGTAACTCACGAGAGCGTGCCAGGGACGTTTCTGTATGCGCTCCTCGTTCCTCGCCGGTGGCTTCTCTTCCGGCAACATGGCTACTTCCTCGTCCGGCTTGCCGGTGTCCTTGAGCACCTCCAGCTCTATGCTCTCCTCGGGATTGGTCTCGTTGCTGTTGCCTTTTTCGGACAGCTTCTTGTTCTCTTTGACCGTCTCCTGGCTGCTCTGGCTGTAGGTGGTCAGCGTGGCCTGACGGTAGATCGGGTCATACGTGAAGGGCTGATTGAGGCTCTCCTGATACGATCTATTGTAAATATTGTCTTTGGGAAGGCTCAGCACGGTCTCCTGGATCGCGTACTTCTCCTTGTCGGACTTGTCCATTACCTCGCGCACGATCTGTTCCAATCGTATGTTCTTCTCGTTCTCCGAGTTCTCCTTCCGATGCTTCTGCTTACGCACGATCGATCTGATACGGTCAAACGAACGAGCGAGCTTCGACTCTTCGCCGACCTCCTCCTTCTTCTGCTTCAGCTCCTCGGAATTGAAGCTGTTGAGCAGCAAGGCGAGAAAGAGATTGAGCACCATAAAGTTGCCCATCACCAGAGCCGGCAGGAAGATGGCGAAGCAGGTGCCCGGGCCGTTGTCCTTTTCCGCTCGCATGCAGTCCCACAGCGGCTCGATCCATTCGCCGCACAGGATGCGGAATATCATCATGAACGAGTGGAAGAAATCGTTGAAGTTCCAGCGCGGCACCGGGTCCGGGTAGAACTTGTCGGGCGTGTAGTCCTTGTTGAACAGCTGCATGCCGATCACCGCGAATATGTAGATGACAATCACCAGCACGAACGTCAGGTTACCGAGCGCGCCGATCGTCGAGATGATGATGCTGAGGAGGACCTTCATGGTCGTCCACGACTGCGCCAGCTTGAGGACGCGCAGCAGTCTGAGGCCGCGTATCACCGACAGACCGTCCACCAGCTCGAACGTCAAGTCGATGAGCGACGCGGAGACGATGATCAGGTCGAAGTTGTTCCAGCCATTGTTGAAGAAGTCCTTGCTCAGCGCCAGGAGCTTCAGGAAGCATTCGAACGTGAAGATGCTGGTGAATACCTTGTTGCCGATGTTGAGCGCCTGTCGTACCGACTCGCTCATGCCGTGGTGCTCCATCGCCAGGAAGCCGGTGTTCAGCACGATGCAGAGGGTGATCATTAACTCGAACAGGGGATCTCTCACCACCTTGACGCAAATTATCACTCGTGACTCGTCGTCGATGCGGAGAGGTGTAACCCTGGGACTGTTACACACGACTCGACTCTCGTTACTCTCGGAGCGACTACTGATCGTGATTTCACGCGAATTTCGAACTTCGTTAACTTGGAAGTTAACTCGAAGAGCAAGAGGAGGGATCGGGTGTCGCTCCGTCGCGAGTAAACACGGTGCAAACAAGACCACGTCGGAACTCAAACTTCCATTTCAACATTATTGCGAAACTTATCGTTAACGTTCGCGCGGAGAGACGATTACCTTGTACAGGCAATTCTGAAATCGGAGCCATCCTTCGTAATCTACGCAGCATTGAATACACCTATCGCAGTTTCTATCTGGAAGATCATCTGCAAGCAGAAAGTGTATACGTCGCATCGTTTGTCAATTTATCTCCGAGAGATCGATTCGTGAATTTTAATCATTCAGCTTCCGCACCCTCAGCACACAATAAGCAACTTTGCAACGTGACTTATCGTGACGAGAAGCAAGCCGGTCGCGACATTGCCTACCGCGCGAGATTCTTAAAAATGCCCGACATTTTCGAAACACCAATGAATGAATTAAATTATGAATCGCAATGTAGAATTTCGCTCGTTTTCAAGCGAACAATGAACTGCCCACGACTGCGCGTCGAGACGCGCAGTCGACAAAAACATTGACTGCGAACTCATTCGATAGTACGCAAATTCCGACCCGCTAATCCAGTTACACGCCGGCCATTGTTTCGTCCAAACAATACGTCCCGCGTGTCCTCCGAGTCGCGATTGCCGAGCGCCCGACATTGACCATTTCGCTCGGTTAAGCCGCGAATTCCAGAACGCTGAAGGAGCAGAGTCGCTCGCCCGTCGTCGACGGATCCCGGATCGACGGGTGACGATGGAACGACTCCGAAAGCGGGAGCGAACGACACCCGAACGACGTCGATTCGTCAACTCCTCGCGCGTGTCGCGTTTCGTTCGCGATCGATCCCACCACGCGCGATCAGCTTCTCAGAAGTTATCATCGATCAGGGGTTACCGATCCGGTGTGCCAAAGAGGGAATCGAACGTTTATTCGCTAAAGCCAATATACTCTCGGTGCGAATCGATCGCTGTGAACGTGTTTTCGTTGCCCGAATACTGACGACATCGCGACGACTACGCGCGGGAGCAGACTACGCCGCGACACCATCTCGCGCGAGGCGAGAGGAAAGGTCGAGGTGGTGAAGGAGAGCAGCCGGTCGCAGCCGATAATATTGTCGCGAGACTGGGAGACTTCGCTTGCGCTCACCTAAAACTACAATGTGCGACAGGTACTCTGGCGGCAGCGCGTACATATGTTTCTTGGTTTTCACCCCGTTGCACTTGAGCACGCGGATCTCCCGGTTGCCGGTCCTCACCGAGACGGTGACCGGCGCCGCCGGGCAGTCCGGCCGCGGCGTAGCCGCCTGGCCAACCTTGCCGTGCTCCCTCGGGGACTTCTCCTGCCTCTCGGCTCCGCGATGCTCCCGCGACTCGCGCTTCTCGGCGTGCTCCTCGGCGGACGTGACGTCGTCGCCGTCGTGGTCGTCCACCACGCCCGAGTCGTCCAACGACGACTGCTGATTGCTGTTGTTGCTGGCCTGCCTCGAGTGCAGCCGGTTCGGCACCAGCCGGTGAGGCTCCGGCGGCCTCGGGCTCACGTTCTGCAGCGGCAGGTGCGAAGGTCGCACGCTGGAGTGCCTCGGGCTGGGGCTCGGGCTCGGCGTCACAGACCTGCAACGGGGAAATCCCATCAGGTGTGACGGGTCGAAGGGACACGCCCGTCTCTCTTCTCCCCGCTGCTTGTCTGACGGCTCTGGCAGCTCTGACATCAGGGAGGTCCAGTCGCGAAGATGCACGTCATACGTCGTGACGAGTGACGAAAGAGAGGGAACTAATGTAATTGCTAGCTTGCGATTGCAAAACTTTTTACACGGGCTCGCTTAGTAGTTGGACCGACGCGATATGGCGTTGCTTGAGTAGTACCTCGTCGAGTAATCGAACGAGAGTCTTTGGCGAATTGTACACCTCTAATCGTTGATGATCGGTCGAACGATAAAATGCACGTCGACGATTTCGCGCACATAATCGTCCTCTAATCTCGGTCGATTTTCCGCGTATATTTTCGCGATTAATGTGACTAATGCTTGATTCAGTTCTCACGTCACGTCACGCGCGAAGAAGCGACGTGTGAAATTTCGAAATTACTTAAAAAATTACTTAAATTACTTAACAATTACTTAAATTTGAAATTACTAAAGCTGCCTCAGGATAAGCTCGATGTAACGGGACCCCTCGCCCCGCGTAACAAATTAACAATTAATCGAGGCATTAAGCTAATTAGTCTGGAGATCGCGTGGAGGTTCTGGCGGAGGTCTGACGCGAAATCAATGCTTACGGTAATGAGCAACATTAACCCTGGGAATACCAGGCGTGTTTCCTGGTTGCATGCGTCATCCGAGCCAGGTCACTTCAGCCGGCGGATATTACAAAGCTCGTTCACGGGGCTTGGCCGTGGAAATTTTGCTCGACTCGTGTTATTATTTTTCCTCTTTTTATGTTCTCTCATGTCTCATCGCGACGGAGAGGTATCGGAGCGATGCAATCTAAATGAACGATTTCGTCGTACACACAAGCTTGCACGGAGAGAGGTAGATCTGAGCGAGCAAATTTTGCTGAAATTGCGCGCGCCCACGGTAGAATTGATGATTGCAAATCGACTGGAGAGAATCCGCGAACGAAAGCACCGCTGGAAAGTTCCGAAGATACAACCTTCGCGCAAAATTCGCCGGAGTACGACGGCGCGGCTTTCCGCTGTAAGATGGTAAAAGACGAGCTCGTTTTCTTTCCTTGCTTTTATTACCGTAGCCGGTTGGCCGAGAAAGGGGGCGTTTATGACGTTTCTTTCTGTCTCTCCGGAAGCAAGCCGTTGCAGTTTAACGATTTCGTTGCGAGCTGCATGCACGACGCTAGGATTGCCCCGGTTGCCTCGAGTATGAGATAAATAGACGCGCGAGAGCACCGAATACTCTTAGCGCGAGAGTGTTGATAAGATTAAGGTCGCTCTCGTGGCGTTTGCCGCAACTTTTTACTCACGTCGCGACGAATACTTTTAACTTGCGAGAGAGAGAGAGAGAGAGAGAGAGAGAGAGAGAGTCGAGCGTATACATTAATATCTTCAGCCCCGTATCTTCCGAAGCGATTCTTCTCTTCGCGAGGGAGCGGGAAAAAGGAAAAGAAAGAAGAAAAAGCTCGTTTCTTCGCGCAGCTCGACCCGCTCAACTCCCGGATGCGTTTCCCTCGTTAAGTCCAGCCGAAATTTAGTTCACGCAACGAGTCGACCTCTCGAGTCCCGCTCTCTTCCTCCTCGCAAACGAGACCGAATGCTCTAATCGCTGACACAAACGCAGCCCGGTGTATTTAGTTATGTTATTCGTAGCGTTTCCTTGGCCAAACAAGACCAAAGGCTCGACTCCGCTGGCATGACCCAGAAACTCCTCGCGAATGCGACGGGCGCGTTTCGCGACAATGGTCGTGACAAATGGAGCTTGCGCGGGCTTGCGCGCGCGCGCGCGCGCGCATGGAAGAGTCGGCCGTAAATACAGATATAGAAACCTGCTGCGTGCGCCACCGTTTCTCTCTTGACCGGCGCTGCTCCTCCCGCGCTTTCTTCTGCGCGTTTTTTTCCTCGTGTAACTGCTGAGCAAGACTCCCTTACGAGCGTCTATCCTCTTCTGCTTGTCCTTCGTCAGGGTCTTGATATTGATCTTCGACGGGTCGAAACTGAATGTCGAGTCCTCGCGATGGTCCGTCAGGTCTTTCCTCCGCTCCTGCAGTCACACGTACGTGCGAAAACGCGCTCGTGAGAAGGCGGTGATGGTCGCGAGACGAACACCGAGAGGAGAGAAAGTTTCGATCTGATCGGTTCGAGTCATAAATAATTTCCGACCCCCGACGGGGGGGGGGGGTGCCGAGTGTTTGCCATGTTTTCTTCTTCACAGCACGGCATTTTGCACGAGTGCTTGTAAAGAGTGACGAATAGAGAGTGTTGGATCAGGCTGAAGCGCGAGGCGGTACTTCGTATACGGCGGAGAGGGTAAATTTGAAGAGGAGCGTGAACGCGAGACGGGGATTACTTATGACTCAAGGCGATAGCTCGAGCGAGTAACGCGAGTGAGAGCGCTTTGGAGCGACTGAGAATACCTCATTCGTGATCTCGGCCTCTTCTTCATAACTCAACGCCACGACGGCCAGCATTAGGTTCAGCAGGTAGAACGATCCGAAGAATACGACCACCGTGAAGAACGACACGCTAATGGGTCCGCAGGCCGACAACACCTGTGTCCGTGAAAGCTGATCTATCATTTCTACGCATTTTATCGCCGCGCGATTAAGTGGTAACGTCTGAGTGAACGCCGAGAAAAATACAGAGTAAGTTTGGGAACCTTTCGTTGTCGAATAACAACATGGAAGATGGAAAATTGACTTGAAGGTTTGCCTCTAACGTGCATACCTTAAACTACACAACAAAATTTTTTGTTATTATTTTGCCTCGAGATGGCGGCGCTGAAGCTGCCCGAGTAAAACCATGTTTTTCGAATTGGCTCGCAGCAGAACTTTAACACATTTCATCCCGTCCACTCGACATTTTTACACTAGCTGCTAAACTAAATTCTCTGGAGAAGTACGCGTGATTTTTACGATCGGTTTAAAACTTTTGTTATCGTAAATATTTTTTCACTGAACTTCTTGGGTCAAACTGAAACTTTTTTCCCTTGAAATGTTCACCGTTTCTACAAAAATCAATATTTTAACATATACGTGTGTACTTCTCTAGCAAATTTAATGTAGATTAACAAAAATTTTGCCTTTTTGTCCTTTTTGAAAGTATAAAGTAGCATTTCTGCTGCAAGCCGCGGGGGGACCCATGAGAAAAATGCGGTTTCGAACCAATTTTCCAAGTATCTATGTTATTATTGAACTAGAAAAATTTCCCAAACTTACTCTGTGTTTTCAGACGTTCACTCAGATGTTTACCCCTTAATTGACGCGCATTACGCTAACAAACACGACGCTGCGACGCCGTTCCTGTACATCTTCCCTCGCGATTTCGTGCGACGCAGCGAGCGCGTCCGCGGTGCCCGACAATCGCCGTCGTTAAAGCCACCCCTTTCAACCCAATCGTTCAACGCGCGCGAGCAGTCGCGGCATGACGGAAAGTTACTTGGAAAAGTTTCCTTTTCCTTTTTTTTTCTTCTTCAGAAACACACTTCATGCCCGGTTGCCCGAGAAGCGCAGATCGAGCGGGAGGATCTCCCTCATGCTACGGGGGAGGCGCGCGCGACTTTCGCTACATCGAGCGACAGAGAGAGAGAGAGAGAGAGAGAGAGAGAGAGAGAGAGAGAGAGAGAGAGAGAGAGAGAGAGAGAGAGAGAGAGAGAGAGAGAGAGAGAGAGAGAGAGAGAGAGAGCGAGAGCGGAACAAAGAGCCGGGAAATCGTTCAGACGTTCGTCGAGCGGCCGACCTTGTTGTAGACGTCCTCCCAGTAATCCAGGGTAATCAGCTGAAAGGTGGTGAGCATTGACCACAGGAAATTATCGAAGTTGGTGTAACCGTGGTTTGGATTAGGGCCAACGCAGAGGCAAGTGTAGCTCTCGTTGCAGTGTCTGGAAAATAGGTAAGAGCTACATTGCCGACGTTGCAATCCATCATATTCGCGATAGTCGTGAGAACATCTCGAGTGTCCGCGGAGTATGATCAAGCGCGGAAATATTAGTGAGGCTGCGCGTCGAGATCGCACTCCGATCGCACCGTCCGCGCTCTCGCCCGTTCGACGAGAATAACGTTCGCCCGCCCGTGTTATCAAAAGATACGGGGGTGTGCATTAACGCGAAATCTGTGCACCGTTGCGCGGATATCGCCCAATCGGATATCGTCTCTTTAAAACACCCCCGCGCCCCGCAGAGAGAGAGAGAGAGAGAGAGAGAGGGGTTCATCAATCCTCGCCGGGCCGGTTGTTGATCGGTCGCATTTCCGCGGCGTGATATGCATCTTCCGTCGCGTCGCGTCGCGTCGGGACGTCGAAGACGCAGCCGTCGGATCTGGCCGTCGAACAGCAACGGGGAACTTCAATTGAGGCCGGCCCGCCTCCGGCGTGTTTGTCGTTGGAACACGAATCGTGAAAGAGACGCCGCAGCGCCGAAAGGGTTGGTCACGAGCGAGGCGACGCGACGCGACGCGCAATATTTCCGTGCGCTTCGATCCATACGCGCGACTCTCTCGCGCGGTCCCGGGAAATGCAAAGCCTCATCGAAAGTGCAAAGGAACACACAAGCGTCAGCTTCGGACGCGCGTATCGATCGGATAAAAAGCCTACTTTCCGAGCGCGCGAGACACCGAACGCGAGGCGCCGATGTACGCCGAAGGAGCCGGGCGCTCCGTAAAGTTCGCGCCCCCACGTAACGCAGTAAAGCTTTTTGCGAACTTATTTATACCGGCCGTATACGAATTCCGTCGTACGTGCGGCCGACGTAATCATTTGGGAAATGGACGCCGCCGGGGAGCCGATAAATATGGAGAGCCGCTCTCTCTCTCTCTCTCTCTCTCTCTCTCTCTCTCTCTCTCTCTCTCTCTCTCTCTCTCGTAAGACCGGCGAAGTGCACGGAATAAAACTACCCACGGACAAACGACACGCCGCGCGCGATCCGGCGCAACCGGATGCCGTAATGGACCGCGGAACCGCCCCCCCCTCCCTCTCCGCCCCGCGAGGAAGAAAAAGGAGCGCAACTGCGCAATTGCGCAACGTTATCGACGATTACGCTCTCGCCGTTATACGACTTTCGCGTAATCGCCGGCGATCGCGACGTAACGTAATTCACGGTTCGTCTATCGCTCGCAACGCGAGGCGCCGCGAGCGAGTTGTGTATCTCCCGAAGCCTGAAGCGCCATAAATCGCCGGTGTGTACACCGTCGTGTCGTGTCGAGTACGCCTCGTAGCGTGCGGGAGGTTGTAACCGTTCAAGAGTAGCATCGCTACTCCCTCGCAGACTCCCTTACGACTCGACGAAGGCTCGAGGGACTTCGCGTTCGTTTCGCGTTTGTTGCGCGAGCCTCGCAGCCGAAGACGCAGCTGAAGACGATCTTCCTGCGTGCCCCTCTCGTTTCTCCACCGGCTTGCTCGAGCGGGTTCGCGGCTTTTTTGCGAATTTCAATCGCGCCGCTCTTCTCTCTCGTTTTTCCTTTTGGTTTTTCTCTTTCTTCCCCCGGAGGAAATTAAAGAATCGCCGCGCGCGGCTCGAACTTTCCTCAGCGCGGTATTTCATCTCGCTCGTCTCGCTTCAGATCAATTTTCACGTGACACGAAATGAAATTTCCGCCCAACCCCCTCCGGCCCCCCTCCCCCCTCCCGGCCGTCAAAGATACGCGTGGATTTTTATCGGGTATCGAGAAGCAGACGTGACGTTGAGAAATTCGGGAAGTTTCGCTAGACATATCGGGGCACGAGGAGGCATCGCGCGCAGACTATCCATTTTCCTCCCTTCTTTCGCAACCCCCTCGCCGAGGGAAACGAGTGCCACTCGTTCGAAGATGTTGATGTAGGCTAGTCGTCGCGGCCCTCGCGCGTCTCGAATTAGCTTATCTAGAGTGCGATCGGGCAAAGGGTAAGGCAGACGAGAGAGACACCAACCTGGAGCCGGTTACATTGCCGCAGATGATTGGCTCTTCGTCCTCGTTGAACGCCCAATTGGATGAGTTCCAAGTCCACCTGTTGGCGACACGAAATTTCGTTAGTTTCTTGCAAGCTCCAAACCCCTCGTGGATCTCTGGAGATTTCCAGCGAGAAAATTACACAACTGCTGCTCTCCCTCACTCTCTCCCTCCCTCTCTCTTTCTCTCTCTCTCTCTCTCTCTCTCTCTCTCTTGATACGCGTATACGTGTGCACATATATGTCTGTATATATTCCTGCGGGTCTCAGCCGATTTATCAAATAATTTTCCTCGAGACCCCGCCGACGCCCAATATACCGCGAATAAATCAAATCGACTTTGAGTAATATCCGACAAAGAGCGCTGTGTGACGTCAATGTTAAATGTAACGTGCAAAAAGTCCGGTCGCGAGTCCGTATTATATTTGCGCGGTACACTCTGAAACGCGGTTTCGCTCCGCCGAAACTCGGCTAAATCTGTGACGCGGTGCCGTGTCTCTTTTTACCTTCATCAATCGTCAATCTGGGACTTTTGTCGATCGGTTATCGCTCCGTCCCTCTCTGGTCCCGGTCGTTCTCGCATATATTGATAACGCGTCGATGGGTCGTGAAACGCCGGGCGTTGGGAGTGCCGCGTTCGAAAATCGGCCGTCCGGTCGCTGATAATAATGCATAATCCTGCCTCTCGCCTCGTGTTATTGTAAAACATTTCCAAACTGCAATCGGCACCCGGCGATGTATTCGTCGTATATACGACACGTCGCGCTTGCGAAATATCTTCCAAAATATAATGACGTTATTCCGATTATCAGCGAGATACTGCGGCGCGGGCGGTGCGATACGCGTCGTTAACCGACGCTGGAACAAAGCTGATTTTCCAATCCCGTTGATCGCGCGCGGCGCGTTTGACGCTAAACGCCCGATTACACGTATGATGAAGATCGCGTTATCGGCGGCGCGGCATTAAGAGATGGAAATCGTAACGCGCTTGCGGCCGCGTCTGGCGCGTTAAATTAACGCGCTGATAATACACGTATTATCTAGCACGCCGCGCGTGCTTTCGCCCACGGCGCGGCGCCAGCGCGTTTCCCGCTCGTCCTCTGCCGGATAGGGAAATCACCGTGATAGCGTGCTACCGAACCGAAGCGACAGGAATACAACGTGGCGCGCGCAGCCATGACCATATTCAGACTTATCCGACGTGGCGAAGTGGCGGGGCAGTCGTCCCGTCGAGACGAGCGGAGCGAACTAGCGCATTGTGTCCCAGCGTCATTCGCTGATGTAGCTCAAGTCACATTGTAGAGGCAAATTTATTACGCGAGAGAATTAATCGCTCTCTCGTCCGTTTTCTCATTTCGCGCCGCGCGACCGAGCGTGGATTCTTGCCCGAGGTCAGAAATTCACTCGCGAAGATGTCCTCAGACGACGTTACGGACATGCGTTTCGCACTGCTGCTTGCACGGTGAGGCGGACGGCTGGCCTCTTGATGCAAATCCACAATACGGCTCCCGCAAGATTGAGCCGCATGCCCTTGCCTTGCCGTTCCCAAATCTCACATATCCCTTGCCCCTTCCTTCCCACAGGACTCGAGTCCGTAAATAATCAAGTATATTGCTGTGCGACCGACCGAATTCCGCGCTCTCTTCGTTTTCCCTCCCCCTTCGCCGCGTGTCCTCATGAATCACACCGTGCGCGCTCGGCTCTCGAGGAGGAAGCGCTGGAAAACAAACAGCACGGCCTCTCGGCCTGAGTCTGAGCCGTGAGTGGCTTCGTGTTTCCCCGACGCGAAGCCCACCCCCGATGGTGCATCGGCGGGGAGGGCGGGGGGGTGCGCGTCTCCCCGCGAGGGCGGCGCGCGTCGGATCTCGCGTTGCGATCCGCGCCGCGTCGCAAGTAGATGCGGATCGATGCGCTCGGACAGCGGAAGCGCGGACAATGAGATCCGCCGGTGGATGGTTTCCTAAGCACGCGGCGAGCGGCCCGTTTGGCACCGCGACCGGAAAGCAGATAGCGATGCTCGCGTAAACGCGCGTCGAGGAGGAAGCGGAAACGAATGCTCGTCGTCGGGAAAGCACTCGCTCGCTCGCTCGCTTCGCGCCCCGCTCCGCCCCGCTCCGCCCGCGGAAACCGTGTCGTCGATTACGGTCGGAGCACGGCGACGATTAAGCGCCGCCGCTGCTTTAACCGTCCATTTGTGCGATCCGCACACATCCCTTGCGCGCGCGTTTGTGTCGATCACTCGAAACGACCAAAGCAGCCACCTTTCACCCCCCCGGGTCTCTGCCTGCCAGCGACCGCCTCTCTCTCTCTCTCTCTCTCTCTCTCTCTCTCTCTCTCTCTCGCTCTCACTCTCTGACTGGCAGCTGACCGGCTTCACCGCGCCAGACGTCAAATGACGAGGATGTGAATGGCAAGACTCGGAGACGGGGGGGGGGGGTCCGAGGAAATTACGGGATCGAACCGTTGGGACGCGCGGTTCGAAACACTCAAGCCTCGAGAGCTCGCTCGGCCGAGTCGCTCGCGATCGAGCGTCGCGGAAAGTCCGAGCGGAAGGATATTCGTTCGTTGGGATCGACGGAAAATACGCAGCTTTCCGTTCTGCCCGCTCGCGATATATCGCTCAACTTTACAGTCTCGACCGCTCGAGCATACCATCAGGCTCGAAAGATTGGCCTGAAGGATTTAAGCCTTCGACCTCGAAATGCCCGCTCTCTCTCTCTCTCTCTCTCTCCTCTCTCTCTCTCTCTCTCTCTCTCTCTCTTTCTCTAGTCCGAATTATTCGGTCGGCTGAAACTTCCGGCCGGATGATACGGGGCGATGTTGAAATGTATTTCGCAGTTGTATAACGCAGAGTCGAGAGATTCTCGTGGGGAGATAAACTCGGAATTATAAACAGAGAGGGCAGGAGGCGGAGAGAGGGAGGGAGGAGGGCGAATCGTGCTTTTCCTGTTGAGGTAGTATCTAGGGTAACGTACTCGAACCAGTCGATTTGCGTGGCGTTCAGATCTTGATTCTTCACACACTTATTCCTAAGTTCTCCCATATAAACCTGCAAAGCGAACAGTGCAAAAACCATCAGGCAGAAAATCGTCAGCGTCATTACTTCGGCAAGTTGCTTGAAGCTGTGCAACAGCGCGTTGATGATAGTCTTTAGACCTGCAACAGACAACGACAACGCGGCGTTACGCATATATGTAATTTGCCTCGACGAGGAGCCTGCTCTCTCTCCTGCTTTCAACGTCGAGAGACGAGTTCGGCTTTGTTTAAGCGGAATTTTACTCGACAGCCAAGCGGCAGCGATTTGCGGCGCGCGAAATGCGCCGATCAGCTTGCTGTATATTAATCAACGCTCCAAACACGCAGCTCACCGGACTTTTCCATCGCGCTCGAAATCGACACGCGAATCGCGGGGACATCAACGTCGCGCGCGCGCAGCTCAATCCGCCAGCGGTTCTTTCCGCCGGAGATGCGTGCCGGACGCGAAATGACACGCGGCGGAATTCCCTCGCGGAGAGCCGACATTCCCGACATATTTCTGGCCAAGTGGTCAAAAACCTGGCCTTGCCCAGCCTTGTCCGGCGGCCATCTCGTCGTCCTTTTAAATCCGCTTCCGTCATCTCGGATTGCTCGGCTGCTTTGTGTCTCGTCAGCGAGTGGTCAGCGACGGACCATTCTCATTCCTGCCGCGCTCATGGCCTTCCATTATTCCTTCTGATCTCTTTAATTTGCTTGAACCCCGCTGCCGTATTTATACGCGTGTCCGTGCTTCCGTGCTTTGTTATTGTTTCGCATCAAGCTTCGCTATTTAAAATTGTCGCTGTATGCGTCGGTGTGTATGCGCGTGCGCGCGCTCGCGGTTGCGGAGTTTTCTCTCTCTCTCTCTCTCTCTCTCTCTCTCTCTCTCTCTCTCTCTCTCTCTCTCTCCCCCCCTCTCTCCCTCTCCGTCTGTACACTTTGCAAATATTTCAACTCGACAGTTTCTGCTCGACTCTGCCAGTTGTTGTTTCTCTTTCGCGCCAAAAGTAGCTGTGAACGTGGGAGGTTTGTTATTGAAAAATTGTACGGGTACAGCACATGCGATCGACACATGACGACAAGAGCAGGCACTCCGCGCGATGCACACGATGCGCGAACTGCGAGCGTCGTTTCCCAGCGAGAACGCGAATTCCGGGACGCGAATTGTCATTCGGCCGCATTCGCGGTAAATCAGTTAACGCGATAAATCACGATATAAGCGCGACGTGCGCCGCGCCATTTTTACGTATCGGGAGCGATCATTTACGCTGATTCGGGCGCGCGTAAAACGATTCGGCGTTTCATTCGAAGCTCGGATTAATACGGAAAGAGCTCGGTTTGTTTGCAGCTGATTAATATGCATCTGTTGATTATCGATCGTGTGCGTTTAAACGCCGACACGGCTGACGCTTAATATTCTGTTGACTGTTACGCGCCGGCCGGCACGCACCGATATTACACGCATCTTCGATTGTACCCGTAATTGTACACACAATGCCGATTTTACCACCGATGACACTGGACTCATGCATCTTTCAGTGGAGCGCGTTCGACTCGCGCGACGAGCGCGCACGGCTTTGAAATGAAATCTGCAGCGAGTAATGAGAAACGCGAGCGCAGAAGTACGACTATTATTATTAAACGAGTACAATTAAACCGTGTTACTCGAATAATTATCGTTGTCCCGTCCAGAAAGCACAACAACTCGTCTAATATCACGTCCCTCTCAGCTCCGAGATTAATTTCTCTCGGCGACGTCTCGAGAAAAATGGGTCGGACCACTCGCGGGTCGCGCGCGCGCGCGCGCGCGCGTCGGATCTTTCAATTGAGGTAAGAATTTCGCTCACAGCGGCCGCAGAGTCAAGCAGGGTCGCACGTATCGGGAAATACGTGACCGTCTTGGACTCGCCGTATTACCTGGCATAATGGATACAGTCTTAAGTGCTCTCAACACCCTGAATGTCCTGAGACCGGCCAGATTCCCGACTTCCATCCCGATGGTGGCGTAGCCGCTGGTAATCACCACGAAGTCCAACCAATTCCAGGGATTCCGAAGATAAGTGTACTTGTTCAGTATAAATCCCTTCGCTATTGATTTTATCACCATTTCCGCCGTGTATATGGCTAGGAAGATATATCTGAAACATGAGAAACATCGGACGCGCGGGTGAATTACATCGAACATCGGATCAACAACGCGCACTGTCGTCTCGTTATCGAAAATCCATCCAACGTGGCCACTGGAAAGCCAGCATGTTATATTACAGCCAGCGGCTGTCCTCGATCGCGTTTCCTTTACTCAGCCCGCACATACGCATCCCTTGACGAATGGATTTTGTGAGGAAAAATTTCGTCGCGGGAGCGTTGCGGAACGAGAAGCATCGCTCTCTCTCTCTCTCTCTCTCTCTCTTCCTCTTCGTGGGGAGACGGAAATTTCGATATAAATATAAAGTATATAAATAAATAAACGTAAAACATATAAAATATATAAATAAGAACAAAATGTGTAAATCGGTGATAATCGGTACATAAGAGACATAAAATAAAGACCAAGACCAGGATCCGGTCGAGAGATCGTACCGTTCTCGTTACCGTCGACGACAGATTATTCACGATAATCCGGACGTTGTTTGAAATAATAGCTAATAATATAAATTCAAGCCGGCACGCACGGCTCGCGCTTGTGTGAAATTCCCTACTGAATAAGCAATCTCGATTAAACTTGAACATGCCTAGTTGAACATGCCGGACTTTCCGCGCGAGATAATAAGCGGCCACCTCTTTGCCGTGTACGTCGTAATGATCGAATTTACGGGGACAAAACGTGGCGTCGCCTCTGGCGCGTCGTTAAGGTGACTGGAGACCAGCTCCGAGCGATTATTATCGCTCGCCGAAGATACACGCTTGTCAGCCGGTTGATTATCCGATTAATTCGCCACACGTACACGCATCGCGACGATTTAGGTTGCGAGAGAATTTCCGCGAACAAACGGCGAAAAGAAGGAACACGGTGAGTGGAAAAAAAAACTCGCTGCGTTAGAGACTCGCGTCTCTCTCGCGAATATCAATAAAAATGTCAAAAGCTGCCATCTCTGACGTAACCCGCTTGTGAGACACGTACGAAGCTGTCATGTCGTGTCATCTTGAACGCGCCGGATCAATGAACTTTTCCAAGTGGACTTTCAGGAGATCAGTCGTTCATCAGCGTCACCGTGAAAGCCCGTTGATCCGCGACAAGCCTCCGAGCCGGGAGTTGTAGAAAATTACCTCCAGATTCGCCGTCGTATTCGCTCGAAGCGCGTTAAACGAATTGCTGTTCGCAACGGTCGACGAGAACTGTCGCGAGTTACTCGCTCGGGGGATACTTAGCTTAAGAGGATTACATGTTAAATGAGCACAAATGAAATGAACGTCGGTTGTGCATGTATTATAAGGGGACCCGTCGCCGTCGCACGGCGACCAATCCTCGTCGCAAAATCGTCTTGCGTATCTCGAGATTTATTCTTCCACGGAGATCTAAGCAAATGTGACGTCTGAAATTGACTGGATATGGAACATCCCCAGATCGTAATGAAACGTTGACCAAGGCGGTCAACCGTGCGAAGCCGGACGTCACTGGGGGGTGGGGAGGGGTCCTTTATTTGATTTCGCTTTACGATCTGAAGTCGGCATGCACGAGAAACGGCGAGAATCGGAGGGGAATTTAATCTCGACTGTCGCAAAGTAACTATACCGTGACTATAGCAGACTGAAAAGATTGATCTTCGGACCTACATCGGATACGCGGAACGTCCCACTTCTGTTTCTCTCTCGTAGTACAAGCACGCTATGCTGCTCTCTGAAGTCGCGGCATCTCGTGCTTCCCAGCAGCCGAACTCGATCGACGATATCGCTTTTCATCGCAGAAGCGATCTTACGTTTCCATCGTGTGTGATCGCCCGAGTGAACACACACACACACACACACACACACACACACACATTCTGTGGTCGTTCACTGCTAACTTCTACTGCTAACCGCCCGCGTTACCGAGCGGCCGCTGCTACTGCATAATCATGAGGCGCCAGGCTGTACTTACTCGGCTTCCTCGACGGTTTCGGTCATGGCCAGGAAGACGCAGTTAAGAAGTATGGTAGCCATGACCACGTAATCGAAGTACTGATTCGTACTTAGGAAGATACAGCACCGCCGTATAGGATTCCACGGTGAGAATATGAACCAACTATTAGTCGCCGTAAACCTATGGATGTAGTTCTTGCGGAACCTCTTGGATACCACGCAGAATGTCTGAAACAGAAGCGTGCGCGCGGCATCTTATTGTCCGGATCGGATGAGGGCAAACACCCAAAATGGATTATCTCGATTCCCTTGTAACTGCTCCCGAGACACCGTGTGTGCTTGAGGAGTGCTCCGAGGACCCGACTAGAAATTTATCCCATCAGGTCCTGATCAGGTTAACCTCATTCATTGGGACATCAGGTCCCAATAAGGTAATACTGTCGGGTCCTAGTAAATCATGTAAAGCAGCGTGGATATATCAGGATCTTGGTAAGGATTCGCAGTCAGATCCTTCTTGAGTTACCTTATGGAATCCTTATTACGTTTTTTCTTTCAAATTATGGCTCTTGATTACTCGCCGCACGGCTGTATTGGATGATGGACATTAGAAATAAGAAATGACGCGCTGATAATTCTTTCATGTCATTTCCAAATAAAAGGATATTTGCATGAAATAATATCTTAGATCGCTTGAGCATGCTTGTAAAATGTCTCGGAAAAGAAACATAAAATGAATATAGATCATGAGATCGTATAAAGTATCGCAAGATGACAAGACACAAGTAGTAGTGTTAAAGAGAAAAGTTGCATGTCACGTTAATTCTACAACTATTTATCGCCTGCTAAAAAGATGGATAGTTTCTGCAGCATTTTACAAATATATTCAAGTGATCTGAAGTGTTTTTTCAATGCAGACATCTTTATATTTGGAAATGACACCGAAAAATTGTTTTGTTAAAACTTGATAATGCAAATCATATTAGGTACAATGAATAGAAGAACCCGACACAAGGACCCGATTAACTGAACCATATTGTATCATACACTAGGTTGGTACATTAAGTAATCCTAATGTGGATCCAATCATTATGACTTTATAAAGGTCTTCCTTACTCATTTGTCGTTAGGACATTATAAGGGCTGATTTACTTAGAATTACCTATTATTAAGTCCTTATGTTCCAATGTTCAAAGGTGAACCTGATCAAAATTTCTAGTCGGGTATGTGCCACACACGTGTGCAATACCGTGTGTCTAGCTCTGAGGTCGCGCTCAGTTGCGACTGACGGATGCTGCGAAGAGGAGGTGTCTCGGAGCAGGTAAAAGGAAAACGTCGTGCGCTCGGATTTCTTCTCCGTCTGCTGAAACGCGACGCGGACATCGCGCCAATGACATCGCGAATTCAATGCCTGCGAAAACAGCGAGCTCGGGCGAGCATTAGTCGAGAGCCGGCTGGAGGTAGACCGTCGAAGAAGCGGAAGGACTTCTTCGCCGCTGGAATTTATAACGTGCAGAATCACGCGCGCCAGAGAGAGAGAGAGAGAGAGAGATCCCGAGAGCCCCGAAGGGCTGGCGCTCTCCGGGGGCTATAAGCGATTTGGGTTAATCTAGCGAGAAGATCAGCGTCCGTTTATCAGAGCACACTGTTTCATGAGCGAGCCGACAAACCGCATTATATCGCATTCTGCGCTGACGGCACTTGAACAAAGTAACGAGATTACTTCGCGGCTCCGCGCGCGAGGCGCAAGATTAATTCTTTATTCGCCGCGGCGCATACAGATTGGCCGCGCGCGCACATCGCTCTCGCAAGAAATTCCAAAGCGAGAGAGAGAGAGAGAGAGAGAGGAGAGCGTAATTGACATCTTCGCGGTGAGGAATTCGCGTCTAGTGTGGCGATCCCGGGATGCTTGATTTTGCAATTTAAATGCCTTCGTAATCGGACCTTCATCGAGGAGTCTGTATTAAAGTAGTTTACTCTTAAACAGCGAAGTCAAGAGAGAGAGAGAGAGAGAGAGAGCGTCTCCCTGCGGACGTCCGCGTCTGCAACTGCGTTCGTCAATTGCCAACGCTCGGTGATGCCGCAACTGCAATTTCATCTCGTTAGGAAAAAAGTTCGACGCGGCGATATCGCGCTTCCGCGGCTTTGATATTTTCGGCGCACGCCGCGCGCGCGAATGAAGCACAATCAGAACTCGAGTTGAATAATGGTAGGCTCGCGAGTGGGTTATTCGTGCAATTGGAAGCGAACGTTGAGGAGAGAGGGGAGGGAGAGGAAGAAGAAGAGAGAGAGAGAGAGAGAGGCTCAGAGCTGCGCCGTTGAAATTGATTAAGTTCTGTTACACACCGGAGGAAGAACTCGCGCGCCGTATTACATGCCGTTTCATTCACGTTGAAGTGAATCACGCCGAGGTGCAACATGGCGGGAGCTCGCTCTGTTCGCAGGATACAGTTTAAGCGGCGCGCTAAAACTGCGCGGCCTCCAAAAGCGGCACTGGGTCAACGCGTAATTATTAATGACTCATTTCAGCATTCAGATAAGGGCCACGGTAGCCGCGAGTTCAGACGAGCAGAGGTGCAGGGCCTGCCAGCTAGACCGAGTTCTCTCAGAGCGAGAATCTGATCGTTTGCAGCCCAAAGTGCTGATTTGCCAATCGCTTCCTCGGTAAAACATAGATCGGGCCTATCGGCGACCGCGGAAACTCCTTCTCATCTCAGCCGAAACGAAAGAATTGTCCGTCGGACAAACTGCAGAAATTCATGCTCGCCGCCACCGAGTGTCGGAATCGCGTGGAATCTCAATTCTCATGAAATTATCATTTTATCAACGAGCGTGCAATCTGCGTTTGATCTGTGCTTGTTCGATCGCGGATTCTTCATTTCATCAAATACGCATATTGTATTTCCCGCGATCAAACGCGAGTCGAATAACTTTCAGATGCGAGTCGCGGGAGAATGATACGATAATATTTGCGCGGACCGCGCGGGAGACAAATAAATAGAACCGAGCGCAAATGCAAGAGATGGAGAGAAAGTGGACGGTAGCGGGAAATTTATTATACGCTGTTTGTTACGTTCAAACGCACCGAGAGACCACGCACGAGAAATTATCGTAAATTGGACCAGTTACTGGGAGAGGGTTCTAACGCAAGTGCATTTCTCTCTCTCTCTCTCTCTCTCTCCCTCCCTCCCTCCCTCCCTCTCTCTTTGAGCTTACGACTCGCAATTTAAGCAAACCACGCAGCGTCTAATACTCGCATATGCTTTTCTTCATATTACGGCTGTATTTCACAGACCTTATCTTGAATACCCTGCGGAAGAACAATGCGACCCCAAGCCTATGAAATGCCGCTTTTCATAAATAACCCCCTTTGCCCCTGAGACGTATGCGACTGCGGAGCAAGCGGCTTAAGGTAATCAAGTTCATTCATCGAGATGGAACATTCGCGCTGTTCAAATTGCACCGTCATTCTCATGAAATTATACACGGATAGAAAAATATAGTTGAATCAACTATAATCTAACTATATTTTATAGTTCATTTTGGCGCCAACCATATTTTTATAGTTCGTGGAACCTATAAAATATAGTGGAATAAACACAAATATATAGTCAATGACTGTCTTAAATAATTGTTCAGTTACTTTTTTTTCACATATATGGTAATTTCTCATTATACAAATATAGTGAGATTTAATATTCATATAGTTACATCTGTCATCGTTTAGCAAATATTCTGGTAATATTGACTATATATATAAAAGAGTTACTTTACCTACCATTTTATATATGTATCCATACAATAATTTCAGTTTAACTTACTGTAATTCTTAGTAAAGATATTACATATGGTTGGTTATACTATGCCTCGTATCGTCATTATTACCGACATTATGGTAATACTTACTATAAATATGATATTTCGGACTATAGTTTAGTTACTATATCTCATTACAGTTCCAAATATCATATACTTTTCTCTCAGTGTATCAGCGAGTTTTGTTGTTCATTAACAAGCAAGAATTTCGCAGTCGGCTTTTCTCGATGAAAAATTGTTACAAACGCGTAATTGAGAAAATAACGATAGAAATGAATGCTCCAATGAATGTCAATGCTCTTATCAAGACGGAGTTTCTTCCGTCTCGCCTTGATCCCTTCCGGACAATTAAAAAATGATCGATTTTCCGGCGTCCTCGCGAGCGGAGAATCTTGACCCTAAGCTCGTCCGATAAGAGGCAGCTTAGCGAGAGCCCTGAGACTCTTGCTGCGGCTCACAAGCACTCGACGTCGTCGAATCAACGCGTCCCTGCGACGGAAAGTTGTCTCCTTCCGGAATTTACCGGTGTTTGGCGCGCAGCGGCGTTTGACCGTAAATCGGATCGAGCTGTCGCGCGCATACGTGCGCGTTTTTCGACGTTCGTGTTGCACGCGACGTGTTGTACGGCCATATCTCCTTTATGTTGTTGCCTCTATATGTTATAATTAATCGCGTCTTTGGCCGATAAAATGCCGCTACCGACAATGTGTCTCTCTCTCTCTCTCTCTCTCTTTCTCTCTACTCACGGCGCCCGGCAAGTTTTATGGCTCTATGAAAGATACGACACATAAACTTCTTATCCGGCGCACGAATACATGCAATGGCGGCTCTTATACGGGGCTGAGTACGGTTTCACAGATTTCACTTGACAATGCCTTTTAAGCCGGCGAGATACTCGAAATCGGCGGTCTCTCAAAGGCAGCGGCGCGGGAGGATCGATTCTGTGGAGTCGCGAGAGAGAAGAAAGCCAGTTAATGGACAAATGAGTTCCTCCGTCGCGAGAAACGACGAAAGGGCGAAAATACATGGGCGCGTGTGTATAACACTTTTCTGGATCATTTCCCGCGGCTACATTGATGAAACCCAACATGAGCTTACGCTCGGCTCAAAGTCACCGCCAGTCGTTTTCGGCGCTTTCACGGCGAAGCAGGACGAAGGCCAACGGCCTACTTTCGAGTCATCAGATGCGACGATGCGCCGTTGAAAGTAGAGCGTACCCACCCGAGAGCCGGGATTATTAATCAAGGGTGTCGTCGCCTTAAGGCCGGCTCGGTCTGAAAAATACGTGCGCAGAAATGACGCGCTTCGCAGCTGCAGCAGCCGTCGCGCAATTTGCATCGTTTAACCCTTTCGCCTACGACCACACCATTCAACCTGTCCCAACGGCGCCCAACCTTTGTCACCCGGCGACTGTG